TCGGAGGTTGCGCTCCGATGAGTCACGTGTTGGATCACTTGGTCTGGTAATGTAAAGGGAACAAGGAAAAGAAAAAGAAAAGACGTGCCACAAGTGAGGAGCGTTGTAACAGTGCATACAGTACACCGTGGAGACGGAATTTCACTTTCCGGTCTCTTACTTCACTTTCGACATTGACCGTACCGCGGCCCAATGCCTGTGTTGGTTGCGGTCCGATGCCCGTGATCGCGTGATCTTCGAGCGCCTGATAGGTCGCGAAGACTTCACGACGATTTGTAATGTGCGAAGTTGTCCCGGAGTCGGCAAACCACTCATAGAAAGAAGCAATTTCACCATCAGATCCGAGAGATACAGTGTCGCTATCATTATCGTAGGCTATTTTTGCCTCATCCTCTTTCAGTTCGACCTCGCGTGCTTCATAAGCACATTCCGTCTTTTGCCGCTTCATCGGCAGGCCCTGTCCGGCTTTGCCGTCGCCTTTGGCCCAACAATCCGTGGCCTTATGCCCGAATTTTCCGCAATTCATACATTTGACCTTGTCGCGGTGCCGACACTCATTATCAAGATGTCCCGGCTTTCCGCAGATCGAACATTTTTTGTATTCCCCGAAGGGGCGCTTCTTTCCTTTGGCAACCATGGCTTGGTCCGAGGATTGACCGCGCTCGCCACGCTCGTGCCTTCACCTATTTTCATCAAGAATGATGGCAATCAATTCTTGTGATGTAAGCTAAGGGCGCACATTGTCAGCACCTTCTGCGCCAACATTGCCACCCACGGCGCCAAAGTAAGAGCTGAGGAAAGAGTCCCAGCTCTCCGGTAATGAGGTAGCCAGAATGAGCCAGAAATCCTCGTCAGAAACAACCTTCCCCATTAGGTGGAGTTGTTCCTGGATCTGTCGTAGCTGTGTGATGTGACTGGAGATATTGTCTTCTTCCTTGGCTTGCATCCGGTAAAAACGCCAGCACAGCACAAGAATCCCATGCTGTCCACGCTGTTCCTTGACTGTGCGAAGCTGCTCCCACATGGCCCATGCCGTCTCGGCTCCAGCGATGTGCACCATCTGGGAATCTCCCAGCGATAGCACAATTACGTTCTGGGCCTTGAGGTCCTTCTCTCCCCAGGCGCTAATCTCCGCCTCTCTCGCTGCCCTATTGGCCGGGTCATTACTCGGCTGCGGCTTCGGTGTCTTTCCGGTCACATACTCCTGGAGACCCTTATCATTGAGGATGGCCTCGACGCGGCGTTTCCACGCGAGCCAATTGTCTTCCTTCAGGAGCGGGATCCGGTAAGCATTGCTATTGCTCGTATTATCAGCGCTGGTCGACATTATTTGTTCTCGTACTAGTAAGGGGGTAACAATTTTTTGTAGCCACAATAGGGGCTGTTGTTATCCGAGTATTTATTGGCTAGAGCCGGGGCTCATAACCTGTTAGAAATCACGCCTTAGTTCCCAAATAGGAAGGTAGTGATGGCGGGTCAAGATGCGTCGGGGTGTGTGATTCCGCATCCTAAAATAGATTTCTGTATATATACAGTTCTAGACGCTCCACTTTATATAAGCAAATTTCCTTCTTTGTCTTTCTTTGTAATCATGCCCTCGGCTTGTCTGCCCTTGGGCGCTCCCCAATTTCTGGAGCTCCAGAAATTTGGGCGCTACTTTCCAACAAATTTAGCATTTGTGAAGCCCTGTAGAGCCTCGGGAAAATGCACAGTAAGTATTAATTTGGCCGACTTTCCTAGTGGTGGCTGAGCACAATGCTGGTCACCTACCTGTCGCCGCGCAATATCAATCTTTGTCCATTTATCGGTGTGAAATGCTTCTTTTTATACTCCTACAACGGCCTCATCTGAACCTAGTCTAAAAAGAGGCATGCTGTGACTATTCCTTGGTTTGGACTTTAATGAACTGAATATTTAATTTATGCTCAACTCCAACTATGTACTAAGATCCAAAGGTATCTACAAAGAATATTTTTCTTAAATTTGCCATTCCCGACTTCGCGCTCAACGCGTCCAGCGTCGCCGACGCAACCCGCCACAATGAGCGCCGCCACGAAATCGCCGATGAGCCCGGAGAGCGCCCGGTTAGGCGGTGAGCGTGAGTCACACTGTTACTGAAACTCACGTGGGCGAAAAGGCTTCACTTCCAAAAACAGACCTGATACAGCTCGTGCACCGTACGACGTGATCGTGAAAAGAAGGGGTGTCACTTTCTCGGGAGACTCTGCCCAGCCGTTGCTCCGCGTCTTGTCCATCTTCTCTTCGGAAAATTCATCAGGACAAGTTGCAGCGAATACATGACGTCATAGTCAATCTGCTCTACGATAGGAGGAACGGAATTAGAAGCCCGATCACTCTATCCACAACGACGAATATAAAGGTCAGCAGTGGGGGTGCATGAATCCAATATGCACGCAATGGCGAGATCCTGATGTTTGATGTTTTGAAGGCCTGAGCGCTATTGCGCGGTACATTGAGTATAGCTTCAACCAAGATGCCCTCGTAGAATTCTGGAGGCTACGCGTTTCTGTTCGGCGGCGCGGTCTTCGGGCGCGTCACAAAGGCCTGTTAGCTGTGCAACCTGAACTCTTCCGTGTGTCAAGCTGGTTTCGAGATTTTTCGGTCGGTCCCTGGGGAGAAAAGTCAGCCCTTTGAATCTCGTGTTCTCGCTACTACGGATGGTTCCTGCCGTTCTTTGTCTCGCCTGGCGGCGGGACGCGCAGTTCATTGACAACGGTGTGATGGGAAAACTGATCGAAGTATTGTCGTCGGACGTGACAATGAGGACGCCCACCACAGATTCGTACGAGACTCTGAGCCGACTTTTGCAAGAGCTTATGGTACTGAGTCGGGCACAGCTATCCCCGGTAGCGGAGTACACCATTTCATCTGTCGCAGATCTTGGAGAGACTGCAGTCAGTCAGAAATGAAAGGACATTGGCAACTCTACGGACTAAAGCCATTCTATTTTCCGATACGTAATTCGAACTCTGGTACCTCGCAACTGTGCTTGTGCGTGCTCGTCAGTTTTCTGAGTTTGATTTGCCCTACATTGAACACTCATTGTTTTTCTCTCATCCTAGGATCCTGAAAATAACCGAGTCCAACGCCGTTCCATTGCGGCGCCAATGCTTACTCTGAAACCTAGCTTGTTCCGCCATCAACTCCATTTCTACACTACGACTGCGGCCATGATATTCCGTACGTTCATCTTTTCAAACGTCTTTCTTTCTTTCACCTATCTTTTCACTGACAATTTCCGCAAGTTACCGCCACGTGCTTATGGTACAGAGAAGACCTCGTGGACGGAATAAAAAAACTACATTCGAGAAGTTGCGCTTTGTCTCGTCCGTCTCTTGCGTTCTCTCACACCTTCTCTTCTTATACTGTAACTATGGTTGACGGTTCCATTCAGATTTGTGAGTGAGATTCAGGACAATTATTTATGAGTGAAAATCATGATATTACTTACTTGACGTATAAACTCCATCATATGGATTCGGAGCTTGCTCTGAACCAGCTGTAGGCACTTATATACTTACACGAAATCTGTGTCTTTCCAGCTCAGATCCACCTAGGTGTCGGTCAAGTAAATTCTATCCGAACCTTGAACTAACATCGCTCGTACGTGGAATTTCTCCGTTAGGCGCTCCCTGTTTGATGCTCGAAGCCGGCTGACCTCCGCGAAGGATGCATTTTCGAGTTGAAGTATGAGCCTAGGGATGAGAGCAAGAGGTCTTATGATCCTCCGCTTGGACTCCCGTCCTCACCAACGTACTCGTGAGATAGAGATCTGACAGATCGTGTGCGTCGATCCATGTCAAAGTGCTGTCACCGTGGAATCACAATTTGACACTGACACATTCCGCAAACCACACAATGTGACTGGCCTGCAGTCTCTTCGTCGGGTGTCGCCTGTGACCAGCTTATGGTGAACATGAGATGGCGCGGCCTGTGCGGCGCAAACTGCCGTTCTCCCGGCAAGCTCGGATAGACGCCATAAATTTGTTGATGCTTTTGTTTGCTCGAGCACTAGTCGACGTTTTACTTTTCCTGCTTCATCGCTGTAGTTCAGAGTCGATTTCGGGCGTCTGCTTTCTCACTGGAAACATTCATTAGACGAGGGATTTCAAGTTGACAGCAGTGCGTCCTTTCTATTGAGCTACATCACCCACTCGCGTTGCTAAGTATCTGCGGGCACAGACAACTCGGATGAGGTCATGACATCGTTAGATTCGGAAGCAGTGACAGCAATATCTCAAGAGTCTCAGGTTGAGGGGGAGGTTTGCTCGTATGCACTTCTCGCGCTTCACCTGTATGGGCTGACGATCATTCTTATCGGATTTGTGCAATTATTATTTTCGGTAGGTCAAATTGCGGAATGTTTCGACAACAGACAGTTACGAAAAGTCATGGGAAGAGTGCGCGAAACGCATGAAAGATCATGATGAAGAAAGAGTAAAGGCTTGGAAAGAAGAGATCGATACACTACTCGTGTTCGTGAGTAACCTACTGCCGTTCCGCTGCCTTGAGCGTCAACAGCATTGCATGACGTGTCTGGTGCTGCAACGAGAGACTGACAGATAAATTTACAGGCGGGTCTCTTCTCTGCGGTTCTTACTGCGTTCAATGTCCAGTCATACACGTCGTTACAGTCAAACCCAAGTTCCGATACAGCCGTGCAACTACTTGCACTTATATCCACCCAACTTAATAGTTTCTCGGTCAACGCGGGCGTCATCAACTCGACACAGTCCACTCCAACGCATGCAGTTATTGCCACCCTGCAAGCCCAACCAGTCTTATCATCATCTGTGCATATCAATGCGCTCTGGTTCTCCAGTCTGGTATGCAGTCTCTCTACTGCGTCGGTTAGCATTGTCGTCAAACAATGGCTCAATCAATACACCAGTGGACTCGCTAGTGTCTCTCGGAGTGCCGCTAGGACAAGGCAGTTCCGTAGCGATTGTTTGGAAAATTGGCACGTCCCGACCATCATCATGGTGCTCCCCACGCTCTTGCAGATAGCACTCGTGCTATTCTTCGCCGGTCTGCTGGAACTCCTCTGGACGTTAAATCACACTGTCTCCATTGTTGCAGCGGTCTTTGTAGCAATCCTCGGCTTGTTCCAGTTGGTGACCACTGTCCTCCCTGCATCTGTACCGGACTGTCCATATCAGTCTCCTCAGGCTCTGGGTTTCATCATTCTCGTAAAGCTCTCTAGATTGGCCATTGGCAAAATATGCAGACGAAGCTGGAATTACGTCATGAACTGTTGCGGCGACGATCTACCAGTAGCATTTCATTGGCAAGACCGTGGTCTTTGGACCGCCCGCAGAAAATTTGCACTCTCTGTCCGCAGATATATCCATTACATCGACAACTGGCTTAACATGGTCGTTGCCGAGAAGAGGTTATATAATTGGAGAGAAAGAGAGAGGATGATTGTGGATTCCAATGGTGAGATGCTTGATACGCGCATGCTCATAGCTGCCGACCTTACATTCACGGATAACGCGTTCCTCGAGACTGTGGTTAGGCGCTGCCTGACAGGCATGAAGGTTGAGGGAGCGACTCAATGCTTTCACCGCATTGTGGATCATTGCAGCAAACACCCCTGGCAAGTTTCTGCCCTGCAGCACGGAATCAAGGTCGATCGTTCAGGAGCCGCTCTCATTAATATTGCGCTCGACATCATTATGATGGTTGAACCGCATCGGTTACACAATTCTACTGTCCTACCGCTGCTGCGGTTCCTGTCTACAAACATGCGGTGGACGAGTCCTTCGAGCTCGACCCAGTGGCAGCAACTCTTTGATGTTGGAGTTAGCTTGCTTTGCAACGAGTGGAACGAGATACGTTATCTTGCTTTTGACATCACCGCCTTTTCCTTTCGAGTCGCCCCTGAGCTGAACAAAGTAACGTTGAGCAGCAGTGGTACGTGGAATGGATATGCATAATCAGCTAATGAAACTGAAGCATGTCAGGTCTACAAGCTATGGCGTCGTACCTAGAATTCTCAGAAGTCAAAGGCGACAAATGGAGATCTTTGGTTGCGACGGACCTATTACTGGACTGTGCCGCTTCCAACTGCCTATCTGACGTCGACCTGAACGCCGTGCAAGCGGACGTGCAGAAACCTTTGCGCGATTTCTTCTGCTTGTGGGAAATGGTTCCGCTCGTGGATCATCCCTCTTACGTCCTTCTCGGTATCGGTACTTCCTTCGTTCAATTCGCTAGGCGCAATACTGGACACGTGGAAATTGGCTTGATAGAAGTGATAGTCAGGATGTTCTCGGCGTACGGGACGGCGAATGTATTTTCGAACGAGGCGGAAAGGCAGGCGAAGGAGAAATTGGTCAACCTCTTACTTGACCTGGACGCCATTCTGAACTGGTACATGCTCGCTGAGTTGCCCGGTCCATAGTGATGCAGTCTTCTGAAGATGCCCCTTGCGAAGTCTTCAGTTCGATGGATTTCCACTGGGCTTGACATATGGCGCCAAATACATTATTTATCTCGCTTGATCGTGCCCTTCCCTCAAATAACCATTGCTGGTTGTCAGCACGGAGCCGCAGAGCCAGTGCTTGTTCCACCACATGTCAGTAATGATCTGCCATCGCCGAGAACAACCACTCCTGCTTCGGATCCGTGGTATTGACTACACAATCAATCGAGTCGTCACATCACCCAAAGTAGTCCAGCGGGTATCCTAAGAACCTACACTGGGCCTACTCCGCGAACTCCGTCATGTAGCTCGGCCACTGGAGCATCCTCAACGGCGTGGTCCTGAGTGTCTCGTTCGTGACAGGTAGCCAAGGGCTCTCCTGTGCAAGCCGTTTGAGGGAGGTCCAGTACCCACGAACCGCCAGGTAGAGCGGGTCGGGGTTCGGATTGTACGTGCGGGTGAATGCTGTCCACGCGTCTAGTATAGTCTGCATGAACAGCAGGTCCTCCGCGTCGCGATATGGCAGACTATTGGGCAAAGTCGCGAAGACGTAGTACAGCTCCCCGGCGTGGCATCTGCAAGTATGTCGGACCAATCGGAAGTACGAGAAGAGGAGTTAACTCACTTGAAATACTCCTGCGAGGGATCTCCATCTGGATGGGTTGCGTCAGCGGGTGCATCACAAACAGGGTAGTTCGGCTCGAATGTCGCAAGCTGGTAGCTGCGGTTAAATTCGTAGAACCACACGCTTTGGAAGAGATCATGCTGCAGGCCGGACCATGCGGTCGCCTGATCAAGACAACGGAACTCGACATCCGTTCCAACTCGTGCGGTGATGTTGAACACATCGAGGGTAGCGTTGGGGCCAGTGACGGGCGGGAAGAGCGAGTTATTAACCACGGTAGTGGGCAGCGACTGAGCGATAAGGCCAGCTGTCAAGTTGTCGCTGGTCTAGGGGGAGGACGTAAGCAGATGTCTCTTGCGATCTAAGGAGGAGCATACGGGATAGCCGATAAAAGCTGCGCCTGAAATTTCGCCGAGTGAGTTGACTACGCTGCAAAGTCTGAAAGCAAGGCTCACCATCATCGCGCATGTATCCCATCATGGTGTGGACGTTGGCAACGGTTCCCGACCCGTTCAATGGGAGCTCAGGATAGACCACATAGGTACCGTCAATAACGAGGTAACTGAGCGACCCAAGCGTTCAGCCAACGAAGTAGAAAAAGACGCGAGAATGACCTCGCCACATGCTCCAAACTAACAAGGTCGTACGCATTGTATCCTCGCAAGCATTCAAGCGCATCGGTCAGGCTGCAGCCTGTCTTCTCCAGGATCGGCTCCACAACCATGTCAACTTCGTCGGGAATGGTGTAGTAGAACGAGTACGGCGCCGCATAGTCAATACCGGCCAGGTTGCTCATCGGTATCGCTGCAGCATATTTTCCGATTGCCCGCGGGGAAGCAAGCAGTGCGCGGACGGACGCTGCGCCAGCAGATTGGCCAGCGATGGTGATACGGTTGGGGTCACCGCCGAATGCTGTGATATACTCGAGTACCCAATCTAGGGCGGTGATCTGATCTGCGATGCCGAAGTTTCCGTTGGTCATCCCATCGTCGAGCGCCAGGAAGCCGAGGGTGGACAGGCGGTAATTGATAGTCACCACCACGACGTCACCACGGGACACCATGTTACTCCCCGCGTATGTTGGATCAGAGCCGGTCCCGCTTGTGAAGGCCCCGCCGTGTATCCAGAAGAAGACCGGTTTGAGTTGCTCCTTCGTCACGGTCGAGGCGTCCAACGGTATAAATGGAGTCCAGATATTGAGGAATAGGCAATCCTCGCTGCTGTTAAGGACGCCGACCTGCACACACTCAGGACCAAACGCAGTCGCGTTCAGATCTGGTGAGCCGGAGTAGAATGTAGGGTATGTGAAGCGCTCAGGTGGATTTGCGTATGGTATTCCTTGGAATCGGAACGACAGCTGATCTCGGTATCTGACGATACGAGTGCGCTCAGTTTAATCCCCGTGATGGCAGTTTAACAACATACCCAGTGATCGACAAGTTGCCCGATGTGACAATAATGGAGTTGGTGGGCTCAGGTGATGCACCAAAACCCGAGCTCTGACTACAGAGCACAGGCAACTCCAGGTCGCATTCCGCTTCGCCTACCAAACCGACGGAATTGACAATCTCGCAAGCATCGCTAGTGCCGATCCAGAACAACTGATCCTCGCCGTATGCACCCTTATAGATCTGGTATTGTAGGGAATGCACCATTTCCATCAGGAAGAATGTCTCGTTCACCGGCAGCAGCGTCTCGCCAAGCACGGCGCAAGCTTTCGCTGCGTCCGAGCGCAGCTGAGGAGAAAGCAGGAGTATACTCCTATGCTCGCTGGCGGTGTACTCTGGTACGTTGAAAATTGAGTACAATGCATCTTCACAGGCTAGAGGAAGAACTTACGGTCGAGATCGTTGTAGTACAGCTGCGTGATATCGCTGTTGATCGACAAGGGCGATGGGATAGTAAACGACGTCACGAAGGGCATTGCAGCCAGGAGTGCATACGCCAGTCCGAAGAAGGCCATCTCGTCGGCCACTAGCACACTTCCCACAAACAAGCCACCGGGTTGAGTGACCTGCAGTTAGGCTACGTCTTTACTGACGCGTTAAATGCATTCTCGATGCATCCCTGTCGTAGACACAGGCAGCGTCCCGCAAGCGCCACAGAATGCATCCATTGGTGGACGTATGGTCCTCCATCCCACTTCTCTCTTGATCACATGGCCATATGCGGAACGATGGGCTGTCGAGCGTCGAAGACGACTACCCTCGTGACGTGTATGTGCAACGAAATATTTCTCCGGCGTTCCCTCGAGAACCGCGAAGACCATGGCGTCGAAGGGATACGAGACCTAGAGGTCGTAGGTACGGCCCGTGGAGGCTGCGCCGGGTAGACATTGCATGAGAAAATGAGTCATTTGATGTATGCCTTGTGTGGTGTACCAGTCACATACTTGAGGACGAAGAAGAAGTGGAGTGGAGGAGTGTTTGGAAGTGATCTTGAGCCTGGAACGGAACGACTCTGATTGCGACCCGCGCGAAGTCAGGACAACGTACAAACACATCAAAGAGGTTCTTACCGCACAGGGAATTCAGCATAGATCAAGGGACCCAGGGAAAAAAAAAGGAAACAGACTTGGACTAATGGCCGAACTTGGCGCCATCTCGACAGGTCGTGCAACTTGTGCAGCCCTAGGTTAACCACAGCGAAACAAACACTACTAATGCCGACAAATTGCCGTTCTCACCGTCTCCGTTCAAGCTCACCAGTGAACAAAGAATTCCTTCCTGATCTGAAATCGACAGTAGGACTGAATGCTTGTCCCTGCCCAACTCAGACTTATACTGCATTGGCGAATCATGGTCAGGTAAGGGGCATTAGATGCATTAGAGATGATAGCAGGCTATGTTGGAGCAGGTACTTATACTGAAGTTGATTCGTCGCAGCATGATGCTATGACGCGTCTTGTCACGTTCGCGACATGTCACAAAGCATAAGTCACGTCGAACTGCCCTCTCAAAACCTCCGTAGCTTATTTATGTAAAGCCTTGCCCTCCTCTATATCATTGCTTCTAGTCACATACTACTTTTTTTGTCCTCTTTTCTCCAGATGTCCTGACATGCGGCAGAAGACACGAAGAACTGTAGCTGCTGCAGCATGTAATTATCGACGCTAATGCGTGCTATATACTACAGAGTTTCATAAGAGAAGCGGGTGCTTTTCTGCACCATAAGATTAGACAGTGCGTCAGAGATAACTTTTACAGTTGCTTGCTCTCGATCTCACCAGTTTTCCGCACTCCCTTGCTGTGTAGATTCGTGGATGCCCTGGGTGATCGTCCATTATGTCAAGCACATACAGCTGTTTGCTATGTGGCCTTGTCCTCGTTCGCAGGCCTCTCGAGATACAGAGGAGCCGAGTGTCGTTCCGCTCTCGATTCTGCGTCCCTTATCAAGTACAAATAATCAGACCAAATTCTTGTTTTTCAGCCATCTAGAGCAACGTGGACCATCTCAGCCTCCTGTACCCATTGCCACTATACCCCGCGTTTAACGTGTTCAATATTCTATCGCCCTGGAATGGACTGTCCCATCCTGAATGTTCGTGCGGCTCGGAGACGCCGGTGGGAGGAGCGTGGGCGCAAAATTTCAAGTATACATGGACGCCTGACTTCGGTAACTTACAGACATACGCTGTTGCACCGTGCACGTTGTCATGTCAACGAACTCAAAAAAGATGGCGATGAGGGAGGTGTCCATTCCGCTCATGTTTTCTTGGCAAAGCAGTCCACCGAGCCGAATACCTCAAATTTTACGCTATCTCCACTGTGGAGGTTGGTGCAAATAATGATGGGCCGGCCGCCTCGCTTAACCATTGCAACCCTGCAAGTTGTCTCGTCGCGTCCTGATTCGCTCTCGGTCATCCACTGGATGGGTGTTGTCTTACCTAGCTGTAAGTGTATGAGAGGATACAGAACAATTTTTACGCTGAACAAGACCATGCCAGTTCTGAGGATCCTTGATGGCTACTCAATGCTCGGGAAACATATCTTCCATGTGTGGAGGAAGGGACAAGCCAAGGAAGACCTTGTCGATATCCCAGTGCTCCTGCTTTGGAGTTCAGTATAGACCGTGAGTCTACAATGCAACGTGTAACGGAAGATTATCGGAGGACTGAGCAGCCCTTCATATGGTGTTGGATGGGTGTCTTGGCCGACGGCAACCGCGAAGGATTAGCGCCCACTGTTGTAGGTCCTATCGATGGCATTCAACGGGCGCTAACATGCATGCAGTGGCAGCCCCGGATATCTCGGTCGACTATCCGCCCTCGCGATTTAATTCCAAGGGATGGCTTCTGTGTCTCTGCGGCGCTATCATCAATCTCAAATCGTTCCTTCATACGCTCCGCGTCGCGCTTGTCCCCATACTGTTCCAACACATGCTGATCATTTGTATTCTCCGCCATATCTTCCTCACCATCATCTTCGTCAGCAAGGTTGTCACCTGCCAGATCTGTCGGTCACAGTTGAAAACTCAATAGCACTGACCTATCGCCGCCACATCTGCATGTCGAGCCATTGGCTATACTTATCGTGGACTGGGGTGTTCCTGTGCTGCCGAAAGTGCCTCTGTATCTCCTCGGCCTTCCGTCGTATTGGTAGTTCGATCTTTCAGAAGCGCGCTGCAATTCCATCGGTGCGTTCATCATACCGCGATAGCGTATTTTTGCTAATCGCCAGACCGCGACACTACATCAGCGATATGAGCGATGATGCACCGCCGTCGACGGCGCCTTGTATGACCAGGTCCGATTGATTCCGTCTAATGAGTGGTCGTGGTCGACTAGGTCTGAGACTCGAATGCAGGCCGACAACTGCGGGAAATCACTGCGTATCGCGTCAAATGTGGTCATCGAGCCTCCTCCAGTTTTGTGGCCTGCGACATTTTTGTTCATTTAGGCATCAGAGTGGAACTTTCCAGACTTCTAGGCTTATGCTGTTGTTCGGAATTGATGGAAGCGCGCACCGCACTAGAGGTGGTGTCATGTGGATGTTGGTCCGATGATAAATGTGAGAGGTATAGCAGTGAGTTCTCCCCTGGACCTCACTCACCGCCCCGATCGCCCACCAAACATGTCGTTGGATACTGCTGAGCAAACAAGGACTTTCGAGGTGAAGGGAGAGGTTAGTTCATATACGCTCATTGATCAGATCAGATTAACCGATACCTTATCTTGATTTCTGAACACACGTTCATTCAACAGAATATCGAGCATGACGGAATATACAGTAACAGAGAAGTCGCCGACGCTTGGGAGAAATGCGCAAAGAGTCTGGCGGAACACGATGAACACTCTATCAAAGCTTGGAAAGAGGAAATTGATACGTTACTTGTATTTGTGAGTACGTTCCGCTATGTTGTTCCACCGTAAATGCCACTGCTGTCAGTGGGACTGATGGTCAGCTCAGGCCGGCCTGTACTCTGCGGTGCTCACTGCATTCAATGTCACGTCGTATACATGGCTGCAACCCAGCCCACCTCCTGATGCTACTGTTCAGCTACTCTCGCAGATATCTCTCCAGCTGGACAGCTTCTCCGTCAATGCTATGAACGTGAACTCCACCCAGGCTCCCTTATCCGCGGTCGCCGTTGCCAGTCTCCAGGCCCAACCGGTATCATCGTCCTCTATTCGTATCAATGCACTATGGTTCTCTAGCCTGATATGCACTCTTTGTGCTGCGTCTATTAGCATCCTGATCAAACAATGGCTCCGTGAATATACCAATGGACTTGTGAGCATCTCCAGGCAAACCGCGCGGACTAGGCAGTTGCGAGATGACGGTTTATCAAAATGGCATGTTGGCAGGATTATCATGGTGCTGCCTGTGCTCTTGCAAGGAGCCCTGATTCTATTCTTGGCCGGTTTGTTGGAGCTTCTGTGGACATTGCATAGCACGGTCGCCATCATTGCTACATTCTTTGTAGCTATGCTGGGTATCTTCCATTTGGTGACCACCATCCTTCCTACTGTCGCAGCCGACTGTTCCTACCAGTCGCCACAAGCACTTGCCGTCTTCGTTGTTGTCCAGTTCGGGAGAGATCTGGTTCTGAAGTGGTTTAATTCCTACTCTTCCATGCAATTCAAAAATCCGTGGCGCAATCTCTACATTGATGTTCGCCTGGCGAGTGGGGAACAACGTTCCTACAATTGGAGAGACAGAGAGAGGGACATTGTGGATCTTCAGAGCCAGGGTCTCGATGGACGCATGCTTATTTCGGCAGACCGTACCTTCAATGACGACTCCTTCCTTCAGGACGTCATCAGGCCTTGCCTTGGAAGTATTGAGGTGGAAGCGGCGGGCCCTACCTTGTCCCATATTATCAATTATTGGCCTTGGCGAAAACTGAGTAGGGGATGCTGGATGAAATGTCCAAAGCGCATGCGGGGGGTGTCTAGGCTGGTACTTGACTTCATGGTGAGGAAGGAAGACGAAGGCAGATACGAGGAACAAGGACGTGATTCGGAGGCCACAAGAAGTGCAGAGGCACGCACGAAAATGGGTGATGCGTTACATCGCCTCTTCTATTCTCCTCGGAAAGGAAAGGGGGACTTCATTGAACCGTGTTTGGAGTTCCTGCACGGATGCGCTCCTAGCTGCATACTTGACTCACCCTTGCGTCAAAGATTCTATGACAACCTTGTGGCACTTTTTACGCATGCAAGAACTGAGATTTGCCAACTTGCGTGGTCAATGGCTTCTGACATACATCGGTGGCGTGTAGCAACACCTACGGTCAGTAATAATGGTATGTAAATCTGCTCTCCATCATACATGTTGACTGACATGAGGGAGATTCATAGCTCTGCGAACCATGTTGGCATATATTCAGACGACTGACATTCAATGTGATGACGAGAAATTCGCCAGTGCCATGATTCAATTGCTGATGTGCATTAATTGCGGACACATCTCCAAGACAGATATGGAATTTTTACAAGTCAAGGTGCTGGAGATGCTGGTTGATCTCTTCCGGCGCTGGCAATCAAGCCCTGTTCAGTCTCCCATGCCGTATGGACTCCTCACTATTGGCTCATTGTTCACTCAGCTGCTCAGACAAAATTCCGGATTCAGGGATGCCGGTCTGATAGACGCACTGACCAGGATATGCTCCACGTATAAGACAGCGAATCTCCTCTCATACGAGTATATTCCATCGGAGAGGGATCAACTGGATGATCTCTTGAGCGATCTGACCTCGTTCAGAACGTCTAATGCAGGTCCGGAGCAGTCGCCAGGTTCTCAGCCATCAGAGCCCCGTGCTCGACACACCACAAGACCGACGGCGGCTGGCGTGATGTCGCTTACCATGGATATCATGATTTAGAATCATCCGTGGGGATTCTAGATGTCCTATCGGTATGTTCAAAATCAAGCATTGCCAATTGTCTCACATTCTTAACAAGTTCTTACGGTGGTAGTCGACTACATCTTATTTCCATCTCCCCCTTCCATCGATAATGCTTCCCGACCTCGCCGTGTTCGTGTTCAAATCCCATCAGCGTCCATCGTCCGCACCAAAATCCGGGCTGCAGCTATTTCCTATTCCATCGCCCAAACCAACTTCGATCCTCCTCGTTTCTGCAAGAGCCGATCAATTAGATGCCTGCAATGCTGGCATCGAAATCCGCTGCCCGTTAGCCCTTTGACTCTTCCTTTGCTGCCGTGCTTTCCCATAGGCATAATCAACATTTCTGTCGTTGCTTTCACTCGTGTTCTCGCACATGCACACGGAAGCTGTCTGTGTTCGCATGGTTCTTTGTTCCATTTTTTCCCGGCCGACTCTCAGACTGACTCTCCGACCATCCTTCTATTAGCCTCGATTTTCTTTTGGTTTAAACCCATTTTTTTGTTGAATGAGATTTGGGGGCAACTTTGATGCTTTGTTGTCTCGAGTGTTTGCACAGTTTGCCACCTTACACTCTCACAACTGTCTCAGTGCTATGCGCTGGCGTCTATGCCATGTAGATATAGTGCGTGAATTCACCCATTCTGACCTTAGCCAACTCATCGGCAGATTACCACGATGTGCATTGGCTCATAGCTTATTCTTAAGTTCATCTGAAATAACAGATTGACCGACTGACTCACTCCCAACTCTCGACAGGCTCAGGGTGTACTAGGCTTCACGGGCACTGGTGTGGCCCTTTTTGTCATTATGTCCTTAAATAAAGACCATAAGTCCATTCAAGTTATTTAAGTATCCTCTTAAGGAAAAGGTGTTTGAAGGAACACGGAAGACAGCGGCGGCGCTTAGCACGCATGTTGGCTATTCAACCTGTCACCTCATCAGGCTCATTTCGAAAGTGTTCGTTCGCCAGGAAGACACTAAATAAGAAGGTATCATATCCAGACTGAGAACTCTCCTAAAGCCCCAGCTAATTTCGTGTCACGTATCAGGATAATTGGTGCTCTCTCTCGTGCCACCAGCGACCTCACAATCGGACGCCAGCTGTGGCAAGGTGCTCAATATCTATCGCACATCGGAAGACTCAAAACATAGAAACATAGAACAGGTCATTTTTTGCTAGACTTAACATGGAAGACAACACTGAAGACTCACACACGGTCGGCGTTGACAATGTCCTAGTGGCACCTAGTACCCGCGTTGCGCCGGAGATCCTGAGGCTCGTCTTTATAGCTGTATATCTCAGTATCGACCGGGGCCACAAGGAATTCGTTGACTGCATCGCCTCTGTATGTTGGCGGTGGAGGACCATTGCACTCGAGACTTCTTCGCTATGGACTCGGCTTGTGATGGACAGCGGCGTCATATCCAAGTGTCATCTCAATAACTGGCTCTCCCGCTCTCGCCGTCGCATGCTTGATCTCCGATTCTACTCGGTTTCACCGAAGACTCTACCAAGTGCAATCCAAACCGCAATGCACGTGCTCGCCCCTCACACCGACCGCTGGGGAACTATGCGTCTCTCCCTGCGAGATTATTCTGAGATGAAGGATGCCCTATCTGGTTGGCCATCAAGCTTACTGGCCTTGGAGGATTTGAGCTTGAGTGTGGCCCACTATATGACTTTCGGAGAGTACGATCTGAAAGTGACTGCCCAAAGACTCCGCCGCTTGGTCCTCCTCAATTTTCCCTGCCTTCCATCTGGTTTTCCGTTCCACCAGCATTTTCCAGCATTGACGAGGGTCCATCTGGGAGGATTAACTTTATATCGATTATTGGGCTGGGATCGTCCGCAGCCATTGGCCTTACTGAATGCCCTAGCTCCCCTGCCTCATTTGGAACACCTCTGCATCATCGATCCGGGAATACGCATCGCCTGGAGTGTCTATAGCATCCTACCACATTCCGATCGAGCGATCCTATCGGCACTGAAAAAGATCCACTTTCAAGCTGTGCATCTCGACTGTATTGTTGCATTCATGAACACGATGGAGGCTCCGAAACTGTCGTCCATTTTGTGCACTGGTCCCTATATGTATTGTGATATGTTTGACAGTGTCGGCTCTGTCGAGCGCGACCACCACCGCCACTTCCCTCAACTTCAGAGGTTCAGGGTGTGTTGCGACAACAGTTGGGTGATGAATGACCCACACTTGTTGGACTTTATTGATGACTTCAGGTTCAAATGGGTGGACTTCATGAATTTTCGTGATAAGATCTCCAAGCTCATCAAACTCGCTGGCGACTGGGAGGATGGGGCGCCGATGAAGTCTTCTCGCCTGATTAGTGTGGAGATACACCTTCAACACCTCTCTGTTCCTGTCGTTGAGCTCCGCCAGCTTGTTGTTGGGCGCCATCATTCGAAGGGCTCTAACTCTTCCCCATCCCAGCCGGAGATGGAGGTGGGCAGCCAACAGCCTTCCGCCCTCGAGGAACTCCGTATCTGCACTTCTGAGCCCATCGCAGAGACAGATCGCGCTTGGTTCACAGGGAAACCGGATCTGAAGCATTTCTCGTGGTCTGATTCTCGTGCATGTTTAGAGGAGAGGAAGTCTGTTGACGAACGTCGACATCTGGGTGGCCGTCTAAGGATGACATTCGCGCCAAAGTGAGTTCGGTGTCAATCTATAAAGTACCTGCATTCCTTATTGTTAGCCAAATTCGTGCCGTGGTTGATGTCCGGATTACACTACAAATGACGTTCGTAGCGAGACTAGCGAATTACTGCACCAAGACGGAGGCTATGCCGCGATCAGCGCGCTCGACATTGGCACGACTCGGACCGGCACGAGCGATCCAGTGGATTATATGGCTGCAACATACGCAGTAGCTGGTCCTGATTTCTAGTCCGAGTCAATTTTCGTAAGCTTCTAGAACAGAACAGAGACTCGAGCTCGACAGAGGGCGAAGTCGCGTTGTCACAGTCGCGACATGTCACCCATCACCTGACCTGGATAACATCTCCTTCCGCCAATGTGAAGTTTGAACTCGACCACATACCTGGTGAACGGCAGTGACACGACTGGCAAGCTGATGACCTCCAATATCCCCACGCAACCTGGGAGAATGGCCAGATAGTATCAAGTTTGCTTGTGCTTTCCGAGCGCGCGCTCGGATTTGCACGCGGTGGTTTCGAATGTAAACCGATGGGACTCTGAGAGGACGACTCTGCTACTTATCACGCGGTGAATATTCGAATTTGTGCGGTTCTGCACTGGTACACTTTCCCATTAGTGTCATTTTTCTGAAGTACGATTCATTTTTTGTCAACGTCTGTCCAATCATGGCGCCTGGCGTTCAATGCACAATTGCTTGAGCTGCCTGATCCGTACCAAATCTTGATGGATTGCACATTCCTTACTTCCCATTTAGAACTTCAGAGGCCGAACGAAGACCATATGCTACGCAGCCAAGGTCACACTTCCTCTTCCAACTCTTCTTGCTATCGATTAATTTTCCGATTTCGAGCTAAGCAGGCACGTTTCTCTTTGCACAGGAGCACTACTTATAGATTAGAGCTTTGCAGCATTCTCGCCTCGTACGTGTGGACCATAGCTGCGGCCGTGGCCTTGACTGTGGCCATAACTACGAAGTAAACGGATCTCCAGCATATTAACGACATGCGTTGCCCGTACAGCATAAATTCAAGAGGAGCGGCTCAGCACCCTTGCGCGTCACTTCTCTCACCTCTCGTACACAGAGTCCAGACGGCGAGTCACCACATTCTTCTGGGCACGTAGAAGCCATATGCAGAACTCAGGCGTCCCAGACGGCCCCATCGCGTTTCGGAGAAGCAATAGATGCAGTACCAGAGTCTCAGACGGAGACATCACATTTTTCGACGAGTGACCAACACGTCTCGGAAGTGCCAGGCAGAGCAATCGCATCTTGAAGAAGGATAATACTGATGCACGTACTAGAAGTTGGGCAGGCTGCAAACGATGTCTCAGGAAGGACCCACTTTGGTGATCGACCGATGTGGGCGCTGCTCTAGATCTCGTCAGTGTCCTCAGTGCGCCGTGATCCAGTCCATCATCCACCTGGCAAAGCGAGGGGCGAACTTATCGACCCTGCCTTGATCAAGCTGCAACCTAGTGTCAGAAAAACATGGGATAAATTGCCCATTGAGCGGTTGTTTACAAGAACTGAAGAGAGTGTACGCTACACCAGTCAACTCCAGAATCATCCAACAACGCAAAGCGAATTGTCACAGCGAGGGATGCCCAACACCATCGTCCAGCAAGATGTTTAGGATACCATCCTGCCGCAAGGACATTTCCTATGAGGTTTAAACATACTGACACCATCCTCACCACCTCTTCAAATTGCTTGGTGCGACCTTGGTGCTCTTCTCCTTCACAATATCATCACCTGTCCTACGCGTCTGTCGGCACTTCGTATTTTTAGATTTAACCGCGTACCAATGTCATTTTCCGCTAGCAGAACTGCTTCACTAGCACGTCCGATATCTGATTGCTATAGAGTAGGAGCCGCCCTGTATGTAGTCACGTCCAACTAGTTTTATCGCGTCCGCTCTATTCACAACGTGAGCCGCGGAGTATTTTGAGAGGAAACGTACTACATCGAACCACCCAATGTCTGTATCCAATATCACAAAATCACCTAAAAAAGCACCCATAAAATGCTCGTACAACAACCACCATAGATCGCTCCCACCCACGATAGCAACCCCAGCCCACCCACCTACGCGCCCCACATGAGCACAACCCCCACAGACGCACCCACAACCCATCCCCAGGCCGTCACCGCGCGCGGCAGCGCCGCACTCGCGCTCGGCGCACCCGCGAGCACCCAGTCGCGCCACGCCGACTGCATCTCGACGACGAACGCCTGGCCCTCGGGTGACACGGCGCCCGGGGAAGCCTGCGCACCCCAGCTGTATGGGTCCACGACGGGCGTGAGGTAGCCCTGGTTCGTGAAGTGCGCGAGGCCAGCCATCGCGGAGTAAGATGGGGACGCGGAGGGCGTGGAGGTAGACGCAGGGAGCGAGGACGTGGCAGTCGAGTTTGTGTTCGCGATGGTGGCGCTCGGGCTGGAGTCGCTGCTGGCGCTGGCGCTAGTATTGGCACTGCTGGAACTACTTGAGCTACTGCTTATCCCGTTATCGCCCGCCGCCGATAGCGCCACGCGCGCGCGCTCCGCATGTGAGATGTACGTGCCCACGTCCGCGAGGAGCGCGAGGCGGTAGACGGTGCTCGCGAGGAGCGCCGCGCTCGATGCGTCCTCGAACGTCGAGCCCTCGTCCGCGTAGTTTGTGAACAGCCCGCTCGCCTGTTGCCGCGTGTACATGCCCTTGTGGATCTCGCCCACCCACGCCACGAGGTCGTTCGTCTGGCTCCGCATCGACCCTGCGTACGCCGAGTGCTGGATCGTACCGAGCACGCGCACCATCCCTGCCGCTGCCCACGCGTTGCCTAGACGGTAATATCGGTCAGTGCCAATTCCGGGCATAAAGCAGGGTGAAGAGGACAGCAACAGCCTAGGCATCTCGCAACGGCAACATGGCAAAAAAAGACATTTCACAACATTAGAGTGGAAGTGCGAGGATCAATAGTGATCATCGTTTCAGGGCGGACACGGCATTAGCTCGCTCTATCTCCGTGAACAGCAAGGCATCCAAAACCAAGTAAAAAGCCCTCCGAACACCACGCACGGCCGAGATCATGGACAAAAACCGCAGACATCCAAAACTAATGATAACATCGCACTCACCCGTCGACCAGTGCCCCGCATCCGTTTGGTTCCCCAACACAATATGCCGCCACAGACTCACGTTCCCATTGAACAGATACTGCCGATAGAGCTTCACCTGCGTGTACGCCTCCGTGAGCAGACTCGCGTTCCCTGCCGTCGCGCCGTAGTACGCGAGGAATGGCGGGACCATGTACACCGAGTCCGACCTGTAGAGTACGGTGAGTGAGCGAATGCATGGGTGAGTCGAGAGTCAGAAGAATTTGCGGCGGCGGTGCGCTGAGAGACGTCCAGGCGGGAAGGTATCCTGCAGCATCGCGCACCGGAAATCACAGTACGGGTGTATGCGTGTTAGGCATCAAGCAAATATCTCAAGGCCACACTGCAGTGGCGTTATAACATGAAGGCCCTGCCTTCAGCATCAGCGCATATACCCAGGCGACGACACGCCGCCCAAGCAACCCCACGGACAGTCCCCCAATCCCGAGAGCGGAACCGGGGGCGTCCGAGTCGCCAGCTCACACACGTAACTCGCGACGCACCAGACCAATGCGCGCAGTCCCATCCAACAACAAATAAGCAAAAAGCAAAAAGAAGGAAAGACGAGAAAAAAAATGCAAAAAAGGGGCATACACCGGCCGAAAACTCACCACAGCTGCACCTCCTCCACCCGATGCGAAATCGCGCCGTCCCCTGTGCGCGGCACGTCCTGCAACAAATACGCCAACTGGTCCCTCGCCGCCCCCGCATAGTCCAGCCCGTCCTCCGCCTGCTGGCCGGTAAGGTTCGCAAGGAGGACCGCAACGCCAATACTGGCCGGGTCGCCCGCGGCGCCGCCGGAGACGTACACCAGCGGCTGGGGTCCCGTCTTGTTCGAGTTCGACGCGGACCGATTCGCTATGACGTTGTGCGCTATGCTGAGCACTGGTGTTAGAGACGCTGGTGCGGGTGCCGAAGGGGAGAGGGAGGAAGCGTTGAAGACTGCGTAGCTGGGTGCATAATATTCGGTTAGGGCTTCGCACTCGGTGCCGAGTTCCCAGCTGGGGGGCGGGTGTCAGCGTTAGATAAGGAAGAGGTAGAACAAAGGAGAAGCGCTTGTTGTGCAATTGAGCGGTATGCGTGGTGCCTGAAGGCAAGGCTGCAATGCCGCCAGAGGATTGACGCTCGCGGAGAGTAAGCTGCGTCTCGTGGGCTCTGCCTTACAAGGCACTCAGCAAATTCACGAGAAAAACTAGGAGTGCAGTAGCGGCAGCAGAGGAAGTGAAGCTACGCAGCGGCGAACGTGATGGGCACGACGCGACGACACGCTCAACGTGAGTACCCTGTCGCAGAAGTAGCCCTGCAGAGAGACGTCGACCACAGCGCTATGGAGCTCCACCTCCTACGATCTCCCGTCGCGAACACCAGTTCTCCCATCTGCGGCAAGCGAGAACACACCAGCTCCACTGAGACAGAGGGATTCCGATTCCCGTCGACCTGATCAGTAGAGTGGGAAATCCTCTGGCAATATACAGTAGCACTCACGCCATCTCCACCGCATGCCCGCCACAGAACGTCCGCAGACGGTGCAGCAGTCACGGCTCGAGCGGAGTCGCAACAAAACAGATACTAATAGACTACCAAAACGATTTGCAAACAGAGTACATGAAAGCGAAATAGATGAAAGAACTCACGTTTGCTGCGCGTTTGCCTGGAGAACGGCGATAACGGCGTCGAGCTGGGTGCCGGTGAGGTTCTGCGCAGCAGCGCGCGCGGCGGCGAGGAACAGAACGGCGTGCGCGAGTACGCGCTTCATGGTGGCACAGAGAGGAGGCTACGAGAGGGAGGAGATATGGTTGCTGACAGCGCTGATAGACAAGACATGTCAGTGATTGGCAGACCGTGTCCGCCAAGGCCCAGTCACCCTCTGGTCGCGTCGCTGACGTGATCGTCCCCAGCGTCGGCGACGCGTCCCCGCCTGGTCACGACCACGACCACGACCACGACGGTGGTGCCCATGGATCTAATGGTAATTGGTAAACGATAATACACAGAAGGACTTGATGCTCGGCGACAGTAGTCAGGCGCGTCGACAGGCTCCAATTCCGCCTCAGTAAGTATGTACTATGTGAGTGAGTATTCAATAATAGTACTTCCGCTGAAATGCTCTGAAACCAACATGGCGGCTTTGCAGGTCACTTTCCCTGCATTGAAATGATCTCCATATTAATTGATCTACTGTGTCTCTGCACCTGAGTCTCTGGTGAGCCGATATTGTCCATCTTTCTCGTTGCCTATGTCTGCATGGTGTCTCACGTGCAGTAACGGCAATGCTCGTTGTATGCCAAACTTCTGCGTCGCAATCTGCTCCCCACTGGCAGTGGCGCTGTCGCCTGTGGCCCATTATCGTTGTACCCGTTCCTCGAATCCTCTCTCTAGCCGCATGTCGTGAACGGAGTCTGTCTGACTCCGAAAGCGTCTTGGACGTGCCGCCTTCCGCTGTATTGGTGGTTTGATCTTCGAAGAACTCGTTATGTTCTCATTTCCGCGCATGGTAATGACTTGTCCTCCCATGTTCGTCTGACGCATACTACTAATCGCTGGACTGCACTGCAGCAGAGCGGTGACACGAACGCAGGGATATTCCTCCGACCCGCCGGAGCTTCGCACCTTAAATTTGAGTGTTTCCGGTGTTTCTATTCCTCATATCTTGGTCGTTAACTTGCAGAAGCCCATATGTGGTGGATATGGTCGATGCCCTTCCGCATCTCGCATTGTGTACACGCTGCTTTCTCTCCGTGCGCGTTGCAGTCATGCGTTCTCGCTCATACTAAGCTGACTTCGAGACTCCGCTGCAGTTGTCTCAGCTGGTCTGAACTGACGCCGCATCGACTTCGATTTTCTCGTAGGCCACCTAGGATTCCCATATTGGAGTTGTGCGTGTCTGCGTGTCTGCTTGTGCTCTGCCAGGACCTCGGAAAATACGCCAAATAACCCTTATCCAGGAGAGGTCAAAATGTCTAAGCGCCGAAACCCAAAATTCGAGGTTTTTGTCCGTGAAATCGTGAGGGTCCAGCGGTTTTATGATAATATGTCTGGATTGGGCATATGGGTTCTGTGAACCGACTTTTTGTCCGGATCGATAGATAAGGCTTCGAAAATCTCAATTTTTGTCCGGACGGCCGGATAAGGCTCTAAGAAATCATATTGTATGCTGTACTACGCCAACTGCGAGAGGAAAGCTCTGAGAAACTAGCCGGTTGCATCACCTATCTCCTTGGTACCCCTGCGCCTCAACTTCTGGAGTTCCAGCACCGCGGAATTGAGAATCTTCAGATTTTGTAGCCAGCGGACGAACATGTCGGAGCTCTATATTAGAAGTCAGTGAACGAAAGCCGTAGGATAGGACTAAGTATTTGAAGGGTACAGTTGACGAGCAACTCAGAGCACGGGAAACGATCGCTAAGCGCGCAGGAAACGATCGCTAGGCGCTCAGCGCTGTCAAACGAGCGGCTCATGGTCGGACCGAGGTATAAGGGTTAGGGTTCAACCCCCCACGCTTGTCTGGACTGAGGCATAAGGCTTCGAGCAGAATTTGGTCCGATTTGTCTGGATTGGATAAGAGTTGAGCGTATTTTTCGGCCAAATTTGTCCGTGAAAGCATAAGGGTTGGTCAGGCTATTTTCCGAGGTCCTGCTCTGCCCCAGAGAAGTTCCGAGGCTTTCCTGCGCGGCATTTAGCTATTTGCTATCACAGCTGATTCTCTAGAAGGTATTAACCTAAGGTGACGCCTCGCTATGCTGCAGGGGCCCGGCAGTTCGATTGATACCTCCACCTGTCAGGCAGGGGGATGAATGATATTCGGAATTACCGCTTTCTACTGGTGGTCTTCTTCCCGCGATGGGTAACTTAACCTCGCATGCTCGTTTGCAGGCAGGCAGCCATCCTTTGCGGTTGCACGGAGGGCATCGGGCGTCTCTAATAGTTCTATCGACTTTGTTCATTTGTTCTTATTCTGGTGGAGCGGTGGCCTTCTATGACCTATTGACATAGAACTTTGAGCGTTTAGCCCGTCGTGGGACGACCATTCGATTTGTGCATATGACCAGCCCCAGACATCTGGCAACATGCACTTCTCTATATCGGCGTGCGAATATCCCAGTAGAGGTATCGAACTTTGTTGAGGTAGGGACACGGCATTGGTTGTGGTATTTGTGTTCACTTTTGTATAGATCAGAACTTTACAGTCCTCAAAGCTTTAACGCTGATGGCTGTGGTTCAGCCTCGAATGGAAGCATGAATCATTTGTCAACCCATTGGAGCCACTGGTTTTAAAAGTACATCATTGAATTGCTCCTTCACCTCTACCCCCACCCTCCCACCCCCAACTCGCAAGCCAAGCATGTCTTCGCCTACTGAAGAGCAGAAACCTGATACCAAGACCGACGTTCGTGTTCACTTAACAGGCGTATAGGGACTTAGACTAATTATGGCTCACGATACTTTCTTTGCTCATATACTATAGAACGTTGATAACCTCGGTACCCCGACCTACACTGACGCACAAATCGCAAAGGCATGGGAAACTTGTGCGAAAGGCCTGAACGAATACGATACAAAGAGGGTGGCGACCTGGAAAGAAGAAATTGATACATTACTTGTATTTGTGAGTAAATTGCACCAACTGCGGACCATAGCGATGACCACTCTGGCTTATCATGATGAGAGAGTGCGACTGACTACGAACCATCCAGGCGGGTCTCTTTGCTTCGGTACTAACCGCCTTCAACATCGAATCGTACCAATTACTACAATCAAACCCGAGCGCCGATGCTACTGTACTATTACTCGCCCAGATCTCCACGCAACTGAGTAGTTTTTCAGTCAGTGCCGGATTCGTCAACTCCACACAGCCTCCGTTGCCACCTACTGCCGTTGCGGGCTTGGAAGCACCATTGATCTCGGCGTCCTCTATCCGAATCAATTCGCTCTGGTTCTCCAGTTTAATCTGTAGCCTCTCTGCAGCATCTATGGGCATCCTGGTCAAACAGTGGTTGCATCAATATCTCAGTGATATGAGCGTCTCTCGCCGTGGTGTCATGCAGTTCCGGAGAGAGGGTCTGGCGGAGTGGCGCGTGGCCATTATCGTAATGGTGCTACCCATGTTGTTGCAGGCCGCGCTCTGGCTGTTCCTCGCTAACTTACTTGAACTCTTGTGGACATTACATCGCACTGTCGCAATTGTTGCTACGGGATTCGTAACCATCCTCGCCGCGCTTCAACTGACAAGCACAATCCTTCCAGCATTTGTATCGAAATGCCCTTACCGGTCTCCGCATGCTCTGGCATTCTACGCCCTCGTCGGGCTGTTCTACCCCTTCGTCGAGCAGTTCTACCCCTTCGTCGAGCAGTTCTACCCCTTCGTCGAGCAGTTCTACGCCTTCGTCTTTCACTTCACATCCCTGGATTTACCGAATATCATAAGGCACATCTTCGCTCTCGTCACTCCCGTCTCCTTCCTGATAAACCGCATGGGGATGGTGATCAGACAATTAATCCCAAGGACGATAGACTACAACTGGAGATTTAGGGACAATGCCACCATAGCTGAATCTGTCGCACGTAACATGCTCGACGTATCCATGCTCGCCGCGGCAGACCGCGCGTTTGAGGAAGACGAGTTCATCAAGAACGTTATCAGGCCCTGCATCCAGAGCATGCCCGATGTTCATTATGCCGAGCGTATTTTTTTCGACGTTGTAAAGCAATGCTCTCATGGTTCCTCTGATGGTTCCTTCACAGATGTAGTAGATCGCTCGGCAGACGCTCTCGCCGATATCGCTCTGGACATCGCAACGGACGAAGGCCTATCTAGGTTGTCTGTTGAACAATCATCGCAGTTCCTTAGTGTGTTGAACTATGCGCTTGGCAATACCACGCGGTCACAACATCTTCACCACGTAGCGGTCGCATTCCTCAATAATGCGGACGTGAAAATTCGCGACCTCGCATTCAATATAATTCATCCTATCAGGAATCATGTGGTGGTAAGCGATCGTGGTATGTATACCCCGTGTTCATAACATGCGCGATGAACTAAAGATCCACAGATCTGCAAGCCATTGTATCATATGGAGATGCACTGAAAGTTGATGATAATTTTGGAAGATTCAGATTTCTGCAGGTCATTGACCTATTGCTTCAGTGCACCTCTTCCGATCACGTCTCTGAAACCCATCTCAGCACCGCACAAACTGGTCTAATGCAGACTCTGCACAAGTTCTTCGAGAAGCCGGAAATGTTCATAGCTGAGCTATGCATGATGCTCAAAATTGGGTGGAAGTTCCAGAGGCTGATCATGCGTAACTCTGGATTCGGGGACGGCGGATTGAGAGAAGCGGTGACCGGGTTGTTCTCTCAGTACGAGACGGATGACAGATTTTCACGCCCGTCCGACAAGGACAGTTTGAAGGAACTGCTGGCTAAGCTCAGGGAGCCCGGAGAACGGAATGACACTCTCGATATGCACGCGCCACCAGGTCCAGGGTTGTTGGAACCCGATGTTGAAGGGTGTCCATCGTCTGAAGGCGCAGCGAGTAACGGAGAAGGACCGTCAAGGAGCACCAAGGACAGCGTTGAAGGAATGGGCTCCCCAAACTAGACATCGTCCTCACGGCCGTGAACCCTCTCTCACTTTGTGTCCCAGGTCACACTTCATCGATGTCCCCTGCTGGCAGGTCCCATGGATTTTTCATCTGGTTTTCTTCTCCCACCTTGTACGTGATTCCCTCATAGAATCGCTATCACGCCGTCTTCAACGCCCCACCATACCTTGCTATCACTTCCCATCTCCTCTTCGTTCGCACCCTTTCTGGGTCTAGACTTCCACTCCGACTCTGGTTTTCCGGTCTCAATCGATCCCGACTTCGCTCTCGACAATGGTCGTATACTCTTTTCTATGCACGTTCGCACTGCCGGCCCATCTGTGGACTTTACTGGTGCGACATTAGGCCTACTCCCCTCCACTCCTTGTAACTTCCTCCACTCGTTCATTGGACCTGCGCACGTTGCGATCCCGTTACTACCTCAAGGCTATTGGCCGGGAGATGGTTCGATAAATTTTCACGCGAATTTCAGGGCCCTCCTGCCCACAGAGCATCTGTTTCAGATCATGAAGCGTCGCCAGATATCCACCTCATCATGCCGTTTGTGCTCATTCGCAGTATGTGCTCTCGAAAGACTTCTCGCAGGATCTTGATCTCCCTGCAGGCGACCCAAGTGCGATGCCCCAAGAATTCTCGGGTAGATGCTACCCGCAGCGATGTGTCTGAGTTCATATTATTCTCTTGATGGTCCGTTCGCTACGTTGCTATCTCTCCGCAACATTTCGATCGACTCGTTCTGGGATAGAAGTGCACGCTCTCGCATTTTCAATTTCAAGGTTTGCGCGCTTGAACCGATGCTCCTTGGCGACACCCACGCGCAGGTAGGTGCTGTACCAGAATCCGTTCCGAAATCTAGATCGGACGCTGACGTGGATAACACATAGATACATGCCATGGACGTATATCTGCTCGTCAATGGCTCCGGCGCCGTCGTCATCATTGATCCACACCTACCTACTCGCATACTGACCGGGCTGCTGAGTGCGATACAAGCCGCTCAGCACATTCGAGACAACGCAGCGGGGCCAACGTACTCGATCGACATCCTGTTGCATCTGGTTCGGAAGGCTCGTGAACGGAATCTCTTTGCGCGTTCGACTGTGCTGAAGGAATTCGTCGAGGGGGCCGTCCCGTCGTAAGCTGCGCCAACCTGGCCATCTCGCCCTACTCTGAGCTGCAGAATGGATCACACCTGCTGGACGATAGACCTTTCGTCGGTGGTGAACAATACACGGGGGCGCCTCGCGCCTCCTACAACTGGATCTCTCTGCGGCGGGAATTAGTGAGCCTCGGAGCGGGAAGCGGAGGCGGAGGGTCATCATATGATGGGGATGAGCTGATGTGCTTCGGGGCCGACACTGGATCACGTCGCTGGCGGGAACAAGAAAATCACGCAAGCAGGAGCATAACACGCTGACGCGAACGGCGGAGAGATGCGGCGGGAATCTCTTCAAGGTTCCGCATCGGTGAGCCCACGTTTTGGCCTGCGACGGATGGAAAGTGCATGATGAAGGTCAAGTGGAGGTTTGCTAAGCGGACGTGACGGCTGGAAATAGGACTACAGCGACTTACCTATAGAATTAATTCTGGACACGGTTTGCTTTGGATATTATATATGTCTTCATTGGATCATTTTTTGGCTTACAAGTAGACTTGAAAGAGAACTTCTCCGTGACATTGGAGGCCTGTGATAGAACCGATTGAAGATTCGAAGGGGCGCGAAGAGGGTGACGTCAGCAAAAACACGACGCGTCACTCCCACGCGATCGTGACCTCGAGCTCGCCAACTCCGCCAGACGTCTGCACAAGGCTGCCACGGCATACGAGTCATGTCTTCCGGTAACGAAGAAGCAACGCCGAACGTCCCCGCAAAGGCAGAGGTTTGTTCTCGAGACATTCAACGTTACCTCACCTAATGTTGTCTCCAACTTCACTTAATCCGCGCACCCTGAAGTTGAATGCTGAGGGCTTTCCAAGCTTCAGTGAACAAGACATCGGTGAAGCATGGACAAAATGTGCCGCGTGTTTGGAACAACACGACCACCAGTCAGTACAGTCTTGGAAGGAAGAAATTGACACGCTGCTTGTATTTGTGAGTGCATCCTGCTATACCGGTATGGAGGGGAAGATCACTGCGGTATTGGTGTTCATGGTGGTCGCTGCCGTTCTACGACCATTTCTGACGGACAATCTCCCAGGCTGGCCTTTTCTCTGCGGTACTTACCGCGTTCAACGTCCAATCATACCAGTTGTTACAACCAAACCCGAGCCCCGATGCGACCATCGTGCTACTTGCACAGATATCTACCCAGCTGAGCAGCTTTTCGGTTAACGCAGGCTTTATCAACTCCACAGTTCCTCCCTTGGCTTCTGCTGCGATCTCTAGTGTACAGGCGCAACCGGTCTTATCGTCATCCGTGCGAATCAATGCACTCTGGTTCTCCAGCTTGATATGCAGCCTCTCTGCCGCGTCTATCGGGATCATGGTGAAACAATGGCTGAGTCGGTTTACAAATATGCTTGCAAATGCATCTCGACCTGCTGCGCGGACGAGGCAGTTGCGGAACGAAAGTATGAAGACTTGGCGCGTAGCCAATATCATCATGATACTGCCTATTCTGCTTCAGGGTTCGCTCGTGCTATTCCTCGCGGGGCTATTGGAGCTTCTGTGGACACTCAACGATACTGTCGCCACTGTTGCGACGGTTTTTGTGGCTTGCCTAGGCGTCTTTCAATTGTTCACGACCGTCCTACCTGCGTTTGTCCCCACTTGCCCATACCAGTCTCCTCAGGCTCTCGCCTTCTATATTTTTGTCATGCTGTTGAAAGCTCCAGCCCAAAAGTGGCGGACGTACTTGGGGTGGACGGGTCACCAGTTAGATGACTCTCAGCTTGTTCTGTATAACAAGAACTGGTGGGCATACACCTGGGCAGAGAGGGAGAGGGAGCTCGTAGATGAGTTCAGTGAGATGCTGGACGTGCGCATGCTCATCGCTGCAGATCTTGTCCTCGCTGACGACACCTTCTTGGAAACCGCCATCAGGCCCTGCCTGGGCAGCATGGAGCCTTCCGAAGCTGCGCAAAGCTTGGTCCATATTGTGGGCCATTGCACTCGGACACAGGTCTTCTCGTCGACAAGGATTCTGAAGTGGGATCGCCGAGTAGGCGTTTTCCTCAATCTTGTGGTCGATGTCATGTCTAGATTGGAAGATGGTGACTCTCTCGACGATGCCACGAAGACGTTGTTGCAATTCCTAGAGGAGGCCGTGTATCTGATCATCCATGATCGACCCACCTTGCAGCGACTCCACGATGTCATGGTCACCCTGCTGTCGAAGGACACCGTGGGGAACACTATTCACAGTCGTGCGTTCTCGGTGATAAAACGGATCAATCACCTTACTGGGCAGATTTCTGGCATTAAATTCACAGCGAACTACACTGGTGAGTGAATTCGAGCAGCGGATGGAGCGCAACAGAAGCTGAGATATCCCAGGTTTGCGAGCTATTGCTAGGTATATACGCTACCACCTCGACAATGAGCGGATTTCTCCGGATGCACTCGGTGTATTGCTGAGGTGTGCCAGTCGTCCCGGTTGCGTATTAGACGCTCACCTGCGCGCTGTGCATGCTGAACTGCTCCAAGCCATGCGAGATTGCTTCCAGTCGTGGGACCCAGTCCCGCTCGTGGATCATCCGAGACCCGCAATGCTTCGCGTAGGTTCATGTTTTGTCAAGCTGGCCCACCGCGTCGGCGAGTACGTGGATAGCGAGTTGATAGAAGAGCTGATCAAGATGTTCTCGAGGTACGAGGCGATGCCCGTTTTCACGGGCGAAGATAAGCGGGACCGGGCACAGACCGTTCCACTTCTGCGTGACTTGCAGACGTTGAAGAGCAATTTGGCTTCGAGTCAGGATCCGTCATCCGAGCAAGCAAATGTAAAGCCGTCGGGGCCCAGTCAAAGCTCTCCATCTTCGGAACGTCGTGAACCCCCAGGGGTTTCACTGTCCACTGTCTCAAATGGCGCTCTCGGGACACTCTCTTAGCGTTGAATGACCCTTACTCTCTCTCGATCGCATCCGGCATATGATCCATAACCTACTTATCCGAGACAGACAAGAACGTCGCAGAGGTTGGTTCCATTCGAAGGCCTCGGGCACAGCCGCGTCCTCGTCGGCGGGGGTGTCGTCATCCAACAGTGCGCGCATCTGTGCGGTTGTGTCTATCGCCGGCGTGCTCCTCGCTGGCGTACGTGCTCGCTTCTCATCACGACTGTGCTGGGTATGTACTGGAAGACGCTTTCTAGATGTTCATCGAGAAATGGACCCGTACATGAATGAACTACACAGCTGCTTTACATTGGCGCACCATGCTGCATTGACTACTTCCTCCACGAACCTTGTTTACGTACAAGCATTATTTGAATACCTACACGTATATACCATATTGTTCGAGTATTCTTTTCTGGTGTTGTTGCGTGCCGTTGTGTACTTGATAGCTCCCAGCTCAATCGTCAGCGTGCTATGAACAGACTGGCCGCGCGATGACGGTGGTGGAGGCGATGTGTTGTGATGGTGACGACATCCATAGTGGAGACCCCTCAGGATGATCGGCCGGTGAGTCTAAACTTGAACATACCGCGTTCGGTTGAACAGGGACAACCAGAATCCCAAGTCGCCAGTCCTAGGTCTATGTCCGCAGATCATGCCGTAGGTTCTCAGGAACACGATCGCCTTGTCCGGCGGATCAGGACGCTCACGTCTGTACTCCGGAATGTCAAGCCTTTTCTCGGCGCAACACAGAGCATTACAGGCCAGCAGTCAGCGCATGCGCAGCTATACCACCATATCGCCATCCTGCTCACCCGCGGTACCGATGCTGATAGCAAGGGCTCAGGGGTCATTGCTGTGAAGGGGAAATCTACAGCTCGAGGCACGTTGGTGGCCGTCAGCGAGGAGGACCGTGACGAGGATGCCGAAGACATGAATGTTGCAGCCAGCACACTGGGAACGACACAGAACTCCCGACCAGGAGAGAACTCATCGGAAGATTTGGATATAAACTGGATCCCTGCAAGCGGAAAGAAATTGTCCGATCTTGGTAGCTCCAAGTATGTTGCGACAGTTAATCCCCAGTTGATTTGATCTCATTGCTTTATAGCGACTTTGATCTCCGCGTCACATTGAAGGATCATATCAGCGATGTTATTGCAGCTCTTCAGGAGATACCTCATCGAAGTGATCCCTCTTATTCGACATGCGTCAAATCCTTCCGCCGTTTCGTCCTCAGGAGGACCTGTCAGATGATGCTCCGGCGTTTTCAGGCGAGACACATATTTTGGAGCGAGGATTTATTCGATCTTCTTGAATCGTGGACTCCTGAGGCCGGAGAGACCATCGATGAAAAGTTTGTGCCTGCTTCGCGTGTTGGCAAATACATCTTCACCCCCGATATACCACTACTCCGTCGAGGGGACCAGGACATGTACGCTATAACTATCGAAACGGCTAGTCCTTGGCTTAGGACTCTCGTCTCATACGTCCTCATTACTCTGGATGCTCTACAGTCCATTGCTGCCGCAATCAAGAGCAAGGATCGGAAGGAGAATGCACGGCTTTTGGACGAGCTGGTGGCACATAGTATCGGCCTCAACACACTCTTATCCGCGCATATATTTGATTCGCTTTTCGCAATACCTTCGCTCGTGGAACGTTTGCACAACAAAAGAGCCAGTAAGTTGTCAACCTTGCCCCTAGGCTTTCGTCGCGCCACTCATCCATCGGCTGAATCACCGAAGTTAGACCAGGCAGTGTATGAAGGTACGATAACATCCTCAGCCCGTATCGAGGCCTGTTCTGACGGCTCTGTAGAACTAGAGGAATTGGACCCTGATAACGTGGCCTTTCCTCTGCGATACATTCGGACGTTAGTAGCGTCCCATACAGCCGTCCGTTTCTTAACGTCTCGAAAGACTTTTCTCGGCAATCGACCACTGGATTTTGCCCTTATCCGCGTTTCGCGTCCTGATAAGGACATGGCACTGGCGAAGGAAGTGATGGATAATGATTTCCTGGAATCGGTCATGCAGCGCATCTTCCCTGCGGGCCAGGTTGCAACAGATGACGAGCAAGAGTCCGTTCTGGAGGTGCTTCGTGATACTATTCCCGATAAAATCAAGCCATTTCGTGGCTCGGTGCACTGTGAGGCGACCCTCATGGCTATCAAAGCTGCGGCCAATGCACCTGTTGCTACCCCTGGTATTGGCACTATTTTCTGTGTATGTCTTGATCATTCCGAAAAGTAGTGTGCATGGGCGCTGATTTGTTCTAGGACATCGATAATGTCATCGGTGTCGGTAAAAAATGCTGTTGGTGCTGTGACTGGCTAGGTAGACACCTGCCTGTGCTAGGGCAGGACCGTTTTAGCTTACCAGGTACCCATGGCAAAATCCTTCCCTGGTCTCCTCCACGATTTGGTATTCCGCCGACAACCCTAGCTTTACTGGAGCAAGCTCCGATGGAGCAGTTGCGCCTGGTGTTCGTGGCGAGGGGACGAGCTGCCAGATACGAAACAATTTTAGCATCACGTCTGTCATCTCCGGCATCTTCTATCTCTGGTGACGACGATGTCTCCTCTGAGTCTAAAAAAGAGAAAGGGACCATAATGAAAGCGGAGTCTAGATTTTACAGGAAACGAGGTAGTATTCGCTGACGTACAGCCACTTGCCCAAAGGTCATAAGAATGCCTTGATTTGCCTTGTGTTTCACATGTCGGGAAGTTTGGCCCAAGACGAGACTGTATCTTGTTCGTTACTATACTTATGCCCACAGTATCTGTCATGTACGAATAATCAGAATTACCTGCAGACACTTGTATGGAAATCAGGATAAATCGTGGTCTCGGAGCATCGCCGGGTAGCACATTTACCTGTTATCCATGTTAGTCTCGCAACCATGGTCCTTAACTCCAGGAACTAGGGCCTTGTAGGTTGTTTTCGTGCCGCTGTTGTCCAGCGTGGAAATTGAGGCGAGGGAATGGAATCGCGCCGATTTATGGGAAGCTGCGTTGCGTTGAGGCAGCTCAGCGCGAACCTGCATCAAGAGGCCGGCTCCGAGCAGCGAGGGTCCCAGTTTTCGGAGTCGGTTCAGAGCGTCGACTCTCCGCAGTCGGTGGAAAGACAAACAAAAGTACCTGACATGTCTCTCAGTGCAGCTTCTCCACCGCGGATTACAGTGAAGAGCACTGAAAATATCCTAAAGAACGCACTCGCGCATCATACGTTCCAAATTCATTCCACCTCTCATTGCTAGTTTTCGCGTTCTATCAGACTCTCTCCTCGCCGAACACTGGATGCTCACCGACTTCAGAGGAAACCTGGATGTTCCCAATTACGGACAGCCTCTCCCAGTTTTTGGAGCCGGATGTTCTGTGTACGTTCTGCAGTCGGTATCGAGGCTGACGCGACTTTTCCCACCGACATCTATATGGGATGCTTCGTCATGCGCGGCCGCCGCGCCTACTTCCCGCAGCACCAGACGCTCACAGGGCGATTCAACCCCGACACGAGAATCTAGGTGACCTGACACTTGTCGCGCTTTGCAGCGGGCTTCACTTGGGGGAGTTCGTCAGCGAGAACGCCACAAGCTGGAAGAAAAATTCTGCTAGACGATCCAGCGGGCAGGAGGCGGGGAGCCGTACGGTGACTGGAAGGAACACTTTTCCCTCTTGATTAGCGTGGAGATCCACCAGAACGGTCTTGCTCTGTATCCTCGATGCGAGCAACTACTACGACTAGTCCTAGGCGGAGTCCCAAGGTGACCGCACTCCAAAATATGCTTATAGACACCTCTGCACCGAAATCGGAGGCTGACCACTCCTGGTTCGCGCAGAGGATGAGCCGATTTGCATGGTGTAATATAGATTCATGCCGGGAAGATAATGAACACACAGATTACGGAAACCATAGCGGTAGTTGGGTGAAGATGACTTTGGCGCCTCGATGGATTTCTAGTTGGTCCCATCTTCCTAGAACAAAGGCACCGAAGGGAACACATACCTAGTACAAAGTACAACGCAAGGAGCATCAGAGACGGCGTCGTAAAGAGCGATAATTGAGAACTTGATATGAAACATAAAATAGGATAACATGGATCGAAAGGCACCGTTTACGTCCAGCACAGATGAGAAAGAGACATAGTCAACTCCAAGCGAACTCCAAGAATCAAATGAACACGGGCGCTCCAAGAAGCTTCGGTGCGCTCAGCTTTACTCAACTCGTCCCCTCATCTCGAAAGTGTTGGTTCCCCATTGTAGCAAGTTTGCCCGACTAAGAATGTATGAAATCCAGACTGATAAGTCTCACCCGGTCTGATTTTGCATCGTACCAGCATTTGTGCATCCAGATCCCAGTCGCGCAGCCATCCACCATCGGACGCTAATCGTGAAAAGGTGATCAATACGCATTGTGCATTGGGGGGCTCTCAAGCATGCCGAATTTTAGAAAAATTTCACATAGAACCAACATGAAGAACGCCGATGAATAAATATAGATCGATCGTATCCAACCAGAAGCTGCGCATATAACAGTTAACTCTGAGATCAGACGAGAGGAGTCGTTAATATAGGGGCAAGGAGCATCAGAGATGGCATCATCAAGAGACAGTCATTGAAAACTTGGAAGGATACTGTTAACGTCGCGCATGGAAACTGAGAGAGTTTTGCGAACGTAGACTACCGTGACGGTTGCCGAAAGAAGGCGGGGCCGCTTGACGCAGGACGGAAGATGCCGCACTGCGACCAGTGGTTGAAAACTACAGTACGCGTCAACTTTGTGTCACCTCATCTCGAAAGTCTTCATGCCAAACCTCCCCAGAATTAGAGAATAAGCAGGTATGAAATCCAGACTGAGATGCCTTCCCAAGCCTGGGCTGATTTCGCATTGTATGCAGTAATAGTGGTTGGCGTGCTCTTTGTCGTGTCACCAACGACCTCACAGTCGGACGCTAATCGTGGCAAGGTGCTAGCAAGGTCCTTAATATCTGCCGTGCCATCGGGCGACTCTCAAACCATAGAAACGTAGAACAGGTTCATTTGACTAGACTTAGCATGGAGAATACTGCCGAAGACACACAGTTGGCCGACGTTGACAGCGTCCCAACACAAGTGGCACCAATTACCCGCCTTGCGACAGAGATCCTGATGCTCATATTTACAGCGGGATATCTCAGTATCGACCGGGGCCACAAGGAATTCGTCGACTGCATTGGATCTGTATGCCGGCAGTGGAGGGTCATTGCGCTCAACACTTCTTTACTATGGACGCAACTAGAGATCGACTTCAATGGCATCATATCAGGGTGTCATCTCAATAACTGGTTATCCCGCTCTCGCCATCGCATGCTTGATCTCCGCTGCCAATCATCTTCGCTGGACACTCTGCATGGACCGCTCCAAACCGTAATGCACGTGCTCGCCCCCCACATCGGCCGCTGGCGGGTTATGCGTTTCTCCCTGAGCGGTATTAATGAGATGTGGGCCGCTCTATCGGGTTTGCCATCACAAGTGCCATCCTTAGAGGTGTTGGGCGTAGGTGTGAGCAACTATTCTCCCCTGTTCGAAGAGGCCTACAATTGGAACATTCGTGCCCCGAGACTACGCCGATTGGTCTTCTACGGTATTCCGTGCTTTCCATTCGGTTTCTCGTTCCACCAGCATTTTCCAGCATTGACAAGAGTCCATCTGAGAGGATTAACCGTGTGTAGGTTATTGGGACCGGGTCGTCATGAGCCCTTGGGCGTGCTGAAGGCCCTAGCTACCCTGCATCACTTGGAATATCTCTGCATCGCCAGTGCGGGAATAGACCTCAGCTGGCGCAACTACAGGATCCCACCGCGTTCTGAACGAGCAATCCTACCGGCATTGAAGAGGTTCCAATTTCAAGCTCTGCAGTTCGACTGTATTGTTGCATTCATGAACTCCATGGAGGCTCCGCTATTGGTGTCCATCTTGTTCACCAGTCCTAACCCGTATCGTAATGATGGGATTCGGTTTGGCAGCATCTGCCCCGTCAAGCGCAACCATTATCGCCACTTTCCCGTACTTCAGAGGCTCACGGTGTATTGCAACAACAGTTACGTAGTGGACGACCCGTACTTGATGCACTTTATTGGCATCTTCAAGTTCAAAAAGGTGTCGTTTGTGGAATCTGGTAAAAAGATGTGGAGGCTTATTCAGCTCGCTGGTTGCAAAGAGGCCGGGGTGGCGATGAAATCTTCTCGGCTGATTGGTGTGGAGATTCACTCTGAAAATCTTCCTGTTCCTGTCGCTGGGCTCCGTCAACTTGTCGTCGGGCGTCGTCATTCGAGCAACACCAACTCTTCCCAGTCGCAGCCGGCTACGAATAAGGGCGGCCAGCGGTTTACTCCGCTCGAGGAAATTCATGTCTGCACATCTACGCCTTTAGCAGAGGTAGATCGCACGTGGTTCACAAAGAGGATGGACATGGAACAGTTCTCATGGTCTGATTCTCGTGCGTGCGTGGCGCAGGGGAAGCATTTTAACGATCGTCTTGGCTGGCTGAGGATGACTTTTGCACCTGCATGAGTGAGTTCTATCGGCCTGCCGAATTCTTGTGTGATTATTGTATGCGAAATTTACCCTATGATCGATGTACAGGTTACACTACATCTGCTGTACGCAGCAAGACTAGCCATTTACTACTCCGAGACGGAGGCTATGTTGTGAAATCTGCCTCAGCGGCATTGCTGGTACGAACACTTTAAACATTCATACATCGCCGGATTTGTTGGATACAATTGTCTTAAGTATTCAGGGTATAGAGGAGACTTGATATCAAGAGGGCGTCGTGTTGTCACAATCACGACGTGTCATGCATACGATACGGATAACATCTCCTTATCCCTCCGTGAACTCAGTTGACAATGAACGCATCCGTGTCTTGATGATACAGCTGGCGAACTCATGACCTGAAACTTCTCTGGGCACACCGCGATGTCAAGTTCACATGTCCTTTCTGAGCTTGTGCTTGAACTTGGCATCTGCGAATGTGAACGGGGTGGTTTCGCGTGCCGTAATAATCGACAGGGTTTTGGAAATGACTACCTTCTGCTATCATGCAGTGAACACCCGAATTTGTGCGTTTCTTCCCTGGTTCGCTTTCCGAGTAGTGGCATTTGACTCTAGACAGATGGCTGAACGAACGTTGAACGTTCTCTCATCGACGTACACTTTAGTGTTGTGGAGGTCTTTCCCATTCATGGCGCCTTTCCCGGCACATTTGCTTGATTCGCCTGATGCGTACCAAATCTCGATATGACTGCACATTCCTTCGCTTCCCATTTAGACCTCCAAGGGCGAAGACCAGAGATTATTCACACAAGGCTGCCAAAACAATACTTCGGACTATCAATAACGTTTCCAATTTTGAGATAAGCGCGTACGTCCCTCTCTGCCTACAGTATGGAAGGACCTGCAGCATTTCAACGAGATGCGTCGTCGGTACGCCATAAACGCCACGGCGGCTGTGCCTTTTGCGTGTTCTGACTTCTCATAGATAAAGTCCAGACAACGACTCATCGCGATCGGCCGGAGACGCAGGAGCGATAAGCACAATTTGAACGTCCCAGACGGCCTCATCGCGTCTCGGGGAAGCAGCAGATGCACCTCGATGCTGTCCGATTGCCAGCAGTTGATATCCTCATCGTCACGGCGTGAAGTTCTGGACGGATGCAGTTTGGAGCTCCTGGCTTATGCGATCGGCGGTGGTGAAGACGGTGGGTAGGCAGTGATCATTGGTGGTGAGATGAGCCCATGCTGCCCATCTTGCAGTATCTACCAGCATATGCAGGTCGATGGTCCAAAGCAGCTCCTTGACACCACGTCCCGCCCGTCGGCATCGGAGAAGGCTCACCGGGTGAGATTCGAATGCGGTCGAGATGACGCGGGCACGTCGGTTCGAACAAGTCTGGTGCTGCGTGTTCATGATCACCGGTCTCGCCCTGATGGTGAAGCGGACGGGTGCGAGACGTACGAGGGTGGTCGTGATCCACGAGCCTGTTTTTCGGTACGTGTACTACGTACTACTGGGCTGGCGTCGGCCAAGGCACCAAATTGCAGCATTGTCCTGCTCTTCAGATTGTATCTGCTTAGAGAACCGGAGAGGGCGAGCCCGGGTCCGTAACGTTCGAACGTACACGCCAAAGTGGGCTTGCTGGACACGACAGACCTGGCGTGTGCATTCATGGCTGCACGGTCTAGTCGTACGATCCGCACAAGGGCCGAACGGCCGCGCTGTCGCAACGCAACAACTTCAGATCTTGTATTTGTACATGCCGGGCTGCAAATCCAGTCCTTCTGCTGTGTTCGAGCGAACCGTCTCCAGCACGGACTCGCGCGCCGTGCGTCCTTGACACCCTGGAGTGCGCGAATCCAGAGCAGCAACCCGGGCTGCGCGCTGGATCTCAGATGTGCTGCTCTCCCATGGCGACCTTAGGGTTACGGGAGCGGGAGCGGGAAGGGGGTGCCCATCGGTGCCCTCAGAAGCAGCGCATCTTGGATGAGCATGTACGTCTCGGCGGTTTGGGGGGTTTCGAAAGGGAGACGCTAGCGAGGAGGGCGGGAGCAAGAATCAGGAAGTACAGGTCGCAAAAGCTCAAGAGGAGTTCGAGGCCAGACATGCGAGGGCGGAAGCACTCGCAAGCGGCCAGATGCGTTTCGGCGGGCTGATTAGGAGTTTTTCTTTCGCTCCTTTCCAGGATGTGTGGGCGGATGCGCTCGGGAACGGTGCATTGCGTGTTTTGTCTGGGATTTATTGGGGAACCTCGCGGGCGAGTCCTCCGCCTTTGTCACGCATCCGGTCGGACGGTGGGAACGGGAATCGCTGCACAGAGTAGAGCTCGAATCCGCCGGCAGGGGCGGATGCTCTCAGATCGCGGCACAGTCCGCCTTTCGACGTGCGCGCGCGTCGGTCTCGGCGGGCTGATTAGGAGTTTCGCCAACTCGTCCCTTCCGGAATTCCACAGTGCATAGCGTTAGGCAGCAAAGAACGCAAGTCCACCGGGTCCATCGGCGGGAACGACATGTGAGGAGTTCGCCCTTGAACGTTCCAGGGGCGGGTGCGCTCAGAAGCGGGCAGTCCGTCTCGGCCGTTCTGGGGTAGAATATGTCCAGTCTCCGGCGGAACGAGTGCGCTGTCTGCCACTTTACTTTGCTGGATGGGCGGGGCGGTGGGTCCCGGATGCTGCTTTGCGAGGATTGGCGTGGGGACGGGGAGGGTTGGGAGGAAGGTGGTGATGGGTAAGAAGATGGCAAGTCCGCCGGCGGGAAGGGACGCTCTCGGAAGCTAGCGGCGTATCAGTCCGTCGGTCCAGGACTTTTGGTGGGGAAAGTCCGGGCCTCGCGGCAGAAAGGGAGGGCGCTCGAGCTTCAAGCTTCAAGGCTGAGTGCGCTAGGAAGGGGTGCGATTATGTTGTGGTCCTTCGGTGCGCGCGCGCGTCGGGCTCGGCGGGTTGAGGCTTTGGAAGGAAGGGGAAGCTCGAGTTTCGAACGGGGGCGTTGGCGGAAAGGAGGGCTCGGGGAAAGAGGTATGGGGGGGAGCACGTCGGTCGATGAGGGATCTGGATGGGATTCCTGGGGGGGGGATGAGGATCATGTCAGGAGGAAGGAACGCGGCGCGTTGGGTACGGGACCAGTTGCGAGAGCGCGTTTATCGGCGGGAAAGGGGTGCGCGCCCGCGCCGTGGTGCCGTCCATCCGTGCATGCGTGCATGTCTGGGGAGAGTTGGAGGGCGAAACGCCCGTCGGACACGTTACTTGGAGACGCGAATCATTCTGCGGGAACGTGTTGTGAGTTGGAGCCTCACTGCGTCGACCGGCACAGAGACCGACGGGAGGCGCTTTGAGGTTTCAGAAGTTTTCCAAGGGCCAATGAAGGACTTGCTCTCGGAAGCGCGGTCCGTGGCAGGGTTGGACGGCGGAACGCCAGTCGGGCGTTGAGCGAGAGGAGCTTCGACGGCCGCGCGGGGGTTGGTGCTTCGAATCAGAGCTTCGCCAGGGCCCAGTGAACGACGCACTCGGTGCGATCTTGCCATTCTGTTCGCAGAAACGAAGGGAAGGGGGGTGCGCGCGAGTGCCCTTCTCAGAAGCCGCGCACGATGGCGCAGTCTGTGCGCGCGCATGAGAATTGCTTGACGGTTTGGTGAGGGTTCTGCGAAACACCAGATGGCTGAGCTACCGCCAGCCCGGAGACGAGGTCGGCAGCAGCCATCGCGTCGCGGGAGTGGAGCTTGGAAGAAGTCCTAGTCGACAGTTCGTCGCAACCAGGCGCTCAAGTTTTCAGGGCCAATCAGGAGGCGCGGAATGCAGGCGAGCTTCGAAGCTTCAGAACTACTTCGCTCCGTGTGATCATCCTATTCGTTCCTGTTCGCGTTCACGTGCAGTTTGGTCGCACGTCCTGCATATCCGTGCACAATGCCCTTGCATGTTTCTCTCCTTCATCGCCACGCCCTGTGGTCCGTGATCGCGTGATCTGAGCCGCGAAACTGCTGTGGGGAGGACCGCCACCTGTGCTGATCTGACAGATGCGATCACAGAAACACCAGATCGCCAGTTAATCATGCAGGAACCCGAACGAGAGTGATCGCATCCCGCGCGGGTGAAACGAATGTTACCAGGGCTGGTGTGAGCTCGTCGGATGTTCACCGACGGAGGCGCGTCGAAGAGGAAAGGGGATGAAGAACTGCTAGGGCGGACGCGTCGAAGGTGTCGCTGTTGGTGGCGGGGCGGAGGCGGATCGTGAGTCGGGGGTAGATCGGAGGGAGAGCGCGAACGGAGCGGGGTCGAGATCTGGATCGTGCGGATGGATGGGACGGTGACGTCACGGACGCGAAGCTGGGAGTGGGCTTGGCGGACGCGGTCTCATCAGCATCCGCTTCAAGTGCCGCGCCCCTGCCCAGCGCCAGCCACCGTATTTCATCCCTCTCAGATGCGCCGTCCCTGCCCATAGATCTATCTCCTTGCCACCACGATGCGCGTACTCGCCCACGCCGTCCCGTTCTTCGCCGCCGCGTGCGCTGCCGCCCAGAGCCTCACCGGCGCCCAGCTCGATGCCGTTATCGCCGTCCTCGAGACAAAAGCCCAGCAGACGTGAGTGTCGAGCTTTCTCTATGCCCCTTTTGCCGTGCGTTTGCTGCGCTCGAGCGGTAGCTGCAGCGTCGACCACGGACGTTCGTTCTCTGGCTGGAGATGGCGTGAGTGCTACTGTACATCACAGCAGAAATTCCCACTAGCTACTCAGGCCGACGCGAACAGAATCCCCCTGTCTCAGTCCGAGTTGGTGTTCTCGCTCGCCAGAAGATGACAGTATTCACAATGGGAGCAAGCTCTATTGCACTCGGGTCCGTGGCTCTCTGCGGCAGATCCTGCCCCTGACCATGCCACGTCCCGCCCGCCAGTTTCTCCACAGCGTTCTCATTTTGCACTTCTCCCGCCCCTTCCCAACCGAACGCTAACACCCCCACCCCCGCAGCTGGGAGCTCGGCACCGAATGCGAAGCCCTCACCGAATACTACGCGCCCTCCTACTCCATATTCTCCGCCGCCTCCATCCCGCCCGCCTCCCCACCCCCCTCCGCGCTCTCGCCCGTGTTCAGCATCGCAAACTCCGTCGTCGCCAGCCGCGGGACCACGCCGGGCCCGCAGCCGCTCGTGTACGTCCAGGGCGGCGCCGCGGGCGACCCCGCGAGCCTCGGCGTCGCCGTCCTCCTCGCGAACCTCACCGGCCGTGGCGCGCTGGACGGCCTCGACTACGCCGGCGCCGCGCTGGACCAGCTGGCGTATCTGCTCGGGAGCGTCCCGCGCACGCCGGACGGCGCGATCTCGCACCGCGTGGAGCAGGTGCAGCTGTGGTGAGTGTGTTTCGGTGCTCGTCGCGGTGCGGGCTCGGGGACGCGTGCATCCCTGGGGATAGCGCTGATCGTCCCGCCTGGACCGCCTCTCGGCGCGCGCCGCCGCATATAAGTGCTTCCTACGCTCGACTCACGCATTCGCGCGGTGCAGGTCCGACTCGGTGTACATGGTCCCGCCGTTCCTCGCGTACTACGGCGCGACGGCGCGGAACGCGACCCTGCTCATCGAGGCGTACACCCAGATCAAGCTCTACCGGCAGTACCTCTTCGACCCCGCCGCGAGCCTCTGGCGGCACATCGTCCTCGGGTCCGGCACCGACGCCGGGCACTGGTCCACAGGTTCGTCCCCCCCCCCTTCCTCCTCCTCTCAACTCACTCATCCCATCCGCTCAACTCACTTACCCCCCCCCCCGCGCTCACCGCTCACTAGGGAACGCATGGGCCGCGGCGGGGATCGTGCGCGTGCTGGGCACGATCCAGCACTCGCCGTTCGCGGGCGCGCTGCAGGCCGAAGCGGCGGACCTCGCGGCGTGGGCGCGCGAGATCCACGCGGGGATGTACGCGCGCCAGCGCGCGAGCGGGCTCTTTGGGAACTACGCGGACGACCCCGGTGCGTTCGAGGACGCGGCGGGCGCGGCGCTGCTCGCGAGCACGGTGTACCGCCTCGCGGTGCTCAGCGGTGCGGGCGCGGCGGAGGTGGCGGGTGCGGAGCGCGCGCGGGGGGCGCTGGCTGCTGCTGCGCATTTCACGGGTGGGGGGGCGCTGACGCCGGTGGTGGACCCGTATGATTGGGCGCGGGCGGCGGATGCGGGGCAGGTCTCGCCGGAGGGGCAGGCGTTTGTGGTGGAGATGCAGGCGGCGTGGCGCGATTGGGTGGGCGCGGGCTCGCCGGGGGCGTGAGGCGAGAAGGGCGGTGGGCGGGCTGGCGGGGTTGTATGAGCGATTAGGATCTGGGGTTGGATGTTGTTGGAGAGTTGCTTTGGGTGGATCTGTTGGGATTGTTATACTGTATTTTTCGGCTAGTTTCGTCGCTCGTTATTTATGAGAGTCCGCTCGCGTTCGGTGTGCGCGCGTGAGCGCGTGAGACGTGGTTGTCTGCGGCGGTGACGTGACCCGTTATCTTGGCAATCGGCGTGCGCCTCTGCGGTATATATGATCGCCTCCCAAGTTTGTTGCGATCGGGGGCTGACCGTGGTGTTGCCACGGCGCGGGGGAGGAGCCGACCGTTCAGATAGGTATGCAATCTTGTGAGAATCTTTCCGAGCGCGGTATACGCGGCTGTCCGCCGGTATTCGGCTGCAACGGTGCAGAGCTGCTCGCACTTATGCGCGGCGATCCACGAGCCGGCGGAGGGGCACCTTAAGGTCACGCCGGCGGATCTCCACAGCGACCAGGCGGGGGGAGTGTCCCGGCTCAATCTCCGCCGGGCTTGCGAGGTGGATGACGCATACGCATCCCCGGCGTCAGATCCTCGTATCTGCCACCGATGTCGACGAACTCCAACCCGTCTGAAATCACGTCTGGCAAGATGCGGCAGAGGTGCTGATTCACCTGGACGAACGTCGAGGCGGCCGCGCCACACCACCGTGAGCGTCCCGAGTTGCGGGACTGGTGGTCGCGGTGGTCGCGCGCGTGACTGCGGGGGCCTTGGAACGTGATGATGAACGTGCGCAAGAGGGGACGGGTGAACGACATGGACGCTAACTGCGGAGCCGCTATGGCCTCCACGACTGCAGTAGTTTCGTCCAGCGGCACGCTTGCGAACTCGATCTTCTCTAGTGCCTGCAAGATTGGTCGATCGGAATCTGGTAAGAACATGTAGGTGCCGGACACACCGGATGGAGCGGAGATGCAGAGATACTTGAGGTGCGGCAGGAGAGATAAGGCCTTCCTCAGGGCTCGTAGGACGGTAATCGCTCCTCAACAATCGAGTTGCTGCTGCCCCCCTCAGACAGATACTCTCCAACATGAGGGACATGATGGTGGAAGGAGAACTCAAAAGGGAGGCAAGAGAAGTTTTCGAGGGTCAACGTTTCAACTTGCACAGTCTTGGAGCCGTCAGACCAAGATTGCAGCTCTTGATCGCGTCTGTTTGAAAGGTCCTCGATGTCGGCTGCAGTGTTCCAAGAATGCGGCATGGGACCGCCAGTCGGATATAGCTGCCTGCATTCCTGTATATATAGGCGTCCCGAAATTGATCGATCTCCAGCGACTAGTGTGGGCGACGAGAGCGATCATGGCAGCACGAATCGTGCTCTCTTCAGAATCATGCGAAAACAGGTCGACGTCAAGCATATGGTGGCGAGAGCGGGATAGCCAGGCGTCGAGAGAATCCAGCGATATACCATTTCTTCAAGCCTAACACCAGCTGCGTCCACAGGAATGAGATGTCCAGCTTGATCGTCCGTCACTGCCGACTGCCGCATATAGATGAGATATCTATCGTCGACGAAACCCTTACGGGTCTCATTGAGAGTGAGATATCCAAGCACGAAGATGAGCCTCAGGATCTCCGGGCTAACGCGGGTGATAGGTGCCCCGCGTGCACTGGCATCCTCTGGGAGATGATCGATGACGACGATCGGCGTATCTCCGCTGGGGTTCTTCACGGTGATTTGTCGCAATCTGTAGTCCGAGGAGCTCAGGAGTCCGAGGAGATGACCTGGCACGTTCCTCAGAACGTGCGTTATACCCGGTTCGGTTTGTCCTTTTTCACCCGTATCTACTCAACACCTCGGCGCTATCGCTAGCCGTAGCCGGCGAGGCTGATCGTCGTATATACCTTACCGTTGGTCGTCGGATGCCCCAGAGACTCACTGTCCTGGTGCATCCACGTACGTCTCCCTTTTCCTATTTACATGTACCATTACTTACAGCTGTTGCAGTGACCTCCGTGTCACTGCAAGGTATGAATATAATAGAGACTCACTGTCCTGGTGCATCCACTGACCTCCGTGTCACTGCAAGGACACTCTCCGGTCTGTCTGCCCTCCAGCCGTACCCGCTGCGCTCAGTCGGCTTTGCCGTTCCGACCTGACTTGGTCGCCCCGTTGCTTCTCGCACTCTGATAGGTTATGAGCCCCGCCGTTATCGGCTGAGGAGTCTTCCTACGTCTCGTGCGCGCCCCTGGATTTTTATGGTGAAGCTTGTCTTCCATTACCAACAGACCGTTACCGTCGAACGTTGTTTTTATTCATTCACTTCTCGTCGGCTGCTACAACAACAAGGTCGTGAAGTATCTGACCTACGTGATCTCGTTCCGTATCCCGCTCCCTTACCGTTTGCGCACCTCTCACGCATCAACGTCCCATTGCCGTCATCACCTTCTTTGTCACCATCGAACTCTCGCACACCATCTCCGCATCCTGTCATACCTGTCCCTCCCCATCTACCTTCTGTCATGGGCACCACCGTTGCCAAGGAATTTTCCGATGTCCCAAAGCTTGCCGCTGATGGGTCTAACTATCGGATTTGGTTGGGTCGTGTCAAGCGTGCTGCCGGTGGTTGTGATGCTGAAGCTCTTCTTGATCGTGCTGCTGACCCGGCATCTGATGCGGAGCTGAAGCTAAATAAGCAGATGCTCAATGCAATAACCGGAAAGTTTCATGACTCACTTTTCAAGAAGTACCTCAATGTAGAGAAGGTACACGAAATCATGGCATCAGCAAAACCCCACTTTTACTTATTTCACTTTTTCGTGGGCTTATTGGTCTTATTTCAGGCCAAAAGACCGCCAAGAAAACATTTCAGAACAATAAGGGCTACTTTAATGTAATGTAGCTTAATTTCCTGAATCATCTTTTCGACTTGAACCAACACAAGTCCTCAAGATCGCACTCAAGACCCGATGGTCAGAACTTAAAGTGTGTCTGGATTTCAGGGGTCAAGAACATCAATTGTATAAGACTGAAAAGCCTATATTGTCAGACCGAGCTTCAGTCCAACAACGGCAACAGATCTGCAGGACTATCATATAAGGCAGAGCTTCAGTCAAACAAGTCAAAAAGATGTGCAAAATCAGGTAGTGTCAACCATTCGAGCGATCAATGAGGACGACAGCGCCACTGAGGGTAAGGAGTCGGGGGAGTTAATGAGGGGTGGAGCGGGTGACGAGGACGGGGAGGGGGAGGGGGCGGGCATGTCTGAGGTCGGCGGCGCTGCCACGGGAGTGAACGTGAGTGACGCGGCAGGCATGGACGTCGGCGCTGCAGCAGGGGTGGAGGTAACTGCACCAGAGCCGGAGCCAGGCCCGAGGGTAGATGCATTCTGGAAGATATCGTTCTGTGCGCCGGTGCCAAAGTTGGACGTCGAGTCGTTATCGCGTTGGCTAGTGAAGGCGCTGCGACCATCGTAGTCATCGCTCCGCAGCGACTTCCGTTCGTCGTATTCATTGTACATATCGGCACGCTGGAACGGAGATGTATTGACAACCAGAGGGAGAACCTGACTTGATTGGCTGAACGGGTTATTGTAACCGCCTTCTTCGTAGGATGATGTATCCGCGCCTGGCGTAGCGTACGGTGCATAAGGGTCACCAAATCTTCGTGGATTGAGGCCGGCCTCAGCCTCAGTGTCACGCAACCTGTTGCGTTTGAGCTCTTCAATATCCCTGGAACGAGGATCGTCCTCGGGGGAGTGGAACGCGATTTGCGACAGGAACACCTACACATCTCCGTTAACGATCAGAAATTTCACCCGAGCTGAAGGGAACACACCTTATGAAGACCAAGGACGATGTCTATCACCTGTAGCCCTAGAACCGTTCTCGCCTGCTCGACCATTTCTCGAGGATCACCTTCGACCACGCACAACGAAGATATCTGGGCCTTGTACCTCCGCACAAACTCGTCCGGTAGCATAGTCACCTCGAACACGTTCACCGATCTCCATGCGATCTCTGCCAGTCCCAAGCTCCTGACTTGGCCCTTGACCGACTGACCTTCCAGCTGGTTTGGCAGCTGTGAGTCGTTGGGGTTAATGCAGAACACATACCACGATTGGGTTTCCTCGAGGGTCTCGAATAACGTATCCAGCGCGGTGCGGAACTCGCCCGCAACGCACGGTGCACCACCGCTACCCATAGTACCTAGGGGCTCCTCGTCCTCCCTTTCCTTTTCGTCAAGGTCACATTCCTTCAACGTCGGCATCCGCTTAATCGTGTTTTTCCTGCGCATCGACGGCGCGCGCATTGGCTTAACCGGTTGCTGCGCTGCGACGATGGTATCCTCGTTTCGAGGATGGGCCTGAGTAGCAATGGCCTTCGCGGAGTACAGTCCCCGGACGAAAGGGTTGATGGAACCTGAGCCATCAGCTGAAGGAGTGTCGGTTGTGCTCGCAGATGCACCGCGCAGAAGAGAGACGAAATCAGGATCTAGGGCATCCAAATCCCTATCGAGGAATTCGTGTGACGAGTACGTGACGGGGCCGCTGAAATGATTGATAGTGAACATAGGGAAACCTAGAGCAATCCATCGTGCCCATCTTGAAGGACGTGTGATTGCCCCACCGCTTCGCGAACGACTCGGCCACGGTGTGGTCCGTCTTCCTCGGCTGGCGCCTCGCCTGGTCATCCATGATATGAATAAGACCACCAGGCTTGTGCTGCAGCAGGCGCAGACACTCCGAGTTGTCAAAGTACGGCACCTGAGGAACGAAGCAGGAGATGCCCTCTGTTGTGTACTCGCTGACATGACGCTCGAAGAGTTTCTTCTGCTTGAAGTTCTGCAACCGCTCGTTGGCGTAATTGACGCAAAACTGATCCAGGAAGTTCGGCCGGCTAGTCATGTCCTGGGGGCCGGACAAGTCAAATAGTCCAATGAACATATTGAAGTCATCGCGGCAAAGGCATTGGGTTGATATGCTCATTCAACCATGCAAATAGGAGGGAGTACAGGGACTTTGCGAGTTCATCTCGGTTATCCGAGGCACCGTCGGGATCCAGGAAGACCGTACACAATTCCTTTTTCAACATCTTCGTCCTGTATGATAGCGCCGCTTCCAGCGCTGCCGGCTGCACGCCCAAGAAATCTGCGACGATATCGAGGACATCCGTGTTACGCACGACAGCGGCATCTTCGTTCCGGGAGCGATCCATGGAACTCAAGGTTACCGAGATGGAGGATGGCGGCAACCAACTGGCACGTCTGCGCGACATGTCGTTTCGAGAATCCCACATTCTTCAACGCCATCTTCAACTGATCAAACCGCACGGCGTCCTCGTCCCGGCCACCATGGGCATGCGATCCCACAGCGGTGCGCTGTCCGAGATAGCGATACTTTGTCTTCTCTGAGAGGTGCAAGTGCTGCCGCTCCTCCAGAGAAGCACCGGCAATGAGGTGGTAGAAGATATGAAAATTCCGCTCTCCAGAAGGGGCCCCAGCGATGCGGCTGCACTCGAGGTACTAATCGAGAGTCTTGATGCCACAGAGCCTACCACGTTCCGAAACTCTCCAGGACAAACTCGGCCGCGGGCACCTGGTTTGCCAGCTTTGAACCCTTCTTCTAGAGTGTGAGAACGCTGAGCTGGTCTTGATGGCGAGTCTGCGGTTCTCCAACTTGCCGCTGCCTGTCGATGCTGCAAATCGGTCAGTAAGCCGGTCACGAACAAATCGAGCAGGAATAGCTACCCATCCTGCAAGAGCACCAACGGCTCTATGCACATGACAACGTCGACCGTGGTGTGCTCCTGCTCAACTCCGCACGCGCGTTTGCACATCCAACATGAGCACCTTGTAATTCGGCGTGGTGTTGAGCTCCAACAGCATCTTGGGAAACTGCGCCGAGATCGGTGTCTCATCTTTCCGCGGTCGGACATGTCGTCGGGGCCATGACGAGCGAGCTCCCGCTGGGCGAGAGCCCAGACGGCTTGCGGGAGAGCGAGTGGGGCGACAGCAAGAGCGCGGGGGACGCGGGGCGGCTGAGGAACGTGTTCATCATAGGCGGGATGGGCAAGATGTTGGACAGTGTACAAACAAAGAATACTCAGAAGTTTACACACTCACAGCAAAGAGCTTTACATGCGCCCACCCATGAATACCCAGGTTTACACACATGAGCTCTTGCGTGGCATGCCCGCCGGGTGGATTGCTTTGCACGTTAGAGGCGTAGTCAAACAGCGAATACACCGGGTGTACGTGACGAAGCGTTGCTATTCTGCCTCGAGCGGATAGTCTTGAAGGGTCTATGACAGTATCAGTTAGACAAGAAAAGGGAAACAACAGATGCGAGTGCAGATGCTTACCCATTTGACAGACCTTTGACCTCCATCTTGGACGACACGCGACACAAATGACGAAGGCAAAATACTGGGCGCAAGGACAGGGAACACGGCTCGGAGCGTGTCATCCGAACGCCATATGTCGCATAGAGACTTCACCGCCCGATGGGGACACGCAAAGTGGAAGCCGTAGATGTCACGACGGAGTGCGCGAAGACATACATTATATCGACTGTCTGGGTGCAGCCCGAGCACAGGAGGGGCGGCTTTGCAACAGGCACTTAGAAGAAGAGATTGCATTTGTCCGTTATGTTCGCGGGCGTTTCGAAATTCGAGCAGAAACCCTTGTATTCAACATGATCTACCTACGCCTCATCACCTGCCAGAAACATTAGACTACATGCACTTTGAAGCACCTGACAGGAAGAGACTCACATGTTGGAAAACCGGCCTGACCCTTGCGACGATCCTTCGGCCTTTTCAAGCAGCACACCCCACACCACCTATCGACCGTGTATCTCATCGTAAACGGATCCGCACATCTCACGATTCTACCGGAGACGCGCTGCACTAGCGAGCACTCAAAATACTTTGGCTTGCGAGGCGGAGAAGGGGCTCCGCACTTGTAGAAATGTTCGTATTTGTAGCACATCTGTTGCAAGATCAGCAGGTCGAACTACGAGTGGGAGATGGAAATACTCACGGCCAAGCGGTGAGAGGTGGGTGTGTGTTGAGATGGGTGGGCGTCGAGAGGTGGATGAGTGTCGAGAGGTGGGCGCGCGTCGGGTGTGACCTTGCACACGTCCCCGTCACAGATACAAGCTTCAACGTACAAGCTCGGCTTGCTGCACTCATCGAGCTTTGACTGCCTGCTGCCAATCCACCTCTCCTAGGTTGACTTTGTAAATTGGTCTTTGTAGCTCGCTGGGCCACGAGATGGCTGACATTCGATGCGCTACGATCCGATGTCGTACAATCCAACGCAGTGGAATTGGCTCTCGGCGACAGTTGTGCATCCTCCCACCAGTTGCCTGGCATGTCCAAGAGTAACGAGTCGCCATCGTTCATACATCGGCCTCGCCTCAAATGTGGTGAGTTCAGGGCTCGACTTGCACGAGCTACAGCTGGGGAGATGTGATCTGACAAACAACGCGGGATCGGCGACAGATCGAACATTTGCTCTTTAATCATTGCAGTAGCATCAAGACGATATACATTGATGTAGAATCTCCGATCTGCGGGGCTGCAGAAGCCGTAAGGATCGAGCCGAAGACTCCTGCACCATCTTCGTCGTCTGCTTGCGACTTTGGTGCGTCAAGAAGGCCCATTGCATTTCTGCGAGCGCGTAAACTGATGCTTCGGTATTTTTTCCATAGCAGTAGCCGGAGGAGTCGAGGAGTCAGTGCCAGAGGGTGCAGAAACATGGACAATGGTAGCGGGGTTCTCCAGGATGATGAGGTACGGGCTCTTGGTGATGGCCTGACATCCTCCATGCACTTACGAAGCAGAATGCCTGTCGGCACGTCTGAGTTGCCCTTGACATCCACCCAGCACGTGATGTCATGCGTGCCAGAAACCGGAGTCGCTGTGCTTGCACCAGGTGGTGCAGTAGTGGTCGATGTCACGGGGGCCAGTCGTGCCACCGTACATCCGGTTCGTCGTCTAGTGACTAGGCCTTCGCAATGGCTCAAGTCAATCGTGAGGGGTCCGACCTCCAGTCATAGCGATGACCAGAGGTCGGCCCAGTGGAGGAGTCTTATGAACGCTTGGCCGCTGTCTGCGGACCAAGGTCGATCTGTCGCACAGATGTAGATGGTAAAACTGGTTGATGTGTAACCAGGACAAGATGGGGACTCCAGCTTGTCCTGTTGGTCTTATATACAAGTACAGGCGTCTGTCTACCTGTAATACTAGAACTACGATTGGTCCATCGGTATCAATACAAGGGCACAGGGTTCGTATACCTGTCCCACGGTCGTGAGAATGCTGAGTCAGTCATGACTCTGCGTGAGAGACAATCAGTCCATATGGAGATAAGGTCGTGCTGCAAAGACAAGGCAGCAGCGAGGTCGTCGTACGTCTTGCGCATGTATCAGGGTCTAGGGCCATGCCCATGAGGTTCGGTATCTGTATCGTAAAGGTAAGGCGGAGGTGAGGCGCACATGCCTTTGTCATGTGTGTGATAGGAAGTGCGTCCAAGTCTGGATCTCGCACATGAGGTAAACATGCCTTGAGCACAAGGTGCATATCGTCAGATGATCTGGTAGATCTGTGCCGGGTAGATAAGGGCGATGACCATGATGACATCATGGTCATGTGGTCGGTGACGTCATTGTCACATGGTCAGTCTAGGCTCTGTGATGTCATTGTCACGTGATCGGTAAAGGTAGAGGCGGAAGTCGTCCACGCGTTCCTCAGAGAGGAGCTTTGTAACAGTCGACGTACTTGATCCTGCGGTGAGCGGCGAGGTGCCAGATGGCGCGATCAGCACCACCGCGATCAGAGTGCTGTCATTCTCATCGTGAAGTATGAGTAGCGGCCACGGCATCCTCTCCTTGATTAGGGGAGGGGAAAGCACGTTGCGGGGTGCGAGACGGGGAAGACTTCTTATGCTGAGATAGCGAACCAGAGTCTCAGCTTGTCCTGTCGTCGGGGCACACGGGAGTACGTGCGTGAGTGCACACAGACGGGGATCCGACAGGAGCGTGAGTCTGTGGACAGGAGAGCGTACAGGAGGAAACATGAGCGCGGGAGGGCAGGGATGTATAGATGAGTATAAGCAGACATAACCCTGTGGACGAGGAGTGCTCGTACGGGCAAATATGCATCTATAAAATGGAAGGCACAACACTTTGTTGATAGGGCGATTTCCGGGGCATTCACTTGACCTAGCCAGCGGTCCGCGGTGAGCTTGAATCTTCACCTAACCGATACACGACATGTGGGCAAGGGTGGGCTGACTCGGAGAAAGTTAGGGCGAGGACGCTCTGAAGGCGTCCGAACGGAGGTAGGCACGAGTCTGCAGGTCCAAATGAGGAATCAAAACAGTGTGTGAAAAGCATGATGGTCGACATATTTGTTCATATAAAACTGCTCAAAAACATCCAGAGAATGATATTCTGTTAGCCCCTCAGGTATAGGGCCATTGAAAACCGGGATCAAGTGCGCCGCGCGTAGGATAGAGTCGGTATGAATTACTGAGATGCTGCCATCATCCGTCCGTGGCCTGACGATCCACATGCCGGTGTCTCGATCTGGCTGCTCATCGACCAGTTCGTACCGACGAATGAGCGCGCACGGATACTGTATGTAGCGAAAGCGGAAGTTGAAGAAAAGTTGGACATGCGCAATATCAAAACTATTGACTCCAGGATCAGCAGACGGGCTTTTGATGAATACGCAATCGAAACACGGCCCAACGCCTCGCCAGGAGGGAGTAGCCCGAATGTACTCGCGCCGCATACCGCCAATACCGCTGGGATCACTGGGGGCATAATATGTGGCGGCCGCCGAGTACACGACGTAGACCTTGTCCTGGTGAAGGACCTCTGGACATGCGTCAATCGGAATGGTGCCAGAAATGTCTCGGTTAGGATGTAATTGACCATATAGAAAATGGCGCAGAGCCGTAGGCAAGTGAGGTTGGTCGATCTCGTCGGCGAGGGCATAGATGGACCGTGAGTGTTGCCGCTCTGTGTGGGATGCATCAGAAATTCAAACATGTGAAGAAATGGTTCGGAAGCACTTACGGAGGGTCACTGCTAACTTAACGTACTCCTTCGATCGCGGACCCGGAACGATGTCATCCTCTCTTTGGGCGGTGGGACCTGCATCGGCATCCGGGTTTGGCATGTCGTTTTCAAGGCCGCGAACTGTACACTGTATGAAGTGAGCATACCAGACATTGTTTAACAGAAGGACGTACTATGGATGTTCATCGCGGCAACGAGAGCTGATTCAGCCAACATCCCGCGACTGGTGAAATCGACGCGTGCAGCAGCTAGCTTATCAAGGCGCTGGTTCATCAGCAGCATCTGCCCGAGCGCCTTGTAATGACTAGAACGTCGCCAAGGCTTCTTGACAGCAGTGATATGCCTCGACTCAGTAATGGAAGAACATAGCCCATTCGGGGCACCGAACGCCCATATGTGAGCCCGATAGTGGACAAGTGAGTGTTGCCGGGGAAGGGAGAACCCACTGATCCGAACTCCACAAGTAGCAAAGATTTCTCTATCACGATGAAAGCGCTTGAGAGCGTGATCCAAATCGGCCAGTGTCTTCTCGGTGTGAACATCGCGCCTAGCAAGGTAACAAAAGTCGAGGAACAACCGTAACGCATGAACCATTTTGCGAGGCACATAGTGTGAAATGGCGGGCAGATACACCTGGTTTAGATGTATCTCAGTGCCGAACATGCATACAAGGTGGTAAAACAAACCTTCATCAATGCTTTCGAGTCGTCTCCTGTCCATTGCTTGAAGCCCCGGCCTTCAGGAAACCGTCGCAGATGGGAGAATGGAGGAACGACGGAAATACTGAGCATACGAAGTATCAATACATGTACTAGACAGTGGTGAAGTGGACAGATTACCAACGATCAATGTCCGCCAAAATGGATTTGGCAGTAGCGGGACTGTACTTGCTGTTTATGTATTGCTCTACCCAATCGACGAGGTGATCTTTGAACGTTCCTTTGATAAGCTGGTGTAGGAGGTCGGGAGATAGAAGTTCGTGAATGTCCGCGCGTGGAAAGTCATTAGTGAAAGGCTGTGAAGTAGTCAAGTCAGCATACGAATAGACAGGCATCTTCGGAGAGCAGCGGGAAGGCATGAGCTGACAAGAGAAGTACGAACAAATGGCGCACGATGGTTGTCGCGTGGGCAGCGTATGGCACGTGCGAGAGTATGTTATGTGTCTCTCCAAGGACATGTAGTGTTCGCATGTCCTCAGCTTGCTTAGCAGCCCCATGATGCATCAACACGTGTTCCAAGTAACATACGTACAGCATGCAACGAAAAGGAAGCTACAAAAAGAAGAAACGGATGACTCACCACTATGTCTCCCACCAGTCCGTAATCGCGCCATAGAACGTCCAGGCCCAGTTCTTCAACTAATACCTCAGTGTGTGCTCGACTGCATCTTCCGCCCTCGGAACCGTCGAGATTAGAGCTGTGTGCAGTGCATCTACAAAATGGTCAGCGAAATGTACAAAAGCGAGAAGGTAAGACGTACTTCGGACACCACCCTTGCACGATGCAGGCAAGGAGTGCCTGCTCCGGATAATCAGCAATGTACGGACCGAGGCCGTAGATGACATGCCTGAAATGACCGTCTGCACAATGGGTCACTTCTGGTGTTGTCATACCGGGCTTGAGTGGTTGCAAGATCTTCGAAAGTGATGAATGAAACATCTGGCGGCGGAACTTGCGGAACTGAATGTCGTCCGCATACTTCCTGTCAGCTATCGCGGGGAAATCATAAGTTCTCTGATATTCCAGAAATGCACTACAGTACTCACTCTTTGGAATTGCCAGAAAGCCTATAAGGGCGACGGCATTGCGATGCGCCTGTCGCACATTATTGCGCACATTACCGATCGACATATAAAGTGGATAATATTCATTTTGACCGGTGGCTACGGAGACGGTGGTCTTGTTGCTGCCGAGGATGATGGGAACGAACATGGAGCCGTGTGTGTCTGGGTCTTGCGTGATTAAGTCCTGAAACAATTCTAAGTCAGTACGCGACTCGGAATGCGACCACGAAGTATTTCTCGTACTGCTTGCTTCCATACCCAGTCGCCAGACATGAAGTCTTGTAGGTGGTGTTGATGCGGGGCTTCACGTTCGAACTGGCACATGACACTGTAATCGATTTCACCATCAAAATCTGGATTCGAAAGCATGTTCTGGGCAACAAGACGGGGATCTCGATACCAGACATCATAATCTGCATTCATCCATGCTGGGGCATTGTTGTCCAGCTTCAGGCCATTGTGCGTCATGTTGAAACTTTGCCATTTCACCTCGCCGAGTAAAGTGTTGTCAATACGTTGATATAGGTCTTTTGCATCTGCAAACGGAGCTTCATCGCCGTCCTTGACGAGAGATGAGGCCCATAATCGACAGAGGGCATCGATGTTTCCAGCAGACATTTCGTCGCGGGCAAAGAGAAGCTCGGCGGTCTCGAATTCAGTCCGATTGCGATACGGATACCAATCATCGTGAGCTGGTGCCTGTGGAGGAGGAGGAGGCACATCTCTTGGGAGGTAGTTGCCAAACTCATCGCATGGTCGTCCTGCAAAACACAACTTACATATCAGTGTTTGTCCAACGGACACAGTACTGATACATACCATAAATGTGGGGGTGGTTTTGAATGATTGGTCGTGTCGGATCTTCGGCATCAGGGGACATGCTAGTACGCGATGGAGTATCTCGCTTGTCACCCATGGAGTGGTCGCCATCGCTATCCCCACCGTGTGCATGATGCGGGTTAGGTGATCCTTCTAAAAATACTTGTGCTCAGCATGGCATGTCATCTGTGCGAACGAGCATGGTAAACAAACCGTAATCTTCGTACAGATCCCTCCCCAACTCATCTACGCCCTCAAAGTCCATATGGACGTCGCGAAACCCAAAATTGTCTGCATGCTCGAAATCGTAGTGGTCGGGCGCATCTCCGATGGCATCTGCATCGGCGCCCGAGCCTGCCCTCTCTTGAACATGAGGAGCTTGTGCATCTGGGCCTACACTGCCGTCGCGTCTGTCTTCAAGGTCCGCGCCACTGCGTTCATTCGATCCTTCACCTTGATGGTCTCGGCTGGCTTTATTGGTGTCAGTACACGAACAAATAAAATATAGAGCCTGAGTGCGCACTATACTGTTGTAATGGCAAAGATATCGGAATCCGAGCGAGAGGATCTTTCGGGTGGTAGGTGCGGGCATGCTTGCTATGTCCGTTCTTTGCCTTGAACTTCATTGTACAGCCTGGCGCACGACAGCCGAAACGATACTTGCTGGAAGCTTTCGAGGCTCGCGGGGAAGACATTGAAAAATATATAGGTCGGGGACTTGAACGCCTGCGAGACATAGAGTCTGGTTAGACTGTCACGATTTTTTGAAAAAAAAAATACAGACAAATCACTTTAAATGGGCCGCAGCGGAGGGATGAAGACGAGGTACTAGTATGGGGCAGAACTTCGCGTCCAAATTCTTCTAAGTCGTAAGCGCTCGTGACCGTCCCGCCTTTCCTAGCCGAATCAAACCTGTGACGTGTCCAACTCTTGCCAACGGACTCTACTACATCTCGCTGTCTACCATGCCTGTTGCCACTCGAGCTGGGAATGCCGACAAGCACCCAGGCCGCGCTGAGCTCAGTAAGCGCAGGTCCAGCAAAGAAGTTCAAGCGGAAAAACTAGCCAAAGCGAAGGTGAAACTGGACAAGGCAGAGTCGGCTGCAAACTCTGTCGCGCGCATTGCGATGCTTGAGGACAAGATGGCAGCCACCGACAAGGACACTGAAGATAACAGGGTGAGGGCGCTGCCCGAATCAAAAGCGACTCGCAAGCGTATGTACTACGGTCATCATTGCGGCTGATGGAGCTGACTTCGAAGCACGCGGGGCCCTGCAGGCGCACCGCTCTCAACCATCGACTCGTCGGAAGCCGAACAGCCGCCTAAGAAGAAGAAGGCGACCAGCACCAGGGGAAAAATACAGCAGGCCCGCCAGGAGGTCGCCGCCGCCAACAGCGTCCTGGAGCTCTCTTCAAGCGACACTGAGCAGATAAAGACAACCGGAAAGAAGAAAGGTAAGGGCAAGGGCAAGGGCAAGGTGAAAGCGAAAGCGAAGGCGAAGGCGCGCAGGTAGGTTCCTTATCGATATCGATGTCCGCATATGGATAGGATCTCACTGCTTTTCGCCATCATCACGCCTCTCTTCCTATCTATGATGGTCATCCTTGTCCTCTCGGAAACAACGCTGTTCTACTTTACCTTGGCCTGCAGCTCCTCCAGTGAAGAAGAGTTTGGAGAAATGCTCGACTGGTATGCAAAGGTTCCAAGTGGCTGGAGCAAGCGGCCCGGGGACGATGGGGCCGGCATTCGCCCTTCTACCATGACCGCAGCCTCAGCTGCCATTTCGAAGAAGACCAAGAGTGCTCCCTCGAGCAAGAGTGCTCCCTCGACTGCTCCCTCGAGCAAGAGCACCCACTCGAGCAAGAGTGTTACCTCGAGCAGGAGTGTTACCTCGAGCAAGAGCGCCCCCTCGAGCAAGAGCGCCCACTCGAGCAAGAGCGCTCTCTCGAGCAAGAGTACTAGTTCGAACGAATCAGCTCCCCCGACCAAGGTCATTTCCTCAAGGAAGGATGCTTCTCGTAAGGTTACGGACGCCAAAGTAGACGCTGATCTTCCGCAGAACAATATTGTTGTGGCCGAAAAGTCTATAGTGAGTGACGATGAGGACGTTGAGCGACTTCACGCCCTCTCCAGTCCTGTCAAGCCTGCACACTTTCGGGCGATGAATTCAGTGCGTATTTTTTTTGTAATCAAGATGTTTGCTCACCGTCTCAAGGGCGCCATTGACATCATGGAGGTCAATCCTGACGATCGTACTGGTATCGTTGCCGGCGCGTCCGGGTCTTCCCGCCCCAAACCAAGGCCACGGTTAGCCCCCTTGACGGCGGAGGTAGGTATTGGTGAATGAATGCCGTACCATCACTGATAATTTGCACGTACGGAAGGTAGATGCCGATGCAAACAATCCTGATATCTCAGTCGACGCAACCCCGGCGCCCAAGAGCATTCGATCGACGAGCAGTGTGAGTGATCACCGGCTCGTATTGATCCTGTTGACGAATGCGGACCTACAGATGAACGTGGCAATTGCAGACAAAGGAGTAAGAGAACAAGCCAAGAAGCGCAAACGGATGGCAAAGGTAATTAGCAAATTGTTGGTGATGCTACGCGCTCACCAAGTGGATTAGTTGGACGAGGATTCAGAGGATGAGGTCAAGGTGGAGCTGCACGATGATGGGCCGAACGCGGAGCCTGATGATGACGAGATGGAGGTCAAGACAGGGCATTTTGGGGCCGATGATGATGAGCCTGATGGCGATGAGCCGGGAAAGCGCAAGGCTATAGTGAAGAATGCGGACCTCCCTCCCGTCGCACTGAAGAACGATCGCTGGCGACGTCGGTTCCTGCCGACGGTCGTACGATATGTCGGCACTCTCAAAAATCCGTGGACCATTGATGAAGAGGAATTCAGAAGGGTGCTCGAGCTCATCTGGGACAAGGTCTACGGGAAATTGGGTGTGGAATACACGGATGCAATCCACGTCATCACCCGTAGTCTGGTAAGTCCTTTTCCATAAAGTTGTTCGGGCCAGAAAACGTCTGAAAACATTACAGTGCATTCAGCGACTGTACGAATGGCGCTCCACCTTCGGCTCCACTGCCATCAGCGTAGTCGAAGCATTCTTCAGCACAACCCCGAAGTATCTGGATTTCGCCAAACGTCCGTCTTTTGCGAAGGCGTTACTCAAGTTGTCCCGCTTTGCATTCCTGTCAGCCAAAGGCGAGAACCGAAGTGTAAGTACTAATACCTCTCGGTCGGAGAATAGCTTATGCTGATTACACCATATCAGAATTTCACGGGCCTGTTCCGGTCTCCATTCATGTTGCGGACGTTTGCCATCCATCTCGCAGCAATTGAGGGTGCCATTGATGTTGAAGGATTGTACTCCGAGGGATCCGCGCTGACCGTGAACAAAGCTATTGGTGCACTGGGCCTGACGGGCGCCGCAGTAAGCACTTAACAGTCTGTTGTTATTATTGCTCATGTGTTCACAGGTTAAACGCAGCCTTACGCTGTACAAGTTTCTTGCCATCGTCTACAAGAAGGGACGACCGGTACCTGCGAAGCGCATGTGTGAAGACATGAACTCTGCTGCGGACGTTGATGCTGCGAAGCCAACTGGATTCACGAATTCTGGCTGGGGTCATGAGACCAAATTTTTCGCCGTCTCCACACAGAATCTCTTAGCTTCGAGCTTGGCCAAGGTGGCCAAGGAAGGAGCAGAGGTTTTATGGATGACGCGTGGGCAGCGGCGTGAGGTAATTGTTGTCTCGTCAGATGATGACGGTGACTATCTTGTTGACAATGGTGAGAGCGATGAGAATGATGACTCGGAGGATGAGAAGGTCAGAAACACTGAGAAGACCAGTAACTCGGAGGATGGGGAGACCTCTGACTAGGCTAATGAGTCTTGAATGGCATCGCGCGGGTTTACCAGTCGCTTCCAGTCGCTTTTCTCGTTTCTGCATTTGCTTTGCATCTGTGCGTCTTTTGGACTAATGACATTATGCATCTGTGGATATTTTTGGACTAATGACCTTCTGCACCTTATGACATTATGCACCTTATGACATTATGCACCTTACGAAATTATGCATCTTATGTCCCTGCATAGCTTATGGCATCTTATACTCTGAATGGACTTTCTTCCTTACATATCTGATTGACTTGCAAGCTTAACAGATTTCAAGGCAGGATAAAAGAGCTACTCTCAGAGAAATAAGCTAGTACAAAGCTCTGTTTGGAAAATGGCCTTATGTCTCTGAGAATGGTGTTATGTTCTTATTCTCTGTATAATCTGAGAGGTCTGTAAGATTGATCAGGAAAACCGAACATTTTCTTAGGGACTTATTCAGACTTCTCAGTCTGACAAGGCATCAGGAAAACCACACTTTTCCTTAAAGGGGCACTTAAATAACTTAAATGGACTTATGGTCCTTATTTAAGGACATAAGGACAAAAAGGGCCTAAGGCATATTCCCTGAGTGTCTGAAATTCGACTTATTTGAACACTTATGGCCTTAAATAAGGGTTGTCAGACCCAAAAGTCTAAATAAGTCTATAAGAGAAAGTTGGGTTTTCCTGATGCAACACTTATTTAAGACTATAAGAATTCAAATAAGTAGCAGTAAGTCCACTTTCAGATACTCATATAATATGGCTTAGGCCCTTTTTGCCCTTATATCCTTAAATAAGGACCACAAGTCCATTTAAGTCAGTTAATTCCCTCTTGAGAAAAAGGAGGGTTTTTCTGATAGATAAGATATCTGAGTTGACTATAAGAAAGATCAAGAGACATAAGATCACTACAAATGATGAAATACAATTTCTAAGTGTAAACATAAGAAATGTCTAAGATCACTACAAATGAATTAAGAACATGGAGATTGGTCATTAAGGGCACTAAAAGAAATATAAGGACAGATGTAAGTTTGACATTCAGGGAATATGCATTATGGTCCTTAGAGACTTATGACCTTATATAAGGACAATAAGACCAAAAAAGTGACAATCTAAGATCAATAAGATAAAGTTGGGTTTTCCTGATGGGCGGGCTTGAAGATCGAGTTCGGGACTTCTACAGCTGCTTCTGAGGCTTGGACGGAGGCGAAACTTTTCTCGCTCAAGTGCACTGATAACTGCAAGGTCCGTCAGCATCTGGATCAGCTTGCTGAACTGAAGGAAAAGCTCTCGGAGATGAATGTGAAGATTGAGGATCGCACGTACATCAATGCAATTACCACGTCCATTCCCCGCTCTTTCGCTCCCACTGTCACTGCAATCACCACGGCTGTCAACATATACAACTCAACTCTCGCACCGAATGCTGCTCATCGAGTTGTTGCGTCAACGGAGATCATTTCAGCTCTCCGAGCTGAGGCCGATTCCCGCGCCGTGTTGAAATCCGGAGAAAAGACTGCGACAGCCAGTGCTGCTTTTGCTGGCGGTCGCGGCGGAGGCCAAGCCCGCGGCCACCATGGCCACCGCGGACACGGAGGAAATTCGGGCAAGGGGAGTGCTCCGAAATCAGATGACGATCTGATCTGCTTCAAGTGCAGCAGCAAAGGCCACCGTGCACCCGACTGTCCGTCGAAGAAGCAATACTATCAGCGCATGAAAGGAAAGGCAGAGGCCGCCGCGAGCAGCTCTGGCTCTGCAGATTCGAAGGTGAAGGCCGACTTGAAATCAAAGGACGGCGCGAAGGATTCTTCAGCGCCGGCTGCGGCCGCGCAGTCCGCTTCATCTGCGCACATTGAGGAGGCTTGGAGTGCTTCTGCGGTGTTTCCTGCTCCTTTCGAGGAGATTGTCATTGACTGCTCTGAGTTAGCAGCTCAAGACGAGGTCCATATTTCGGACACACATGACCATTTTGCAGGCATCGCTGAGTCCGGACGTCGAATTGATATTTTTGACTCTGGTGCTTCGCACCATATGACACCACATCTCGATCGGCTTTCCAACTTTCAGACCACTGCACCACACCAGATTCGCACTGCGAACTCCGAGATTTTCTACTCGAATGGTATGGGTGAAATGCTTATGCATCTCCCGGTTGAAAATGGCGGTCGGCACATCCGTCTCAAGGGTGTCTTGTATGCTCCTGCTATGCATGCTACGCTGATCTCTCTGGGTATTCTCGACGAGGCTGGATTTACTTGGATGGGCCATGATGGCTTATTGACTGTCTTCAACAAGATGAATGACATCATTGCGAGGATTCCCCGCGTAAACAACCTGTATCGTATTTTCTACGATTCTGCCTCCCTTGCATCCCCTGTCCAACTCTCACTCTTCGAGATCCACAAGCGACTCGGTCACATCAACTATGGCTACATCAAAGCCATGCTCCGTGAGAATCGTCTTGCGGGCATAGCGCTCAATCCACATCATTCCGACGAAACTGAGTGTCGAACGTGCCTGGCTGCAAAGGCCCGCCGTGCACCCATTGCTGCAGTACGCCGATCTCCATTGGCGGAGAAATTCAGAGAGCACTTTCACATGGATATCTGGGGACCTGCTACAGTGTTCACCATTGACCATTGCAAGTATTGCCTGACAATTGTGGACGATGCGACCCGCTGGCTGGCGATGCCGTTGATGCGTGTCAAGTCTGAGGCTTTTGGCAAATATGTTGTCTATGAGGCTCGCCTGCAGACGCAGCATGGCATGCATGTAAAAATCTTGCAATCGGATCGTGGTGGCGAGTTTCTATCTGCCGACATGGATGTGCACCTTGAGCGCGCTGGTACAATTCGAAAATTAACTGTCCACAACACACCTGAGCATAACGGAGTCGCGGAGCGCACACATTTGACCGCGTTTAATGGTGTGCGTGCCGTGCTTGTCGGATCTGGTCTCCCGAAATGGCTGTGGGGCGAAGCACTTGCCTATGTCGTCTATGTCTACAATCGCACGGCTCGCCACGCACTGCAGGGAAAATCGCCTTTTGAGGTGCGCTTCGGACATGCACCTGATGTCTCGAACCTACATGAATGGGGATCAGTCGTGTATGTCAAAGTCGACACGAACTCGAAATTCGACGCCCGCGGAAAGGAAGCCCGCTGGATTGGTCTCGATCACACATCAAATGGCCACCGTATTTACTGGCCGAAGGAGAAGAAGATTTCTGTGGAATGCAACATAGTTTTTAGTGCAGGGTCTCCTCGCGTCGAGGGGGAGCACGATGTCAATATAGGACCTACCTCTGAAATTCCCGACGCTGTTCCGCCTCCTCCTAAACATTCTCGTCCTGTTCCTGAGCCTGAGAAGCCCCCATCGCTCGAACCGGGTGAAATCCGTGAGCCAGTCGACCCCGATATTGTCACCGGCAAGCGCAAGCGCGAGCCGAGCGCAAAGTTGCGCGACATCGCGTCAGGACAAGCAGAAGGAGCACTCACCGATATCACAATCGACAACGACGAAGAATGCGAAGTTCTCGCATACTCCGTGGGTGCCGCTACATAGGATTCCTTGGGATTCGACCCGCGTTCCGTCACAGAGGCGAAGCGCCGTCCGGATTGGCCGAAATGGCAGGAAGCGATGTACGACGAAATCCGCCATCTAGAGGCAAGAAATAGTTGGGTCTATGTAGACCCGCTGCCGTGCTCGTCAGGCCATAACGTTGTCAGCTCAAAATGGGTTTTTCGGATGAAGCGCGATGCGCGCGGAGAAGTCACAGGCTACCGCGCGCGCTTAGTCGCCCAAGGATTCACGCAAGTAGAAGGTATCGATTATTTTTCGGATGATACGTTTGCCGCGGTTTGCAAACTCGCGTCTGTGCGTGTTATTCTTTCCGTCGCCGCTCGCAATGGCTGGTACACCCATCAAGTCGATGTCAAGAGCGCTTACCTGTACGGCAAGCTGCGCGACGACGAGAAAATTTATATGCGGCCGCCTCCTGACATCGAACTTGACGGCATCGACGCTGGACAACTCCTTTTACTACTTGTCACGATCTATGGACTCAAACAGTCGGGCCGGCGCTGGTATATCCGACTCCGCGAGATTCTCGAGGGCTTCAAACTGGTGCGCCTCGAGCATGATCATGCCGTCTTCTATCATCGTCACCCTGATGGCGAGATCTCCATCATATTCCTCCATGTTGACGATATGACCCTGGTATGCTCACTCCTAGCAAACTTACTCCACCTCAAGGAGATGATTAAGTCGAAATTGGAGATTACGGACAACGGCGAACTTCACTGGCTGCTCGGTATCGAGATCCGCCGAAATCTCGAGAAGCATACTATCGCACTTTCGCAGCGTGCGTACATCGAGTCAATCATTGCTCGGTATGGCTTTGCAGATGCAAAGCAGCTCTCACAGCCCATGGATACTCATGTCCACCTGTCTGTTGACCAATGCCCTGTCACCACGGCAGAGTATGCTGTCATGCGTGACAAGCCTTATCTTGAGGCACTCGGAGCTTTACAGTATGTTTCCGTTGCTACTCGTCCCGATATCACTTTTACTGTCGGACAGCTTGCACAATTCAGTCGCAACCCAGGAATCATGCATTGGAATGCTTTGAAGCACGTTTACCAGTACCTCAAAGGTACCGCGGACCTGTGGCTCGTTCTGGGCGGCTCGGAGGACAACGACGTTGTCGGCTATTCCGACGCCGATGGTATGAGCACGGAGGGACGTCGCCCCGTTTCCGGCTATGTCTTTATGCTCAATGGCGGTGCTGTCTCCTGGTCCTCAAAGCGTCAAGACCTTGTTACCTTATCCACAACTGAGGCCGAATACGTCGCACTCACGCATGCCAGCAAAGAAGCGCTGTGGCTGCGTTCTTTCATCATTGAATTATTTGGCAACCCTGAAGTTCCTATTCCTCTCCGCTCTGACAACCAGTCTGCCATCGCACTGTCGAAAGATGATCGCTTTCATGCGCGGACGAAACACATTGATATCCGGTTCCATTTTATTCACTACGCCATCGCTGATGGCAAAATTTCACTCTCATACTGTCCTACAGAGGATATGACAGCAGACATCCTGACGAAGGCCTTGCCCTCGATGAAGAGCAAACACTTCGCTTCGTCCATGGGACTCACAAAGGTTTGAGGGGGAGTGTCGCAATCTGTAGTCCGAGGAGCTCAGGAGTCCGAGGAGATGACCTGGCACGTTCCTCAGAACATGCATTATACCCGGTTCGGTTTGTCCTTTTTCACCCGTATCTACTCAACACCTCGGCGCTATCGCTAGCCGTAGCCGGCGAGGCTGATCGTCGTATATACCTTACCGTTGGTCGTCGGATGCCCCAGAGACTCACTGTCCTGGTGCATCCACGTACGTCTCCCTTTTCCTATTTACATGTACCATTACTTACAGCTGTTGCAGTGACCTCCGTGTCACTGCAAGGTATGAATATAATAGAGACTCACTGTCCTGGTGCATCCACTGACCTCCGTGTCACTGCAAGGACACTCTCCGGTCTGTCTGCCCTCCAGCCGTACCCGCTGCGCTCAGTCGGCTTTGCCGTTCCGACCTGACTTGGTCACCCCGTTGCTTCTCGCACTCTGATATGATTCGAAAAACTATTCACTATAATGTGCATGTTTGAGAGCACCCCGACGCGTGAACAATAAAAATTACCTTGCTGCAGCTCTCGCGGTCTCGTTGAGCCACACTGGGAGGCTGCAACCAACCACTATGACGCGAAATCAGATCTGACGGGCTTGCGAGGACTTCGAGACCTGAATTGCGTACCTTCTCGACCAAGATCCTGCTGCTTTGCTGCACATACATAGTCACATGATCGCGGTTCGAGTGCGCAAGCTTTGGGCCTGGCGGCCAAGAAGAGCATTTCTACAAGCAATCTGCGATTGGTTATCTCAGCTGTGCAGGTCCATGCTCCCGGTGGTTGAATGCTGCCCTTCTATGAATGTTTGCTGGTATTATTTAAATAACGGATGTTCGCGAATTTAACGGTTTGAGAGCGGGAGCTCGGACTCGATCACTGGCAGATGCGAGATAAACAAGTTTGCGATGACCTTCGTACCGTAACGTTAGTAGTCACTTAACACGGGATTGGAAGTCGCACCTTGGATCTCTTCATACGCCAGTCCTCTCCCTCTTCGTCCGCCTGTCCGAGTCCTCCCTCCCGCTTACGCCCAACATGGCGAAACAAATTCAACGCATTGATAGCTTGACCCTCATGAAACGGACACATGCCCGCACAGTATTCCGCGAAGCGGAAGCCATGAACTTCGTCAGGGCCCGAACGCAAATTCCCGTTCCAGCTGTTTTAAATGCATACGTCGAAGATCCATTCGGGTACCTCGTCATGGAATTCGTCCCGGGAGAACAGCTCGACCTCGCGTGGCCCCGAATGTCCGACGGGCAGCGCAAGTGCGTCGTCGCACAGCTGACGGACTACCTGCATCAGCTGCGATCTCTCGCACCTCCCGACCCTCCTCTTATCGGGTCGTGCTCTGGTGGACCTTGCTTCGATCATCGCATTTCCAGCATGAAGACTTTCGGGCCTTTCACGTCTGAAGAGGAGTTCCACGACTACCTCTACGCGGCCGCCACGTACGGCCTGCCGCCCGAGATCGCGCGTAGGGTCCCGAGGCAGCGCAACGGCCACAAAATCGTGTTTACGCACGCCGACTTCAACCCCACCCAGATCCTCGTCGATCCGTGCGATCCGGGAAGGGTAGCAGCGGTTCTGGACTGGGAGATGGCGGGGTGGTACCCGGATTACTGGGAGTACGTCAAGGCGCTTATATGTGTTGGGCCTATAGGGCGTATGTGGCGGGAGGTCATAAAGCTCGCCATATGCTCGTACGACGAAGAGGAGCAAATTGATCGGGCGTTGGAAGACTACCAGGGAGTTGCATAGCTGCTATAGCTAGTGCGGTTATGGTCAGTGTTTCCAGTTCGGATGATCCTTGACCATGAGCAACTGGAGTATCTGATCGTGGGTCTCTATCAGTCCCCTTCGCGCGTGGAGAAGGCGAGACAGAGCACCGGCAGAGAGGACGGCAGTACAGCATTTTTCGTCCGTCAGTCCGTTACCCACATGACCCAGGTATCCGTTGTCTCTATCGTTCACTCGTTCTAACTTCTCTGTCTGTTTCATCGAGATGTACCTGTACCTGGAGCCTTTTGCTTGCTTTATAATCTGCCTGGGGTAGAATCCTTGCCGTTCAGTTGCAATAGCCTTCGAGGGCCATCGGGCAGTCGTGCAATGCGAAATAGCCCGGAGGTCTGAAACGGACGATACGCTGAATGGCTCTGCGATGCGCACACATAGTGGGTCCCAGCTCGTAGGTGATGAGCGACTGGTGCAAATGACAGCCTGTACCAAGTGTCGGTGAACCGGAATCCTCTGTTGTATGTCCGTGCTACGACGTCGGACATGCAATACTCATGAGTTTGTCCTGAAATTTGGCTGTTTTGTTTCAGGTGAAATTCGAGGCTTCTCTATGTAGGTCTTCAGCCTGTTCTTTCCAAGTCGCGCATGACTCATAATCATACTCTATAATCAACATACTGCAAAGCACAGTGACGAGCATGATACCCACATTAGGCAAAGAAGCAAGTTAAGGAAAGTACACCAACTGTCAATGATCACAGTGGATCCGCACTGGCAGTGAAGGGACTAGCGATGTCTACATACGGCCACAATTACAAGATCAGAGCAAAACGATAGCAAAGCAGGTAGCAACTCATCGAGACGCAAACGTCATTCTCAATCAGCCACCATAATAACCGCGATCATCCGTATAGGCATCATCTTCCTCACAAGAATACAAATCAGACCACGTAAATTGTATTGGTTCAGCGACCGTTTCACTGATATGCTGATTGACACGGCAGATAAGCTGCAAAACCATAATGTGTTCATATGACGGTGAGACCGACTGCGCTTGCAGGCTTGCAGCCGCGGCAGAAGGCATGGGGGATTGCGTAGAGTTGATTGTCCCCGCATTGAATGATAAGCTGTTCACCTGCGCAGCTGTGCAAGCCTGAGATGGCAGCTGAATCGTTGGATCGGGGCTTGGGGATGGTTGCAACAACTGATACGACTGGACATTGAATGCAGTGAGCACTCCAGAGAAGAGGTCCGGCGCCTGAGAAACTAAAGGTCAGTTCTGCCAGTAATTATAACGGGGTCACTTATCCAGACAGTGTTTGTACTTCGATAATAGTGCACTCGCACTCAACGAATTGGCGCGCCACGCCGTACTCACAAACACGAGAAGTGTATCAATCTCTTCCTTCCAAGTCCAAGCTCTCACTGATGCGTCGTCGTGTTCTTTCAGATCCTCCGTGCATCTTTCCCATGCCGCCGCAATGGCAGTGTCTCAGCTGGGTCGTCCAGCAGTTCAACATTCTACGATTGATCATCGATCAATGTGGGTGAGTCCAGTGACTATCTTCAGGTGAAGATTGGAAAGAACAAACCTCGGTCTTACATAACTATTTTCCTGTTGTTTCCTTGCTATGTGACGGCATGCCAACGGTCTTCTACGCCGTAGCAGAAATGAGAGCAATAGATGGAGAACGTCTTCGTCGACAGAGCTTCTGTCGACATAGCCACGGCATGCGACCCGTCTCAAGTCAGAAAAGGATTGGATCGCTCTATGTAGATAATAGTCCAGATGTCAGCGGAATCTTCAGTAAGTTCGTTGTGTACGGCCCGCCGACTTTTCAAGTTGGTTATGAACGCCTTCGCCCTCTTTTGTGGTGTAAGTATTCAGCCACGGAAATCAAGTGGCGGCGTTGCGGAACCATATACATACTTTACTGAGTACAAGGTTTGCATGGAAGTATTGCTTATAGAGGTATACCATACATACAATAAACATGAGTACTTATGGTAGAAAACGAAAGAGTCGACTCCGGGACCGTCACTGTGCTTCAACGACAGGCGTATACGCATACAAGTCAGCAGCCCTCAGGCCCAACATTCAACTCTTGATAACATCTTCTCCGAGTATGGAGTTCAAAAAAGACGAGACGACTACGACCGCGGCAAAGCATTTTGCACGAGAGGCTTGGACAAATTCACCTTAGGTAGGTGGATCCATGACACAGGTAACCGTCAGAGCATGCTAGACTCTAGAGGAATGACAATGCACACATCAGCAATCACCATCACTCGCCGAGTATGCAGCACTGACCTCGCAGATTAGCAATAATATCAATACCTGGTTCGCATCCGTTCCCGGGAGCTGTCCCTACTATAGTCCCGTCTTCGCCATCGGTCTCGACTGCAATCTCTCTCGTCCCAGTATCCACGATAATCTCTATCCCTGTCCCATTTCCTGCCTCTATCTCTGTCCCAGTCTCTGTCCCAATCTCTATTCCGGTCTCTGTCCCAGCCTCTGTCCATGTCGGTGTCCCGGTGGCGCATACGGTCTCTCTCATTCTCGCCGTAGGCAAATGAGGAACGGCCAAAGCGTGGATCACGCGGACGTTCAACGAAGGAACTGCCCGTCGACATTCGATGAGAGTCGAGTGGTGCGTGAGGACCGAGAGGTGCAGTCATCGGCGGTCCGGACTGAGTAGAGGAAGGTGTACCTCGCGGCCCAGTAGACGCCGTGGGTAACGACGGCGAAGCGCTGTTGGCACCAGACCGAGAACGGCCATTTACCAGTGATAGCGTATCGGGCTTGCTAAGTCGTGGGCTCGAAGAAGAGGCCGTCAAGGATGGAGATCGGGGCTCAGTCTTATATACGAATGGGTTCGCCCTTTTCGCTGGAATGGTTGACCCTGTTGCCAGTCCCGGCAACTCGGGAGGAGGAAGAAGAGGCTTCCCGACGCCAACATTGGTCGCCTGTGTATCTGTAAGAGAGAGAACAGGAGGTGCGGGTGGCGGTGGCGAAGTCGGATGGGGGAGAGGAGGAGGTACTGCATCGGGAGGTGCAGGTGGTGCCAATTGGGGAGGTGGTGGTGGCGGTGGCGAATAACTCGGATCGGTCGGAGAAGTAGCAGGAATTTGTGTGCCGTTCCTGTTCATCGCGACTGACGGCGGGACCAATGATGCCTGGACTGCCTGACCGTCAACAGATAGATGTGGAGGTCGTACTTGTTTCATCCCGTCAGTCATAGCACTGAATGATGATGCCAGAATCTGCGAGGATTGGGGAGAAGCAACTTGCTGTGGAGGCTGATTGGCTCCATTCGGCTGCAGACGAGGAAGCTGCGGTGGAATGGGTGCCTGCTCTGCCTGCCCGATACCATGCATGGCCAAAATCTGCTCAATGGAAGCCTGATCAATGGTCTGGACCGGAGGAACGACAGGCGTCGCTAGCTCAGATCGCTCTGTGGGCTGCCTCTGCAACTGCTGTGCTGCAACAAAGCTCGTGTCGATGGATGCCAATCGCGGCCGATCAGACCTGATTGGGGGTAGCCCATCCAGAACATTGTTGGCAAGATGACCTGCACTAGTAGCGGCAGCGGTCCCATTCTCAGCCTCGGGTGTTCGTGTAGTAGCAGCACTGGTACCAAGACTAGCTTTTGCCTCCCAAAGAGGAGCGAGCCGATGAGCCGGTGACGGTCCAGGAGAGGCATTCCCGGTGCCTCTCGGTAATTCTACACTCTTGGAATCAGGCTCGCGCTTCATCGGCAACTGCGCTTGAACCGGAGTATTGGGGGCTGAAGTAGGTAAGGGGGCGAGAGTGGTCGGGGATTTGCTGTGAGGAAGGCATGATGATGATAAGGTCGAAGCCGATGCGGCAGATTGCCTCGGTGAAGCTGCTGTGAGACGTAGGTGATCCAGTGGGCTACCTGTGGCTTGTTCACGTGTTCGCACCGCAGGGGAGGAAGGACTTTGTGCAGGTTGAGTACGAGCTTGAGCCTGAGAAACAGTCGTTCGAGCACGAGCAGTAGTGGTCGCAGTAGTGGTCGTTCGCGCAGTAGTGATCGTTCGCACAGTAGTGGTTGAGGTGGCTACCTTCTGAGGCTTCGCCGAGGGAGATGTTTTAACGGGCATTTTACTGCTTGAAGCTGACTTCGCAGTGGTTGCCTTGGAAGACGCTGATACTTTCGCAGCTGGTTTCTTCACCGCAGTATGGCGCGCCTGAGACTTGGAAGTCGCCACACGGCTGGTCGACGATTTCGGAGATAGCTTTTTCAGTGGCTTGTCGTCTTCCGAATCACTGCTTGATTCAATTCTCTTCCTTTTCTGCATCTTCCGAGGTGCTGACACAGACGACCTAATTGCCGTAGCAGCCACAACATCATCATCTTCAGTCTTCAAATCTAAGAGCTTGAGACCCTTCGTGATGAAGTCGAACATGGTCTTGGTGACCTTCCCGTTCGCACGAACATCTACGTGTTTAGCGCGGACATCGGTCCTCATCTTCCGGATCGCAGACGACAGCTGCATCAGAGAAAACTTCGTCCGATTCAGGTATATGAGGACACCTATCATGGTGAATTCGATAGGAGAGACGCGGACTGGTTTCTGAAAAGCCGCGCTGCACCTCTTATCTTTGACAAGGGCCACAAAGATCTTGAAACTGTCCATCACGTCGTTACGGAACTTCTCGGGCACAGGCGCGTTCGACTGTAGCCACTTCTCCAATTGTTGGGCCCCCGGAAATTTGGTAGTTGGATGAGCATCGATGAGGAAGACAACTGAAGCCAGACATTGAAAGTCTCGGCCTCGAGCTCGACCCCAATCCAAGTCGTTGCCGAAACCTCCTTCACCAAGTAGCTTCGACTGAATTTCTCGAATGAGAGTGGGCAATGGACCGGTAATCGCTTGCATTCGTTCTAAAGCAATTTGACATCAGCACGTCAAACATCACGCTGCTAAATTTGACAAATTGATCAAACCTGCCGGGGTCAACGCTACACCTAGCTGGACCCGCTGCAGAACATCAGTGAGCCTCGAGGATCGATCAAACTGACAATCACGGGAATCACCTGGAAAATCTCTCGTTCTTGATCATCATTCAGCCCGTCATATTCGACGCAAACGATCTGTTTATTAGCAAATGTCTGCATATATTGCTTCGGCAACAGTGCTCGTTTTGGTCCAGGGCCATTTCTGTACCAATATTTCTTGTTCGTGCATCTGAGTTATTCACGAGAGTTGAAAAAAAAGACGTAGGAAGGCGTGATGCGACAGGATATACTCACGAGTCTTTATCTGCAGACAAATAATGAGGCTGACTCAAGTTTTATGAAGAACAGTCATAATCAAAAATACTCACGACAAATCTGAGATTAGGCATTGTCAGTATGCTGTACTTCAACATTCAAAGAGTGGCACTTACCAGACCATCCATGAACCTGCGCGAATAGAATTCAGTACGGCTCACGATACACAGCCTAGGCACTCACAACTGTATGGAGGTCAAACGTTGCTTGCCATCAATACATACGCGGGTCTCAGTCCCATCATCTTGAGAATTCACAGCTGGCAAGGAATTCGTAATGATAGTAATCACGAAGCCAGGATTCGAACTTACCGAAGATGATAGGGGGTATATAGTAATTTCTAAGAATGGAGTCGATCAAGCCTACCTGTTTCGACTCTGACCAAACAACCTCTGTATAGCTGGGTAGGGACATGACACCATCACACGACAAAAGGGCGCGTACCTCGCTGATATTCGGGATCTAATCGAATGGAGTTATCAATTATCTGGTCTGTACGAGGTGAGATTGCTTTGTTCGGACGACTATGTGGCCACCATACCATATAGACTTTTGGCGGTGTAAGAAGTGGTGCGAGGTGGTCTAAGAGCATTCTGGATCTGTAGAGAGTTTCGACTCTGCTCGGACACAAAGGGTAGAAGATACGCACCTTGTAGTCATTCTTGGCCTTTGCTGGAGCCCTTTTCTTCTGCGAGGCCGGGATATACTCCTCCTCGTCGGAAGATAGCTCGGTGAGATCGGAGTCGAAGTCGGACAGCATTAGGCAGTACTTGATTATAACGCGATCACAGTAGACAGAAAGGAAGGGAGTAAGTGGGTGAACAATGAGAAGGAAGCAAGCAAGGCAGAGCACCGACCGACTCGAGTGGCTTTGGCGTGCAAAGCGCCCGATTTTCAATTTCGAGCGGAGATTGAATGGCACGTGTCGAACGCGACGTGCCACACGCGCGTCGTTCACGTCGCGTTCAACAACACAACCATGCGCATAGAAGAACTTGTCCTCGAAGGTGAAGCGCAATATATAGCCTCCCAGTTTTTGTTTCTGACATGTAATCAGGATTTAAATCGTATCCTGTCCGCACACAAATCACCGGGTGGGATTCATCCTTCAACGCAATCACTGGTCTCAACGGTTCGGGCAAATCCAACATTCTCGACGCGATATGCTTCGTGCTAGGTATCACAAATATGTCTTCGGTATGTCTTATGCCACGAAACACGCGTTATGTCTCATGAACAGTCGTGTATCACCAGATGCGAGCCCAGAACCAACAAGACCTCATCTACAAACGCGGACAAGCAGGAATCACCAAAGCTAGCGTCACCATCGTGTTCGACAACTCGGATCGCGCAACCAGCCCAGTTGGACTGGAGAATTGTAAGCAGATCACTGTTACTCGCCAGGTATATCTCGCCAAGCACCCGTCGCGCAGCACTGTGACTTAGGAGTGACTTGCCAGATTGCGCTTCCTAATGTCTCAAAGTACCTTTTAAACGGGCACAAGTCGCAGCAACATACGATACAGACGTTGTTTCAGAGCGTACAACTGAACATCAACAACCCCAACTTCCTGATCATGCAAGGGCGGATCACAAAGGCGAGCGTTCTGTATTAATTCGTATTTGCATCTCGTCGCTAATCTGTGTGCTCCTTCAGGTTCTTAACATGCGCCCTCAAGAGATTCTTGGAATGGTGGAAGAGGCTGCAGGGACGCGTATGTTTGAGGAGCGCAAAGACAAGGCGAAGAAGACGATGGGCAAGAAGGAGAAGCGTGTGCAGGAGATCACTTCCCTTCTCGAGGAAGAGATTACCCCAAAACTTGACACCCTGCGCGAGGAGAAGCGGTCGTTCCTCCAATACCAGAAGGCATGTTCCGAGTTGGAACGCATTGGCCGTGTGCTGCGGGCGTGGGAGTGGACAGAGGGACGGGAACGAGTGGCGAAAAAGGAGGCGGAAATTGCGGCGACGGAGAAGGCGATGACTGATTTGCGGAAGGGCAAGAAGAAATGCGGCAAAGAGATCGAGGCGGCTGAAAGGCGGGCAGAGGAGGTCCAGGCTCAGCGAGAGAAAGAGCTGCGAAAGGGTGGCAAATTCAAGAAGCTGGAGGATGAAGTCGGGGAGCTGGAGAAGGTGCTCGTGAAGATCCGCACGCAGGTGGAGATCAAGACGGGTACCATCTCAGACGAGGATGGAAAGGCTGACGGGAAGGAGAACGAGCTTAAGGAGGTGCGTCTATCCTACTGTGAATCGGTCGCAACTTCTCATCGTCCCCCAGCTGCAAGAAACATTGGAGCAGAAGCGCGCTCAAGTCGATGAACTCACAACTTCTCACGGCGCTGTGAAAGACAAACACACGGCGCTGCAAACGGCACTCACGAATGCTGAAGAACTTCTCCAGACACTTTTGACAGGTCTTTCATCAAGTGGTGCCAGTCATACCGGTGGAGGTTACATGGGTCGACTTGCGGATGCCAAGGTTCGACTGCAGCAAGCTAGTACAGAAGAAGAGCAAAGCCGTGTAAAGCTCGCAATGAACCAGAAAGAGCTCAAAGCGCTCCAGGTTAGGTGGAAGGAGGTTGAGCGGGAGGCTGGCGACAGTCAGAAGAAGCTACAAAACATGAAAGCAGAGATAGAAACCTTTCAAAGAAAAGTTGCAGAGACCGGCTGGAATGTGGAGAAGGAACGCGATGGCGAGAATGCGCTCCGCACCGGGAAAGCAGAAGTTAGGCATCTGACCGAGGTATCGATGACTTTCTGAATCTTTATGGGGACTACTGATGAATGTCTGTAGGAGCGTGACGCGATCAAACAACGACTGTCCTTCCTCAACTTCGACTACTCCTTGCCTCACGCCAATTTTAATCGGTCCAATGTGAAGGGACTCGTGGCTTCCTTGGTTTCCCTCCCAGCCGCGGATTACAACAAATCAACCGCCTTGGAAATCACTGCCGGAGGCAAGTTGTACAATGTCGTAGTGCAGAACGAGCAGGTTGGCAAAGACCTGCTCAGTAACGGCAAGCTTAAGAAGCGGGTGACCATTATACCGCTAAATAAGATCGATGCATTCAAGATCTCTGCGCAAGTAAGGAATAGCTCGCTTCCCTCCTTCCTCGGACCTGTGCAAATTGTCTTATGAATTATTGCAGAAAATACAAGCTGCTTCACGGCTTGCGCCAGGCAAGGCCCGGCTGGCGCTCTCTTTGGTCGTGTACCCGGAAGAGGTGGCCAATGCAATGGCCTACGTCTTTGGCAATACACTCATCTGCGACGACCCTGAGTCCGCGAAACTTGTGACCTTTTCACCGCAAGTAGGCGTGAAGTCTGTTACGCTTGACGGGGACGTCTACGATCCATCTGGCACACTGAGCGGTGGCTCTGCACCCAGTGGTAATGGGGTGCTTATTCGAGTTCAAGAACTGCTAGACTCCGAAAGGAAACTGTGCGAAGCCCAGGGTCGGCTGCAAGAGCTTGAGCAGACTGAGCAGCGAGATCGGAACGGCCGAGAGAGGTGGAAGAAGATGGCGAGGGAGTTGGAGATCAAGGAGCACGAGATGCATTTGCTGGAAGAGCAGGTTGGAGGTAGCAACGCCGCAAGGGTCGATTATTCGTTTCGACTTCAAGCTTAGAGTAACCAGCGGCTGACGGACTATGCTTACAGATTGGCACAGAGGTCGACAAAGTGAAGCAGACCATCACCGAACTGCAGACTGCTCTCGAGACGGCACAGCAGAAGCAGAAGGATGCAACTGCTGAGATTGGGAAGCTTGAGAAGGACATGGACGAGTTCAAGAACAACAAGGAAGGCAAGATCGACGAGCTCAAGGTGCGAGAGCATCTAGTCTCACAAATACTTATGCTGATGCCTTAGATTTGCATTACAGGCTGGTGTGTCCAAGCAGAAGGCATCGCTGCAGAAGCATGCCGTCGTGGTTAAGACCAAACAGAAGGAGCTTCAGACTGCCACTCTCGAATTAGGTGTGTTTGTCGGCACAACTCAACAACGGTCGATGCACTGAAATGTGTGGCTGCAGAACAGCTCGAGAAGGACATCGAAACCGCAACCGAGACTTTGGCGGAGGCACGCGCTAGTGTCGAGAAGCTGCGGAAGGAGCTCGGTAAACTGAAGGAACAGCTAGTAACGAACGAGGTTTGTTCAGAAATGTGCTACATCGGGCGTAAAACTGACTGGACCTTCACTCAGGCAGCCTTTGCAAAGGCTGAGCGGAAACTTCAGGATGAACGGGCGACCCTCACCGGCTTCGACAATGAGCTCAAGGAACTCGGGCTGGTTATCAAGGAGAAGAAGCAGGCCATTTCCGATGCCGACCTCGAGATCAAGAAGCTCGAGCACGATGTCCAGACGCTTGCGAAGGAGAAGTCGCAGGCAAACAATCTCGTGGCGAATTTGGAGAAGCAGTACGATTGGATATTGGATGAGCAAGAGTGAGTATCCTGTGCGTCGGCGAATATTAGCAGGCAATCAACTTTGTCAATAGGTCGTTCGGTAAGAGGGGCTCTCAATACGACTTCACGGCGGTGGATGTGGCCCTGCTGAAGGAGAAGGCTCGGGACCTGGAAGCGCAGCAGAAGGGGATGAAGAAGAAGGTGAACCCCAAGGTCATCAACATGATTGACACGTAAGAGACCCTTCAAAGTCTTGCAACTGTGAGCTCATGCGTCATCTACAGAGTCGAGAAAAAGGAAGCATCGCTCAAGAAAATGCTCGGAACCGTGCTCAAGGACAAGGAGAAGATCGAACAGACGATCGAGGAGCTGGACCGTTACAAGCGCGATGCGCTAGAGAAGACGTGGACGAAAGTCAATGGGTGAATACTCTCCCAGTCGGTCACTGCCGTCGACAGCTTACCGAAACATTGCAGGGACTTTGGCGGCATATTTGCGGAGTTGCTGCCAGGCAATTTTGCCAAGCTGCAACCACCCGAGGGTCAGGATCTCACACAAGGTCTCGAGGTCAAAGTCCAGTTGGGCAGTGTCTGGAAGCAGAGCTTGACGGAACTAAGTGGGGGTCAACGGTAAGTACCCAAGCATCACTTGTCGGGAGGTATTGACCTGGTTCTGTAGATCACTCATCGCACTCTCATTAATTATGTCGCTGCTTCAGTTCAAACCAGCGCCGATGTACATCCTCGACGAGATCGACGCCGCCCTGGACCTCTCGCACACGCAGCACATCGGGCAGCTCCTCCGCACACGGTTCAAGGGCTCGCAGTTCATCGTCGTCTCACTCAAGGAGGGGCTCTTTACCAACGCGAACGTGCTCTTCCGCACGCGCTTCCGGGATGGCACGTCCATTGTCGAGCGCACTGCACAGCGGTCCACGTCCACGCTGTACGCGACGGACAAGGAGAACGACGGCGGCGAGCCGCGCTCGCGGCGCCCGCGTGCGACGATGTCGAACTCGTAGACCCGTATTTTTATTGCTATGTTGTGCTATCGCTCGGCTGACTGTAATAATTCCGCTTTGGTTTCTGTGTATCGTGAGCTGTTTCTGTATCCTTAGGGCGGTACGTTGCGGACCTTGGTAATATGTGCGCCTCTCGGCGTGATATCCTAATAGCAGCTCCAGTGGAAACATTGATATCGAAATTCTTCAGACAATGTTCGCCGTCAATATTTCGGGTTTGTTCAGACCAAGGCGATGGATGGGACCTGATGCCGGTAGCATAATATCGTCGGACGCTCATGCAGACGAACTATATTCTGGGCCCGAGTACTAAAAGACGCACTAGCAGCAAGGTTCGATGTGCGATGCATGTGGAGACGAGGACAGCGCCGATGTTATCTCTCGGATGCCGTGCTGATGCAAGTGAGAACACCGATAGCATTTGAGAGCAACGGGGGAAAAGTTGCAGAAACTTCGTGGTCGGGCTTGGTAGGAAATAATCGGGGCAGCGGCGCGGAGACCAATCAAAGCCCGGAGGGGCCGTCAATGACACTGATTGCGTGAATACTAATTTTAGGAAGACAGGTTGAGTTGAGACATCTAACCAGTTGCAAATTGAAGGCGCAGCATACGGAGTTCGATCGAGTTATCATTTTTTTCTGACAGAAGAGGGCGTATGATAACAATGAGCAAGTGATGGGTCGCCTCGGCCGACCATCAAGGACTGATATATGATGACCGCAGCAACATTATCTGCTATCATAACGGACGGCGATAGTACGCGCACCTAATGGCGAGTGCACAGACTACACCGGCGTTCACAGCGAGCACAGTCGCGTGGGCAGAAAAGGCCGGAAATCCGCTGTAGTACATCCTTGAGGTGCGAACAATAAGTCACGCATATCGCAAAGCAATGTCATTGGTCCTACGCCCAGTACAGCCAGTAGGAGCTGTCGCTCAGCCAAAACTGCGGGCCAAGCGTGATAACATGAACGTCCATGGTGCATACGACGAAGTGGACACACTCCGACACTACACCTGCAATGACGAGCGCTCCGCGGCGAGCAACGCGCGCGCGCGCGTTAGTTCTAAAGGTTCAAGACCATGTTTCCATGTGGTGCGTAGTGGCTCATTGTATGAGTATGGTGACTGCCATGGCGACGCATGCTAGCGCGACATATGGCGAGAGGCGCTCTCCTGCGCAGAGAAGGGATTAGAGTGTCAATGCATACTTGAAGGCGCTGCATACCTATCCGCGCGGACATCCAGAAGAGCCCGAGGAACCTAGGGATTCGATAGACGATGTAAGCCAGTAACGCGAACGCAAGGTCTTCAGGCGCACCCTTCCTTGTTCCTATCAATGAGGCGCGGCGCCACCGCGCGCACGTATGTGCAGGTGCATATTGTGAGGAGGATGACGAGGAGGAGAGACTGGAAGTTGAACAACGCAGACTACCAGCACCGGGACAAAAATCAGTCGCACACATGCTATAGAGGAGCATACGGCGTACCATACTTCCTTGGTGTGCTCGCTGCAACGGTCGTGGTCCCAGGGAAGATGATGCACACGTGGAACGCGTTCCCATTGCAATTACGTAATCGGAACCTTCCGAGGAATCCGTGCTTCGCACGTAGATGCAATCTTCCTAACAATTTTGCTCATAGACGACTCGTATGCATCGATGTGACATGCGAACTGCATGATAGAGTTTGTTCCAACTTCCAGCGGATTACTCTGATTTTTTACAAAGGACCGTTACGTTTAACAGTTGCAGTGAGTCTCCTCCAACCTCGTCGTGCAGCTTCTCTGATGCGGACAGTGTCCACGATCTGAGCAGGAAGTAAAATATATCAGTCACAGCGCAATGGACATGATCTCAGCGGAACCGCGATCGAGCGGAAACCGCCACATGCCTGCATACTCAACGTTCAACGCCAGATCGATGCGACGAATTGTTAGCATTGACTGTGTGCTGCACATGTAGCCCTCCCACAGCCAGGGCTCCCCGGGGTCTGCGCGTCCATCCTTAAACGCGCTAGCCACTGAGAGCACGGAGTTGGGTGTTTCGTTTCCCCAAAACATCTGTCGCTCGGCGTGCTACCTTCCCCCGGTGGCTACACACTGGCGAAATCGAGGAGTCCAACACCCGTCAATTATTGGAGAACCGCGCGAGCACATGGATTCTGGGAGAGATCTCCGCAAGCCACATGCATCGTTAACTTACCTCGTGAGTTGAGGGGAGCTTCGCAAGTTCGTTCGCCGCGGATGGGCTCAGCGTTCACTTCGTTTCATAGAGCTCGAGGGCCTCTGAGAATGCCGATGAGCTCTAAGTATGTGTTCGAATTCTGCTGATAAACGGTTGCTATGCTTCTCTTCTTGTTATCTCCGTCCCCCCTCCGTCTATTTTCCAAGTTGTCATGTGTGCGAGCTGATTTCAGTCCGTCAAGCACATCCTTTCATTGACGTCGGGGTGCCACAACCCTGCTATTTGACTGTGCAGTTACCCCCTGACTCAAATTCACTGCAACTTACCTCGATCAGGAAGCGCATACTCATGGAAGGTTGGTTTTTGACAGATGGACGTACAGCGGTCCTACAATTGACAGTTTACGATTACTTAGGTACACTAGCGGACCTTCTCCGAGTACCTGAACGGCCTTTCGCAGGCGAAATCCAATTCTGGGGGGTGCTCAAAAAAGAATTGCAATAGAAAAGCATGAAATTGATGGTGAGGACTTCAGCTTCTTGTTTGTCTACTACGGTCAGGCATAGTATCAAGACAGCTATTTCAGGCGAGAGGGCGCTTCACGTCGCTCGCTCCGTAACACGATACTCGTGATGACCATGACCCTAGGAGATACACTTGGAAGATTCAAGCACATGTCGGCTCCTGAGGAAGCCACTACACCAGTACTAGTAGCAGTAGTGGGCGCCGCTACCAAGCCCATCCTTCGTAGATGCTCCCACACTTTTCGGACTTCTCATACGCAGTGTTCTGATAGAGCTACTTACTGCAGTTTGCCCAATAGGATGGGTTCTTCCAATCGTCCCCTGCGCTGCCTTCAAGGATCGTGCATGTGGTGGCAGTGCAATCATTGGAATTGCGAGTTAAATGAGTAGCAAAAATAAGTACCTGTCTCCGGCAAACCGAGGCGAGCGGTACAGTAGCATTCACCGCCTCGAGTCCGGGAGACAGTTGCGTCCGTGCGGTACAGAGAGTTAGAGCGAATTGTGGGTATTCCGGTGCAATGAAGATTCTGCAGCACTGGCGTACAGAGTGCACGGGATGGCTGACAAAGCGTCTTTGGTTATCGCAGGGAAGTTCTGGGAGCATATGGATGTGATGGTGCCTCGAGACGTCACGTCCGCTGCTGATAAGTGGCAGGTGATACCCCGGATACCCCTTCTCCCTGCCTCTCTGGGACGGATATATACACGCTGCTTGAAGATTTCGACCAGCCTTCCCTCCACTCGCACAACGGGCGACCGCCATGTCCTTTTACGTACGAGAGGAGAAGCTGTCTTCAGGCAGCAGCTCGAACGAAAAGTTCGACGTTGAGAGGCAGAGTAAGATTCTCCCCGCGATCCTGCAGACTTGCCTATTTTGACGCTCGAGGCGCCGTTGACTGCAGTCGTTACGGTACCAGTAGCTGAGTTCGATGATCCAAACATCGACAAGGATGCCATTATCCTTGGTTAGTAGGGATAGTTCCGTTGATTGTTCTAACTCTCTGACCTGCTGGCAATTCAGAAGACGACTCGCCATACCCTGAGGTCCGCTCAGCTGTGGCCAACACCGACGATCCCGACATGCCTGTGGGCACTTTCCGGGCGTGGTGCATCGGGATCGTGTGGTCAGTAATCATTCCAGGAATGAACCAATTCTTCTTCTTTCGTTATCCCTCGGTCACTGTCACAGGTGTACGTATATTTGTCAATACCTCGTTTTCGTTCTGCCTCCATTTGAATTGATATGACGGGGCTAACTTAAGAAACAGATAGTCGCTCAATTGTTGTCGTTCCCTCTCTGTGTCCTCTGGGCTCGAATTGTACCGAGGGTCAAGATTTTTGGTGTATCCATCAATCCTGGTCCTTTCTGCGTCAAAGAGCATGTCTTGATAACAATCATGGCGACTGTCGGTTATAGCTCTGCTTACGCTGTGAGATTCACCTTTTTAACTGGCGAAATGTGGCACCGACAGTTTTCCACAGACGGATATCATTGCTGTACAGCGTGTATATTACAACCAGATCTACAACTTCGGGTACCAGTGGATGGTAGTCATGTCCACCCAGCTTGTAAGTATGGTCATGTGAAGCATCTCGAATTATTTTTCTTGACGAGTGTGCGCACGACAGATCGGTTTTTCTATTGGCGGTATCTGCCGCCGTTTCTTGGTCGCCCCACCATCCATGATCTGGCCAACTAATTTAGTCACTTGCGCTCTTTTCAATACTCTCCACTCGCAGCAATACGCCGGTATTGGTACACGCGGTGGTCTCTCCCGCGAGCGCTTCTTCACATACGCATTCATCGGCGCTGTCTGCTGGTACTTCTTACCCGGCTACATATTCCAGGCACTCAGCTACTTCAGCTGGGTCTGCTGGATCGTCCCAGATAACATTGTCGTCAATCAACTCTTCGGCTATGAATCTGGTCTTGGCATGTCGCTCATTACCTTCGATTGGAGCCAGGTACGTCGCGATCGCCGATGGACTACGCACCGGCTGATATGGCAATTATAGATCGCTTACATCGGCTCTCCACTGGCTACGCCATGGTGGGCTGAGGCGAACGTTGCGGTCGGCTTCGTATTCTTTTTCTGGATTCTCACACCGATCTTCTACTATACGAACACCTGGTACGCCAAGTACTTGCCGATTTCGTCGCGCACGTCATTCGACAATACTGGCGCATCCTACAACGTCACCAGGATTATCAACCCAGATTCAACGCTGAACGAGGAGATGTACAAGGCGTATTCCCCGCTTTTCCTCTCCGCGACGTTCGCAATGTCGTACGGTCTTTCCTTCGCATCGATCACGTCGACCATAGTGCATACATTGCTGTATTTCCGTAAGCAGATCTGGGTTCAGTCTCGCCGTTCGCTCTCAGAGCAGCCGGATATTCACGCTCGTCTGATGTCCCGCTACACCCCCGTGCCGGAGTGGTGGTACAGCGTCATCTTGGGTAAGCGCTTTACTCTAGGTTCGAGGTGTCCTGATACTGATGCATCAATGTAGTTACCATGTTCATCTTCGGCGTTGTTTCCATTGAAGTCTGGAAGACGCAGTTCCCGGTCTGGGCTCTCGTTTTGGCCTTGATCATCTGTGAGCTACTTCCTTCTCCCTGACCCCGTCAGCTGACAGACCTATTGGTGTCACATAGCTTTTGTATATACCATTCCAATAGGTATGATTCAGGCTATCACCAATCAGCAGATCGGTCTCAAGTAAGCTCTCGCACCTTCTTAGTTGTTCTTCAATCCGTTCATTAATACCCTCTGTCCCCAGTGTCATCACCGAGCTCATCATCGGTTATGCTCTCCCGGGCAGGCCGATCGCTATGATGATGTTCAAGACTTGGGGGTATATCACGATGTACCAGGCTCTCCAGTTCACTTCTGACATGAAGCTCGGCCATTATATGAAGATTCCGTTCGTCGCCATTTCACCGTGACCATTGACTGCGCGTTGACGTACGTTCTCCCTAGTCCCCGTGAGATGTTCTGGGCGCAGATCATTGCCAGTGTCATCGCTGGAACCGTGCAGCTCGGTGTGCAGGCGTGGATGTTCACCAACATCACTGACATGTGCTCGCCAAATCAGAAGGACGGCTTCATTGTGAGTAGATCAATATCTTGCTGTTGTGGATTTTATGTGGATGGCCGTTTCAGTGTCCCTCAACCGAAGTGTTTGGCACGGCGTCCATTATCTGGGGTGTCATCGGCCCTGCACGCCAGTTTTCCAAGGGTCAGATCTACTAGTGCGTATATTCACTCGAAATATTAGCCTCAGTGTTTAATTCGACTGTACTACAGCGGCCTTTTGTTTTTCTTCCTGGTGGGCGCGGTGTGCCCACTGATTTCATATGTCTTGTCGCGCAAATGGCCGAACTCTTTCTTCAAGTACGTGAACTTCCCGGTCATATTTAACGGCACAGCCTACATTCCGCCGGCATCCGCGCTCAACTACGCTCCCTGGGCGATTGTTGGTTTCATCTTCAACTACGTCATCCGCCGGCGCCACTTCTCGTGGTGGACGAAGTACAATTGTATGTGCTGTGTTCTGTTGCCTCAACCCACATTCAGAAGCTGATGATGTCCGTCCAGATATTTTGTCCGCTGCAATGGACTCTGGCCTTGCTGTGTCGGTCATTATCATCTTCTTCTGCCTGCAGTACCCCGCGGACGGTACGATCGGCCTGAATACTATCCAGAAGTGGTGGGGTAACACCGTGTTCCTCAATACCGCAGACGGGAAGGCGCTGCCGTACCTCACCGTCTCCGGGAACGCGACCTTCGGGTACGTCTTCCATCGTATACGTGTGGGAGCAAACTTGTGCTGATGATCTACTGATCGTAGGCCAAAAACTTGGTAGAAGCATCCGAGTCCACATGACATCTTGGCATAAATGTAGTTATGTATTTGTATTTCTTTTGACCGCGTGCGCGGTGACGCCGCCTCGAGGAAAGTGTTGTTAGATATAGTAGTAGAGGTTTCTGTACAATATTCCAAGGAGCGTCCGGGACTTGTTTGCTGTAATAGCTTGAAGTAATATAGATTATACCCGCCTGTCGTCTTTAGCTTGCGCGTATCTCCCGAACCGAAAGTAAACACGTCCTTAATCTCACACATTTGTTGTGCGCTATTTGTTTTGCGGCAATTCTGTCCGCTACTAGTAGGCTCCGAGCAAGTTCTGCCGCCACCTGGCGGCCTTTCGAGTACACTGTCCTGTCCTGAATTCTGATATCATTGTCTGTTGAGAAGAAGCTCGAGCTCAGCTACAGTAGGGCCGACTACAACGAGTTTGTAGCCAAGGGGGATAACGCTTAAGATACGAGATATAAACGACTGCCAAATTCTCACGCCACACAGGCAAGCTTCCCAACTTGGGGCCAGAAGGGCTCCAGTCGCGTCTTGCCGAACCAGGAAATGCATAGGCTTGGATACGACAAATATTGTCATGCATACGCACTGCACAAGGATCTAAACAGCACGTAACTACATAAGTTCTGGGTGTTGACATCCCCCTTGAGGCGCTGTGTTGCTTTTCGATTGACAAGGTATATTGGCGATTGGGCGCTGGTCCGCTGGACAAGGTCCCCTTGGTCACATTAACTACACCGGACAATTTTGCCTGAGATTAGCGTAAAGTTGTTGTGCTTCAGGTTGTATATGCGCAGTTGGTGAGTGCCATCTCCTTTAACCCATTCAAATTCATCCTCTCCTTGAACGATGCCCTTGTTGTCCACACCTGTGAGTACCACCGCGTGCAACAGCTCGAATCCGTCTGATTGGGAGCGTCGCTCTCGAGCTACAATCGCTGCTGTCGACTGGAACACACTCTCTGCGATTGCGTGTGGAGTTTGTGCAGTGCAATCTGCCGCGTGGGATGACCCGTTGCCGGGTGAAAATCATGTCGTCCGTTTCCTTCATCTAGACAATCCGGACAGAACGACCATCGTCGCCCGCGTGCCACATTCTCGCGATGAACCCACCCCCGAGCACCGTAGCGCTCTTTCCAATTGAATCTCCAGCGAGGTTGCGACTATGAAATACGTGGCCACGCATACTCACATTGCGATCCCCAATGTCCTGCATTTTAGGGCCCATTGGGACCATGGCGTGCATCGGCCTTTCATATTGATGTCGAAAGTCCACGGTGCACCACTCAGCGATGTGTGGGACGACATGGAGGACGGTCAGCGCGAGATCGTGCTCCGTCAGGTGGTTGACATCATTTTGGAGTTGTCTTTGCAACGCTTCGACAAGATTGGGGCCCTTTTCTTCAACAGGGGTGTGGGTTGCCCTGGTTCGTGGTGTATAGAACCCACCGCAGTCTTAGCCGAAGTGGATGACACGGCTGCTCGCTGCATGTCTTCCACATTTTCGAGCAGTACGGCATACTTCGAGCGTTACGCAACCGCCAACTTGCAGGCCTTGCGAAGCCGATTTTGGAAGCGATGTGAAGCCGTATCATTATACGCAAGCATGGTACATTCGCTCGCTCATTCCGGGCTTCTTCAATTCGTCGCTCGACGGAGCGGGGTTCTGTCTGTGCCAAGGCGACTTCAATTCTCACCATATCATGATCGATCTCACAAAATCCCAGCCTCGTATCACTGCAATCATCGACTGGGAAATTTCCAGCACACAGCCGATCGCCTCATTAGCGCGGTACCCGCCGTTCATCGTCAACCATCCTTTGTGGGGTAGCAACGACCCACTCCACGCGCGCAATATGCAGGACCAGACTACGTTTTGCAGGCTAATATGGGAGGCGGAGATTGAAGCCTGTCCGCGAGGCGGATTTGTATTCTCACGTCTCGTCGCCAACAGTGGTGGCATTCATCTATTCGAGGAGGCTCTCCGATGCCGCGATGCAAGATGCCACGCTAGATTCATGTCGTACGTCCTTGGTGAAAGGAAGAGACTTTCACTACCGACTACTACCTAAGCTTGATCGATACAGGCATGCTCAGGGAAGTGGCAGCACAGTTGTCGAGGGAGACTCAAGTTCGGGGGGAAGTAATGAATATTCTCGGCGAGGACGTGGTTCCCAGCAGTCTAAACAGAGAGCAGTTCCGGATAGTGGTGGACAATCATAGAGACGTCTTGAAGACGAGTAACTTGGTGGCGATGTGGTTGGCTGACGAAGTCTTGTGCCCCATGGCGGTCCCATCTTAAGCCCATGTACAGCATATATTGTCTGCGGCTACGCATGGACTGCAGAACCGTATACTATCATGCTCCATTGTCACAATTGTCACAATAATCTATTACCTGCATGATTGGCTTGAGAACCATCCGCATTGCCAGGGACACTTAATGCATCCGTTCAATAGGCGCAGTGTCGCCAAATTGTTATCTGCTCACAGTGAGTTACCCTCCAAAGAAAGCTACTTTCGCGGCAGTGCATTGGACCTTAAGTCCGAGTCTCAACTTCCGTTGTCTCGACCCGAGGTGAGTGATCTCATTTGCACACCAACCTCTCATGTAGTACGCTTATCTCATAGAAACAGCGATCCGAGTCACTGGCCGAGATCCGCCAGTGTCCATCCGTGGCCAGCACTCATGGGATATACTAGGCGCAAGTCTCGGTGCTGGTTCTCGCAGTCACAGCTGACAGTGGATGAGCGCATCTTGGATCCAGCCAATGCAACCCAAGACCGTTTTCAATCTATAAGAGCAATCTAATGATCCGAACCTGTGGGTTTGCAACCCGTCTGAACTCTAACAGTTCGCAGGGCCCGACGGGTACCTCGTTCAATGCCTTGTGGATTGTTGACTGATCCTAACTGAGCTAATCTGTTCTTCACACAGGAGAAGTGCGCCATCCCTGTGCCCTGGACGGAGTGAATCTGTTCAAGGACTGCGCCCACTTTTGGTACGTCAGACTGAAAATGTATGGCGACATACTTCCCCGTGTCCCAGAATACAATCGCTGATTCGGAATAGTGTCTGATCCGTGGCCAATTCAAGTTTGACTTACAGACGCTTCAGAAAGGCGATCACCAGCTCTTCGCCTCGTGTCCAGGTGAGACTACATCGCACATCACTGTATTTCGTAAAGATGAATTCATGCGCTGGTCAGCACTCATCTTGACTAAATTGATTTCCCATGAAATGTGACGGTGCGCTATAATCAGTTTGGTCGTGCGGCTGATCTGATCTACAATGACTTCCTTTTCCGGACATGTCGGGACTGCGAAGTTGCGCGTTCCTCCCAATCGAGTTGCCCCCGGTCTTTGAGACCATTAATTGCCGATATATTATATGGGCGTTCAATCCTCAGCGGAAGCTTCTTGATTCTGGGATCGTATGTCACGAAACCTTTTATATACATTTCGACGATCTGACATTTTTGGACCATCTTCAGTTGCCAGCAGGATGTTTGCATTGAAAGCAGATCGCCACTAGGTTCGCGGCAAAACTACGTATGACGGTCCGGTAACCCTCCTTTGCATGCCTACCACGTTCGTAGGCACTTAACATGTCTTGTAAGTGATGGCAGATTCTCAAAGGGATGTTGAGCGACTGACCTGTCGGAATTTGTGGTAGAATCATGTATATTGAGGTTTCCTCACTCGCAATCATCCAGCCGCTGTTCGGCCTGAGTGCTCTGGTTGGGATGATGAGCAAACTCTTCGGTCCACCCCCGCGTTTGTACTCACCCAGTCTCGTATCCTATACATGCTTACCACCACGAACACCTATTGGTTCCGATCTGGTCATTAATGTGTCGTCTTCCCTCATGTTCCGGCCGCAATACGCTGCAGACCTCCCAGTTGGATGTGAGCTCCCGTATTATTCACATGGAAGGGAAAAGAGGCAGCCATTGGCAATTCCCTGGATCGCCGGCCGCCGTCTTCGTTGAAGCACAGTGCATGAAGCAAGAACTGTTGTTCCCGGCCGATAAACACACTACAACTTCGACGGCGGAGCGCTGACATCTGGCAAGAGGCACGTATGAAATCTTTTGTCTCCTTAGAAAGCCTGCTCATTGGACGGTCCATAACTCTGTCTATGCCGCTGAGTAGCACACGGATAGATAGATTGGGCCGGAAACCGGAATGCAAGAAAATTCGTAGATGTGTGCAAGTAATATACACAACGTTTTCCCGTGGTAGGACATACAAGTGAGAGATGCCGACGGTGAGCAGAGGGATATTCAGACAGTGCCGGAAGATGTGATGGTGACTTTGGACTTTGGACGCCCGGAGTCGGTCCCGACCGCCTCAACCTGCTTCACGACGTCCATGCCATCGACAACCTCGCCGAAAACAACGTGCTTGCCATCTAGCCATGATGTCACCACCGTTGTGATGAAGAACTGCAAATCCACTACATGAGCGAGTATTCTGCCCTATGATGAACCGCTAGACTCACCTGCGAACCATTCGTGTTGGGACCCGCGTTAGCCATGGAAAGTAGACCTGGCTTGGTATGTCGCAGCTGGAAGTTCTCGTCTATTAAGACTTCAGCGATGAGCAGGCTGATATATCAACGAAACCCACCTGTGAACTTTTCCCCGTAGATCGACTTCCCGCCAGTACCGTTGTGACGTGTGAAGTCGCCGCCCTGGAGCATGAACTACGATTTCCAAGCAGAAGGGGTCGGTGACACGTAGATATAGAACACAAAAAACTCACGTTTGGAATAACTCTGTGGAACGAGCTGCCCGCGTATCCGAATCCATGCTGGCCTGTTGCAAGTTCCCGGAAGTTCTTCGCGGTCTTGGGCACAACGTCGTCGAACAGCCTGAACACTATCCGGCCAGCAGGCTTCTGGTCGACGGCCACGTCAAACTGCGCAGATTGTCACCTTAGCATCACGTCCCGCAACATTGGACAACAACACCAGCAAGTACTAAGTACTCACAAATACGTTCGACCTGGTCATCGAAAATGACGCAGATAGTCAATATGCGCTCAACAATTTCATAGCAGCGTGATTACATCGGTGTTTTGGCAGCTGAACCTGAGGTAGCGAAGCGGCGCAGGAAAGACGCCATTTTTGACGCGGGAACCAGTGAGCGGAGGGGATAGGAAAGCGGCAACGAGTCAATCGAATTTTCGCGGGGGCTGTAAGCGCCGGCGTAGTCGAACTCACGTGAATGTGGCTGAGACTCAGAGGCTCGGTAGATTACTAGATAGATTTAGGTCGGAGGGTTGAGAGGGAGGCTTTGCGGTGATACAGAATCCTTCGTCGACCGACGCTCTTTATACTAGGTACAGATATGTATTTCTCCAGGCAGCCTAATTTTAACGCGATCTACACAGTGTGAACTTGATTTCTCACTAGATCACGAATGCAGATTACATTGTCATTTCCTGAGAGAGGATACTCGAGTGAACCCGCGAGGAGAACGGGGGTAGCTTCTCTGCGACACGAGAAGAGCGACCTGGACCCTCGGCCCTCCACATCTCGAGGAAGGAGGTGGACAATTACCGTACACCTCCACTCCACGTGTTGATTAGTACCATTGGACAGGCCAGCGACACAACAAGATAGGCCACGAAGCCATGGTGCCAAGCTTAAGGAAGACAAAATTTCAGCTCAGAATCGAGGGCGTGGCGCAGGGAAGGGGATGGCGGGCCAGGTGCAGTGTGTCTCCCGCGGTCGGCAAGATGTCTGAAATTCGGCAGGCGCACAGATAGGAATAAATGAAAGTCTGGGCTCCGGTGGTTCCATACATCGCGCACGAGGATACGGTAGACGTCTTTAGAGCGAGCATGGTTCGTCTTAGCCGCCGCCGTCGTGCCGAAGTATGGGCACCTTGCCGTCAGGCTGGGTGGACATATCACAGCAGCCAGAGGTGCATAGATAGCACGCCATGCCCTTGTACGTGACCTGTCACACGGGGATGGGAGCAAACTGCAAAAGTAGAGTCACGATCATCACATCGATGACACTTTCCCAATGCCTTACAGCGTCAGCTGTGCCGGCGTTTTGTAGCAAAGGTTGCGCAATATCTGGAAAAAGAAAGCATAAAGCTTTAGGTCAAAGACAGCAGCTACACGGATGGATATCGCTCACCGGAAGGACATCGAAGTCTCCCGACGAACTCAGACCCGTGCAGTTGGACATCAGAGTACCATCGTCCAATGACGTTCAACAAAAAGCAAGCCACGTTGCTGATGAGTCCATAAGCGTTAGTTACAGCAATATTACCGCAATCCGCAGTAAGCTTAGAGGGATTCACGACTTGAGGCAAATGGGGCACTTGTTAGAAATCAGTTCAGATCAGATCGGCATTGGCAAGAAGAATGCACGAGCACTTGTAGCCAATGCACATAGGTATCACAGGAATTATTGACAAGATTCAACGGCGAAGGAAGACACACCTTGGAAGTAGGATGAGACGGGACAGGATACAGGAGGATGAGAAAGTCTCCCTGGCACTCGAGGTGCGGAATACAACGGACCGGATACACCAGCTCGGATAAACTGACATGACCACAGACAATAAAACGTACAAGAGGTGAGAAAACACGAGGCATCGCAAGTGAGTGCGTTCCTCTTCGCAAGTCCATCATCCGTATGGAGATGGCAGGATGAACGAAGCTAACGAGTCAATACTATTCAATATTGCGGAGGTGATAGCTAGCGTTAGTCACGTGTATGCGTCTGCCACGGCATTAAGTTTTCGGCATACACGGTTATCCAGTCTCAAGAATCCTTCTTCAGAACTCGCTCTAGCCTCTAGCACAGATGAGTCTATTCAGAAACCCCCCGCGGGAAACTAATTCCCCCTTTCCCCGGAACTGCTGAAGAGAAAAATGCGAACATCAAAGGAATGTCAATGAGCGCCAATGACGGCGTCAACCACCGAGTACCGCGACTCCCTGACATTAATATTGCTCGCCGTGTCACACACGGGGGACCGCGTCCGCGTAATCATTGGAGACGATAAGCAATGGCCGGCTGCCGCATTTTGGTGTGTGCTACCTCTTTGGTCTGTGTGTCAAGGTGCCCACTTGATGCAAAGCTTTCTCACCTCACCTTAACAACGATGGGACACCACTACTCGACGTGGTAGGCGATGAGCGTGCACTCGATAAACAACATCGGACACACCGACCAGCGCTAGCACCCGACCAATGCGTGCGCCCCCACAGAGCTTGACAGCGGACCCAGGAGACCGCTGTTAAACATTGACAGGTAGCGTCTTCGATTTTTCAGAGCCATGATGAAATTACCAAAAGCAGGGGGGGTTCTGCGCAAACCGGGTTTCTGAATAGACTAATTCCTCTAGCAGCCCAGTCTACTGCGGGATAGAAGGAAACGTGGAAACGTGTCGACGACTGATGTCTCATGTTCACCGTCAAGTCACGGTACCTTTTTCTAGTCGCGGAGTTGTACGTGTCCTGCTGATGCTTAACTTGGAAGGTCTTTCTGCATTGAAGACATTCTAAGCCTGGACAATAATCTGAGGATCAGGTATCGTGGTCTTCGAAGTCACAGCGCTCAGCATCTACGAGCCACCTTTGGACTGATCAGGGTTCCTGCAGATCCATTATCGAGGCCCGCGGACCAACCAATTCAACCGAATCTACAGGTTTCGGCCTCTCAGGAGGGGGAGGAAAGAGAAGCCCGCTATGTTGGTTGTAACCTTCAAGGCCGAAGATGATGATCGATTTCTCGGCTTCATTAATTTATTTCATGCTCTAGGCCCCATCAGACCCAAGTTCATCGGACCTTCGCAGTGCGACACCACCGGAGAGGCACCTTCGAAAACTGCGCATTCCAAAAGCCGCTGGATCATCGACTCCGCTTTCATCTGAACTTCCATCTGCCCATGTTGTCAAACAAGGTGCTTTGAATAGCTATCCGGGCCGGTCATCTTCGAAGGTATATGCAAACCTAGCATGCCGCCGCTTGCACCCCGTTATGGTGAAGTAAATGTGGGGCCAATCTCGGTGAGGATCGTGCGGAGTAGCCGTCTGGATGAGGAACATTCCAACTTCCTCACTGGTGCGTATCACCTCGTGGGCAATCCAGGAGCCGAAGCAAACACGAAGAGTACGACCGGGGCTTTCGTGGGCCTAGCTTCCATGAGCACCACCTGTGGAGTACGGAAGAGGGTGCACGTGTACGGCGATAGAATGTTCTGAGTCTTCGCGGTGCGTTCTGCTGCTTCTCAAGGTACACAACCTTGAACGAACACGAGCTCGAGTGGTTCCGCGGTGGCTGCGATGTAGAGCTATTGTGTTGTTCCAGGCCGAGGCCCACACAATTCGGAGGTTAGCCGTAAATGGGGCGCAACCACACCACTGACATCTTCGAGACTACGTGTATGGAAAAACACGCCCTCCAATGTTCTGCTTCTATTCCTCTATGCGCCGTTGCTCATGATTTCTGTGTACGGTAATTCACGCAGTACTCATGAGACACTGTCTTCACAGCAGCAGAGACATCACACTTCCTTGACAGACCCCTTATTATTAGTGCCTATCTTAGCATACGTTTGGGACTGTTCCTTGGCGCACTTGCTCGCATACTTGCAGTATAAATACACAGATTGCATCATCATGATCATCATGCAGTTTGCAATGGTGCACAATGTGCTTCCAGGCTAGCCTCTCCCGCAACGAAGTTATACCTCTCCAAGATACAATTCAACTCGGGACACTGTATCTGAATCAAGAGTCCGTTGCTGCGACTTCTTGCTGCGACTTCTTTTCTCATTCTTCGCAGACATAGCCGGAATTTGTACGAAGTACAGAGACTTATGTACCATTATCATGATTACGGCGACATGTCGTGCCCCGTGAAAGGATAAAATAGACCTGCAACAATGAAGCAATGAAGTACCTGGTGAAGAAATGAGAGACATAACAAAAGGGTGTTCTATGCCCTATAGAGAATGTATACAGCAAGAGGGGGAGGACTGCAGGGCATCTCAATAGAAATGGAAGGCGTAATGTATGGTGTAGCCAGACCCAGGAGCTCTGGTGGACCGGCTACTAATGGCGAGCAAACTTACTCGCCTTCCGTATGCGTTCGCCATAGAACCATAATATGAATGGCCTGCAGTGATGTCGAAGATTAGCAATGACAAAATACTGCGAATAATATCAAGATATGCACGCTGGGCAACCGACGACGATCCCTACTGCGGCAAGGATAGAATTTCCTTTGCCGTACCCTAGCGCCGTGTACATTGAGGGAGCGAAGAGCGGAAAGCCAAAACCTGCGAGACTGCGCAGGAAGGTGATCGCAGCCAGGGCTGTGTGCAGAGCCGATCAGCAAGCGCCCGGACATGGGTGTGGAAGTCATATACCGGAGGCGGCGTGCATTGAGAAGGCGTCGACGACGTATGTCTGGATGCTGATGAAGTTCAGAATGGTTCCCGCGCCAACTAATGCAATTCCCTGGGGAAAAATTAGATGGGGAGCACGGACAAGAGAAACTGGAAGATGCTTACAATGTCCGGGACGACCCAATGAATACTGCGCTTAGCTGTCCACCCAGAAATGAGCAGGCCGATAGGGGTGAGCAGCGTACCCGGAATCATGGACGCTGATCGACAGAACGATCAGTCGGTCTCCCCAAGGCACGTCCACCTCCAACTTACGGAGTCGATACTCAGGCTTTCCTTCGCCGCCGTGTTTTTGCATCAAGTGCTTGTAGAGCTTGTCCAACATGAGCGCGTTGAGCTGCGCTGCACCGACTAACCCCACGCCAAGCGCGAAGTAGTTGAGCCCAGCAATCCCCACGGTCTCGCGATAGACGAGTTCGAAGATCGAAGGCATCGTCGTGAGGAAGACTATGATTCATAGTGAGTGAGGGCATCACACAGCTATGCTTAAGGCGACATACTGTAGAGCAAGCCGTAAACGAAGCAGAAGTACACCCCGAGAAGCTGGACGATCGGTTCGTGGATGAAGAGCATGAGTGGCCGCCTCAGTGCTCGTGCCATAGTAGATTTCCATCTGCAAATAGTGGTCAGCTCAAAATTGAAATTCGGGGAGAAAACGATGCTACTGACTCTCGATCCGCATTGTCAAACTTCGAACGGATTTCACGGGCGCGTGCAGCCTTCTCCGTCGGGTTCTTCCGCAATTCATTCGCCTTCCGCGCCAAGAGGAGAGGAGCAAAGGCTAATGCGCCACCGCAACAAATCAGTCAGCCACGCACGGTAAAGTAGTTCGGCCGGCTTACACTCTTTCAGGAAGAACAGACCAAGGACTTGGATCACTGCGTCTGCGATGCTTGTGGAGTAGAACTGCAGCAGTCTGTCACAGGCTGTCGCTCGCTCGCGGAACAGAAAATTATATTTACCACCCATCGCCAAGTCGACTTCTGTGCGATCCATGCACCGACAACGGGACCAATGACTGGTCCAAGCACTGGAGCGACGGAGTATAGAGCGATAGCTTTCCCTCTTTCTTCCGGCTTCCAACAGTCTGCGAGGACGCCACCGCCGATCTGCAGGCGAGCGAAGTAAGCAAATATGAAAGGCTCGAGGGTCAATATCAAGACGACAGACCGAAAGCGGCGCGCTGCCTCCAAGGCCAGCAAGAAAACGGAAAGCCATTATCTGGCTAGTGTTTTGGGAAAGACCACAACCGATATTCCATGCTTTTCGGTGTCAGACGTTTCAACGAATGTGACGCGATGATACTGGACTGCGCACCCAGATACCACAAGTTTGCGAGCTGAAGTACTCTTGAGCGTCCGTACAGTTCACTGAGGGGTCCGAGGAGCAACGGTCCAAAGGCTATGTGGGGAGAACTGGTTAGACTACTGCCAACAACATAGTTCTTTCAAGACATCTACCATATGCAAGAACAAATATGGAAGTTACGCAAGCCAACTCTGTGCTGTTGCCAATACCGAAGTGCTCGGTGAGTTGAAGGCTTGCAGGGGCAATAATAGAAGATGTAACAGGTGTGATGAAGGCGAACGCAGACACGACTACAGTAGCTGCCCATTTGCGCCTATAACTCCAGCTACAATAGGGCGTATCAGTACACCATATTAACGATCGTAGACATAGTGGCTCACTTCATTGGATTTTCCGGATCTTCAGGTCCATCCCAGTCAACGATGAAGACATCAGATTCTTTCGTTGACTCTGTATCGTGGAGAGCGTCGAAATGGACCTCAGTCGCTCCAAATTGGTTTTCTATATCGACTTGAGAGACCACTGGCGACCCCTTGGAGTCATCTACAGACAACGTGCTCACACTAATTATCCGATTGGTAGACATAATTACCTGTCCATGCACAAGAGTAAGAGTCGCTGAATAAATGACCTCGCTCACATACTCACTTAGATATGAACTGGAGGGAAAGGCGGACTGGACTGTGACGCTTCGCTCCCTTCAAGCTTGTGCTTATATGTATGATATGATGGCTGTCAACTACGATTCGGTAGTTCTGGCTCCGATTATGCAGGAAATGCCCTGTGGGACGACCAAAGCGACTGAACAGATGGCGCATTTTGAACCCACGCTGCTGATATTGATTCGCCTTCAAACGTCGGCAGTAAAGAACGGCCGCATCTATATCTTAGCGTGCATGCGACGTGGGCCACTGGCGCTCAGTGAAATGGTACAGCTATTCGGTTCCGTCCCACCAGCCATTGATCTCATAAGGACCGATGGCGGAGCAAAGAGAAGACGGCGCACCAAAAACCCGCGTGGAGCTAAAGAAACATAATTATGGGATGAAATAGAGATGTGGTTGCAGCGGCAGAAGATATCGAGCTTGTTTTCCTCCGAACTACGCCGGATGCGAACAGGTCGGATTCTACGAAGGAGTCGGCGGCCGACATAGGGACACATGAGATTGTGCCGTCAACCAACGATATTGACGTCGATGGAGAGTAGAAACAAAGTGCGAGAGAGTGAGCCTGAGCTAGTACACGAGTAAACGAGCAAATTTAACTGACTACGCCGATAATACAGCTCAGGGTCAAAGTCACATGCCGGTTTCAAATATGGTGTTTCAATTTCGTCCACGTCGTCGGCACCGCTCAGGTTTTCCTGCTTTTAACTCACAGCTGTCAATTTCCTACAGCTTCAAGACTAGAAGATATGTTGATGTCACTCTTCCTTCACCCGTACGCCATTTTCACATCACATCGGTCAATGGGTATCGAAGAGAGGAGCGATTGTTCCAATCTACTGGTGTGAGTGCTGCCGGTGCAACTTGCGTTCAATATCCGACGACCGATGCGATTATAGTCAAGATACGAGGCATGCCACTTCAATTCCTTTCTTTGTTTTATTGTATTTGTAAATCTTACCCCAGTGCCTCCAGCGCCCCTGGGACAAAACATTCAGACATCCGACCGCCGCCAGACATGTCATATGATTGAACGTCATGCAGACCCGTAGCTCTTTTAAGTACAACGAGTCTCGCAACATGAAGACCCTATGCGCCCCTTCCAATTACACGCTTCGTAACTTACTATAGTACTATGATTGCAACTACTACTAGCACTCCCTGGGCGTACTTCTGCGTCAGGTATCCCTACCACTACGTGTATTACTCGTCGATGACTCGCTGAATATTTTTCCAGGTTTTTTCTGAGGCTTGTTCTCAACATATTCTATGGAAATATAGTTGTAGAGAATACGCACCTGATTCCTGGAAATGGGGAGGCTTGGTACGCACCATCTATTGCAACACGCGGCTTCCTTCTTATTCTCCACCATAGCATTGTTTGTGCCAACCACGATAACTCGGTCACCGATGCTGCGTGAGTGCAGCATTGATAGGAGAATATTGCGAAGGCTGATTTGGTGACTCAACAGAATGCTATTGGTTTCGATTCCGCAGAAGGTACATCTGCTATATACCCTACGTCTTGTATTACTCACAGTTCTGAACCCAGCGGAGAAGTATGCTGAGGGTCACAGCTAAATCAACTCATTTTGGGAAGACTACATTCGTGGCATGGCTTATTTCACTGACTGGGGCGGTTCCTGTGAAGCGACGGGTCGATTTCGCAAATGGACAGGTTGACAACAGTGAAGCATTGCTGAAACTGGTTGAGGTATTATCTTTGGCATTCACGATATGGTAACATTGGCTGATACTAGGAATCAGGCTCTTGAGGTCGGAGAAGCGGTCGGTTTCTTTCCAGAGGGTGTTAGTCGCTACAGTTCAGCACTTGCACCAATGAGGTCTGGAGGTAAGTGTGTATTCGTTGCATGTTCCCTGAATGCTCATTTCCTCCAGTGGGCCGCCTCGTTTCACAAGTTCTTTCGAGAAACCGCAACAAGCCGGACTTTGAGATTTCCATTCTTCCGTGCTCGATAACCTACATGTGAGTGCGTTTAATCCGTGGTGTCCCGCATGCCTACTGACGCTTTGGTACTACTCAGGAACCGACAACACTTCCGTTCCGATGTGTTGGTTTCTTTCCAGCCGCCTATGAAGTTCAAACCGAAGGTGAGCGAGCTACAGTGACTAAGCGGATGATCCGCTCGCTTAGTACCGTGTAGGACCACCCTGAGTTGTTGGAACCCATCGAGTTCAACCACATCAGGAGGTTGACGGCGCAAATAGAGGAACGGGTCGGTGCGGGGACGCTTCATGCACCCTCATGGAAGATGCAGCGCAACGCAAAGATGGCCGCACAGCTCTACGCCCCTCTTGGTACCACAATAAGTTTGGGAGACCACGTCCGGACTGTCAAGATCTTCCTTGAGGCGTTCAAATCTGCGCATGCGGCGCGGGAGCCGTGCACGCCAATAAAAGAGATAGTACCCTTGTTTGGCGAGTATGCGAAGGACGAGAGGGACAAAGTCGCGCAGCTGGGGGTTGCTTTGCAGGTGAGGCGTTGTTCCGAGCATTCGCACTTCGTTTATCGGTACCTCCGACTCATCTCTCGCAGGACTATACAGAACGTCTCACCCATTTGCGGATCAATGATGACCGTATTCGTCGCCCTCTACGACGCCTGGCCGTCATTGGTAGGATTGTCCTGCGTTTCCTGTGGGCCTTAATACTCTTCACGCTCTCGTTCCCGGGCTTGATTCTCTGGTTGCCCGTCTTCGCGTCATCATACGTTGGTGTACGCCTACTCAAAAGCAAGACCGCCATGGCTGATGCCGAGGTCCGTATCGCGCACACGAAACAGCTGTGCGGTACGTTTGGGATATTCCTCGTAGTAGCCGTAAGCACTGTATATGCTGCCACGGTTTCGCCTGCGAGAGCACTTCTCGTTCCCCCGGTGATGTGGATGTCCCTCCGGTGGCTCGAAGATGGCGTCTCCTCGTTCCGTGCGTTCGTCGTGCTCATGCGTCTGCTCGCGCTTGGTCCCACCGCTCTCCACCGCTTATACGTCGCGCGCGAGAACTTGCGCGGTCTCGTCATGGACTTCGCGCTTCAGGAGCTGGGCCTGCCGGATGACCCGGCGGAATTCTTCGCGAAGACTGCGTGCGGAGACAAGAGACGGGCGAACGGGCAGTGGACGGGCGGGATGGACTATTTCTCGATCATTAGGAGGAGGAAGAAGGACTGGAACGAGGTCCTCAGGTTGTCCGAACCGGTAGTGTATCCGGAGGACGATACCTAAAGTGGATTCCTCCCCACTGCTCGATCCCTACCGGATCAAAGCTTGTTGAGTTCTCCAAAACACGATGTCGCTCCCGGTGCAGTGCTTCATGTTCGAAGTTTCGTATGTTTGTCGATTCTCAGACGTTATAATTTGAACTTTCAGGATCCTTTATTCCGACTAATACGCGATCATCAGCATCGTAACCCTCATTTTTTGTAGAGCTACTATGTAGAACCGACATCGACTCTCTTTGCTCAGCTTGGGCCATTGTTGCCACTTTCCTGCTCGCTGAAGGGCTACTGTTGTAGAATTGTATTTCCTGTCGTATGTGATAGAAGTTTAGGTACAACTGACGCAATAAAGTGCGTTCCTGCTCAAGCTTGCCGCACCCTAGTGAAATTATGGGCACAAGTATCTTGTGGCGTTGCATACTTGCATCGCTGCCCACTGTGGCTTCTATGACACTTGAGATCAGTCTTTGAACTTGATCTCTGCGGGATGTCCTCACATAGTACCCAATACATGGCACACCTTGTCAAACATAGTCAAATGACCACCCAAGCTTTTCCGACCAGGCGCCGTGTCTTCTGCAATTTTATGAAACTTATTGTTTCGAGGTTACAAAATTTCTCTGTCAGGGAAGGACGCAGTACAACGTCTTCCAAATACTTCATCGATTACGTGGATCTCTGTCTTGATATGCATTGGGCAAGAACCGAACTTATCAGGTGTGCGAAATTGTGATGCTGACCACTACTCCAATCTTGCTGAGGTCACTCTGCTTGCAGGGCGGATTTCCTCTCAATATTGTTCGTCGTCGCTTATTCGTCAGGTTGAGAAGTCGGATCAGTAAAGCACTCCACATTGGATCTGATCGGCATGTAAGTGGTGCGGATCTTGTGGATATTGCGTCGTTGGGTATCATCTCGTGAAGTTTGAATTGAGTGCCGATCTCGAAGGTCTGTCATGAGTTACCATTTGTGACTTCTTTTTTAATGTACAGCATTTGTCTTATCTCGATTTCTGGTCACGTTCTGACGAGGTGAGTAACCTCGTGTTAGCGTAGTCAGTCAATTTTAGTCGTTTCCTCGTCAGGTTCCGTGTCGATTGGGCGGATCGAGGCCGAGTACGGGCCGCGCTCACTGCCGTTTGCTTCCGGTGTCACGGTATGGGGCACAGCATCATCACATCGTGTTACCACGCCCACCCTTCATCTATTCTCTCATCTCTTCTTGCACATTCTTACGACCTTCGACTATATTCACACAATGGGTGAGTTCAATGTTACTGTTGAAGAATACTGTTGACTGACAAGGTTGATGATCAATAGCTGCGAGTTTTGAGAACCGTAGCATTCAACTAGCAGCAGTGCTGTTGATGCTTTCAGCTTTACCAACAGCGCATGCGTACTGTTATATTGATTCGTTAGTACCTTTGGTCACAGTTATGCGATTTTGCGTGTCCCCTAACGGTTCTGACAACAGGGATGGATATGAACGATGCACGATGGCTACAGGTGTACGGGCTGCAATAGGGATCGTCATTGGTGAGGATTGTCTATTGTTTTTGTGAATACCGTTATTAACTTGTTCAAATTTGAGTAGCTGTGGTAGTTGTGTTGCTCCTTTTCGTCGTAATGTGGATGCGGAGACGTCAAGTGCAGCGCCGCAATTTGGCGTATATCGCTGCGCCTGCCCCGGTTCCCCCTCCTGCGTACCCACAACAGGGATCCCCGTACATAGACGGCGGGGCTTACATGGCCAATGGCAATGCTGGTTACTATCAACCAGAATACCCTCAGTACCCACCTCCCACGCTTGGCGGATACGATCCACAGAACGGCTTTGCACCGGTGAGTTCTTATTTCCTGGCACTTGCCTGGATAGTTCAGAAAACCTGATTTCTTTCTCCGATAGCCGTATCAGCCGCCCAAATATTCTCCTCCTGCAGGTGTCTCTCCTGCCAAAGTGGATGTCTGATCATCGACTACGACCATGGCAGCTTGTTTCACTGTTCTGTACACATCCATTCACGGTGTATATTATGCTCTTGCTGTATTACCTGCAGTGCAATGTAATTTCTTCTGAAAGTTTGGTGAAACCTGTGTGAAATCGCGACGGATCACGAGTTTGCGAACTTGTTCCAGACACTTTTCGCTTCCTCTCCCCGTCTTCAATATTCTTGTTCTATTCTTTGTTGTCAATTGTCACGGTCAACGTTCAAGCTTGTGCCAATCTGCCGGAACGCTTGGCTCGAAATATTCAGAAATACCGACGTCGCGACGTCGCTTAGCGACGCTTACCCCAAGTGTAGCCTTCACTTCCCCTAACTCCTCAATTCACTGCCTTGCGACATTTCCTTGTCGATGCCCAGTCTTTTCTCTCGAGCACGCACCATATCCACACCGAAGAAATCCGACGCTGCAGCCGCCTTCGACGAATTTGGGAGGATTAACAGCAGGGGCTCCGCCCGCACCCTCATCGTCTCTTCGACAAAGCACAAGAAGTCGAAGAAGGTCGCCTCGCCAGAGCCGGAAACTCAGGAATGTGAGGTCCCAGACGGTAGCTTTCTACCCCTGAACCTCGATCCCCCACGTTTCGAGGCGGGCGAGGAACCGGGGCGGCAGAGCAACGACTACGGCTACCTCTCGTACGGGCGACATGTCGTGCTGGGGCTCGAAGAGGTCGCACGGCTGGTGGACGTTGTGGGGAACGAGCTGGGCACGCGGGGACTGACGACGCCATTCATCTTCTCGACGTTGGCTCTGGACGTGTCGTCGTCGGCGGTGAAGCGACCAATACAGGCATTTCTGAGGACGTGTAGCAAGCCCGGCGTAGAGTCGGAGCGGCAATGGCGAGACGAGGCTCGGTTTGCGGGCCCGCACGAGCTCGGGATGTGTCTCCGGTGGGGACTAGCGCGGGTAGTGCGCATCGTGAAGGGGCAGGAGGTGCGCGGCCTGCTCGGATTACAGAGCTACGTCGACTGGAGAGACGCAGAGACTGGTGCGTACGCCGCGTCCGCTCACCGGGTGTCGCACTGACCGCTGGCCTACGCCGCCGCCGCCGCAGCGTTGAACTATCCCGAGGCGCATTTCGCTGAGTTTCTCGCGCCATTGGAGCCGATTCTACAGTCGCTGCTCGTCAACTTACTCTCGTTACTGACACGGTTCACGGCGCACTCGGCGTCGTCCGGGCACACGCCGCCGACGCTCTCCCCGTTGTTTGGCCCATTGCTGTTTGGGCTCGGACCGTCGACGCTGGCGTTCCATCACGTCTACATGTATTACCTGCGGGCAACGACAGCCACGGAACACCTCATGCTGTCGTTTATCCGCTGGCAGGACGTATCAGGGACTGGGTCCGGTTCAGGCTCGAGCACGCTTGCGCTGGGTGTCCCGACGAGGTTGAAGGCATGGATCCACGGATACCCCGGGATGCTGCCGTCCATCTGCAAGCACGACCGGCCGCAGCCGCGGCGGGGCGCACGCACGGTGAGGGTCTTGAGCGTGCGGCGCAACGTGCGAATGTACTCGCCTGACCTCGTTAAGTCCGCCGCCAGCTGGGGGCACAGACCACGAGGTCCAACATCTATTGCTGGTGAGCGTGCGCTCGTGAACTCGAAGGATTGGGAGCGCATCGCACCGTCTTCGCTCAAACTCCAGCCCCGTTACTCGGACGCGTACAGGAAGCGGATGGATCTCCCATCAACATTTTATCCCGACACTGGCGGAAGTTCTCCCGCATCAACCAACACCGTCCCTTCGCTCGCATCGTCCGTTTCCACGACATCTTCAGTGACATCAAGTCTTTTTGACGACCAAGAACATTCGATTGGGAAGGCAAGCGAAGACCGCTTCAGGAGTCTCACAGATTTGAAGTGGGGAGAATTTGAGGTAATGGGCTTCGGTGATCTTGGTGCGGACGAGAAGAAGCTACAGTTCGACCTGACAGAGGGCGCGAGAGCAGTAAGTCGCATTCATTGTGTTTGCACAATGAGGATGTGCTATGTATATTAATGTACACGCGTCTTCAGTCCCGCGCAGCCAAACGTGCGACGCTCACCTGGCAGGATTTTTCTTCATCTGGATTTACGCGCTCAGATGCACCCTTGAACGCAACGCTTCAATTTAGTCCTCCTGTCACGAACACTGTCAATTCATGGCCATCGCACTCTGCAGAAATTTCACGCAAGCTGAAGAAAACGCAGAAGTCGCTGCCGGCTTTCGGGTGGGACACTGAACCGGTGATGGGCTCGGAGGAAGTCATCGAAGAGGCTTTCCTCGATGTATTTTGTGATTTGGTATACGGTGGAGGGTGGATGGATGCTGAGAGGTGGGAAGAGATACATCGCGAGTGCAACTGGGCATTGGTAGGTGTTGACATTTGCATTTGTTAGTGCATGGTTCTACTAACTTTCTACCGTGGCTTAGGTGGAGTTCAAATCTCTCCCAGTCACGAGAACCACAACATCTGGAACTGCAGATCCACGCACATCGACTACGCTCATTCTCTTCGAAGAATTTGTCCCTTGGGAATATCAGCAACAACTCGCAGCGTCTGGTACGAATCGACGCCGGTTGCCTTCGCTCTTTGGTAATACGTCGAAATCAAAGCAATGGAAGCCTGCCGCAACCCTGAATGGTCGGCCTTATGTCATTGGACACGTCCCTAATAGCCCATCATATCGTGAAGTCGAGTTCGAAGGTATGCTCCGCTCGAATGGCAGCACGACAAAAATCATCTCGCTCGCCCGCAGCCCATCCAAAGAATTTCAGCGAGAGACACGTTCGCCAGGCCCCGCTGCGAGCACCGTCGCGACTCCTGGCCATAGCGAGGCGCTACTCACAGTAGCACCCGAGAAGTGGCTCAATCCCGTGCCACGTATACAAGCCCGCACCGATTCGCCTACTCTACGCATACTCCGTCAGGAGGCGGTGGCGTCTCCGAGTCCGAGCACCAAGAGACGGTTCCGATTACCTGTCAGTCCAGGTGGGTCACGACGCTCTGGCGTCCCGCCTGCGGAGTACGAGAACGTAGACTTTGACACCCGCCTAGCTAGTTTTGACGAAGATGATCTCGGAAGCGGGAAGCACAGCAAGCGCCAGTCTAAAGACGATGCGTGGGTCGACATTCTTGTTGCCAACAACAGCCGCCGCATGGCCGGCCAAGACGTAGATCTGCGCAATGGTCATGGGCTCAAAGGTGGAAGGTCTGACCCGGAGCTGGCGAGCCAGGAGGTGTCCGAGGTATTGGCCTCTGTACGGGAGCACCTTTCGGCGGACGACAATGATGACACCGACATGGAGCCTGTAGAATCGCTATGTGGTGACGCGGAACGTGGCGAAGACACTACAACGCTGGGAGAGTCTGTCGTCTCGCGAGAGCAGGCTCGGGAGTCCGCGCTATATGGGGGAGATGATGAAGAGGACGAGGATGAGGACGAAGAAGAGGCACACGTTCCTGTCTTCAGAAAAAAGTTGGGATATTTTGATCTCCATCCAGAGCGACGAGCTACCCGGAACGACGATGACGACCCCCGCGACCGCTTCGAAAGACCATCCCTTGAGAGTGAAGAGCTCCATAATGACGTCCCGATTGTGGTGGAACCCCCAACCCCCGTACATCCCGTGCATCCTGTGCATCCGAAGCTCGATGGTACATCTTCATCGTCGTCATATTCCAAGTCGTCATATTCTAAGTCGTCGTACTCCACAGATGACCGCACAAAGGCTGAATTCACCCCCAGCACGTCTTCCATGCAGTCGAATGCTGACACCAGTCCCTTAAGGGATGCGGCAGCCAACCTGTCGTCATTGGGCAGACGTTCCCCGCTGCCACCCTCTGATGACAGTAGAGCCGGGCCCTCTTCCATCAGGCCTCTGCCAACACCGAGCAAGACTGCTTCGCTCATCGAGTTGTACCGTGAGCGTGAACGTTCCGCGATCTCTAGTCCTGCACCCATTCCCGCCTCGCGCTTGCCTGTTCGTACGACAGCCTCGCTCCAAGCGCAGTCTTCACCAACAGAGCGTTCACCCTCTCCATCTGGACATGTCCCTGTACCACCGGCGGCAATTTCTCCCACAGCGGGAACATCTGCGTCAGTTGCAATGCTCTCGGAGACAGAGGAGTCAGATGTGGACGCGGAGTCTTTACCCTCAGATCGGGAGCCCAACCTTCCCAACCGGTACGTCCATGGTGCGCCTTTGCATAATGTCACCGAGGAAGAAGAAGAAGGAGAAGAAGGAGGAGAAGAAGAATAGGAACGTTGACGACGATAGTACAGCATTGCGTTCTGCTGCAGTGTGCGTACTACCGTTCCACATTTGTGCTTAACAATTCTGCCACTGTATATGCGGGGTCCTCCTGGCCTGGTCGCTTGGGACGCTCGTACGTATACCTACATATTCTGGGGCAGCATGCGTGCTGCGCGCTTTCACTCTCATTTTGTTTTATGCTTTCTCTTTGTGACAGCACGGCCGCCGAACCTTCAGGCACCGCGCCCTCCGAACGCTATCCGTTATCAGCTATATACTTTACGTTGTCCCCTCGTTAGCGATACCTCATACGGCTTGCGACTCCAGCGCCGCATTCTAATCGTTCCTTGTCGTGTCTTCCCCATTCCTCGTCTTGATTCCACTGTTGGTATCTACGTACATATGCTTCTCGTGCCGCTATGTTGTTCTGCAATAATCTCATGTTCAAAATCGTGCTCGATAATTCGCAATACGAGGGTACCGGTGGTAGTTCGAGATGGGAATACTGTGTAAGGTGACTCGTAACGTAGTGCAAATTACCCCGACCAGCACGAGATCTGATATGCTGTTCGTCAGCGCAAACTTCCTCCGCCAGATTGACAGTCCTGTCACGCCGGTCACGCGCGGAATTACAGTCCGTTTACAGTCCCTCCTGCCTAATCCGTCCACGCGCGTCGCCTGACCGAGCGCCGGCGCGAGTCCCCAGCCAGCCTCGCTGAACGGAAGGAAAACGGACGTCGGACACGAGAGGACATGCGAGCGCCGCACGCGAAGGTCGCGGTGCGTCCGCGAAGGTCGGTTAGCCAGACTGCATGCTCCCCATTCGGCGCGATGCGGTAGATAAGGGCCCGACAGGGCGGTGCATAGGATTAGCGAGAGTACTACAAGTAGACAAATATACACGTAGTCACCGGAGACGGGGACTAATATCTAAGTTCCTTACATTGTGGGAACATCCGGCCTAACATTGTACATGTATGACGGCCCGTATGTAGCTCCGACGGTCGAAAATATGTTTACAATGTAAGGCCTGATGTCTGGGCATGCGATACCCAAATCACACATTGATAATGTGTGATATTGCGACATATACAATGTTCGCAAATGGCTATGTTACCATATAACATTCGTCCGAAAATTTTAGGTCTCGTTCGGCATGTCCGGTGGGAAGAAATTCTGATCGACATTATACCTTTCAGGGCAGACAACAGATTAAATATCGAACTAGTATAAGGGCGACACAAAGTTACAATGTATGATCATTTGACATTTGACATTAGAGTCTATATATGAGGTGAGATGTCAGGGCCTCACACCCTCGACCTAATATTCAAACTGTAAGGAGGTCGGACACCCATAGCGCCGCTAAGCGGCTTGACGAGTGGCACACTCAATGGCCGCTTAGTGGTCATTGGATCGCCAAGTGTACCGCTCAGCGGCTTTTCAACTGGTCGTGGGAGATCGCACAAGCACAAGCACAAGTTCGATCAAAGGAAGTACATTAACTGTATATAATGAGAAAGTGGCAAACGACAGGACATCGACAAACAGCGCAGGATGCAACGACGAGGGGCAAGGGACAGGAACAGCACGTAAAATTACGAGGAAACCACTTATTTGCACACAAGCTGGGCCAAGTCATCCCTATCCACCCTAAGCGTCCTGCCGCCTTCTTCCAGTACTAGAACAAGCGGGTCTGCCACGCCCTGCATCGTTTTGCCGTACGCTCCGAAGTTGGGGCCACGCTTACACATGATCGCATAATCGCCAGGGCCTGGTCGCAATATGGCGAGGTCTTGGAGAGAGACATCGGCATATTCCAGCTTTCGCGTCCGGTATTCGCATCGCACCTTGCCGTCCACTGGGGAGGCTCCCTTCACCGTGGTCATCAGCTTGTCTCGGAGTTGACCGGCTGTGCACATGAACTTGAAGTGATAAGTATGGAACGCAGGTGCCACAGCTGCATCTAGCATCCATCCATTGGGTCCTGATGTGAATTCAGTGGACATTTTGTGTTGATGATGAGGCTACGCACCATTAGGTTCGACTGAAGACATCGATCCATCAGGTCCTAATGTGGATTCAGCGGACGCTCGGTAGTGGTGGCGCGGTTACGCACCATCAAGTTCCACCGAATATGCCCACACCGAATCTGTGTCGTGTGACGCGGGTTCTAATTCGTGGCCCAATGGGGTCCGAGGCCGCTCAGGGAGCGGACCATGCTCTGCCGTGTCGATGTTGCCCCTGCAATGAGGCAGTTAGATATGACCAGAACTACAAGTAATGAATCTTACCTTTCTTCTGACCGGAATGCGATCTCGGGCTTTCGGAACAAGAGGACGCCCCTCGAGGTTAAAAGCTTGGCTTCAAGCTCAACCTCGTAATCGCCGTGGTACGTGACGTTTACGTTTCGCAATGTGCCCACAAATCCCTTCAAAGGGCCTTTGTTGACACGCACTGCTCACCCGATGTCGGGATTCCGTCGGTCAGGATGCTTGAGGGCAAGCTCCATCTCCACCTCTTCCTCCGTTTGCGTCTCAGAGCGTGAGGGGCGCTGCTCTCCCGGCCTTGATACTATCACCGACGGCTGTATCGAGGTCCATTCCGCCTCGGACTCTGTGAGTAAGAGATCCCAGGGTAACACATGATGCTATATTGAGTTTTGAGCATCGATAACGTCGCAGGTGGTGGGACATACCTCAGAGGTTTCCAACACAGAAGAAGTATGAAAGACTCCCATTATTGGGTTTCTAGTTCGCTGAGAAAAGTTCAGTACTTGGAAGCATCGTCGTACGTAGAACATACATGCTGAGGAAAGTTCCGCTATTAAGGATTGCAATTGCATGAGAAGTGCACAACGTACCTCGACTTTGTTCGCGTGAACAATCGTGACATCGAAATCATCCACGGCAATCACTTGCCCTTCCAAGCCCGCATGGAGGCCCGTCTTAACTTTGACTGCATCGCCAACTGCCCAAAGGGGGTGTAACTGAGTTACAGGTAGCACGAGCGACGAAAGTTCGTCATCCAACTTCTCGTGGTAGAGATTGGTTAGCGTAGCCTGTCCGTTAATGACTGAATGCACGACACCGATGAGGCAGCATTGCTCGCCCTGTATAACGATCACACGTGTGCCTGCAGCCGGTTCGAAGTCAACACAGAATAGAATGAGCTTCGCTATCGCTGTCTTTGGCATGAATTTCGCCGCATTAAAGATGAATACGTCATTTCCAGTCGCGTGGACGTCGAAAGTCACCCGGTCCAAAGTGAGTTCGAGCTGCAGGAGGCCGCCTTTGAACTTCTTGCCCTTGAGAATATGTATCAGCCGATCACCTTCGCTTTCTGTCACAGCCTCTCTGAACAACTCCTTCAGTAATGCTGGCGGCATCGGTTGCTGAGAAGTTCTTCTGTGCTGCCGCTTTTTTGTAGTAGGCAAGCGCAGAACCACCCAGACGCGGAGGAGAGAGTCCTCTCGCGACTCCACAAAGGCCACATCGTGCTTATATGTACCACGCGAGATGCACACCCAAGGAGAGAGGAAACCATTTTCCATGGCTTGAAGGTGGATTTCATCGGGGGCAAGAGAGACGACTGCCCCACCCGACTGCGAGGCCCGCTGTGCACGTCTAGCCGCCATGTCTCTCTCCGTAATAGACCGGGCCATGGCTTCTGCATCAGCAGCATCGTCGCCGACACATGCATTATCAAGACGCGCCCGAGCTTGTTGAGTGCATTGGACGTCGGCGAGCAACTCGGCTGGAAACAAGCTGTAAGATATATCCAATAATGCAGCTGAGACACTTACCCAGTTCCTCCTCCTCTTCTTCTTCTTCCTCCTCCTCCTCCTCCTCGTCGTTGTCGACGATAGCCTCGATATCCAAGTATGGGTTCTTGGCATTCCATGCATGAGGATTGAAAATGTAAGAACCGACTGCAGTACTTACCGCTTTCCACGCACACTTTGAAGACATGGCAGCGTCAGTGGTACCGAGAGGTCGGGATAGTGTCCATTAGATTTGAGCAATCGTATCTTATGAGACGTCGCTTGGAGTACACGAGGCTTCGACCACGAGGCGTTCATCACCAATCAGCCCACATGTACAATTACTTCCGAGTAACACGCGCAATGTCCTTCAACGTCGCACTGCTGGTGATGAGGTGTCACCGAGAAGATTTCCGACGTAGCGGCTGCTCCTGCAGTTGTGCGTGAGCATGCACAAGCGCCGCATTCTCCTATACATTGAGAAACATGTCAGTATAGCTACACCGCCCTTCGTCCATATCGTGCACATACATTATTGTCAGCCTGTCAGCCTATCAACCTCAGCGTGTACAATCAACCTGGCGCGATCTGGCTGTAACCGCATGGGTGCGTTAATGTCAAGGGTCTTCAGAAATTCTTACGCGTAAGGTAATCAATAACCAAATCGGCTGCAATTCGATTGTATCCCACTCTGGTATGCAACCGGCGCAAAAGGGCGATAAAACAAACCGTCCGGCAGCTTGGCTATCTATACTATAGCTAAAGATAACGAGGACCCCACAAGAATAAATAACAATGAAACTACAAAAGAGAGCGAACTACACTACAACGTTACTAAAGGCTCCAGGCCACATAGTGAATGACAAGCGCTACGGCCGAGAGATGGTGGTGGAACGAGAACAAGAGGAAAGAAACGCCCATTCCACCTCCAGTGGAGTTTTGACGCATCCCGTCACTTTGTCCCGCGCAAATAAGGCAGCCACACATCACGGGCCACTTGTCACGAGCCGCTTGTCACGAGCCGCTTCTCAGCCTCTGTTTGTCTCGCACAAATAGACCGCATGCGCCATCTGGCCGCTGTCCAGAATTTGGGCGCCTTCTTCCTTGCCTTCAAATTTCCATCATCCCTGCGATATCGGCCAGTTCTTCCATCGCCGTGTCTGCCTCCTCCTCCTCGCCCATGCCCTCCTCGCCATTGTCGTTGTCGACGCCATCGCCCTCTTCTGCTCCAGTCCCGTCGTCGCCGCCCTTTTCCTCGCCCACTTCGATGCCCTGAGGGCTTCCTCGTAACGCCCTCTTCTGCGCAGGTGCCCTCTTCCTTGCTGAGCCATTCTCATGCGCGCCGCCGTGCCTGTTTGAATTAGGGGCCGATAGTATACATTGTATTAGAACCTGTATCATAGCCATCCGAGCCACATCTCTGATGATTGAGCGCCATATCGGGTTTGTACCAAACATAAACATAAGAACCGCGAAAATGCACCATTAATTGGCGCCTGAGCTGCTAGAACAACCCACAGGCCAATATTGGCTCTGCTTGAAAGCCCGGAACCGTACGTTGTTGCCCATGGACGCATCATCCACGGCTCACTCTGGCTATACAGATATTACAGATGCTACATAACAATCACTCGCAAATACTGGTCCTTCGTCAAGGTCTCGACGTCTCCGCTTTCTACAATACCTGGCGCGTATTCATGGAATGGTCGGAAATTATGAGGATCGACCACCTGAGCGTACCATGTGAGTGCTCTAGTCCCACCACGATGCACCCCACTTACACGACATTTGCCATGTACACCGAGCTGTGCTGCGACCTGAAGAAGATTCAGGCTTCCGTCTTGGGAGCAGTGGCATTCAATTTCCCGTATAGCTTTCCAGTCTTTAGCTTTTGCAAAGAGCTTGATATGAACGACTTTGGCCTGCTCATCGTTCAGCTTCCGTGCTGGGATCTTGATGTGCAGGACTACGTTGGGCTTCTCCGCGATAGGTGAGTCAGTACGTTTTCTCGTCTCACCGCAATTCAAGAGGTCATACCTGATCTTCGCGAGCCTTCTTGTTAGTTCTCGCATCTTTTTCCGTAAACTCTGCGGGAGCCAATCGTTTACCAATCGTGGAATAAATACACGAAGCGTCTCGGTCGCGAAGGCCTGAAGGGGCTGGAGGAGGCATGCCGGAGGGTTGCAGGTGAGCTCGTTTAGGGCTTTGCGATTGCTCCCGCTCTCCCGAGAGAGCATGTTTGCTGGCTGGCCGCGCCACCGTCCCGCCATCTGTGGGTGCATTTGACTATAACATTGGTCACCACATGGTTGAACGTTGCAATCATAGGCTTACATGCTTGTATGTCAGACGCACTCGTTTTGCTCGTCGCTCCGCGTTGCGCTCTTCGGGCGATTTACGCTTGCGTGCAATCTCCGACGTCGACTTCTCAAGAGGTGCTGAGGCCGCAGTATCCTCGTGTGCATAAGGACTGAGCGTTGGAGCTGCAGGGGCATGTCGCTGACTACTGTAAGTGCCTTCTGCTATGTTCGCTGTGAGATTTACTCACATATTTCCAGAGTGCATCGATGTAGTCCTGCTTTACTGTGTTTGACCGGCCAGTTGGTGTGACCGTTAAATTGTGCTTGTTGCAGAGTTTCGTAAGTATGTCCACCGTGTACCTGCTGAAAGTTGATTTACTGTACTTTTTCCGTAGCAGTGTCTGTTCGGCTCGTTCGAGGTCGAACATGGTCAGCGGTCTACGGTTGCCTGATTCTTTTGGATATGTCAGTCGCCTGCAATCCTTATGGAGTGTGCGACTTGAATTGGTAAGACTATTGTTCTATTGTCCACCGCGACTTAGCGCGAAGGCGCGACCTCTCCCGGCTTTGAGCTTCCCCATCCACGACCAGCATGCCCTAACTGCCGATAACGAAACATCGCATCCAGCGCCAGTACCAACCCTCATCGGGACGCGTGCGTTTCGATGCCGAACACCTTCTCACTCCTCCTCCCTCATCGGCAAGGTCGAAATTCCACCTTATCAAGCCTCAATCAGATGTTCAGGCTGGCACACGCCAAAGCATTGCTAGCGACGCGCATTCCCCAGGAGCTGATGCAGCAGCGTCAGAACCCATCATCCCTAAGCCTGACGGCCAAGTAGGTCGCCCAGGCCGAGGAGGTTACGCACTTAGCGATGAGTTAGGGAGACACGGGTGGGATACCGCGAAGTATGACAAGTTTCTGGTATGAAGCATATCTTGCAATGTTTTCAAAGACTGTAGCTGACTAGCAAGTACAGAAGGACATCGGTGACTTGGCAGTCAGGTATTTGGAATTGGACAAGACAATCTCGAAACAGAATCAGACGATGTTGAACGCAGTGTATGCCCAGGTACGTCGGGTAGTTGCATACGCGATCGGCACTGACGGTTACAGAACTTTATCAGGCTACGAAGCTTTATCCCCAGCTCGCGCACTACGAGAAGAGTTGGCCGATCAGAGACGTTCTGAAGACCAAGTTAGAAAACATGACCTACATGACCAAGAAGGATAGGGGGAAGGAGCAGGAGGCCCACGCATCTGTAAGTATAGTTTGAACCTCAAATCACCAATGCTTATTTGTCTGCAGGTTGCACCGGCCGTGTTGTAAAATATCCTGCATTGTTGTACTGCTCTCGATTTTAGTCATGAATGTAGACTCGATTGTTTGGATTCGAGCGGCGCCCTACATGCGCTCATGTAGCGTTATCCCATGTTGTTTCCAGATCTGCGCTGTACGAGTCGACCCCATTTGCACCAATGGTCAGTAAAGTTATAAGTCGGCTGTCCCGGGCTGCTGCCTGAACGGGGGATACTAAGGCTCACAAGATCGTCGGCATGCCCAGTCGGCAGTAATGCAAAAGTAACGCATATGTCACAGACAGTAACGCATGCCGTTTTGTTACTCCGCTCGGCAGCCTAATGCGCGAAGGTCGTGACCGTGTCGTTGTGAACGCCACCACTTGAAACCCCGCTGCCGACGCTCGCCGCAGACTTCGGCCAGTGACTAGCCAGCGTGAGTCTGCGTTACATTGGAGGTCAAGAAGGGACTCCTCCAATACCGATCCGTTTGAGCTCGTTCAACCTTAAGAATGTTGTAGTACTATAAAATCATACATATAAGAGATAACTAAGTGGTAGAGGCAGGGGAAAGGGCTAATTGAGCGAGGTGCCGACTTGGGGGGCATGTCGACGATCTTGTGAGCCATAGTATTGATTGCAGCACACATTCACCTCCACCTTCACCGAGCTTCAGTCTTTCCACGACGGGAGCAGACGATACATTGAATTTATAAGTAGACAACAAACGCGACTGACAATCTCCATACGGTCCCTTAGCGAAACGCCCCATGCACAGCCGACTGCCTCCCAACAGCCTTATGGCACCTACATGCACATCTGATCAGTCAAGTAATGTACCGACTCGTCAAAGACTTATGTTAGATGCCAGTAACATTGCAGGAGCACGGCGCGGAGGAGAGCGATGTACCTTCCTTGCCGCTGACAGGGAAGACCTCGCGAACAAGCATCATGGACTGGTCTACATCCTCGACGAGCTGCTTGGTCCTATATACGCTGGCCCTAAGGGTCCGAACCTCCTCCTGTAAGTCACTAATGACACCGAGGCCATGTAAGTGCTCTCTGTAAACAATGTTAATATCGATTCAAGTCAAAATGTATAATCATCACTTACGACCACGACTAGCCATGAGGATCAGTTTGGACAGCAGTGGGGGAATGGTGGTGGTGGTGGTGGTATGCTCTGAACGTGAGATGGGGAAAGACTCGGAGACACCGCAATATATATAGGCATAGTCATGAGACCCTATTATATAATTATAGGTGGAATACTATTAGTGACCGACATGCCCCAGAAGGGTGATACTTCTTTCTATGCAGTTTGAGCATTCCATATGCTACAGAAAAAATATCTGAAGCCGAAGACAGTCGGGCAACATGGCACAATATATTTCCTCCGATCATCGGCATGTCGCGACACTTTTAATACAAAATTTTATACAAAATCCCACTATCCCGATTCCTACTTAGCTGTGAAGCTTTGAAGGGTTCTAGCGATGACAGAAGCAGTGTGAAAATCTAACCCTTTTTTTCAATGGCCGGGAAAGAACTTGTTTTATAAATCTTTACCTTAAATTCACAATGAATTGTGTGCTGGGTATGGGATAGTGGAAGAGGGTCCATATGCTTTCGAGTCTCATGCGCGAGCTTCGCAGGCTTCACCGGCGCCCACATGATGAAAGAACTTGATAACGAATACATACATTCTCCGACGACAATGCAGCGCAAGATAACAATGAATACGTTCTCGGATGACAAACTATACATGACCCAACACACGAACAGCTAACCCCTAAAGGTTGCTCAGCGAACTAGTGGAGGAAGTGAATAAAGACTACATCAGTACAAGGTTGAACGCGTGTACGCACTGTCGGCAATGACCTCTGCACAGAGAGAGTCCACGGCATCGGCTGTGGCATCTACTATTTGGCTGAGCTCCTCCGTGTCTTGTTCTGACTCGTCTAAACATTTCCGCATCGCACGAATATCCACAACTAACTGCATTGCATTCGCTTGCGTATGCGCGTGCTCATGCTTCAGGTCCTCGATCTCCTTCAGTAAGGACGTGCGCGTGTCCGACGAAGGCGGACGGGATGTGCTCACCACGTCTGTCTCGGTACTAGATTTTGGACATTGGACCGGGGACACGGAGACCTGTAGGCAAGTAACGTCAGCAACTGAAATGTGGACAGCGAACTTCCGCATCCACCTTGTCTGACATATTTGCGGCCGACTTTTCGAAATTCTGAGGGAGTAGCGTGGACAGCGAAATCCGAGACAGATGGTAATGGGTTCGCGTTATCAGCCTGGCAGCAGCAGGCAGGATATATAAAGGCAACATACCTGGGATTAGAAGCGTCGTGCCAGATGGTTCCACGAATACCTGTCGCGGAAGTCAACGAGAAGCACGGTGTCAGCACGGAATTCATGTAAGTGATGTGCGTAGAGCACTCACATGGTACGCTCAGGTGGTCGATCCTCGTAATTTCTGACCATTCCATGAATACGCGCCAGGTATTGTAGAAAGCGGAGACGTCGAGACCTTGACGAAGGACCAGTATTTGCGAGTGATTGTTATGTAGCATCTGTAATATCTGTATAGCCAGAGTGAGCCGTGGATGATGTGTCCATGGGCAACAACGTACGGTTCCGGGCTTTCAAGCAGAGCCAATATTGGCCTGTGGGTTGTTCTAGCAGCTCAGGCGCCAATTAATGGTGCATTTTCGCGGTTCTTATGTTTATGTTTGGTACAAACCCGATATGGCGCTCAATCATCAGAGATGTGGCTCGGATGGCTATGATACAGGTTCTAATACAATGTATACTATCGGCCCCTAATTCAAACAGGCACGGCGGCGCGCATGAGAATGGCTCAGCAAGGAAGAGGGCACCTGCGCAGAAGAGGGCGTTACGAGGAAGCCCTCAGGGCATCGAAGTGGGCGAGGAAAAGGGCGGCGACGACGGGACTGGAGCAGAAGAGGGCGATGGCGTCGACAACGACAATGGCGAGGAGGGCATGGGCGAGGAGGAGGAGGCAGACACGGCGATGGAAGAACTGGCCGATATCGCAGGGATGATGGAAATTTGAAGGCAAGGAAGAAGGCGCCCAAATTCTGGACAGCGGCCAGATGGCGCATGCGGTCTATTTGTGCGAGACAAACAGAGGCTGAGAAGCGGCTCGTGACAAGCGGCTCGTGACAAGTGGCCCGTGATGTGTGGCTGCCTTATTTGCGCGGGACAAAGTGACGGGATGCGTCAAAACTCCACTGGAGGTGGAATGGGCGTTTCTTTCCTCTTGTTCTCGTTCCACCACCATCTCTCGGCCGTAGCGCTTGTCATTCACTATGTGGCCTGGAGCCTTTAGTAACGTTGTAGTGTAGTTCGCTCTCTTTTGTAGTTTCATTGTTATTTATTCTTGTGGGGTCCTCGTTATCTTTAGCTATAGTATAGATAGCCAAGCTGCCGGACGGTTTGTTTCATCACCCTTTTGCGCCGGTTGCATACCAGAGTGGGATACAATCGAATTGCAGCCGATTTGGTTATTGATTACCTTATGCGTAAGAATTTCTGAAGACCCTTGACATTAACGCACCCATGCGGTTACAGCCAGATCGCGCCAGGTTGATTGTACACGCTGAGGTTGATAGGCTGACAGGCTGACAATAATGTATGTGCACGATATGGACGAAGGGCGGTGTAGCTATACTGACATGTTTCTCAATGTATAGGAGAATGCGGCGCTTGTGCATGCTCACGCACAACTGCAGGAGCAGCCGCTACGTCGGAAATCTTTGCGGATTTGATCATGAAGCAATTGAAAAAACCGCAGCGTGGCCGCCATTTGTCTGAAATTGGTATAGACGTGTTCAGGTGATGTGATGCCTGTGCCTATTCATTCCAATGGCTTATTGTCTGGGTCAGTTTTATATCTAGGATGACGTGGAGTGCTTGCTGGTAATGATGCCGATCTGGAGCGTGCTCTCCTCCAGTCGATCAGTGGTGTATATGGAGCAACTATTGCAGACCCGAGGAGGAGAGATGGCTTTGGAAAGAACACTGTCTGGTCATTCGAAACCAGTCAATTCTATGCTTGTCGCCCAGGATGGTAGTCTACTTCTCAGTGCCGGTATGTTGTGTGTTAGTGCATTTCTGGTATTCACTTATGTTGCTTCATTCGCAGGTGATGATGCTGTGCTGAAGATATGGAGTTTACGATCGGGAGAACAGTGGCAAGAAATTTTTTGCACGTTCCACGGGCCTATTGGGGCAATTGCGTGGGTTGATCTGGGGGGCGGATTGGATCGAGCCTTCGTGTTCGGTTGTGGCGATGGGTCAATACATTTGTATGTGCGAGATGATGCGACTGTAAGCTATTCATGAAGTGTCTTTTCATCTGTTTCATCCGTTAGCAGGATGTCTTTCTTTTTCGTTCACTTGTGTGCGCTCACAAGGGATACGTGGAGGATATTCGATTCGATCCCAGCCATGGTCGACTAGTCACTATTGGACAAGGAGCAGTTCAAGTGTGGAGGTTTGAATCGGAAGGTATGTGGTACGATGTCATTCCAATGTCGTGCATTTTGACGGTGTGCACAGGTTCGATATCTGCTGTATGGGCAACGAAGCCTCGTAAGGATTACATGGCTTGAGCAGTGCGCTTCTGTGATGAAGGCGCAAGCGTTGTAGTTTTTTATGTGGAATCACATGAGATGTAAGTCACGCTATTGCTTTTCGGGGAACGTATAATGATCACAGTTAGTTGCTGCTACTGCATAGAGCCGTTCGGATTAAAGTGGTCGAAGATCTTGCCCACTCGAATGTGAGTCTTAGTCCTCTGTTGGAGCATGGATTTAATACTTCATCAACAGCGGATATGCCGATTTATCCGTCGACGGAAGAAGTTTCTGAGTGACTAACCTATGTGATGGGCTCGACCAGTATCGATTTCCGTCTATGGAGCGTGTTCGCAGTTATCCCTACCGGATCGTGAACAATTATCCTGTGCATGTCGTGATACATGAATCGTCGGTTGTGGTAGGCGGCGATGACAGTGTCATACGGATTTTCGACACAACGAACTATCACAACGTTGAGACGCTGCACCATGGTGCAGGTATGGCTTATTTTATTTTCATTGACATGTGACGTTAATCTGACGTTAGCAGGGCAATTGGTACAGGTAGTAACAGTGAGTGGCGTTGGGGAGGCATGAGGCTGCACTCATACTTGCAAAGGCTTATAGCACGGAGAGTGAATTCAAGGTAGCGACAGCTTCTTCCGGTGAGGGTTCATGCTGTATCAAGATATGGCAGCGGAAGCAGGTGAGCTGTGCTGATTATCTCTAGCGGGCTCTGCCAACAACATCGTTATTCACAGAAGGTTGCTCATCGTCGAGATGAGGCGCGAAGGCGTCAGACTGATGTCGGACTCGCATGGTGGCACCTCGTAATCACGGTCATCCTCACGATTGTGGTTGTCAATGCAGCTAATTCTGTGAACTGGGAAGCTGTCACGGGTAGCATGTTTGACCAAGTCAGGTCGAAGTCACAACTGGGAGCGTCTGTAGTGCCGACGAGCGCATTCAGCGGGGGGGCAACATCGGTAGTAAATTGTGATTGGTTAGATGCAGTGTGTGAAGACGAGGATGATGACGGAGACGGTGATGATGACATGTAATATTTGTAGCAGTGTCAAGTAGAATCACTCAAAGTGGATAGCGTGGAATGTATAGCATAATCATGAAAGTGCTATTCGTAGGATGTTCACTGACGCGAAAGCATACCGCTTCCCGTCCCAAGTGGTTCAAAATCGGGCGATCCTGTCCGCACTGCATTGCCTCAATACTCCTGTGACCAGTGCATATGGTACGTCAGCCTTCAGTTACGCGCTGTAGATGCTGAGTTACCTTCTGCAGGGACTTGAACACATAGGTTTCCGTTGACCATTCCATCCGGATCGCATGGTCAGCACGTTCTGATGCTGAGATGATGCTGACTTCCTCGGTACACGTTTTACTCCAGATACTTGCTCCAAAGTCTGGATATGCACGGAAAGGATCGAGCATGAAATCTGGCAAAGGTAAGTACTGGTGGATGGCCAGAAATGCGTGCTGAGAATCTTTCTTGTTATCATCATCTTCATTGTGACCGATGACCGAAAATATCTGCCGGATAACACCTGGTACTGGCGGCGCCGTGGGAGATGTTTGGAAGAACACGAGACTGTTCTTCTCATTAGAGTGGACAGTCGAATATCACGTGCCGCAGATTGTGAGATGGCCATGAAGCAAGCAATGTCGGGTGAGTCGCCAGCCTGGGACCAGAATGTTCAGTTCTGCTGATCGGGCTGCGAGGACATCGTAAAATTCGCGTTCCAATCGGCGGACACTAGTCCAGTCAACAGTTGCACCGGTGTCTGGCGAAGGGCCGTCAAGAATTTGTTCGCCCAAGGTACGGATGTCCGTCATCAATGTGCCTCGCTGATCGCCTCCAAAGCATGACTGGACGATGGGTGCGCAGTCCTTCAGAACTTTCGGGCAGTCATCCCGCTTCAGAAATGCCTTGACATTGGCTGCGGTGCAGAAAGATTCAAGCATAGTCTTCTCGAATTGCCCTGCCAAACAAGTGAGTGGATATCTTATACAATTAAGAGGACAAATGCTCACCCTGCTTGTAGTTTGTATTCACTTGCTGCAACACTCCGATGAGGCGCTCGAAGGGGAACATCCACCAGCCATGGACTGGACCGAAGCGCATGAGGAAGTCACCGAGGTGAAGTGCATTGTGGTGATTGGGCACCAGGGTGAGCCCGGGCTTGAGCTCCAGGATGTCAGAGAGGTAAGCGTGCATATGGATTGTATATCTGGTGCGATGATTTTCTGTAGTCCGATATGAAGTGGCTTGATGAACTGCACAGGCCAGCCGCATTGTGCAGTGAGCGAGATCATGACGGTGCTTAGACTCGTCTGATAAGTTGTCCAGTCGTTCGCCGTGCCAATGCTTCATGAGCGAGACAGGTAATTCGAATTCTATTGCAGCTTTCCAGTGATCAGCTTTGAGCTTGCCTTGGCCTTTCGTACCCATGTTCGCAGGTGGTCCAACGGAATAAATGGGGCGGGATGTCTCGGCAATGTCAGCCTGCATGTGTTTGAGATCTCGTTTGCGAAAAGCCCGTATTGACAAGCTGTCCACTTCATCCTGTCTGTCTGCAAGCTTCGCTGTGGCTGCATGTTCAGCTGCACATTCTGCTGTGTACGCTTCTCCGATCAGAGTCTGAGGTGCAAGCTCTGCAGTATCGGGGGTGCTTGTCAGTGGGGCGCGGTCTGTAGCAGAAGCGGAAGGGCGAATCCAAACAGCAATGGTCGCATGCGTCTGTGTGTAACCCGTTCGCCGAGTCTGATGTGAGATCAGTGTTACCATTCGAGCTCAATGTGAGTGCATACCAACACATCGGCGAGCACCGATTTTTTCATCTCGTGAACAGAGCGAGGTAACCGAAAGCCGAGCTCCCCGCACATGTGTCCCAGGGTGACTTTATTGAAGCGCAACAACAAGCGAGGCTCGGGGTCCTTCAGCAGGAGGCGTCGAAGGCTGATCAAGTCATTCTCCTTGATTTTGCGCGCATTTCCAGCATCCTCACGGTCCCCTATAGGTACGTCCATTCCAATCACTTTTCTGCTGTGGAACTGGGTTACTCCGAGAAAGATGTTATGCATCCCGTCGATGACTATGCACCGAACGGGATCCCAATACGGTAGGCGATTAAGTTCGGACCATCGAATGCCAAACTCCTTAAAAATGCATTTTCGCTCTTCCTGCGTGTCAGCGTCGCGCCAGCGGACAGCGGCTTCCAAGATCTCTTCAGCCGTTTTCATCTTCCAAGTGGTCATGTCAATGTTATTGATACTCTGCTTCTTCAAATGGCACTGCGAGCAAAAGCACCCTGCGCTATGGCTGGCTAATCTGCCAACCTTACGAGATCCTGGCAAGTCAGTGATGACGAGGGCGAGCGCTGAGCGTACACGGCGACCACGAGGATAGTCGTAAGTTCTGTTGTACCAAATGCCGCGCTCCCAGGAGACTAACAGTTGGTCGACCAGCGGGCAGAGGAAGTGATTAGTGCGCTCGAGCTTGGGCTCCTTGGGTCCGGGAATAATGCCTGCGAGATATAGATTATCGGTTTTGTATCGCATGCTCGGCGGAAGGTATAAACACGACATAGCCATCGACCCCGTCGAAATCGACAACCCTGCGATTTTGTTGAGATATGGGTTGAACCAGTCCACCGAAAGGGCCCAAAGTAAGCGTAACTCGCCCTCAGCTGCATCGGCGAAGGGTTTTCCGTCCGGTCCCTGCATGTCGGCGACGGCGGATCCATCGGTGATGTCGCGTAGATTGTAGCGATCTTGTATTGCCTTCCCCTGTCGGAGGATCTCCTCCATCCCCGGTCGGCTGATAAGCCCACCCACAAATGCATGGAAGTCTTGAATGACGAAAGGGCGTATAGGAGAGCGAACGCTTTCGCCGTCCAGAATGCGAGTAGTCATCAATCGTGAGTTGCAAGGTTTGCTGCGTGGGCCACTGCGATGCTGACAATGACTCGGATAAACAGGTATATCGTCTTGATATGAAGGCGCATATGTGCAGCAGCATGACGGACAAGTTGCGTAAACTATGACAACAGCCTCCAAATCGAAGGCTTTTCGCACGCCACGAATGTCGCGGGGGAAATGATCTAAAATCTGCTCCTCACAGTAGGATAATGACCATGTGCCTTGGCGCAGCGCAGTGTCCAGCAAAACCTTCAACATCTGCAATGCGAAGTTACAAGTCGTTCGCGGCACCTGACCGAGCAGCTTCAGGATCAGTACTATGAACACCGCCAAGAGCAGAAGGGGATCTCCGCGCTGCAGCGGGTGGTCGAAATAGTGACCTAACATCGGTGAGTGATACTGGCTTGAGTGAGCAAGAGAGACCACTAACTTGTGGTGATCGCATCTGGCGGTGCTGCAGGGCCCTTCACCTTTTCAATCCATTCTTGCATGTCTGAAATGTTCGAGGTGAGCCGTTCTAACATTGCATCGCGCAAAATGATCGTTGATTGGTCGCGCAACGTCAACTTCTCTAGCTTGGCGCAGGTTTCCTGAAACCAAGCCAGCTCCTCGCACAGTGTAGTGCAGGCAGCCGCAGCAGCTTTGCTGTCTTGGGGGGCCACAATACCCTCATCTTTTACATGCGAAGTGCTCAAGAAACGGTCTCAGATCTCGTAATCGACAATTCAGAGCCCAGGTAGGGAAGTGAGCGGGGGTGGAATGGGTGGAAGGGGGGACACTGTAGGCTGGGAGGGGGGCACTGTTGAAGATGGGTGCCGGGCCGGTGGTGGGGGCGGTGGCGGCAGTGCAGACTCTGCGGTAGGTTCATCTGTGAGTGCATCCTTCAAAGTTAATTCAAAGATCCAGTCTGCTAGTTCGTCACCTTCGAGCACAGAAGACGTCTGGTACTTTTGGAAGTAAATATTTCTTATGTGTTTTTGTTAATTGCTTACCTTCTTGCGTCTTCCGTCTGCTCTCTGATGCGCGTGGAGCATATTCCAATCTCTAAACTGACCCTGACAGTTGAACGTTTTGCAGTAGCACGGCCGTGCTCGGCCTGCACCCTTCGTCGCGGGCATGAGATCAGGGCTGGATCACTAAGGGGCAGATGCTTGTGATATTTATAGACACATGTTTATAGACAGGCAGCAAATTTAGCGTAAGTTTTACACGATTGCATTGTGATATGAAAATCGCTAATCTCGTTACATCCATTGTTCACGGAGCGGCTGAGAAGGTCGAATAGACATGCGAACTTCCGATAAGTTCCCCATTGTTGCGTTGTAGTTTGACAGTCGCTGGTCACAAGGCACAGTGTTGTGGTGCGAGATATGAGCAGGCGAACGTGAGAGGACGGGCAAGTCACCTGCGATGTCGCAGCCTTCCAGTGTGCTCACTGCCGACAAGGACGGCTGGTATAGGCCAGCCATCAATACAGACGCAGGAGTCCAGTCAACTTTGTGAGTGTAGTCGCATATCGCGTGGGTACGTTGGCTTACATTCACGATAGTATGGCTCTGCGGAATGACTTGGCAGAGGAATTCACCGTAGGTAAGAATATTTCTCTTCTACGACCTTGTCGAACTTAACGCTGTTCGCCCCTGATGTAGAGAGAATGCTCTGTCCCCACCCTACAATTCCCGGGTCGTTCATAGATTCTCATGAGGGACTCGCCGCCAGCACTCATATGGACGAAGTGCAGCCTGCTCCCCTTCAGGTGGACAAGGCACAAGGCGCTCCTCCTGGCTTGGATGGTTCAGTCCCTCAGCTAGGGTCTGTCGGTCCTAAATCCCTGCCTTTGCTTGCCCCTACGCATCACATTGAGCCGCGGCAACCTACTTCGCCCCCTGTGAACATTGGAGGAATGGCAAAGGAATCCCTGGCACCTGCGCCGACAGTTGAGGTCACAGCCATGCAACAGCTGGTCGAATTTATCGGCCTCGCTGTCGATCAATCAGTGCAGAAGGCACTTTCCAACTTCACTCCGGTACTCGAATGCCAGAACGAGATCATTAGGCAGTTGGCCCCTCTGGCTACGCTTTTACCATCGGTGCGGGCATCGACGTCTGCCAAGAACGAAGGGCAGTCCACTGTCTCCCACTCCACGCCGAATGGTGAATATGATGGCGGAGAGGAGGATAAGGACGATTGCGATGATGCGCCGATCTCGCGTGTCAAGCGCTCCAGAGGAGAACGTGATAACGTCTTTCATGTGAGTAGCACGCTTATAGCTTATTCTCGTTCTGAATTAACCTACAGGATCGCTTTCGAGAATACCTGAAGGTGAAAGGTCTTCTACCGAAGGCTCGAGACAGCCCCCTCTCTCCGGTCCCGAAGCCGGAAATCATGCAAGCATGGCACGATGGCGAGGGGGATGGTCCCGATGTCACCGCTCCCCTGATCGAGTGGTCGTTGCTGCTGAGTTCTGCATGGAACAAGGAGGTGATCCACATCGTCACTGAGGAGTTTCTCAAGCAGGTAGCAGGAGGCGAGCACCCACCGCTTGTGTCCGATCCAGCGTGGACAATCACGACGGCATCACAGTGTTGCCTGTGCAAGCTGCAGAACGGGCCTCACAAGCGATTCACAGAAGTGGAATTAATGGAGGACGAAGAAGTGGAGTCAGCGAGGAACACTGCAAAGAAGCAATGTAGGAAGAACAGTCGCAGGGAGACGGTACGTCATCTCAGTCTTTGATTTCGATTTGACTTATATATATTTGAAGGTGTATAAACGGTGCGGTGACATCATCGAGGTCAACCTTCAAGACAATCTGGCAATCTGGGGAAAAGTCAAGATTATCCACATGGCCTTAGGTCAAGGAGGCATGAGTTCGGATGAGACCGATGGCGAGTATACTCGTCGCAACGACAAGAAAGTTCGACGTGTTTGCTTGCCATGGCGCCATCCCTCTCTTGCTGCATTTTACAGGAATGTCGATTCTTATGAGGATGTGCACCCACTTCATCTCACAGAACAAGGCAATTACTCGCTGTCTCGCATCTTTGAAGCAAATGCGTCGTCATCGTCCAAGAGAAAGCCGATCACGCAGTTGCCGAAGAACTTCTACAACCCCGACTGGATGAAGACTATCACTGTGCTCAGCGCAGTACCCTACGGTTCAAACTGGCATTCGAAATACCTGACCTCATAAGAAGCGTCTTTGTGTGTCGTCATTTGCTGGCTCACGTGTGAACCATAGCCAGAATTCACGGCGAGGAGAAACTAATGATATGGACTTAGGCAAATTACCTTCCACGGTGATCGCGGATGCGCTGACAGATCACATCGGTTGTAGTAATTGATCGAAATACTATTGTCATGTGTAGCTCCATGCAGAGAATTCTGAGTTCTGAAGCTTCCCGAGCTGCCAAGCTGATCCGACGGTCAATGATTCTGTGCGCATCGCCATCTCATTATCCCTTATCGGTCCCGTCCAGATATGCAGCGTTATTGTTCTCGTCATTGGCTGAAACACAATGGTGGATCCCCAGGTGAGCTGATGCGCCTGTTCACATGCTCTGTTCGTGAACTAATCATTCGGTGCCACCATGGGCACTGCTGGACCGGTTGTGCATTGTCCGCGGTGAATCAATGGTAAGTCTTCCATTGTCCGCTTCAGATCTCCATTGTTCTCACTGCTTCATCACTCACCCCGCTGAAGTCTTGGATGCGCTATGCGCTGGTCGCTCTCGAGCATATTTAACTTCGAAAGAATCTCCATCCCACACTGTCCCATGGGCTCAAATTATAGCACGCTTCGCTCCGGTTCCCCAAGCATACTTGGGAAACGGTCTACTCTCGATGATGCTCTTGATGCACTGCCAGCGAAAAGGCTCATGTCAGAAGTAAGCTTTCTGCATCCTCTGACCTGCAAGCACATATACCAATGATCACAGTTCTTGCACGCCTTGAACCGTTGCACAAAGCAACAGCGCTGTGGATTTGTCGAAGATGCCCAGGTACGAGTTCTATGCTTTTCATGCCAGTAGTGTACTCATTGTTTAACCTTTAGGTTTTGTCCAAGCGTCGCCATGAGGAGGATGATTCGCAGCGTCACAAGAAACTTAAAGAAGACGATTCCAATTCACAGACTGATAAGAGGGTTGTTGTGCATGCGGTACGGTCTGCATCGTGCAGTCAGTATTCAGACTGATGCACTTTCTCAGACACATCGTCCAGTCAATTCAAAGCACGTATTTCCCTTTTTGATGCTCCCAGTCGAGCTAGGCAATATCATTTTCCATATTTTGGTGAACGATCGTGACATGTTATACACACTTTCACTTGTGTCTGGGCTTCTCCGAGTCTATGTACTGCCGCTCTATCTAAAGGCCGCAGGCTTCATTGATTCCTCGAACAATGTCGGTCCAGTCATAACTTATGAGCACACATGGCCCGTCATCATGTGGTGCGGCATGCAAGGCCTTCCTACTCCCCCATCTATGTGGATCCGTATCATCGCGAATGCAGCAATGGCCAAATGCCAGCTTTATGGGTTGGCGAGATTCTTCATCTCGAGTCGTACCCAGCTCGCTATATCCAACATTGTCATCGAGCTCCACAACGCGCAGCTCGCTCTAGCCACATGCAAGTTCCTACAGACCGTGGCCTCGTCAGGGGTGTCGCACCTATGTCTGAAGTTGCGCTTGTCTAGCGATCTTCGAGCTATCGAGTCTCCTGAAGACATCCCTGTCGTCAACTCCGGTCTATTTTATCCTTGTCTGCAGAAGATGCAGGTCAAATCTGCCGTATTCTTCTCCACGGAGTACATTAGTTGGACGGTTCACACCCTCAACAGTGCAGCACTCACTGTGCTCGATCTCCAGCTCGACAACAGAGGTTCACCATCGTGGCGTCTTATTTTACCTCACCTCCACATGGAGCATCTGGAAACCCTCTACATCGATGGTGCGCTACCCATCAACACAATTTTCTGTTTCCTCCTTCATCATCCCAGCATACGTGAGCTCCAGATTGGTCACTTTACTCGCCCTGGTTTCCTCCCCTACGCCGCCCATCCACCTAATATGGACCACCTCGAAGTCCTCGCAGGTTCTCATGACTACATAATCCCCTTACTTGCGCGGGGTCTTCCTGCACTGCAGCGTCTTGCGGTCATACCGGATCATCCTTCCGCGATTGGCCTATTTCTCGATTCCGAGCTCCGAGGGGTGATAAACAGTGCTCGACGCTGTACGCGTCTCCAAGAGCTCGACATTGCCCTTCCCTGTGGTTACATCGCACAGCCAGAATCCGACTCGTTCTTCATTGTAGACGACCCACAACACCTTCGCACGGAACGCAGTCTTTCGAACGTGCGCACGATCACCATCCGCGCTACATGGGACGCAGACAAATTTACCTTATCTTCAACTCATCTGAGTGTTCTTGTAAGTTGCCCATTTCATTCGTTGCTTCGCCGCCATTCACATCAGCACAGAACAGCTTACTGGGGTGGCTAGATCTCTTTCCTTCGGTACGACACTTGCGTATAGTCGAGGGGCACAGCGTCAAGTTAGACGCCGATCGACGTGCACAAGTCACTCAATTGTATCGTGCTTGTCCTTACCTAGAAGATATATCGATGTATGCGGGGGATAGGCACCTGGCGGAGTGTTGGAAGCGCGAGATCTGACGTATTTCCATGTCATGTATGTGTAAAGAAGTCAATGCCATTGAGCTTGCCGATGATTGTCTTGCGAGATCAGCCTCCAACCTGAAGACTTTCCACGACTTCCGAAGGTCATTTCAGGCACAGTAAATAAAAGTACAACAAATGCGGCCGACAATCACGACGATTGTCTTGCGAGATCAGCCTCCAACCTTAAGACTTTCCACAACTTCCGAAGGTCATTTCAGGCACAGTAAACAAAAGTACAACAAACGCGGCCGACAATCATACAGAACCCCCGCGGAATGCCCCACACCCGACTGCCTCCCAGTAACCTTGTGCACATCTGATCAGTCAGGTTATCTACCGATATAAATCACTCATCTTAAGGACTTACGTTAGACCGCCTCAGTAACATTGGAGAAGGGCGGCGCGGAGGAGGGCGGTGCGGCGGAGGGCGGTGCGGCGGAGGGCGGCATGGTGGAGGGCGGCGCGGAGGGCGATACCCCTCCGGTGTTGATACCAAGGGCCGCACGAATGATCTCCACGGCCCGCTGCACCTTCAGTGCGATAGCCTCAGTCTGACTTACGTCGGCGCTAAGGGCCCGAATCTGGTTCTGTAAGTCACTGATGGAGGGTGCTGAGGCCACAGCAGTGCAAACAATGTTAATATCGATTCACGTCAAAATGTATAATCATCACTTACGACCACGATTAGCCATGAGGATCAGTTTGGACAGTAGTGGGGGGATGGTGGTGGTGGTGGTGGTGGTATGCTCCGAACGTGAGATGGGGAAAGACTCGGAGACACCGCAATATATATAGGCATACCCCTCATGGGTCCCACGTGCCATGAAATTTATAATCTGACAGATCCAAAACAATAGACGCATTTCCACGAATTTCGCATCACGTACTCTGGGGTAAGAGAGGGTTCCCCATAGTACGCGAAGCGAAATTGTCTACTGTTTCCTCGAAAGGTAGCTCCAGACTTATGGCAGCTTCAGACTTATGGTATAGTTATGTCCACTTCAAACGAATTTATTTTCAGCAAGGATTATAGAAAACTTATTTAATCTATCTTTAAATGTCCACATCGCCGAGCGGCACTTTGCGCACGCATGTACCTCACCTCGCCCGTCTTCTCATCACGAGTCACGCAGATGGCCTGGCAGAATGAATCAACGAGGTCCTTCGTGGTCTATACTTATCCTGTCGAGTCTCACACGCGACCTTCGCAGCCTTCGCGGGTGCCCGCCTAACGGAAGGACTAGAGATAATTCTCCGTCCGCAAATGGAGCGCAAGATACATTAATATTGAGCGAGGTACACGACATGAACAGCGAAACCAACGCCCCCCACAAGCAGCTCAGGCACCTGGGAATAGTGAATACAGGTGTCATCAATAGGATTTTGATCCACGTATGCACCGTAAGGGGGAGGGGGAGGGGTGCTCAATGATCCTCACTCGGCGCGGACCAGCGCAGCCAGGTCGGCTGTAGCCTCTGCAAACTCTCGAACATGAACTGCACGTCGTCCTGACTGTTCAACTCGGAGCTCCATGGTCTTCATCTCCTTCTCTAAGATAAGGATCAGCTGCATTAATTTTTGTTGTTCACGCTTCAGGTCCTCGATCTCCTCCAGTAAGGATGTGCGCGTGTCCGACGAAGGTGGACGGGATGTGCTCACCACGTCTGTCTCGGTACTAGATTTTGGACATTGGACCGGGGACACGGAGACCTGTAGGTGAGTAACGTCAGCAACTGAAATGTGGACAGCGAACTTCCGCATCCACCTTGTCTGACATATTTGCAGCCGACTTTTCGAAATTCTGAGGGAGTAGCATGGACAGCAAAATCCAGGATGGATGGCGATGGGTTCGCGTTATCAGCCTGGCAGCAGCAGGCAGGATATATAAAGGCAACATACCTGGGATTAGAAGCGTCGTGCCAGATGGTTCCACGAATACCTGTCGCGGAAGTCAACGAGAAGCACGGTGTCAGCACGGAATTCATGTAAGCGATGTGCGTAGAGCACTCACATGGTACGCTCAGGTGGTCGATCCTCGTAATTTCTGACCATTCCATGAATACGCGCCAGGTATTGTAGAAAGCGGAGACGTCGAGACCTTGACGAAGGACCAGTATTTGCGAGTGATTGTTATGTAGCATCTGTAATATCTGTATAGCCAGAGTGAGCCGTGGATGATGCGTCCATGGGCAACAACGTACGGTTCCGGGCTTTCAAGCAGAGCCAATATTGGCCTGTGGGTTGTTCTAGCAGCTCAGGCGCCAATTAATGGTGCATTTTCGTGGTTCTTATGTTTATGTTTGGTACAAACCCGATATGGCGCTCAATCATCAGAGATGTGGCTCGGATGGCTATGATACAGGTTCTAATACAATGTATACTATCGGCCCCTAATTCAAACAGGCACGGCGGCATGCACGAGAATGGCTCAGCAAGGAAGAGGGCACCTGCGCAGAAGAGGGCGTTACGAGGAAGCCCTCAGGGCATCGAAGTGGGCGAGGAAAAGGGCGGCGACGACGGGACTGGAGCAGAAGAGGGCGATGGCGTCGACAACGACAATGGCGAGGAGGGCATGGGCGAGGAGGAGGAGGCAGACACGGCGATGGAAGAACTGGCCGATATCGCAGGGATGATGGAAATTTGAAGGCAAGGAAGAAGGCGCCCAAATTCTGGACAGCGGCCAGATGGCGCATGCGGTCTATTTGTGCGAGACAAACAGAGGCTGAGAAGCGGCTCGTGACAAGCGGCTCGTGACAAGTGGCCCGTGATGTGTGGCTGCCTTATTTGCGCGGGACAAAGTGACGGGATGCGTCAAAACTCCACTGGAGGTGGAATGGGCGTTTCTTTCCTCTTGTTCTCGTTCCACCACCATCTCTCGGCCGTAGCGCTTGTCATTCACTATGTGGCCTGGAGCCTTTAGTAACGTTGTAGTGTAGTTCGCTCTCTTTTGTAGTTTCATTGTTATTTATTCTTGTGGGGTCCTCGTTATCTTTAGCTATAGTATAGATAGCCAAGCTGCCGGACGGTTTGTTTTATCGCCCTTTTGCGCCGGTTGCATACCAGAGTGGGATACAATCGAATTGCAGCCGATTTGGTTATTGATTACCTTACGCGTAAGAATTTCTGAAGACCCTTGACATTAACGCACCCATGCGGTTACAGCCAGATCGCGCCAGGTTGATTGTACACGCTGAGGTTGATAGGCTGACAGGCTGACAATAATGTATGTGCACGATATGGACGAAGGGCGGTGTAGCTATACTGACATGTTTCTCAATGTATAGGAGAATGCGGCGCTTGTGCATGCTCACGCACAACTGCAGGAGCAGCCGCTACGTCGGAAATCTTCTCGGTGACACCTCATCACCAGCAGTGCGACGTTGAAGGACATTGCGCGTGTTACTCGGAAGTAATTGTACATGTGGGCTGATTGGTGATGAACGCCTCGTGGTCGAAGCCTCGTGTACTCCAAGCGACGTCTCATAAGATACGATTGCTCAAATCTAATGGACACTATCCCGACCTCTCGGTACCACTGACGCTGCCATGTCTTCAAAGTGTGCGTGGAAAGCGGTAAGTACTGCAGTCGGTTCTTACATTTTCAATCCTCATGCATGGAATGCCAAGAACCCATACTTGGATATCGAGGCTATCGTCGACAACGACGAGGAGGAGGAGGAGGAGGAAGAAGAAGAAGAGGAGGAGGAACTGGGTAAGTGTCTCAGCTGCATTATTGGATATATCTTACAGCTTGTTTCCAGCCGAGTTGCTCGCCGACGTCCAATGCACTCAACAAGCTCGGGCGCGTCTTGATAATGCATGTGTCGGCGACGATGCTGCTGATGCAGAAGCCATGGCCCGGTCTATTACGGAGAGAGACATGGCGGCTAGACGTGCACAGCGGGCCTCGCAGTCGGGTGGGGCAGTCGTCTCTCTTGCCCCCGATGAAATCCACCTTCAAGCCATGGAAAATGGTTTCCTCTCTCCTTGGGTGTGCATCTCGCGTGGTACATATAAGCACGATGTGGCCTTTGTGGAGTCGCGAGAGGACTCTCTCCTCCGCGTCTGGGTGGTTCTGCGCTTGCCTACTACAAAAAAGCGGCAGCACAGAAGAACTTCTCAGCAACCGATGCCGCCAGCATTACTGAAGGAGTTGTTCAGAGAGGCTGTGACAGAAAGCGAAGGTGATCGGCTGATACATATTCTCAAGGGCAAGAAGTTCAAAGGCGGCCTCCTGCAGCTCGAACTCACTTTGGACCGGGTGACTTTCGACGTCCACGCGACTCGAAATGACGTATTCATCTTTAATGCGGCGAAATTCATGCCAAAGACAGCGATAGCGAAGCTCATTCTATTCTGTGTTGACTTCGAACCGGCTGCAGGCACACGTGTGATCGTTATACAGGGCGAGCAATGCTGCCTCATCGGTGTCGTGCATTCAGTCATTAACGGACAGGCTACGCTAACCAATCTCTACCACGAGAAGTTGGATGACGAACTTTCGTCGCTCGTGCTACCTGTAACTCAGTTACACCCCCTTTGGGCAGTTGGCGATGCAGTCAAAGTTAAGACGGGCCTCCATGCGGGCTTGGAAGGGCAAGTGATTGCCGTGGATGATTTCGATGTCACGATTGTTCACGCGAACAAAGTCGAGGTACGTTGTGCACTTCTCATGCAATTGCAATCCTTAATAGCGGAACTTTCCTCAGCATGTATGTTCTACGTACGACGATGCTTCCAAGTACTGAACTTTTCTCAGCGAACTAGAAACCCAATAATGGGAGTCTTTCATACTTCTTCTGTGTTGGAAACCTCTGAGGTATGTCCCACCACCTGCGACGTTATCGATGCTCAAAACTCAATATAGCATCATGTGTTACCCTGGGATCTCTTACTCACAGAGTCCGAGGCGGAATGGACCTCGATACAGCCGTCGGTGATAGTATCAAGGCCGGGAGAGCAGCGCCCCTCACGCTCTGAGACGCAAACGGAGGAAGAGGTGGAGATGGAGCTTGCCCTCAAGCATCCTGACCGACGGAATCCCGACATCGGGTGAGCAGTGCGTGTCAACAAAGGCCCTTTGAAGGGATTTGTGGGCACATTGCGAAACGTAAACGTCACGTACCACGGCGATTACGAGGTTGAGCTTGAAGCCAAGCTTTTAACCTCGAGGGGCGTCCTCTTGTTCCGAAAGCCCGAGATCGCATTCCGGTCAGAAGAAAGGTAAGATTCATTACTTGTAGTTCTGGTCATATCTAACTGCCTCATTGCAGGGGCAACATCGACACGGCAGAGCATGGTCCGCTCCCTGAGCGGCCTCGGACCCCATTGGGCCACGAATTAGAACCCGCGTCACACGACACAGATTCGGTGTGGGCATATTCGGTGGAACTTGATGGTGCGTAACCGCGCCACCACTACCGAGCGTCCGCTGAATCCACATTAGGACCTGATGGATCGATGTCTTCAGTCGAACCTAATGGTGCGTAGCCTCATCATCAACACAAAATGTCCACTGAATTCACATCAGGACCCAATGGATGGATGCTAGATGCAGCTGTGGCACCTGCGTTCCATACTTATCACTTCAAGTTCATGTGCACAGCCGGTCAACTCCGAGACAAGCTGATGACCACGGTGAAGGGAGCCTCCCCAGTGGACGGCAAGGTGCGATGCGAATACCGGACGCGAAAGCTGGAATATGCCGATGTCTCTCTCCAAGACCTCGCCATATTGCGACCAGGCCCTGGCGATTATGCGATCATGTGTAAGCGTGGCCCCAACTTCGGAGCGTACGGCAAAACGATGCAGGGCGTGGCAGACCCGCTTGTTCTAGTACTGGAAGAAGGCGGCAGGACGCTTAGGGTGGATAGGGATGACTTGGCCCAGCTTGTGTGCAAATAAGTGGTTTCCTCGTAATTTTACGTGCTGTTCCTGTCCCTTGCCCCTCGTCGTTGCATCCTGCGCTGTTTGTCGATGTCCTGTCGTTTGCCACTTTCTCATTATATACAGTTAATGTACTTCCTTTGATCGAACTTGTGCTTGTGCTTGTGCGATCTCCCACGACCAGTTGAAAAGCCGCTGAGCGGTACACTTGGCGATCCAATGACCACTAAGCGGCCATTGAGTGTGCCACTCGTCAAGCCGCTTAGCGGCGCTATGGGTGTCCGACCTCCTTACAGTTTGAATATTAGGTCGAGGGTGTGAGGCCCTGACATCTCACCTCATATATAGACTCTAATGTCAAATGTCAAATGATCATACATTGTAACTTTGTGTCGCCCTTATACTAGTTCGATATTTAATCTGTTGTCTGCCCTGAAAGGTATAATGTCGATCAGAATTTCTTCCCACCGGACATGCCGAACGAGACCTAAAATTTTCGGACGAATGTTATATGGTAACATAGCCATTTGCGAACATTGTATATGTCGCAATATCACACATTATCAATGTGTGATTTGGGTATCGCATGCCCAGACATCAGGCCTTACATTGTAAACATATTTTCGACCGTCGGAGCTACATACGGGCCGTCATACATGTACAATGTTAGGCCGGATGTTCCCACAATGTAAGGAACTTAGATATTAGTCCCCATCTCCGGTGAGTAGACTAGGTACGAAATAAACTCACGGGATCATAAGCTAGTAGGAAACATTTCCGCGGTGGAAAGGAGTGGAGAGCCGCTGTACGAGAGACGAACAGCGCGTGACATCGTGTCATGAAATGACGGTGAGTGGGAGTCGGAAAGCCGCCGCCGCAACCGACCACTCAGGCGGCGGCGCGCGCGTTCGCGCCCATGTTCACGCTGCTGCTTGCAGAGGGCACCGACATGACCTGCATCGATGCCCAGCTGTGCGCGATCTCCAGGCTGTTCTTCAGGAGAGACCTCCAATGCTTCGCGATGTCAGTGTCCTTCGAGTGCGTGTACCACACGCCACGCTTGTGGTATCGGAATGCACCATTCGCATCCGCTCGTTCAAGATTCCCATCGAAATACGAGTGAGCGGCGGCGGCATCGCAAGCACTCTGATCCGCCCGTCTTGCCTTGAGCTTGTCGAGGATTTGCTGATAGCGCAGCCGCTCTCCATTCTCGTTGCTGTAGACCTCCCAGAATGCGTCGTCGGAGCCGAGCTCGTCACGCTCCTCGACAATAAACTTCTGAAAGGGGTCAGTGGAGGGAGAGGGATAAGTGGGAATGCAACATACCTTCCAGTTCCCCCATTCCATCCTCACTTGGCCCCATGCCTTCTCCTTGCCAGGCACACTGCTCTTCTTCTTGTAGAAGAGGTCCTAGTACTTGATGGGGATACCGCGTCCGGTGTTGATGGGAATTCGGAGCACGGTGGAGGAGTGCCACTCTCGGAAGAGCCTCGGAATGTCGTCGGAGAAGTGGATACTGGGCGGATCCGGCACTTGAGTCTTGTCGAATGCGAAGTCTTCGCCACCAAGATTGACAACCTTGCGATTCTGAGGAAGTGTGGCTTGAGGAGTCGCGGAGGGAGCCGGCAGAGGAGTAAGATTGGAGGCATAAAGGGGCGCAGAACTTGGATTCCGTGGATGATGATGAAATCTGTGTATTTATACTGCAAGTAGGCGAGCAAGTGCACCGAGGAACAGTCACAAACATATACAAAAATACGCACTGGTAAGGGTTCTGTCTAGGAAGGATGTGGTCTGTGCTGCCATAAAGCAGCGGTGTCTTATGAGTACTGCGTTGGTCGGTGGTGGGGAGGTTGTAATGTCAAAGGGATGTGTCCGCGTGAGTAATCTAGATGTAGTCATAAGAGGATAGCATAGTGGGAAGTATATGTATAGCAATAAAAAAGAAAACGAAAGAACGCCTCGTCATCGTACTCTGCTCATCTTGAATCCTGCTACCCTGCAAGTTCGTGCGTGCATTCATTGTGCTTTGTTTGCCATATGGCTTGCCCGTCGTTTGAGGCAGTTCATACTCTGTCGGACGGGACGTGGACGCTGTCTGTTTTCCGAGCTGCAGCGGGTCGTGGGGCACTAGTCTTGCTGTTCGTCATTCTGTGGCTGTGCGAGAAAATCACCAGTCTTTGTGAAAGCACCAGTGCAGGAAATAAACTTAGCTAATGCCTTGATGCCGTTTGCAGTGCCAAGAATATCTGTGACCCGCATGTTCGGGAAGGGTTTTGACAGCAGATGTCGGTGTGCATGGTAACGTGCACAATCGAAGTAAGATTGGAGGCATAAAGGGGCGCAGAACTTGGATTCCGTGGAATTGTCGGCTGCTGAATGTTAATGACTGGTCTGGAAGGGACGAGAATGGGAGCATGGCAGACAGGAAGAGTCTGCACATGCGGCGGAGCAGGGGGGATCCTTGTACCGATCACGTTCGCAATTTTGCCCAACATGGATCGCTCGAACCGGTGAAACTCACGCCGGACCTGTGTGATAGGAACCAGCTGCACACAATTGGCAACTTGGGTTCAGCACAGCGGTACAGTAACATGATTTCGAAGGGAGAACCTACCTGGTGCTCCTGTTCTATGCCCTCTATGCCCTCTATCTCGACGTCATCAGCATCCTGTGGGCTCTCGTTATTTCTTGCAACAGTTGAGCCCTCCCTGGCTGACGGTGCAACCGGTCGTGCGGAATCTAGACTAGGGGTTGCGGCACGCTCTCATTCTTGTCTTCTGCCAGTGGCAGTGTCCCCAAGCACAGCATCAGACTGCAAGATTGCGGCGTTAGTGCATCATCACGAGCCGAAAGTCTGCAACGTACCCAAGTGTCGTTATGCGCAACAACAGAGTGCTGCAAAGGCTGAGGTACGCATAGATCTCCACTCCTCTTACACGGATACTCCACGACAGGTTCCCTCTCTCCGAAGAGGGTCACGATCCGCTTCGAGGAGTGTTTGTTCGCTCGGGAGCCTGTGTAGTCGCCCCTCTTGCGCTTCCGACTTGCCTGAAACAACCTGCGCGAAAAGATCAGTCACATAGACAGTGCTGCAGATTGAGATTCAGGACTCACCCCGCCCATTGCTCGGGATCATTGGCGAAGTCTCGGAGACGGGTTCGAAGCACTCTTCTGTTCCCGCTCACTGGCAGCCCATACTGTGCAAGATGCTGTTTCAAAATCTTGTTGGTAGGTGTGTTACCGGTGCTGGTGGGTATTTATAGCTGCTAAATCTCTCGGAAATTTGTTGATTCCGTCATGTACTCACATAGTGACCTCGGTCAGCTGGAGTTGATGGTCTCCTTCTCGGAGAGTCTGCCCAGGCAGCGGCAGCTTCAAAATCTCGGTCTCAGGTTCTGATTCATGAGAATGAGCGGAAGAATTTTTATTAGTATGGGGAGCCATATTGTAGAGTGGTACGAGCCATGGAACGAAACTGATCCATGTGCGTGCAGTCGATCATATGTATGGTGATCGGTCTGCGCTGTCAGAGCCGACCCACCTTGTTCGGCTACATACAACTCATAACTATCTTACATCTGACGGCAGCAGTTCATCCCTCACCTCATGGATCCACAGCATCTTCAGCAGCTGCCTGGTGCTGCAGCATGCCTACTGGAGGCTCAGATGGTCTGCTTCCAAGAAGTAGTTGATGAGCAGATTGAGGAGCAAGAGTCCATGGAGCAAGCTATGGATGTTGACAATCGTCTGGATGCTGACTCTCATTATCTGCGAGAGCCCGATCCTGTTCACAAGAAACAGAAGCTATCTGCTAGCAAGGAGAATCTCGTTGAGAATCTGAAAAAGGCTTCTGCTCATGTTATTGTGGAAAACATGCAGAACGAGTACCAAAGGTGAGTCTCATGTGACTTGAAGATCAAGATCCTGGACTCATATTTCCTCTGCAGAAATTGGACACAGTTCACCGAGTTCTGTGCTGAACTTGGGTATGTTGAGGAGCCCGAAGATGTTGACAATCTGTACCCGAACATTCCGAGTGATTTTCCAACGTGGATTGCTATCTGGATCATGAATAAGTAAGTGAACTACACTCATCCACTGAGCATTGAAGGGACCAAGATCATTGCCAACAATTTCAGGGCAGACGAGTTGGATGTGCGCACTGGAAAACCGAAGGACCCGTCCATTGCCCATGTTACCTATGGAACTGCTCAGAAGATGCGTGCTGCCATCAGTCATAAGTTCGGATGCCATTATGGGCTGGGTACTCAGCAGTGGATTGAGAATCCACTCAAGCTGGGAGAGTACATTGGGAATCCATCGCTGTTTGTGACCGTCTCGCAGTACATGGTCAGTCTGCGACGGCGTAAGGTGTGTACTCCACGTCAACATGTACCCAGTGCTGAGACCATAGCTATACACAGATTCGTGGAGGGGAGATTGTGACGAGCGCACGTGCTATTGACCAAGAGATGATGAGGATGCTGTGGGCCTTCAATATTGAGTTCCCACAAGAGCAGTATGCACCTGTGAGCCGAAAATGAAAGGCGGAGCAACCCAAGCAGTGGGCTGGATGGAGGGTGAGGCAAATGCTGCACCTTCTCTATGTTGTCTCCATGCTGTGTCTTCTGCAGTATGATGAGGCACTCAGGATCATGTGGAGTGATGTACATCTTGAGACGTGTGACGGCACCTCTCGTGTGCATCTTGACCTTCCCTTTCGCAAGACAGCTCAAAATGGAGGTGAGCAGCTTACTTGTGTTCTGCACTGTTTGATGTGGTTTGATAGTAGTAATCAGGCATCGCACCCTTCTATTTGTATCCAGACACAACATGGCCCTGGATGTGTCCAGTGCAAGCATTCACACAGTGGTGGGTGATATGTAGGGAACTAGGCATTGAGCCACAGGGTTATGTCTTCCGCAAGTGCATTGGGCAGGATGGGGTGGGTGTCAATGCAGGTGATGCAATGGTCAGTGTTTCCATCTTCAATCATGTTGGGCAGACTTACTGGTATGGCATTTATCTTAGTCAAATGACGCCTTCCTCGAGTGCTTCCGCAACAACCTCTGTGACATCAAGGTTGATCCTCGACCATACGGCACACATTCATTTCGCCGTGGTGGTTGCCAGTATCTTGCAATGGTGCTCCGCTGGCCGCTGCGGCACATCTGCACCTGGGGCGGATGGGCAGAAGACTTTGACAACCCGGGAACAATATTCAAATACCTCCTGTCTTGGACTGACACTCCGATGCTCGAGCGTCAAGACTATTTCAATCCAAAACGTGCGGAGAGCGATCCTTGCACAGCCTGTGGTTGCACCTGTCCGTGCGCTTAACACAGTGCAGTCAAGGGTGCCAACAGACATGCAGCTGTGTTTGTGCATTCAAAAGGAAAAGAGATATTTTATTTTATTTGTTCTGGCCCAACTGGCATAACTGTACAATACGAAAGCTTTCAGCTATAATACATAATCAATCACCATGCAGATACTAGTACAGTGGGAAGAAGAAGCATCAATTATCATCAATGGTGAGATCAATAACAACTGGGTCATCCGTTATCAGAGAGATGACTTCCTGCTGCTCCACATCATCATCATCATCGTCACTGGCAGTCAGGTTGATGACATCAGAGAATGTTGATGGGTCTACGCCACAGGAACAGGCACGCGCATGATGAACTATTGTCAAAGGAACCCAGAGCTTCAGAGGCCTCGCACTGTAGTTCGGTTGTTGCGTGCCCGACGGGTGAGGAGACAGTCGTACACCAAAGAGGTTGGAGATGGCAATGTCAGCAGAACTGCGATCGATTGCTATCACACGGACATTATCCTGGTCCATGGAGTGATCAGGTTGCAGCCAGACCTCCAACGGTGGTGCTGCGAGAGTGGAGTGTGCACCCTATGTAGAGGAGGCGTCAGAAAATGTCCACTCTTATAGACTCCCGCTCACCTGTTTCTGGTGCCGCCGGTCATAGGCGACTGCTTCAGCGACAAGGAGTTTGAGGGCCATACCAGGCCACAGCCACTCGCGGACATGCTTGACGATCCCCGACTTTGTTCCCCAGCCAAAGTGCAGCTCGCAGAAGGTGCCGAGCTTTGCCAGGTCAACAGGCAGGGGATGAGCTGGGAGGTGCGGGATATTTGCTGATGTTGAGGGGCTGAGGTATGCTCGGAGCACAGCGACATCAGGAAACGAGTCAGGGACTGAGTTTGACAGCACGATGTGACGGTGGCCAAGGTGATTGTCGGGATCAGTGCTAAGGATGGACCGCAGCCTGTCACGCCAACCAGACAGGAATGCAGACAGTTCGGTCTCATTGTTGCCGAGCACCACGGCAGCATCACAGAGCGACTCGCCAAGTCCATAGCGCGTGATTGCGAGGGCGGTCTGAGGCCTGCATCGACACAAGCCATTCTAAATGGACACGCAGAGAGTGTGGATGGTCAGATGTAAGGCGAAACACATGAGCATCGCCATACTCACCTCATCATAGTCGCCTCCGCAGAGAAGTGCGACAAGGACCAGGCTGCCGCACGAGAGCGAAATCGCGCTGTGTGCATTGATAGTGCATTGCCGAAAGGCATGCACCTCATCCTCCGCGTCCGCTTTGTAACTGGAAGAGGGACCGATTAGGGTAAAATCGGCCACAGGTGGGAAGGCGAGACTCACTTTCTGATCACGGTGCGGGCGCCAAAAATGAGCGCGTCACTGTCGTCCGTCAGAACGGCGTCGGCAATGCCGAGCTGGTTCAGCTTAGCCAGCTCGGCCTCAGCTTCACCAGGGGCCTGGGCAGAAAACAGTGCGAGGGTCAGTAGTGCCAGTGCGAAGAGCACAAAATACATACCACGCGCCACTCGTACCCAAATGCGTCGAGGAGCTTCTGTGTGTTTCCGACCATCCAGTGCGTCCCGATGACCTTGCAGGAGCATTTGTGTGCAGGCCGGCCTGGTCCATCGAAGACAAAAAGAGGGCGCACGGGTAGCTTGAGCAGTCTTGCGAGGCGGTGGAACAGGCTGCGCAACTCCGGGTTTTCACCCGAGTTGGCGTGCCCGGCCGCGAACCGTTCCTGAAGTTGATGGAACCAGATGCTACCGGCGACCTCGCGTGAGATACCCACTCACATTTGAGCGCGGGGAGGGACATACCTTGTGTCAATACCAAGCCGATACAGCCGCTCGCCAGGACGGCCTTCGAATCCGTCACGCAAGGTGAGCAGCTTGAGGGATGTTTCCTCTCGAGCGGTCTTCAGAAGCTGGGCAACATGGATGCATGCGTGAGATCGCATTGCTACCAAGGTACAGCGATGGACGTACCTCCCAAAGGCCATTCATGCCCATGTTGAGCACGTTCCCACGAGACTCAAGTCGTTGTCAGAGGCAGGTGCATCAGCACGGTGAGGACAGGTCGAGGACCCGGTTGAGGTGACAGCGTGCCGCGCGGGGCGGCGCTCAAGACTGGGCAGGGCGGCGGGAGCCTCGTCGATGAGCACGCGAAAGACGAGTAAAAATAGATGGGTACGCGGCATCATTGCTGCGTAGGGCAATGCATAGAGAGTCCAGCCTGCAGGAGACGGTGAGGGGACGGCGGCACCGCTGGCAGGAGGTAGCGCCGGGAGTTGATGCAGGGGAGCTCGCCGAGGGGATGTAAATTTGTGGACTGTAAATCTGTCGGTCAGTCGCGCGTTCGTGGGGGGCCACAGTGCAGTTCCCCGCGAGATTCAGCCCCCAGCCCAGCTTGCTTCGGGTCGCCAGATTTACAGTCCTGGCGGGCGCGTTTACAGTCCAGCGGGGCGCTTGCAGGGCCTCCCCCTTTGGGCGATGCCACGATGCCAGGGCGCTTGTCTTGTTCTCCCCGACCCTCCCTACTGGACGTGCCCCTCCTTCCTGGCCCTCCCTTGCCCGGAAAAAGGGCAGATATATTCGACGTGCACACCGCGCGCCCTCCCGCCGTGGTCTCTTTTCGCCGCTCCCTCTCGTGCACCCCTCGCGCCCCGCCCTTCATGTCGCGGCCTCCGGTTCACGGGGTCCTTCTCGGCGCCGTTCGGCTCATTCAGCTTGCGCATGACGTTTCCGGGATTAGGCGCCGGTGGACTGTCAATTTGGTGGCGATCAGCCTTTCTTCGTCTGGACGGCGAGCTGCGTCGCTACCATTGTTTCATTCGCTGAATGCGCCCAAAGAACTACGACTCAGCCTCGCCGCACCGTCCACAGCAATGAGATTTTTGAGGCAACCTTCTGCCGCATATCTTCTTTCCGCCATTCGCGACTGCCACAGGGGAAATTCACTGAAGGATGTTCAAATTTGACGGATATGAGCCACTGTGTGTTAACACCTTCTCCCAAATGAAGTGTACATGGCTAAGGATATCCGTATCTCAGATATTGCGACTAAGAAATCGATCAATACTCAGTACTAGTGAGATCTCAAAATAAAATATTCACCTGATCGCATCGCTGATACTCCATAGGTGCATACCACAGCACAGCTTTTCATGGACATGGCAAAAATCCAGGAAGCCAGAACAGTCGGGTGCTACAATGAGGATGACGAACACGTTTAAATCAATGGGTACGGGTCGGGTACGGTCACAGACTCCACGTCGTGTTACCTGCGGGTTTCACCCGGTCATAATTCGGGTTAACCCGTGTCACCCCCTACGATGGGTAGGCTTATCCAGTAGAGTATAATGCCACTTAGGCATCGGGAGGATGTGCTCCAGAGTCCCTTGTGGTGAGATGTAAGGGTGGAGTAGTAACATCCGCTTGGATCCCACCATACCGCGAAGTCTAGTACAGAGACTGTGCAGGACGAATTCGCGCGGCAACGAACGTATTTGACATCTTCTGAAGAGACAATTCGTGGTCACAATACTATGCCCTACCATCCCATCGGCACCCCCCCTCAAGTCGGCAGTAACACGTTATGTCACCCATCAGTCACCCATTTCGCACGTCAGTGTGACAACATCATGACACGGCGTGATAAAACATGAGTTTTCGCCGAAAACAGAACTCGGTCAATACTAGGCCATCTGCCGTCGTTCAAGTTTGCAATTGATTAAGATATACCAGTATAAACATAGATGAAGAAGGTAAGCAAGGGGACCAGAAACGGGGGAGGTATGCTGGGGTGCCGACTTGTAGGGGGGTGCCGATGGGACAGTAGGGCATAGTATTGCAATTGAGTGCCTTACTACTTACATAAGCGACGGGGCTGAATGCGGAATGAGCGCCCTCTCTTCGTTCCTCAGCCTGAGGATATCTGTGTCCGAGTCTGCCCATCCTCTGAGGCTGAGCGTTGAGCTTGGACGACTCAGAAGAGGACATCTGCAGTCTTGTGCCCCTCTGCTGCATTCACGATCAACCTTCTCTCTGTAACGGTTTCACCCTGCCTGGCACCTTCATGTTCTCAGCGGGTCTTATGGCCTGTTCGGCATCCAAACATTTGCGTCACGCTAGTCTCAGTTCCAGACGTTCACCCACGGAAGTAACCGAGAACCAATATGTCGGAGATCGAAAAAACCATTGCAACTTCCGTGGTAGAATGTCTGGTGAACTTCGGTACAGCGGGTGTAAATAACCTCGATCCCATGACCAAGTCGCATCGCGCGTATAGCTAAGATCGTGCCCGTCAGTATACTGTATGCACCCGCTAAGAGTCGGTGCGGCACCCTTCGCCTGCGTGATCATCTCCTCCCATCTGATATCCAACAGAGAGCATTCAGACAGCTCTCCCTGAGGCGAGCGCATCACTGGCTTCAGTGCGCATGTCTGACTGTACTCTTTCATTGACTATCTCCAGTGCGAACTCCTGGAATACTGCGCCTCCCGCTTTGATGCGAACACCGGTGCCGTGAGTCCTAGGCGGCCGGTACCAATGCCGAAGAATCATCGGGAGCTCCTCGCTAACCATCAGTGATGTTCTCGCATACCTCGCCTTGCCGTTTGAGATCAATTCCGGTATTGCTGGATTCCAACTCAGAGCCCAGAGGAAGAGAGGGAGATTGATGTCTTCAGAATCCATGAACTCCAGAACTCGTACCACGCATTCAGCAATGTCCCCACTAGCCTTCAGGTTAACCTTAAGCTTGCGAGTGCATTCTTGATGCGGCGTCGAACTAGCTGTCCGTTGGCGGTCGTCACTGCCGGCGGAATTTTCTTGACCTTCACCTGGAGAATCATAGCCACGAGTATCTTCATTTTCGACAAGAGAGTCATCATCTTCATAGTCGGACTCATCGTCAGAGTAGAAAGCGGTAGCTGAGGAGGGCATCACGAAGTACTGTCAGAAACTCAGATGCGTTGCAGCGGCCAACGAGACGCGACTTGATCACGGGACCGAGGTTATCTACACCCGCTGTACCGAAAGTCACCAGACGTTCTGCTGGGCAGGCTGCAATGGTTTTTTCGATGTCCGATATATTGGCTTTCGGCAGCCTCCGAGGCGGAGCCGAGGACCGGCCCAGCACGATCATCTGGAACCGAGACTAGCGTCACGCAAACGTTTGCGTTCATTTCACGCATCCGTCCAAACAGATGCACATAACGGGCCGATCTTGCCGCTGTCACGCCCCATTTCCGGGCAACGGTGTTGACCGACACAGGGAATCGCTGCTCGTCGTGCATCTGCCTTTGCTCGTCGTTGCCCCCGATGAGCAGGTGGATTTAGATGTTTTGATTCAATGATAGAATATGTAGAATACAACATTCCTTTTTCAATTGTGCTGCTGTATTCTATGTACTGATGGGTGCCACATGACAGCGCTCTCAGATGCTCGTCGCCGTCGTTGAGGGCGGTGAGGCGGGAATTTCGGCGGCAGGGGATAACCCAACCCATCAGTCACAGACAGTCACAATCTCGGGTTGGCCGGAACTTTCGGGAATTTCCGGCTTCTGGGTGTTTGCGTTGCAAAAGCGTTTGCGTGACGCAAATGTTTCGATGCCGAACGGGCCCTTAGTAGTGTTCAACGCCTAACTGCACCTCGAGTTTGACTCCTGCGTCTTCGCGTTTCAAGCGGTATTCAGCTCGGCTTGATGGAATGCTGACCTCCTTGAATACTGCGTCCTCACTATTCCTGTGAGCTTCCCCACATGCAGTCCCTGTAGCCTATCTTCCGGAACTTTGAGTTCGATGATCTCTCACCCTGCAAGAACACGTCTCTCTCCGTTTGGGCTACAGTGAGCAAGCACCGATCGGCAACGAGCTGTTTGCGTATACCCAGCCGATTCCGATAACGTTGGCTCGAGCACCTTAGGGGTTGGAGATCTAGTTCTCACTTAGTTGGCCCAGGCCGCAACATCCACCCAATGTGTCACGGACTAGTGCGAAGCAGAATCTTTTCTCAAATAACTGATTCATAGCACATATCGGGATAAAACATTTATTGGGGAACATTGCAATTGACAGGTACTGAGCGAATACAACGACAGCGGGAGTTTCGTCAACCAGCGTGGATATTCGAGGGACAACTGATCAATTACTGTTTGGTTTCTCATAGCATCCTACAACTCTAGGAGTGTATCTGGTCTCAATTGGTTCCACTACTAGGGAGTATTTGTGAGTTCCGATATGTTGACGACCAGACCTGATGCTTATCCGTTTTCCGATGAAAACGGGACCTGCAGTCTCAAGCATTCAATCTGCGCCTGTGAGCGAAGTTCAGTCTCCCGCCGCGAATCAGTCGTTAAGACCACAATGTCTTAATCACGTAGGTCATCGTTTGTTTGATTACGGATCTTGCCCAAGTCGGTGCGCCATCTACGACGTGTAATTGCATTAAATGTAATCGTGCCTCGACCAGGGAGTCTCGGCGACATCCAGGGATTCTTTAGTTGTCCCTCTCAATTCAAAATCGTCAAGACTACGTGTGGCGAATCTGACGATGGTGAGATGGCAAAACTACCAAATGCTAGAAATTTTACTCGTGCGTTTTTCCCGACGGGTAAAATTCACACGTCTAGGCTGATGCGAGTGGTGTCTACTCCGTACAGCATATCACTCATTATTGGGGATATTGCACGAGCCTCGATCGCAAGATTTCTGAAGCGGACAGCACGAAGTATGCCAGATCCACGGACAGGTACAGGTGAGACCCCAAAACGGAAGTGAGAAACCCCTGATCGATGATCTTCACGTTAGTGGCACTTTGACTGTCACCCTGTGGCGCTCTTGGCGGTGAGTGTATAATCGTATTCGGATTTATCAAGATGAACATGACTGAATCTGACGTATCCCCATTCCCAACCAGTCTTAAGGTAAGCAATGTTTATGAAGAGGCCCCGTAGAGCCCACCTCATTCTGCACTTTGTGAAATATATTGTTGAACTTAAACGGTTTCCATATCCAGGCATCACGTGAGGATACGTGCGGTAGAATGGAATTGCAACATTTTGCCGTTACATTGCGTGCGCAGTGCAATACCCAAATTGCATCATGTCTGCTAGATCTTCGAATTGGATTAAGATCCAGTTTTTTTGTACGCCTTCGATTCCTCATAAATTCAACGAATATGCTCGCTATCTCGTCGACTCTTTATCGCGTCCCCCCGGGTCTCCCTCTCGTCCCAATGTCTGAGAAATCTGCAGCGGCATCATCCATCAAGTCATCAACCGAGGATGTCACTCTAGCACTGGACCAGTACGATCCGGAGCTAGTTAGGAAAACGTGGCGCAAGGTCGACTTACATGTAATGCCGATTGCCGTACTACTTTATCTTGCATCCTACATCGACAGGTGAGATTATCGCCTTTGTTGGTTCTGTTGCCATACTCAGGCTGTTGCATGCAGGGCCAATATCGGAAACGCAAAAGTCCTAGGCTTATCTTCCGCATTACATCTTACCAGCAATGAATACAACTGGGCGCTATCCATCTTCTTCATCGGATACTTTATCTTCGAAACGCCTTCTCAAATTATTCTCAAGCGGATCAGTCCGAGATGGTACATCCCCTCGCTGACGGCATGTCCCCGTATTCATGTACGGTAACTGTGCTCACTTATGTAATAGGTTCTCTGGGGCCTTACATGTGCGCTACTCTCATGTGTTCAGAGCTCAAGCGGCCTTTTGGCTGGGCGATTCTTCCTTGGCTTTGTTGAAGCAGGTTTCCTTCCTGGTATCGTTTACTGGGGTCAGTACCGACCGTTCCATCGTCCTAGCTGCGGTCATCCTGAGTATATATTTACAGTTAGTTGCTGGTACCCACGTCCGATGCAGGGTCGACGCTTTGGGGTGTTGTACTCGACAGTTTCGCTCACAGGTGCATTTGGAGGATTGCTGGCCACGGCAATTCATGCGTTGAATGGTACCCACGGCATCGCGGGCTGGCGGTACGTCCTGACGTTCATCAGTTGATAGCATGGACTGCTGACTTCTTCTGCAGATGGATTTTCATCGTCGAAGGCGTGATTACCGCCGGCTTCGGACTTATCTCATTTATCTTCATGTCCGCGTATCCCGAGACTGCGTCTTTCCTCACTCCCACGGAGAGACGCATCATTTTATTGTCGAACGCTGCGGATCGTGCCCAGGCCGCCAACGACTCTGCTGCGTTCCATAGTGCACAGATCCGCTCGGCGTTCACGGATTGGCGTGTCTACCTCTGGGGACTGGTCTACCTCGTGAACTATATTCCGGTGTACAGCGTAATTTTATCTTTGCCAAGTGTGGTGACTGGACTCGGTTACAAGGGTACGCGCGCGACGTTGATGGCTTGCCCGCCGTATGGTCTCGGGTTCATCGCCGTTCTCATCGCTGGGTGGACATCGGACCGGTATGGGTTATTCTACTGGCACTACGTATTCGGCGTGTCTGTGACGATGATCGCGCTCATTGTCCTGATGGCCGTGAAGAACCTCGTCGTACGCTACGTGATGTTCTTCCTCGTCATGTTCATGTATGATTTCATCTTCATCTGACATTCAGCATCGACGTTCCTAATTCTGTTCTTCAGGTTCGTACCCATTTCAACTTGTTGGACGTGGCTCTCGGCCAACTTTGCTGGTCCTAACAAGCGCGCGGCTGCCACTGGTATCGTCTTCTCGATGGGTAACATCGGTGGCACAATTTCCGGCCAGATCTATCGCTCCAACTGGGCACCACGCTATGTGCAAGGACATGCCATAAACCTCGCGTGTTATGCGATTGCGTTCGTAGCTGGCACTGGCTTGTGGTGGACGTACCGAACCGATAATGCGAGGAGGGACAAGGCGGAGGAAGTGAATGCCGAGAATAGCGAGAAGGGGCAGGTGCACGCTCAGGTCTACGAGCACGGGCACGGGCAACAGCATGACCTGATTGGTGAAGACTTGGGCGATCTGGGCGATAGGCAAGTCTTGTTCAGTTCATCTGCTGGTATTGCTGCTCATCAGCTTCTTCCTGATCTTTAGACACCCTAGCTTCCGATACTATTACTAAGCTTCTTCGATGTATTTTAGAAGACGATGCACGACATCAAGAGATGGTAGTGTGCTGACGATAGATGGTCTTGTTGATCGCAACTACTTGTCGTGTCGTAGGGTGTAAATGCATGACACGAATCAAAACATCAGCGTGCTTCAGCTTCTTCCAGGCCGTCCCGTCTGCTGTATGATAAGTTCATATGACACGCTGTCTGCCCTGATTGCTTTGCTTGAAACTTATCAAGTTCGTCACAAGTGGCTTTGCCCCTGATGGAAGATCATGGGCACCGTCTCTTCGAACTCCTGCATTTTCTTCGTCTCTCCATATATACGTAGCCTACAAATCCTGCTGCACCCTTCGACGCATCCATCCGTTGTGTGTTAGAAGTTAGAATTACTGTATTAGAGTGACCAAGAGGAAACGTTCGCCCCTTTCATCCGACCGGTTCTCTCACCTTCACCTCTTACCATCAGTGCACCTCTCACACCCACTGACATCACCTGCAGAACTGCACAGTCGACGTCTATCTTTGCTTCAGCAGGGTCGAGGATTTTAGAAACGCGCACAGCGCGATCACGTGCCTCCTCCTAACTCGGGGGTGGGATCCGCGCAAGCTCTTTGTTCTCGACTTGCTGTATTCCGAACGCCACAACTCACGGTTGATTACCAAAATCCTTCTCCGTGAAGTCCACCTGAAGATTATCTCCCAATACATCTCAAAGGATCTGAATATCAAGTTGTGTCTTCCTCTTGAAAGGCCCTCGTTGTAACGACACCACCAAGCCGCCCTTCCAAATTATTTCTGCCGGTGCTATAAATTTTGTATATACCTGTTGTGAAATCTGACGTTATTCTTAGCAAGGAGCATGCCGGACCAGAGACATTCCGTTCTCCTTCTGTCTCTCAATAAATTCAGCGGCTTCGACGAGCTGCACGGGCACCTCCTCACCGCATTGCGTGCCAAAGCTGAGGTGCACGAAGTGACATCTTCAGGAAACGCCATTCAGCGTCTTTCCACCGCTCCCCACCCAAAAGCCATCATCGTCACTGATGCAGGAGTCACCGAGCGCAAGAACAACAAGGTGCTCGCAAAGCTCGTCGAATATGTCACTTCTGGTGGCACTATCATCTTTGCCTGCCAGTTCAGCTCTTTCGTCCGCCCAGTCGATATGAATTCCATGTTTCAGAAGTCTTGGAATCTGCCGTGGAATGCGGGCTCGTACCATCGCAGCACATTCGCCCTGAATTCTTCTGTGAAGGGCCTCGGATTGGACGGCCTGGCGAGTGAATACAGCATGAAGGCTGTCCATCTGAGAAATGTGGCGCTCCATGCGTCCGTGTATCTTCCTACGTCGGAATCTTGCATCCAGTCGCTTGTATTCGCTCCTAGCCCGGTCGGCCGCCTGAACGAGACGCCCGTCGCATTCGCGTCTTTCGGAAATGGTTACATCGGATACGTAGGAGACGTCAATGCGGAAGAAAACTCATCCAACGTTGTTATCGCCATGTGTCTTGCCTCGGAACCGCGGCTAGCCTCTGGAACCCCTACTCCTCCCAACAATGTCCAGGTGAGGTCTTCAACGCGTGACTAAAATTCGTCACTCACAATTGACCCTCATATAGGCTGTGCGCGAAAACATGAAGCCAATAATTCTCATGCTCTCGTTGGAGAAGGAACCGTGGATCGACGATTCATATTCCCAATTATATTCAGGCTTGAGCAAGAATGCCACGCTCCACGAAGCACGGACCGTCCGAGAAGCAAATCGTATCCTGAATACATCCCCGTCGCCGTTCGCCGTGCTAGCAACTGATTCTGGCATCGCACGCCGCAAGCACCTGAACCTTTTGACGCGGCTCGTCGAGTATACAAGAGCAGGCGGACGCATCGTGATCGGATGCCAGTTCAGCAACAACTTGCCCCTCGACTGTGCAGAGCGCTTCTTTGCTAGGTGGAATCTGCCCTGGGATGCAGGCTCGTACTATCGCACGACCTTCGCGCTGAATCCAGCAGGCATCCCGTCGCCGCTGTCTCGACGCGCTCTATTCCCTCAGTATAGCATGAAGGCGCTGCACCTCAAGAATGTCTCACCAGAGACGGCCGTATACATCCCTACCTCCCAGTCGCAAGTCGAATCTCACGTCTTCCCCGTGACCCCCATCACCGGAGCGCAGTTAGAGGAGAGCCCGGCCACGTTCGCACATGTTGGAGAAGGATACCTTGGATATGTCGGAGATGTGAATGGAGAACAGCAGACGATCCGGCTCCTCATTGAGATGTGTGGCGTCCGTATCAAGCCAGGTGATCTGGGAACGAGGAATTGCATGACAGGAGTGAGCTTTGGACCGAATGGAATGGAAACGCAACGGCAGTATTTCTCTGAGACACCGTTGCCAGTCTATCCAGAGATTATTGTACGTCCGAGAGATACAGAAGTGACCGCGCGGGCTGTCAGACGTAAGTCTCACGCGAGGGAACAGCAAGCTTTGGCGGAGAAGTTGAAACAAGAGGTGAGCGTGATTGCTCTCAAGCACGTTGGCCTTATTGAGTGTGTTGCCTAGGGGAACGACTTTTACAAGGATGGAGCATGGGAAGATGCCGCAGAAGCGTATCGCAAAGCGGCTTTCGTGTACGGTCCCCGGCCTGTCTACATGACCAACCTCGCTGCTGCGTTGCTGAAGCTCAGGTTGTGAGTACTTCAGCAGCCCTGCGTGCCGATTGACTTGGGCTTACATCACGTCAGATGGGACGAGGCTGAAAGTGCCACTGACAGAGCATTGCGGTACGAACCAAAGAACTTGAAAGCGCGCTTCCGTAGGGGAATTGCACGTAAGGAGCTTGGAGACTACGCTGCTGCAATCAAAGGTATGGCTTCAGCATCAGCATCATTTTACCCTACAGGTGATCTCACCATGAACCAGATTTCTACAGCGTCCTCAGACAGGATCCCAATAATGGTGCAGCACGCACGGAATTGGCTGCTACCTTGTCTCTGCAGTCAGCCGAAAGTGGGTATTCCATAGCCGCTGTCGTAGACGAAAGCCGCCCGGAAAACGAAGATGCGTGTTCGGATATCCTCACAGAGTCAGACTCAAGCGATTTTGCTATCGTAGGCGACAGCGATATGGGGGTCTGCAAATCCCACAACCACCAAGGTTGTGCTGAGGGGCGCCAATGCCGTTACCGCCATGCGGGGGACAACTTCAGCGTGAGGGATATGTTGTACGTATTACCTCCTGGTGTTCATTCTATAGTTAGGGTGTGACTGGAACTCGTACTGATATTGTATGCAGAGGAAGAAATGTCTGCCTGATGTGGCTTCTCGGTACCTGCCGCTATGATCAGGGATGCAGTTACAATCACGACGACACGTACCTCCCTACGCGTGGCTGGTGGGCTGATGAATGGAAGCTAGCCCGCATGCGTGACGACGTACAGAACCTCCTTAGGCAAGGACTCCAACTGGAGGAAGTTGAGAACATGATCCCTTCCCGTTGGCCAACCTGGCGCCAGGATGCCTGGGCGGTTGCAGAAAACTACCGAGAGTAATGTGACGCGGCAAGGTTGATGGAGACAGAGATGGCTTTGTAATAGGGTGAGTGGCGTCTACTGAGTGCACAACTCCATGAATGACGAACGCACTTACAATTTGAGACCAAAATTTCAGGATGTTTTGCATGCTCTTGGGATGAGTGATGGGATCGCAAAAAAATTGATGATCCTCGACTGACAATGGGAATGTTTGAGGCGTATTCAATTACTATTTTTGAACGCGTTAAATAACTGAGGCAGTCTGTCAGGATTTGCCGTGGTCAATCATCCCCAATAGGGTTTCCTTACTTCGTAGTTTTTGTCTGTTATATTTGTTGTCTTTCGGAGCAGAAAAATGTCATATTGTATTTTCTGATGTAATCACGTACCTTACAGCGCAAAGCAGCACAATCCTTTCCATGTTTCAGATACCTTGGGATGTCTTTGGTCTGTTACGAAGTATTACGTTTGATTTTGCAAATCCCACATGAAACCAAGAGAAGAGGCAGATGTTCGTAAGCAAAATTTCCAAAGAAGGCACAAGCTTCGCATCGGAGAAAATGTTGTCAGTCAGCACATGGCTGATGAGCCGCTGGACGATGCAGTGGTGCTGGCCACTACTTGGAGCGTGCGCTTTCTGCGTATACCAGCACAGCATCCGGAGATGTGGAAGCCTCGAGACATGGAACGTTTCGCAGGCAATCTGTGGTTCGCCTAGGTAGAGTTTCTTGTGGAGGGCTGAATACACGAGTTTGCCCACCATGAATGTCTTGTCAAGCAAAATGACCAGGATCATTGGCTTTCTCTGATACTTTTCTACGGAAGAACCAAAAAACAAGAAAAACACAGTGAAGTCTCAAGACTCCAAGGACTCTCAGAGGAAGGCCATACCTTTACACCTCCGGCAGACCCTTTGTTCTTCAAGTTTGGAGGGCCAGGGACGCGCGGGAGGACTACTACATAGGCTAATCAAATTGGCAACAATTTTTTGGTTCAAAAATGGAAGAACTTTAAAGAGTACCTGAGAAATTGGAGTTGCAGCTTCCGGAAATCAGAACAATGTTTGAACGGGAGCTAGTGTTGTTGGCAGAAGTCTGCCGTTCTGCCGTCGAGTTCTGCCAAAAGGCCTTGGGCAGAACTTGGCAGAACTTCCAAACTGACCAGACTTTGGCGGAAAGCCAAATAAAACTAAATAGTTACCATATATAGGTAATCCTATGACAGATGCTTTGTACAAAAACATTTCTGTTGCGCCTTCCATGGACGTGTTTCTAGATATCCTGGACGCATGTCCAGGCTTAACGGAGCTTACGCTCAAACTTTCAGGGCCCATACTTCCGTTTGGCGTCGCAGAATTTCTTGAACCGACGCGCTACGTCTCTCTTCCGCACATCAAGAAGGTATTGCTAGGTGTATTTCGTTCGACATTGTGAGGAAACATCACGGTTCACGAGGGAATATTGACGGCATTCATTCCCAACGTCCAAGTCAGGACATGAGCTTCAGTAGGATAGCCTACGGCATAACCCGGCCTGAGAATCTGGGTTATGTTATCTCTGGTTGCGCAATCTTCTCACCTAAGGCGCAACTTTGATGAGAAGAGCACACATCTTCTGACCGTGGACGGAACTGTGTATATATACTAGTAGCTGACTTACGGAGACCGCGCATAGTTGGTGGAGAGACACCATGTTGTTCACTCTGTCGTCGTTGGTACTTGCCTCATTCGTTGCAGCTCCATGTCTGGCTTCAAGCCAAGCGGCCTTCAGTATTCCCGGAGCGGACGATTCGGACAACTATGAGTTCAAGTGGCCCGTGCAAAATGTGGCTATTATCGGTGCTGGCGTTAGGTTGTCTGATTTTATGTCTGTGAAGGGGTCGTGTCTGACTAGGGATTACCTTTTTGCACGACTGCAGTGGATTGATGGCGTACCGGGAACTCACTCGGGCAGGGCTGCAAGCGCACATATTCGAGCGCGACCGAGTGCCTGGCGGAAATTGGTATTACAGCGAAGAGACTCCCCTCGACGCACCCATTCCGAGCGCCGACATAGCAGTCGGAGACTTTGTCCCGTCATTGCCGCCCGCTGGCGTCGAACTTCCTTACACAGAAGAGTACAAAGACAATTATGCCGACGTCAAACGGGGTCATAGAGGTCCGAAGCCACTGTGGGACAGTCTGCACTCAAATGCACCAGCAGTAAGTTGATTTGAATTCGCCATCAACGACACGGAGAGTTCACTGTAAGTACGTTTGCAAAGCCGATACAGCAGGTAGGTATCACTTGTACGATTAAGCCTGGCGTCTGAATGGTAGGATGTGCAGATCACCGACTTTCCATGGCCGGTCGACATAAATTGGGGTGCGTCGCGCCGGGAATGCTTTACGCTTTATCCACTGCAATTGATTGTCGGCAGAGCTATCACACTACCAACTGGGGAAATACTTGCGATCCTTCGCGTCCTTCCTCGGCTTGAATAGCAACGATGAGAACCCAGACACTTCGTACAACACCCGTGTTGAACGAGTCGACAAATATTTGGATGAGAATGGTAACGAGCATGGTTGGAAATTGCTGCTCAAAAAACTCGTGCAAACCGACTATGGCACATTGAAGGCGACCTGGTATACCCAAGTGAGATTGGAGCCGGTTAATGATTGGACCACTGCTGACCTCATTACAGGTGTTTGACGCAGTGGTTGTCGCAACGGGACGTTATAATGCTCCGCACATTCCCCCGATTGCTGGACTGCCGGAGGTAGCACAAGTTTTCCCTGACAGGCTCACTCATTCTCGACAATACCGTCATCCAGAACCATATGCGAGTGAGACTATCCTTATCGTGGGCGCTTCTGTTTGTGTCTTCTTGAATTAAAGGGGAAACTGTGACAACTCATGATATCTTTCCACAGGTCAGCGGTGCAGAAATTTCGAGAAACCTCAATCCATTTGCCAAGAAAATTTATCAGTCTATCCGGGTGAGTTATATTTGTTCTACGGCATTGCCCTTGTGCTGAACAACTTGTGTCTAGCCTGATAAATGTACGTGGGTCTCACGCGGTGACCTTTCGCATAGATATTGACCCCTTCGGTGGAAACCAAAGCCGATGCTGAACATATCCCTGTTTCCGCATTACTGGGCCGCCTCCCATCAAATACGACAATAGTCCCTGAGATCAAGCGGTTCCTTCCCCCCACGGGCTCCGACTTCAGTGCAGTTCAAATTGAGCTTGTCAACGGAACAGTGCGCTCTCTGGATATCTTAGCATACGCTGCCGATCTGAAATGCTAGCTGCAGATCCTGACGGGCATCGACCGTGTCATTTTCGCCACAGGGTTCCGCTACTCGTTCCCGTTCCTGCCGCAGTACCACAACTCTTCCATCGGACTGAACGACACCGTTCCCACTGGCGAGCTCCAGCCGATCGTCACAGACGGCACACACATCCGATCGCTCCATCTGGACATCTTCTATATCGATGACCCAACGTTGTGCTTCATAGACAGTAAGGAGTTTGGTCCATGCATCCTGGTTATAGCATTGACGCTGTCTTGTTGCAGTGAACGTTGGCATGCAATCCTTCACTTACTCTGAATATTTGAGCGTGGCTTTCTCGAAGGTGTGGACTAAGAAGGCTTTCTTGCCATCCAGGCGTGAGATGTGGCGGATGCACGAGGAGAGAGTGAAAGACCGTGGAGGCTACGGAAGGTATTTCCAGTTCTTAGGTGCAGCGAGGACAGATGGTCTGTGAATCATCGTCGAGGCATAACATGCCCTACACTGATGCACTCCCTCGTCCAGAAAACATCCGCTACTTCATGGCGTGGCTGAATACCGCTGCGGCAAAATATGGGGGTCGCAAGGTTAGTCCGCATCTCCTTTTTCCAATTGCTACAACTGAAGAGGAACAATGATAGGTTGACAGTCTTCCCAGGGGGTCAGGCAAGCTGATACCTAAGTTTCGTCCCAGTCTGATGTATTTGCTGCAGGACAAGTGACATTGGCCAATATTGGATCAAAGCCCGATACGGAGACCTCAACTTCAGATTCAACTTCTCTGCTCTACAACCCCTGGGCGTAGTTGACACGGCTCTCGATATGCTTTCAGAGGAGGAACGGTCTGAGGCCGTCTACGATGCCGTATTTGGCGATTGGTGGTAAATTCAATCTGCAAGTCATATCTCATATAAGGCTCTCGTACATCTATGCTGTTGGATTTCTGTCCGTTTCGACTATTCCGCTGTATTTGTAGTGCACTTGCACATCTACATGAATATCGTTCTTGTGTGTGTGGAACGACGACGGCAACTGGCGCAATGTATACTGAGGGAATATCATGTACTCCGGTAGGACAGCACCGGCGCGGGGCCATGTAGAATGGAGAGGAAACATGTGATGACTTCAGAGTGAAGTTCAAGAACAGTTCCACGTCCTACTTCAAGAAGGTTCGACCAACTTTTGTTATAATAAAACGTAAAAGGAGTCGTTGAAAATTCTCGCGTGTTCTTGAACCTGCCGGAGTATATGACGTTCAGTATTAAATGCGCTTACAGCGCCCCCAAGTTAAGCTGTTCACACGATTTCACTCCACATGGAATAAATGAATTGTCAATGCTCTCGAGAGCGTTGTAGGAGCACAGAGTAGTGCGAAAGATAGGAAACTCAGGGACATAGGCAGAAGGTACCAATAATTCGAGTATGCTTCAGCATATAAGGATGAGCAGTAAAGACCGAAGACAATTCAATGGAGATATGTCACGATTGAGGGTATCGTACACTTTAGACGGGGTGAGCAGAACCCGGAATACAACGTTCGTGTAAGCGCTAAGCGTGAGTTACACTTTCACGTCATAGACTGCACCATGCACTGCTTCTGAGCACACCCCTTTCTCGCCGAGCCTGTCAGCCACTTAGGGAGTGACATGGGTTAACCCGGATTATGACCGGATGAAACCCGCAGGTAAACACGACGTGGAGTCTGTGACCGTACCCGACCCGTACCCGTTGATTTAAACCCGGGTTAACCTGCAGGTATAGTGCGGGTACCCGCAGATAACCCGTGAGTCAGGCGTGCAGCTGGCAAGTCTCCAAGAAACTAACGAATGTGATCTCGCTACAGCAGGGAATATTCTCGAGATAGTAGACAACGATCTGCAAGTGTCAACTGACACCTAGTGAGTGTTGCATTCGCGGTGGTCGCTGCGACTCACCGTCACAAGCAACTAGCACCCGGGTGCTTGCAGGAGCAGTCGTGTCACAGCAGGTTACACTTGTTTTCAGCAGCCACCCAAATGCTCGAAAACTGAATATACGAACCTGCCGGCCTCTTCCCCGGCCCCTCAGATTAAAAAGTACCAGGAGTGTCCATAAGTGGGTATACCCAGGTTTACCCATCTCCATGGACGGCCTACCCATACCCGACTCGGGTGGCGTGTGCGGGTCACCCGGAACGCGGAACCCGTGCGGGTTACCCACACGGGTGTGACGTGGGTCGGGTCGCAGGTACACCTGGGCACACGTTACCCATGTCACTCCTTAGAGCCACTTACCCGACACTCCTGTTTGCCACCATGATCCCCTTCCAAAACCCCAAACCGCCGACACTGACGCGCGCATCGAAAGCTTCCGAGCGCATCCGCCCCCAAATATCATTGACCGTTGATTCCGGAAGGGATAGGTTGGCGAGACTCGTACTTAACCCGCCGAGATGGACTCGCGGACTGAACTACGATGCACTACGTCCGCCCTCACACCCTTTCCGCCGATTTACGCGCTCTTACAACTGATTGCCTTTCCGCCAACCCTTGTAATCTTGTTCCTACCAGAAACTCTCCCGAAAAAGGCCAAGACTGATGCGCGCGTATTGAAGGACAGAGTGGATCATATACTGCTTCCGAGAGCATCTGCCCTTGCATATCGTTCCTGCCGAGGGACTTGCGTTCCATCCGCAAGGACTCATGAAGACTGCGCAGGCGGCGCTGGGCGAGCTTAGGTTAGCATACGACCTATTCGAAAAGGCTGCGCTGCACGGCGGATGCTCTATACGGTTCCTGTTGCGTCATCTTTTTGTGTTAATAGGCTCAAGCTGACCAACCCTTTATTCCTTGATTTTGGCCAGCTGATCATACGACACCTGCGTGAGAAGGCGTACAGCTGGTGCGCAACCGAACACTGAAGGAGGAACCGCACAACAAGCTGTCAACGTTCAACGGGGGCACCCCACGCACTGTCGTGATGAAAATGAGCAAGTAGTGGCCGAACCCCGCGGGCTCCGTCCCGCGTCGCGGCACGGGCCTAGGAAGATTGACGCATTCGACGCCATGCGTCACGCATTTGACGCCGACGCCGACGCCGTCCGACGCCGGCGCCGCCGCAGAAAAGTGACGCTGGCAAAGCTGCTCGGCGTGTATGGCTTTGACCGCATTATAGCTACAAAGCTCTTACTCACAAGTTCGCAGGAGGTATTCAGCATATGTTTAAAGTTCAACTTGCAGAAGTCCTTCCATTATATTAAGTAGGAAGCCACTCGAGGTGAGAGTCTTTCTCCTCTCATACCGCTAACGGAATTTCTTCCACGCTTCTTCAAGAAGTATTTTGAGTGGTAGTTTGAGATACAATGCCCATCTTTGAAGTTTGTAGAAGAGTCTCAGTTAGTGTTCATCCAGTTTTTGTTTCCGGTGAGATAAGACAGCTACCATGAGGACTGATACTAGTATGACGGAACAAGTTCCTTTGGACCTATTTCGTAGGCTGATGCTTCTTCAAGATGAAGGCAAATGACATTTTGCAGAACAACTATGTCTTGGGGAGCACCACTGCTAGTCAACAAACTCATGGAGGTATGTTGTCAGTTGCACTGGATTTCACACCAATTACTCCCCCGAATGAACAGATCGCATGACCTCGGTCCCTCGAAGAATACTTGCATTTCGGCTGCGCTGTGAAGATGTCTTCAAGAATGCAAGGTATCCCCGAGGCTGATGCCCTGCGCTGCTGACGCCGACGCCATGCGTCACTTCGTAGAGTGACGCCGACGCCATGCGTCACTTCGTAGAGTGACGTCGACGCCATGCGTCACTTCGTAGAGTGACGTCGACGCCATGCGTCACTTCGTAGAGTGACGTCGACGCCATGCGTCACTTCGTAGAGTGACGTCGACGCCATGCGTCACTTCGTAGAGTGACGTCGACGCCATGCGTCACTTCGTAGAGTGACGTCGACGCCATGCGTCACTTCGTAGAGTGACGTCGACGCCATGCGTCACTTCGCAGAGTGATGCAGACGCAGTGCACCTCGCAGTGCGTTGCATCCAAAGTGACGCCGACGCACTGCGTCACTTCCAAAGCGACGCCGACACACTGCGTCACTTCCAAAGTGACGCCAGCCTGTGACGCCAACGCTCTGCATCTCAAATGTAGTGACACCGCGCCTGTGAGTTGTTGCCCTGGTATCATCATAAATGTACCAGTGCAATCACCACTTTCATAGGAGTCTCTACATACTGATTCCGCCGTCCAAATGGCTCGGTATAACAACGTCTGTACTCAGTAAGTCTCACTAATAATTGACTATTGGAATGTACAAGACCAGGGAGGGGTGCATTGGCCCGCCATGGAAATTTCTGGTATCCAGTGCGTCTGATTAAATGCTTGCCTGGCCGCGGAAAAATTCCTAGGTCATGGCGAGTGGTATGGTGGAGAGGTTGTATATTTGCACAGTCAGATGGCCCCCCTCATCCTACAGTCTCTGTCCCGGAACATGACTTAGTGGATGAGCTATGGAACAATGTCCATGCTCGTCGTCAAGTACGAGTGAGCATTCCAAGTTGTTCCCTCCTACTCACCATTCTCATTCTCTGCATTATTCGCACAGCTGGGCAAATGGGATCATCCCTGCAAAGATGCGGATGACGATGATGTCCTACTCCAGTTCACCAAGTATCCTTTTACATCTGACATTAACGCCGTTCTTTCACCGCACACCACCACTCTTACAAATCTTATTTTTCGGCCTCCTCCACTGGAAGACTGGAAGAAAATGCAGCTTGATGTCCCAGTTCTAGGATATCTGCATAGCTGCAGCAGCAGTGAAGCCACTAGATCAGGAATTGTCTCATTTGCTGCTGGTCTTACTATGTTCGATCAAGCATGCATCACAAACTGGGTTTCAGTCAAGGTCCCAGAGGCGAAGGACAGGAGGGAACTATGGCTCGGAAGATTTCCTCTTGCACATGCCTTCACCTTAGTTCTTGCTGCTCGACGACGTCCGAAAATAGCTGCATTACCCGCATACCCCTCCAATAAGACACAGCAAGAGCAGGAGCGATGGATCTTGGCAGAGACGTGGCAATTACAGTCCACTACTTTTACAGATCTGGACAAGAGCAAGGTGGATGTGGACAAAGAATGCCTTTGGATCGTTGAAGAACGCATGTTCGAACGATCTGCAGCGGCAGGCAAGGCTGGACACTTTCAATGGGGGCTTGACAAAGGCACCCATCAAGAGAAGTGGGATCCCTGGGAGAGACTGCCTCCACACTGGAACCACGGAGATGGAGACGGTAGTGAATCTGAACTGGAGGTAAGTGTATACAATCATGTGGAGCAAACAACCATGCTAATTCTACGGGACTGGCAGGTTGGGCGCAAGTTTATTGACACCGAGGATGTTAAAGTACCTCAGAAACGGCCCGCAAGCCCACCAAAGCGATCAATCCACCCTCGACCAGTGAAGAGAAGAAAGACCCGAACAGAGTGCTGACTGCGCTACAACTCAGAACACGCTGAAAGTCGTAGAAAACATATTTAGATCACATGCCAAAGTGTATCGAAGTCTATATAAGTTTTATTTCTACCTTAGCAATTAATGCCTCGTCCGTTAGAGGCGCATATCTGGCGGTCACCCTGGACAGCCATCGCCGTTCTTGCTTAGTATTAAGGAGATATCATCCATTCAGAGATGTAACAGCCATTTACAGCGCAAGAAGTGACCGGGGATGTTCGAATTTTGACGGACAGACCCATAAGCACTACTCTTACAGTCCTACATTTTTATTATACCTTACGAAATTATGCCCCGAGGTCCAGGGGACAATCTCCTTCCGTGTTCAGTAGCCCCAAGTTAATTGAAACTCCGAAAGCCCCTTCGATTGACCGAGCTTATAGGTACTGCAGTTTTGCACCCAATACTAGCAGTATTGTTTCCAATACTTTGCATGTATCAGAGGGGGCTAAAGGACTTTGAACCATCTCAAGACACAGGCAAAACCATTACAATTGTCATGAGGGGGGCGTCACTTTTGCTGCCTGCATCACTTTCCCCGGCTTCGGCGTCGGCGTCAATGCGTGGGCGCCTGCGTCAAATGCGTCAATATCTCCAGGCCCGTCGTGGCACAACTGGTGATCACTTGCTGGACTGGTTCTTCATAAACATGTAGATTTATAACATTATTCCTATTATTTAAATCAGAAATACAAGAAATTTACTAGAAATGCTGATAAAATGGGATTTCTCTGGAAACAGTGCCTTTGATCTACAGTCGTTTGCATAAAAAACCGGAAACATCGACGCGAAATCTTTGTGTTTGTCTGCGACAAATATTGCCTTAACAAGTATCACCAAACCCCTCCTGTGACAGTAGTAGTCACACCTGGCTTGCCCGCCGCTGATACTATGGCTCGTCGGCATGCCCCCCAAGTTGGCAGTAATGCAAAAGTAACGTATATGTCACAGACATTAACACGTGCCATTTTGTTACTCCACTCAGCAGCCTAATGCGCGAAGGTCATGACCATGTCATGGTGGATGCCGCCACTTGAAACCCCGCTGCTGATGCTCGCAGCAGACTTCGGCCAGTGACTAGCCAGCGTGAGTCTGCATTACATTGCAGGTCAAGAAGGGACTCCTCCAATACCGATCCATTTGAGCTCGTTCAACCTTAAGAATGATGTAGTACTATAAAATCATACATATGAGAGATAACTAAGTGGTAGAGGCAGGGGAAAGGGCTAATTAAGCAAGGTGCCAACTTGGGGGGCATGCCATGTTACGCGGCAGCGAAACACGAGCGTCAAGTCAAGTTGTCACGAGACGAGGTCTTAGTCTAAGACACAAGTCCATTCAAGAGACACTTCTGGCGATGTCCTCACACTGAAGGTCAATCAGAGTTCGTTCTTATGACTCGCAGTAGCTGTCTGCTACTAACAGTCGATCTCAGTCAAAGGCAAGTGAAAAGCTGGTTTAATGGTAACCAGGTCGAGATGGGGATCCAGCTCCACGAGGTCGTCTACTTATACAAAAGGTATCCGCAGTACTACGCAGTAATACGAGATCATTCATTGGCTGGACAAGGTGAAACGATGTCTGGGCAAGGTAACAGCGAGGAAGTAATATGTATGAGAAAGCTGAGTAAGATCGTGAGAGATAATCAGTACTAATGGGGATAACAAGTTGTGTATCAGAACGAGGTGAAGATGAGGCATACATGCACGTCTTGCATGTGTGATAAGAAGAAGGTCCGGAGTTGGATCCGGTGTAACCCTAGACTAGGGGTTCTGGTTATCTGGATAGAGAATTGGAGGTTGCGCTCTGATGAGTCACGTGTTGGATCACGTGGTCTGGTAACGTAAAGGGAATAAAGAAAAGAAAAAGAAAAGAAAAAGAAAAGATGCGCCACAAGTGAGGAGCATTGTAACATGCTGATGATCTTGTGAGCCATAGTAGTGCACAGGGAAATAGGTCTGACAGTCTATTTGACCGGTAAATTACCCCGGCTCAGTGCAACACCTCTATTTTACCTACGTAAATTACCGTAAATTACACCTGGGCTACTTGACACTAATTAGCCAGTAAAGTAGCATAAATTACAGTGTAAAATAGCAAAAGGATGTTTACTGAGGCCACCTAAACATTGCTTTGCACTTTCCAGTGGGGGTTGATGTATCCTTGATGTATCTATGGCTTCTTCTATTTATCGCTGTAAACTAGGATGTCTTCGAGGCATACTTTCATGCACTTCCCCAATTTGGACAGGTGAGATTTGTCACCTTATTTATTGTCATCAATTCTCTCTTGTACACCTCAGTTCTGTCTGCTTTCTGACTATATGTATAGCCCATTCATACACTTATGGCAACCCATACAGTGTCAGTCTATTTTACCCTATTTTACCCTGTGTCACAGGCCCCTTTGAAATTTACAGTAAATTAATTATAATTTAAACCTGTTAATTAGCCTATATAATTTACACCTACCTATTTCCCCGCACACTAGTCGCCGAGAGTCGCAGACAGCTCTCTTTTCACGGTTACTGGACAATGTCATAGGCACCCTATGGCCCGCGGAACCTTTGGCGAATAGTGCAGAGCAGGGGTATGGATAACCCTCAAGGGTCAGGGGTAAGGGTATTGGAGGGTAAGGGTAGGGGTATGAACTTTCAGACTCTTGTACCCCTGAAGGATATCACTGCATATAGTATATATAATGTAAGCAGTAACTGTATGGTAAATAAAGCCTAAGTACAGCCTAGATACAGCCTTAAACTGTGTTTACAGAAGCTTCAAAGGGAAAAGAAGACTGTTACAAGTCTTAAACTTAATGTCTATAATGGCCTTAAAAGGTCACAAAATTTGTAACTCAAGGGTATTCAATGAAATTGTGACAAAACTGTGACATTGTATGGCACTAAAGGTTTTTGCAACATATTTATTATTAGGCAATGTGCTCACGCAACTGCTGGCTTATATGGGGGCTTATATCCAGTGAAAATTTCATATTGCGAGATTGAGCCAGAATGAATCAGAGCGAATAAGTCCACATTATGTAATGTTTCATCGAAGCCCATTGGAGCTGCTCGAAATCTTCGAAGTGACCATGTTGCTCAATTGCACATTGAGTGCATCGAGTTCGATCATTGACTCGATTGTTTGGAGTATTGTACCTGGATCGGCAACTTGCAGTTCTGTCACATTAAACACATCAGAACTTCTTAGCACTGTACATACTTTTGCTCAGCCACACTCAGGCTGCCATCCACTTGTACTCGAGTAGCGCATACCAATTCCACCCTCTTTATGACATTGTCTCATTTGTGCAGCTGTGAACATGTCAACCAGCAAGTCCCAGTGGCTTTGTGACTGTGAGGAATACTGCAGAGGCATCTGCAGATCTGTTGGCAAAACGACATACTATAAACATGCCCGATATTGACTTAAGCCATCTCAATCATTCACGGAGTTCAAGGCAAACCTCAGCAGCTCACGCATATTCCCTCATACTACTCGAACTGTCGGTACAAGCAACTCCAAGTGCATACATGTGGAAGATGAGATCGAAGCACCAGAAGAGGTATGTTCCAAAATTTTGTAGCTGATGACATTATTGACAATAAACACTCTTTTGTATTAGGACTTGATACACAGAGCCCCGTCTCCCTGTGATCTCAATTTATCTGAATGGCCTGACAGTACCGTATCAGATGTACAGGGCAGTCTTTTCCCCCATTTTCTGGGTCGACTCTCTCCAGAACTGAATCCAAATCCTATTTCTGAATTCCCATACACACACAATGACACAGAAGAAGACGATGTAGACCCAGGTAGCACAGCAGCAACATGAGGAATAGGCGCAGCACTGGAAGAAGACGATACAGATCCATTATTAGGACCAGCAGGTGAGGAATCATCTGATAGGCCTGCTACAGTCGAGGAAATTAAGATAGCAAATGAGTTCATCTGTTTGCTGAAACAGGCTAAACTACAGAACAGCAGTCTTGATGCTGAGACTATCCATCGACTTGCCCATTCCATCGAATCTCCACTTAACATCGACGATCCTGATTTACTACTATCTCTGGAGCTGTTCTTCGCTGTTAGTAATGCCTCTCAAGTGACATACAAATCTGTCCATGCAGCCATTTTGCATCGATATCCTGACAGCTGAATCCTGACCTTCGAGCAAGCCAAAAAGAAGGTTGCTGAGCTCAGCGGTGTGGTGTCTATTGCCCACCACATGTGCATCAATACCTGCATAGCTTACACCAGTCCCTTTGCCGATTTGGAGAAGTGTCTCATATGTGAGCAGCCCCGCTATGATTCTCAGAAGCAAGGCAAAAAGAAGATCCCTCACCAAGAATTTCACACGATTCCCATTGGCCCACAGTTGCAAACACTCTGAAGGTTTCACGAAGGTGCTGGAGCAATGCACCATTACAACCATCACACGGAAGAAATTCTGAAGCACATTTGTGAGCACAACTATAAACTTGATGAGTAGGATGATGTCTACCATGACTTGGCCTATCTGAAGGCTGTTCACGAGAATCGTATTCGCACTGATGACATGGTGCTCCTCATGTCAATTGATGCATCAGGAAAACCTAACTTTTACTTAAAGGTGTCCTTATGTGACTTAAATGCACTTATGGGCCTTAAATAAGGCAAAAAAGGACAAAAAGTCCATAAGTCATATTTCCTTAGAGCCTTAAAAAGTTGACTTTTGCGAACTTATGAGCCTTAAATAAGGCAAAAAAGGACACAAAGTCGGAATAAGTGCCATAAGTAAAAGTTGGGTTTTCCTGATGTAACACTCAGCTTTACCAGAGCAAAGCCTCAGACTGCTGGATCTATATCTGGGTAATCCTGGATCTCACCCCGGACCTTTGCTATAAGAAGAAGCATGTTCTACCTGGTGGATTTATATTGGGACCAAACAAACCAAAGAATGTTGACTCTTGCCTTTTCCCTGGCACGTCTCAGGAAGGTCTCATAGTCTGAGATGCACTTGACGACCGCACATTCTCTTCTAACCCCTTTCTGGCTATGGTCACAGCAGATGGTCCTGGAATGACACACTTGAATGGTCTTGTTGGCCATCAGGGTGCTCAGGGATGTCATCTCTACTATTATCTTCTGATGGGACACTATAAAGTCGGAGGTATGCATCACTATCCAGCATTGCTGAAGCTCATAGATTATGTGATCAATGGATGTGACCATGACGATGTCAGCTTTTGCCAGCTGTCTCCACTATCTCCAGAACAATATTTGGAGAATTTAGCATACCTGCATGATTCTCCAAATGATACTCAGTATAAGAATCGATGCAAGCAAACTGGCATTGTCAAGCCAAGTATCCTTTATGCACTCCCCCTGGTCCTCACCCTGCCTTCTTGCTGTGCCCTCGATCTCATGCACCTCACCTCTCTGAATATCCCAGATCTACTCATTTCTCTATTCTGAGGGACACTTGAGTGTGATAAGGATGACAATTGGTCTACATGAGATTGGATAGTACTCATAGGCGAGACTTGGCAGATTCATGACCAAATGGTGGCTGATGCACAACCGTACCTTCTCACTTCATTTGACCGGCCTTCTCGTAATCCAGCGGAGAAGATTTCTAGCAGCTACAAGGTGAAGGAATATCTCACATATGTTTATGGTCTTCTTCCAGCTCTTCTGCATCCTTCACTCCCAGACAAGTACTGGCACAATTTCTGCCAGCTTGTCTTCACAATGCACATATTCCATCAATGCATAATTGCTGTTGAATAAGTTAAACTGGCGCATACTACCATGATTGAGTTCATCAAGGAGTTTGAACTTCTTTATTATCAGTGTCTTCCTTCTTGTTTGCATTTCTGCCGGCCATGCACACATACTATAGGGCATCTTGGCTCAGAGGTCATTTGTTTAGTGCTGCTCATCTATTACACACAGTGGACCATGGAATGAACGATAGGTAACCTTGGCGAAGAGATCAAGCAGCCCTCAAATCTGTATGCTAATCTATCGCAACGAGGATTGCATCATTCACAGGTGAATGCACTCAAAATCATGGTACCAGACCTCACAGAAGAGAAGAAATGAGTTCCACAAGGTGGAATTGCACTTTCCGATGGGTATGCTTTGCTATGCTGCAGGCTGCTGAAGCAGTCCCCAACAATGCAGGAGGTGGAGGCGATCTGTGCATACATGGTTCAATCTGACATTCTCTCTGCAACAAAGGCATCAAAGTGGAATCCTGTGGTCACCAAGTGGGCCTGTTTAAGCCTCCAAAGTAGTTTGATCATTCACTCTATATGGAGTGAGGAGGATAAGACCCTGGAGACTGTACGAATGACTCGCAATGTCAAGGCATGAATCAATGTTTCGCAGTTGTTCATTCATTCTCTGACTTCTTTATATCTTATACTCAATGTGCTATACACTTTGCTGAAGTACAGTACTATTTCGATGCACAACTCCATGATGAACACTGCACTCCTGCAGTGTTATCGCTATACTCAGAGCCTGATGCCACCATTCTCCAGAGTTCATACAACAAGGTGTGGTTATGTTGCTATCAAGGTGCTGCAGCACTGAAGGTCATTGATGTGAGAGACATTATCTCTGTGGTTGGCATGGTTCCAGAACCTGTCTATGTTCACCTGGGAGGCACTGCTGAGATAAGTGATTATTATTTTGTCGTTGAGAAAATAGGCTTAGAGGTGTCCTACTTGGCTGGAGAACTGAAGGGTATAGAAGATGTATAGAAAGTGGTAGATTATTACAAGGTTCGACATAGCGTATAAAACTCGGAGAACAACTCTTTCCAAATAACACTACCATCATTGCGTGGAGTTGAAGTAAGCACAGGAATGGAGAGTTCTATCTCATGCTTACAGGACATTGGTACAGGCGTGAAAAATCCATGAGGATGAGGTGAAGTTACCCATAATGGGGAGTTCATACATAGCTCTATCTCATCAGGGCATGATGTTGATATGGGCAAAAAGATTACAGCACCTCGAGGAGAAGTTGCCAGCATGACTGATTTTTCAGATGTGAATGCGCAATCTCGGGTTGGCGACCTATTGGGTGAGAGCATGTGATCTCGGGTTGATGACCTATTGGGTGAGAGCGTGCAATCCTGTGTTGGTGACCTGTGGGGTGAGAGCATGCGATCCTGAGTTGGTGACCTGCAGAGCGAGAGTATGCAGTGGCTCAAGACAGAGGAGCTGCGTACTACAGAGTGATGACTTGAGAGAGAGCAATTGCATAAAAGGGAGCAATCGTGCAAGAGAGATTAGTTTGGAAGGAGAGGCTGATCGTGTAAATGAGCCTGGCCAGGTGAACTTCTAGGCAAAACAGATTGTGATGCAGCTGCTTCCACCGTGGTCAATCCAGGATGTTCAGTCAATGCATCTCCAATGTGATATGTGCTATACAAAATCAGTTCTGAACAAATTATGCATAGAACAGAGGGCATATACTCACTTCACTTTCATGCTGTTACCACTGACACCACCGACAGCATTCTGTGAAATTTCGGGGAGTATGGTCTGCAAAAGTGAAATGCTGTTCTTGATGTCATCTGAATATAAAGAGCATAGCACATCCAAAGTGAGAAAAGCATCAACCATTTGTTGGCAGATGCAATCACAGAGAGTGGAGACCTGGCCAAGGTGAGAGTAATACTGTTTTATAATGGGATTGGTGGGATACTGCAATTCCAATGGAGTCTCAAACATCTCGATAAATTCACGGAGAGCCAGAGTGATTTCAGGACCTGGAGATAAAGACATTTCTAGTACTAGAGAAGAATCCCCCAATGTGATTGTAGTAAGGCAGTAGATGTCCTACTTTGCAAAGTGCGCCTTGGAAAAACACAAGTATAATGGTCATGTGATCCTATCGAAATGCATCACCCAGCTAATTGCATCACTCATTCCCTTGTCTTCCTCATCAGCATAACCATGGATAGCAGAACACCAATCTCTTCTTCTGTTTCTTTTAGACCTTCTGAGCCATCACTGTTCAGAAGTTCTGAAATGTCAAATCATCTTGCACTAGATCCCTTTAACGACAACAACATAGCCCCTATTGTCGACATAATGAACCCAATGGACATTTTTGCAGGGCAGAACTTCAATTCAAACTTGAGCTGGCGAGCCTCTGGATCCAACACACCATTTGCACCTACAACATCATACAGTGGTCGAAACACACTGCCATGGGAGCTACCGTCGCGTAAAGTACACCCATATCTCACTTCTTGCATGCATATATGTGTATTTTTACCCACAAGTTATCATTTTCTATGTCAAACAGTGCAGCTTCACTGGCTATCATCAATGCTTTCTATAAAGTTCTCTTAACACACAAGAATCAGGCTTACATCGCCCTTTCAAATGCATACAATCAGACTAAGAACAAAGTACAACTCCTATTGGCTCGAGAGCAAGTATTCAAGTAAGTGAAGTGCATCAGCAAAAGTGTCAGTGAAAATACATGGAAATACATAGATTTGCAAACTTTACCTAGGTTGCAAATGTCGCCGGCAAGGTAATAGAACTGCAGAAATAGCCATTGAACCTTCAATTGTTTGCAAGACCTTCGCTGGCAATTGCAAGTGAATGCCAGCATTGCAAAAGCTTGCTCGTGTGGCATTAATTTGCAAGTCTGGCAATGTTTGGCAAGCCCAGTCATATTTTGCAACTGCATAGTGGTGCTGTGGGAGAAACCCAGCTGAGCTGTTCTCAGGTAGTTCTCGATAATTTTGTACTCAGAGATCTCAATGCGCAAATAACATAGGGCCATATATATTCAAAAAGATGGTGCATAGAGTACAGTAGCGGAATCAACAAAAATCAGAGTAAACTAAAAACAATTACCACTCGGGATAGACGTGCGAGCCGTTCACTTACCATGCACGAAGCCAATGAATGCTATCGGAGATCATAAATCAAGTCTGAGCTTGTGCATGCACTGCACGCTGGGCCGCCAGTCTTGATGCAGCAGTAGACATGCTCGCGCCGCTTGCGAATGGATCTTGGTTGTTGTTGGTTGGTGTGCCATAGATCTTCCTTCAGTGAGCGATGTCAGCAATGCAAGCATTGGTCAAGGCTATACGTACTTGTTCCACCATGCAAGTGTCATTTCTGCCCACCCAATGTCCTCAAAAAGCTTCACAATGGCATTAAAGAAGTCTTCACTGTTAAAATTGCTGTCAACTGATAACCATTTCTCTTGACCATTGAGCATGAAGTGAACCTTGTAACGAGGATATTAGTAACTAGTGCAAGATGTAATGTCCGAATGTATCCTCACCAGTACCGCAACATAAGCAAGATTTCGGGGGCTCACCTGGCTGAGCCGATAGATTTGTGCCAGTGGCAGTGGACCAGGTCCCCTTTGCTTCCCACTACCAGTGTTCTTTGCTGTGCGAGGTCCGGTGAAGAGTGACTTGAAACACTGAAGACAAAATTGTTCAGCACGAAGATCTCCAAGCCTCAATAATCCACTTACCGCAACCAATAGTGGACCCTTTAAAAGCCCTGCATCAAGCTCATCGGGGTCATACTCAGCCTGGTCATAGAGGAACAAAGGGTAATCATCTGATAGGATTCTGGTCTCACCGTCTCTCACTCGGCGGCAGAAGCTACACAGCAGGTACTATTGAGCACATGGTTGGACATAAAAAGAGACCCGTACCTTACGGGATCCTCATCAAACTCTTGTAACAAGATTTGTGGGCAGAGCTGCCGCCCCGTTGTGATGCTGACAAATCCACATTCCCACTTAGGGTCATCCGAGTTGAGAATGGGGTAGCCGTCCAGCCTAGGTATATAGTTGATCACCCTCACCTTAAGCGAGGCAACATCATCAGAGTGAGCGCTGCGCAGGTGAGCATCAAGCTGTAAATGATTTGTAACCAACAACATAATAGAATAATCATGCAGAAGAATGCACATAATTTGCGAGGATGTGGACAGCACTCGGATCTTCTTCAAAGAGGTCAATATCGACCTTTAAGCCTGGGATAATATCCAATGTGGCCTTGTAAGCATATTCAAGCTCTTGGCGCTGGTTTGCAGAGCTACAAAGGCAAATTGAGACTGTGAGTAGCGACACATATGAGACATAGAGACTTACAGCTCCTCTGGAAGATCATTGTCATCCATATTATCGTCGTTGTCATCACTGTTTTCGACATGTTGATATGCTCGCAACTCGAGCTGTATAGCCTGCATCGGGTTCACAAAGGGTCCAATGCCACGAGGAATGTACCTCGCACCCCTGTGGTAAGCCATCAATGTGCGATTTCCTCTAAGATTTTAGTAAGTGATGTAGGTTCTCATGAGCGCATGATCTGTCACTCACTTGTCAACTTTCCCCGTGTGGCTAAGACCGTCCATGATGTTTTCAAAGTGAAGCCGCTTGCGTCGAGTGACAGGATCCAAGTCAGTATAATCCTGGTCGCTGAGATGTTTTTTACGTAGAATTTCCTCCTCTTCAGAATCAGAATCATCTTCGGGAACGTCCTCAGGATCGTTGTCATCATTGTCGAGATTATCTATGCCAGAAAGGTCAATAGAATTCTTCTGTACTGAAGATTTCCATTGAGAGGGAGAAAGAGATGATCTTGCAGTGCATTGTACATGGCGTGCTCGCGCAACCTTGGCAGCCACAGTGTGGCCATTGCTCAGAGTCTGCGTGCGAGTGTGCTTGTTGTGTGGTTTCAGGAGGGCTTTACGATGAACCAGCTGTTTAGGAGCAAGTGGTAGCATGGCAGTGGGTAATTCAGGTAAGAGATGGTGGTAGAAGTCAAGAGTGGGTGAGTTACTGGCCACGGTGCAAGCAAGTATATTATAAGACAATAGCACGCCAATTACATCATATGATCACGGCGCGTTGTGGCGGCCCATCGTTTACTTCTGCTTCCCCTCATCTCATGCTACTGTCGAAGCTAATATTTTTTTTTCTGTTCGTAATGCTCTGTTTTGGCTGCCAAAGAAGAATCACAGTCATTGGATACAAAAATCACACCAATTGGTGCGAAGAAGCCCTTCAGTTCACTGCAGGTTCTGTTCGGAAACATAGATAAAATGTGGCCAAAATGGCCTCTTCGAAGCTCAGATGACTTAAGTACAATCAGGACCTGAGCAATGAGCGTGAAGCTTTGCGAGAAATGCTAAATGAGGTAAGCAGGCGATCTATCCTGTGAAGCAGAGAATTGATTATACACATACTACCGTTAGATGCCTGACATCGAACCTGTACCTCCGCTTAGTCAGGATGCAGTGGGTTCAAACACAGACATACCCATCCAGGAGGTCACACACCCGAGTACAGTCAGCAAATTTGGTCAACGATGTAAGCTGCCACGAGCGCTGGTTGATTATCTTCCCTCCAGCTTTGGCAGTCTTCCTTCGCATATTCCAAGGGAGAAGATTCCACCAAAGAGACCTCGAAAGTCCTGCATGACTACTACCATCGAAGGGGCACCTCCACCAGCAGCACCTGTCTCTGTCCCCTCAGATATAGATGAAGATGTTTCGCATTTTGAGATGGAACCAAATCGGTTTAACATCTATCGGCAATACACGTTCAAGCCTCAGACTGATCCCGAGGATGAGATCGCTCTTGATGCTCTCTGCGACACATCCACTCTTGCTACTGCTCGACCTACTACTTCCTTTGAGCCTCGGAGCGCTTTGCGTGGTCTCGGACAGGCATTCATCAAGAAGGCTGTGGATTTACAGCAGAATGTTTTCGTTCCCTTCCTCAATGTCACCACGTATCGGTTAATTTCCTGGTTTTATAATGCATCCTCTGTCAAATCAGTTGAAGATCTTGACCGTCTCATCGATGAAGTACTCCATGCCGAGGATTTCAATATGAAGCATCTTGAAAACTTTGGTGCAGCTCGTGAACTCAAGCGGCTGAATGATTACACCACTGCATTTGATGCGAATGACAACTGGAAAGAAGGTTTTGTCAGGATTCGATTACCAAAGGAGAATGTAAAGTACAAGACTGAAGCAGACGCTCCGGAGTTCGAAGTCTCCAGGATTTACTATCGCCCACTGCTAGAGGTCATCAAGGCTGCGTACATGGATATCTCTGCTCGACAGTACCACTTCATCCCACACAAGCTCTTCTGGTGACCACCATTGGAGCCGAGTTTGAATGGTCATGAAGATGCAGAGTCAGAGCCAGTACGAATTTATAGTGAGCTTTACAATTCAGATGCAATGCTGGAAGAGGATGCAAAGATTCATGCTCAACCTTGTGATCCTGAGGATAACCCCAGTGTCGAAGTAGCCATTGCACCGGTCATAATATGGTCCGACTCCACTCACCTTGCAAGCTTCGGAAGTGCATCACTTTGGCCGATCTATGTCTATTTTGGCAGCCTGTCAAAGTATTTCCGGGGAAAACCAAGTGCATTCGCTGCACATCATTTGGCTTATATACCGTCGGTATGTCCTTTCCATATTTTGTAAATGCAAGCTTGTCACTGACGTATCCTAATAATCTCAGTTGCCAGAGAAAATCCAGGACTACTATATTTCAATATACAATGTTGCTGCAATGGCTGCTGTTCTAACATTCTGCAAGCGTGAGCTCATGCAGGCAATTTGGCTTCTTCTGTTGGATCCGGAATTCATGCATGCCTATCAATACGGCATTCTAATCATTTGCGGAAATGGTATTCTATGATGTCTCTTCCCTCGGTTTTTTACATACTCTGCTGATTATCCAGAGAAGTAAGTGTATTCTTTCAACAAGTCATACTTTGTAACTTATGCGACTTATCTGCAGAGTCCTACTCTCCTGCATCAAATACCTTGCATGTTGTCCTTGTCCACGGTGCCTCATTGAGAAGTCAAACATTTCGCAGATGGGTACGAAGGCTGACTCATACCATCATGCAAAGACTCATCAGGATGATAGTTGGCTTCGAAATGTGCTCACTATGGCACGCAACTGGATATTCAAGAAAGGTTGGGCATTGACAAGCAAGAAATTCTGGGCACTTGACATCAAGTTATTGATCCCAACAAGGGTGCGTAGCTTATTCTTTATGACACAATTCTCACTAATTAATGTGGTCAATCCAGAGTGCATTTTCTACTCACCTCTCCCAGTTCAGCTTCAACTTTTACTCGATGTTCGTGCCAGACCTTATGCATGAATTTGAGCTCGGTGTATGGAAGGCAATCTTCATTCATTTGCTGCGTATTCTATATGCTGCCAGTGGTGATAAGATCCAGGAGTTTAATAAAAGGTGACCACAAGTATTCACTGGCTGCAAACTTTATACACTAATTGTCATCTTGAGTGCAGATTTTGCAAGGTGCCAACATTTGGTCGTGATACCATCCGACACTTCAGTGCCAACGTCTCAGCTATGAAGAAATTAGCGGCACAAGACTTTGAAGACATTCTGCAGGTAACATACATGCCACTCATGCTGTTACCAGTTGCTAACAAAAATGTACTGTCTAGTGCATTATTCCAGTCATGGAGGGTCTTCTGCCGAAGAGACATGACAAGATCATTGCCGATCTTTTATTTGAACTGGCTAACTGGCATGCACATGCGAAGTTGTGGATACATACTGACAGCACGTTGAAGAGCTTTGAAAAGGTCACTACTTCACTCGCCACGGCAGTGCGCCACTTTGTCCGAACAACTTGTAAAGATTTTGTCACGAGAGAACTCCCTAAAGAGGAGGCCGCTAGAGGGCATCGCAAAGCCGCACTGGCTGCCAAAGGTGGCGTGGCGCAGAGGCGTTCCAGAAAATGGGACCAAAGCATAAGAGGCTCAACCTGGAGACATACAAATATCACTCTCTTGGTGATTATCCCAAGACAATCCGATTAGTCGGTACAACAGACAACTACAGTATGCAGGTGGTGAGCTCAGTCATTACTTGCTCAGAGTTGTGAGAATGTACTGACCACAGCTGTGCAGGGTGAACTTGAACACCGCCGGGTGAAGCACTTTTATGCATGTACAAATAAGAATCGGTTTGTTTTTCAGATTACAAGGCACCAGCGCAGAGAAGCTGTCTTGCAGGCCATGAAGCGAAGGGAAGGGGAAACTCAGCATCGGACGTACGAACAGACAAGAACTCTTGAGGCTGCACAAAATCGTGGCACAGCCCTCAGCTTCTCAGACCAAGAGCCTCTCCCTTTCACATCCCCGAGAATGTGTTATCACACGTCCGAATCCGAGCGGTACCACGAAGATCTTACTGGATGGGTTGCAAAGAACAAGGATGACCGTGCTTTTGTGGTAAGTCCATGCATTGGTTGCATCGGTAAGACATGAACATCACAATCTTTTTGACAGAATTTTATTCCTAGTCTCAAAGACCACTTGCTCGCATGTCTCACAGGCCAACTGTTTAATGGAGATGACTACACGTTCTCAAATGCAGAACGGGACCAAGTTGCATTTGCAAACAACCGCATCTATCATCACAAGGTAATCCGGATCAACTACACAACTTACGATATGCATCGCGCTCAAGATTCCGTCAATCTGTGCACTCACGCAGACATTGTGGTCCTTGCACGTGAAGATGGGACGACCGGTGTAGATGAACATTTGTTCTGGTATGCTTGCATCGTTGGCATCTATCATGTCAATGTACGCCACCTTAGCTCATCATCAAAGTCAAGAGAACCGCAGTGCATGGACTTCTTGTGGGTACGCTGATTTTCACTAGACTCGTCTGCTCCTGGGGGGTTCGCGCTGTGACGCTTGCCTCGCATCACCTTCGTTGATTCACAGGGTCCTGATATTCCATTTGGGTTTGTCAGCCCAGACGAGGTTCTTCGAGAAACACATTTTATTCCTGCATTTGCCCATGGCAAGACATCCGAGTTACTGCCACAATCTATTGCACACCAGGAAAGCGAGCAAAATGAAGACTGGAAGTACCATTATGTGAATATGTATGTATTTCCATCTTTCTGCACTCAAATATTCAAGCACTGATGCTGCTGACTAGATTTGTTGACCGTGATATGTTCATGCACTACCTAGGTGGGGGTGTCGGCCACAAGGGTGCAGGAACTTCACAGTACCGGATGCACAAGGAGAATGAACACTGCAATGGACAGGATAGAGGAGATGAGGATGGGGAGGGTCAGAGTGAGTATGCAAATGAGGAGGAGGAAGGGGACGAGGTGAATGTGGACGATGAAGATGAGGAAGACACAGATGGTGAGAATGATGATAGAAAGGAGGAGGAGGAGGAGGAGGAGGAGGATGACGATGATGATGATGAGGTAGGTGAAGAGGAGGGTGACGAGGAAGACAATATTGTCGACCTTGGTCCGGAGGATGGCGAGGATGGTAATATTGAGGATGAATATGGGGTTGATGGTTTCGCACCGCTATGACTCGGAAGGCCAGGTATGAGGTGAGCTCCTTTTGCTTTCTTCGACTTGGAATTTTCTTAACTTTCGATGCAAGACCATGTCTTCATCACCAAGTGTAACAGGCCTCCAGCCACATGAGCCTGCCGATAGTCCATGATGTCTAATTCTCTTCTCTCGTTAGCTGTGTATGTTTTCACTGCTTGAACATGTACTTGTACTATATAGAAACATATTCTACAGTCCCTATACCTTATTAAAACCTTAGTTCTCTGTACAGCGAGCGTGTCGAAGCCACGAGTCAATTGGCGCCGGTGGACGCTTGTCATGCCCTACAATCTTTGACCTGTGCCGGTAGCCGGCTGTCTATGTTTACAAGCCAAAGCAAGAGCTCTTATCATTTGCATCCCTTACTGAAGCCAACAGACATTTACAGTCAATTGAAAGAAAATACAAGGCAAGCAGCCGAATTGCAAGCAATCACCTGCATTGCACTCTCATGTAATCTCCCCGCACTTTTGCTGATGCTATCCTCCGTATATGTCTGCATATATGCCACTTACTTGCACATTATATTGATGAGTGCACACCCGACACAAACACCTAAACCCAACTAAAACAACCAAGAAGCAGGGGCGATCTGTGTGTGAGGAAAGGGCATCGCAACTGTAAAATAATGCAAGTAGGTCCCAGAACCTCAACCTAAGCCAAAGGGAGATGCAACCTATAAGAGAATGAGGGCTCGCGATGTAAATGCGAAGTTGGGCGACAATCTACGATGAGGTCGCGAAAGTCAGAGGTAGAATGCTAAAGTCGCAATGCAATAGCCAAACTCGTAGGCAAAGACAAACTAAATTGCTAAAGGGAAAGGGAACTATCTGTGGAGGTAGAACACTATGAGGAAATGCAGTATTCGCTGTCTCGATGAAGTCGCAGTTAGTCTAATGCAAAAGTTGGATTAAGACTAATGCAGGTGGTATATTGCTATGTCGCTATGTCACTATCGCAGTTCGCAGTTCACTATTGCAGTCGCAGTATGCAGTCTCGAAGTATCGCAGTCTCGCTATATCGCAGTGTCACTATGTCACAGTCACAGTCACTATGTCGCAGTGGGGTATATCACAGTTCGAAGTCACTATCGCAGTAAATGCAGTCTCTCAGTGATCTGAAGCTAAGGGGAACTCCTCCCTACTGGTCTTCGATGATAATCGACATAGATACAGCAGGTATTTATAGAGAGGGAAAATGGGAGAGGTGAAATGCGAAAGTCACAAAATGTTGGAAGACGGATCTGGACTTCAGAAAGAGTCGCAATGGTCTAGGACCAATGGGAAAATAGGTAAAGTGAGTGAAGAGGTGAATGTCATACGTTAGCAATGGAGATGAATGGTAAAGTAGAGGGAAATTAAAAGAAAACATATGCTACTTGTTCTGAACCACATGGAACACTCTAATGGCATTTCGGTCCAGCACGAAGGTAGGCTTGAAGGGGAAAGTTGAACAATAAAGGGAATGGGATTTGCAAAACAAAAGGGCGTGACCATTGAGCGACACCAATAAGTCAGTGCAACAAACCAGCACTTCAGCGCAACATCCAGAGAGGCGGTGCGATGTCAGGGAAGTATGGACTTAGAAGGAAATCAGCCAGGGCGCATCAGATGAGACCAAAGGACAACGGGTAAGTAAGTGGTATCCAACAGTGGGGAGATGCAAGAGTGGCATATGAGTGGCGAAAGAATGTCGAATCTCGGTGAGAAGTCGCGAGGAATCGAGCGAAGTCGAACAAGGTTGCGCGAAGTCAGAAAAGTTCGCAAAGTGCCATGAAAGAGTCAGATGCATCTCGGAGGCTAAGGCATAGAGTAGTGAGGTCTGAGTGATCGCTGGAAAATGCGTTTTCAGAGGTCAGGAGGTCTGGGAGTGTATCAACATATAGAGAGACATATTCAAAACTCGCTGAAGTTGTTCCTCAAGCAGTCCTTCTGATGCACAACCCTTCTTCTCAACAACAACACCTTTCAGCCCCTGCCTTCACTCCATCATTGTGCTCTCTTTTTATAGTTGGAAATGTTCTTTCTTCGCTTAGTCATGAGGATTACCTGCGTATACATTTCTGGCTCTCAAGTGCATGGGACAAATTCGGCAAGCTAATGAACCTCGAAATGAGTATAATGCAAGTCCCGCGAGATTCAGATGATGAGGAAACCACTGTAGAAGGTGAAAACAATGATGACAAGGAACGTAAGGCACTATATCTCGAGGACCAGTTCGACAACACCATAAGTAAGAAATGGGTCAAAGAAATCAGAAGAATCGCATGAGAACTATGGGCACAGCTGTTGAGGGAGGGCCATGCCCCCGCAAAATGGGGTGCAAAGACTGCTGATGTTGCTGCTTTCTACTACAGAGAAATGGGCCTGCATTGCTTCGAAGTACGTCTCTGTAATGAAAACGGGAAGGCTGAAAGACTCGCGACTAACAGCTACTCACAATGGTACAAATCTCCAGCTAGGAAGAAAACAAGATCTTTACCACGTGCAGGATCCAAATGAAAGGCTGCCAATACACATGGTCTGTGGCCGACTGCCTCTGGTGACCATGAGTCTCCACTCTCGAAGGGCATCTGTGTCAACTCTGCCACTTCACATGCTAATTCTCATATTGATCCGGGAGCAGTCTCATTACCAAATTTCAAATCTGACAATTCTACTGAACAGGAATCTGTGATCGCATCCTCTTCTGACTCTGCTAGTGTTCTCGCTCACTCGGAGTCTCATTCTACTGCTGATGTGAATGCAAGCTCAGTCATGCCACCCCTGATGCGGACGGTCCTGTAAAGCCTATAGGCGTACATGAGGAGCTCAAATATCTAGACACTCTTCCTGGCCCCTTGCACACCAAGGTGACAATATTAACAATATCTTTTACCACTGACTCTGAGTCTACCACAGCTACAGCTCTCGAGAAATTCTCTGCTATGACAAATGCATCCGATGAATTGGTTCAACCAACCATAAATGGAGATGAACCAAGTACTTCCGTGATGCGTAATACCATATGCTCATCATCCATTACATTGACTAGTGTCAGTACAGTCTCATGCTACAATACTCTGTCGATAGCCATACAATCCACTGTGAGTTTCTGTTAGCCATGCTGTAGCACAGATTGATGGCAGCCTCACCATTACAGTGATGACTTTTTCCATCAAGATTCCTCTTCCACCCACAACAATCTGAACACAGCCACTACTCCTTCACTATCAATCACTTTCACATTGATGTCCACCTTGGTGCCCATTGCACATATAGAATTATCAAAGGGTGCCCTCACCACTCCATCATCATGTGCTGACACAGCACGTGGGATTCAAATGAAGCTGAAAAGAAAATCACAGAAGATGCGGCCAAATAAGTCAAACACTGTTTTGTGAGTCTCTATGCTTGTCTCGCTATGTGTAGAGTAATCATGGCATCACAGCAATCTGTTTGCAAAGGAATGGCTGAAGGAGCATGAAGGGGAATCACAAGATCAGTTCCAGGCCACATGGGATGCTCTACCCCAGGAACAATGCAAGGTATGTGGCAGACAAAGCTACGGTCTATATCATTGGCATGGTCCACCCACACAGAGATTTGAAGACGAGAGTGCAACTGCTATTGCTGCAGTAAAAGCAGAGAAGGTGGTGGCAAAACAGGCACAGAAGGCATTGAAATCCATCGACAAGGACTCCAAGAAGGCTTCGCATGCACCAGGCAAGGTGAAGGGTTGATTGTGGAGGTGCATGCATGATCTTGGGGGCAATGAAGGGTGTGCAGGTGAGTAGCAGGGGTGCAAGGCAGCAGCAGTACTGGAGCAGGGGCAGGCAGGCACACTGGTGGGGGTGCAGGTATGCAGCAGGGGGCGCGGCCAGGTATGCAGACAGGTATGCGGAGGGCACAGTATGCGTCGGTGCATACAGAGTGGACCACGTCGAATGAGATCGGACTACATCGAACAGTATCACATTGTATCAAGTAAATTCATAAAATTGAGTGCAATTTGTACAATTCTATGAGCTGGTTCAAAAGTGATCATGGATATTAATCTGACCCAAGCACCTTTGACTATGCTTGACTGGGTTTGCCCACAATCTCATATAGTTCACTTTTCGGATGACATCAAAGAAAATTTGCTAGTCCGATCTCGCTCATTCTACTTTGACGCCACAATATGGAATTTTGACTGGGGCTCATAGGTGGTACTGCTGAGTGACTGTCACACATACAACTCGATACGGTAATATTTGGCTTGGACAAACAAAAGATTGTGCATCAGTGTTTCCGGTTTTTTATGCAAATGACTGTATTGCAATTCATGTGTGGCAGCACTTCAGTAAGAGACTGCATGGGGTGTTTGTTATTTTCACTTACAAGATTTTCTGAATATCAAGTTTCCTCTCCTATGCCTTCTAATGGGCTATCTTCACTGAGATTGTGATATGCACTTCATAGGGCATATTACTACTGCCAGCACTCAATATGCAGTACCCACTCATGCTGAAATGATTCGGAGTTTCGCCAAATTTTGCCACCCCTGGCAATTGCTGTTCTGCCGGTTCTGCCGGCAGATATGGACCTCGGGAGTTCTGCCCACGACTAACGGAAGCTATGGGAAACACGTGATCGCGACGCGTTGCACGACTTACGACTCGGAGTGCTGCATGGTCACGACGATGACTTTGAGATGTCACACTATTCCCTGGAGAGCACTAGTCTCCGCTGGTGTTTAGCCGTGCATGACAGTCTCGCTAGAATGAATCCTGCATGTTTCAGTTTCAATTCAACAGCAACTTGCATGCGTAAGTATAACCAAAGAATATCAGTGAATCCAACGGCACACAGAGAAACTACATGTTTCGCAATGCATCCAAAACATCCTGTATAAAACCGAGGGATGTCAATTCCACCTCAAGAAGGTCTACGTAGCACTCACCCAAGCATCGTCGTCCCATGGCTTCACTCCTTGGCACAGTAACTCTTGTAAATCATCCCCAGTGAAACCAAAATTTTCCATCCGTTCCTCTATCAATGCTTCTTCGTCAGAAAAGTCCTCCTCTGGATCGTAATCGTCCCGATACGACTCCACTAGGGCCCACATATCCAGCCGCCAGCTAGGCCAACGCATGTTAACCATCTTCTCGACTTCCTTCGGGTTCAGACCCCAATTCAAAGTCACGAGGTCTCGTGCATAGCTGCGCATTTCTGTGAGACGCTGCTCGTGTGTCCACCAACCTCGCACCGGGAGGTACGTCTTGTCGTGCGCATAGTAGCATGTACTTCGCGGACATGCATTCAGCAACCACATTTTGCACACATTACGGCCACTTTCAGATACGTAATGAGCGATAATAAACCGTCAGAAGTCTACATAGCACGTACAGTTCATCCCTAACGCTCCTCTCATCTGGGGCATGCTTGAATAGGCACTGCATCCCCTTCCTGCAGCCTTGATTGTTGTAGAACTTGCACGGGCACTTGTAGCCTGGTCCCGTCATGGTGAATTCCGGTGAGTCTGACTCGGTGATGACGTCCGAGTATGCATCCCTGTCCTCAGAACGCATGTCATCGACATCGCCATTGAGAGGATCTTCATGATCGATGGCGGAAAGAGCGAGCGTTTCCGTGAGTTCTGCGTGTGCTTCGCTGTTGTTTGGGTCCAACCTAAGTACGCTGTAGAAGTCTGAATCGTGGTCAGCGATCTCAGTGACTGGGTATTAAGCACGTGGCATATCACAGACCTCGAATAGCATCTGCGTATTCTTCACGTTCCTTGCGTGCTACGCCCCTGCGAAAACGAGCCTTGATATTCTTGGGTTCGTACCGTAGTGCTCTGTCCGCTGCACTCTCAGCTTCAACCCATCTGAGATTAAATTAGTCTCGCGTCGCGAACACTCAGACAAAGGAAGATACCCACTGCTCGAGCTTCAGTAACGCCGCAGCAAGATTAGTCATATACACAGGCCGTGGGCCATGGGCAAATGCAGCTGCACGGTATTTATCTGCAGCCCCAGCCCATTCCTGGGCCCTGAAGAAGTTGTTACCCTGTCACAGCGTCATGTCAGTTTCTACACGTACTGCCTCTATCGAGTAAAGTCACCTCTTCTTTCAACCGCTCTGCGATGGCCCGCTGCTGGTTTGAATGAGCCAAACGTTTGGCTGCCCGTGTAGCCACTTCTGAATCCCTAGGACGTGCAGTTCGCACAGGTCGTACAGACTGTGGTGGCTGTACAGGCTCTGTAGATCGTGCAGCCTCTGCGGCTCGCGAATGCCCTCCATGCCGTTCCTGGAAAACAGGCAGAGGAAGCTCGGCCTGTTGCTCATGCATGGCGTCCATCGTCCCGTCAGGCTCCATCCTTATTCCTGTAACATGATCCCTTGTGCCGAAATCACCAGGTTTTACCTGGACGCCGCACATTTCCAAAAGCAGACGGATAGTCTGCTGCTCCCCGTTCACATCTCCAACATATCCAAGGTACCCATCTCCGATACGCACGAACATCGCCGGACTCTGCTCCAGTTGAGCGCCGGTGATCGGAGTGGCAGGAAATACGTGAGACTCGATGTGCGACTGTATAGTGGGAATGTACACAGCTGTTTCCCGTGATATGTTCTTAACGTGCAGCGCCTTCATACTGTACTCGGCGAAGAGTGCGGTGCCGGAAAGAGGGGCAGGTATGCCAGCTGGATTGACGGAGAACGTCGTGCGGTAGTACACGCCTGCGTCCCATGTTAAGCCCCATCGCGCGAAAAAGGAAGCAGCACTGCCTAGTTGGAGATGATTGCTGAACTCGCAGCCAAGGATAACGCGTCCCCCAGCCTTTGCATACTCGATGAGTCGGTATTGAAGGCTAAGATAGGCAGACGACGTGATGGCTGCATCAGTGACAAGGACAGCAGAGGGCAGCGGAGGAGCGGAGGGGTATAGGAGGAGAGTGGCTGAGCGGACAGTCTGCGCTTCGTGAAGCATGGCGTTCTTAGTCAAAGCTGAGTACAGCTGTGAATAGGACTCCTCGAACCAGGATTCTTTCTCAAGCGAGAGCATAAGTATAATTGGTTTTCCATTCACACTTCGCGGGTTTAGCTAAATAGAAACATCATGTTATGGGTTATCTCGTGGCAGCGAGCAGGATCACTTACTCCGGTAGCATTCTGATTTTGAGACACTGTTTCGGAGAGACACATTGCAAGGATAACTGCCAAAGATTCTTCCTCATAATTGACATCTCCAACATAGCCGACACGGCCACTCCCAAAGGACGTAAAAGCAACAGGAGTTTCGGTCGAATTTTGGACAGGATCAGAGGCAAACACATGGGATTCGATACTAGACTCGGAAGCGCGGAGATACAGAGCAGCGTTTGAAGGAACGTGGTCTAGTTGGACCGCTTTCATGCTGTACGCATGCACCAAGTCGGCCAGGTCCATGCCTGCCACAGAAGTGTTCAGAGTGAAGGTAGTTCGACGGTACGACACCGAGGTCCACGGAAGGCTCCACACGTACTTCCACATAGCGTTCATATCTAGCCGACCACCGAAGGAGCTAAAGCGACATGCGAACACGACAACGCCGCCAGAGCCAGCATATTCCACAAGCCTCGCGAGTACCTTGCCATGTACAGTGACTGCTGCATCTGTAACAATGACGGCCTTGAACTTAGAAGGCACAGTGAGACGTTCTAGGGCATCGGTATCCCAAGTTACTTCTTCGACATACGCTTTGGCTCGCAGGGAAGACAGGAGGTGTCCATCCACTTCCCTAAGCTCGCCCAAAGAAAGGAGTAAAATGCGTATCTGTGGATCAGCCATCATCCGCCAATACGAACAGCTACAGTGAGTCTGAGTGACTAGTAAGCTGACGCGCCCCAGATATTATATGTGTAGTTACCTCTCAAACTGTAGAATGACTGCAAAAATGCTCCGCAACTGGTGGCAAGTTTTGCCCTCGTTACTTGATGTAAAACAAAATAGCAGGCGAAGGTGAAAATCTGTATAAGAAAAGGAAACCACGCGGAACGGCCACCTTCGCGCAAAGTCAAACAACGAAGCTGCACGGCGTTCGCGAGCTGGCGGTGGCGGTGCCCGTATCACGTGATCGTGATCGGGTGGCAGTGGTCGAGAGAACAGAACACAAGGAAGTCTCAGAATTAACAGTGGGAATCGTATCCTGAACCTTTCCACGGCGAGATCTCCAGCTTTCATACACTAAGACTGTAGTTATATACTCCTCCGCCACCGCCACTGCGGCGTCACTGCGCCGCTCCGCCACTCCATTTCGTCATCGCCGCTCTCCACTGACAATGTAAAACAGGAAGATTATGTAACAACAACTGACTGCAAGACGACCGATCATAAGTTGGCATACGCAAACTCCTACGTGGTCGGTGGCGGTCCAATCCCTTATAACCGGGCAGACTGTATTCCATTCTATCACAGCGGCAAATGTTTTCAACGCCAATGACGACGTATTCAGGTGCTGACACAAAAGGGACTCGTAGAATGGAATTGTAGTCTCGAAGTCTGAATGAGTTTGATCGATTTGAAGACAGTCCGAGAGATATTGGACTGAAAATGCGAGTGGGTAAGCCATTCTTGACGAGGGAAAAGTAGGAATTCCTTCGGCTGAGGGTGGTTCAGATATCTCGTGAGGAATCTAGCACACCCGTAGAAGGCATCAATTACAGTGTGGTTTCCGAGAAGAGTCACATAAAGACTGCACTGGATGATATGGGTGTTGGTTGACGGGGAAGACTCAATGTCATATTCTACAGTGCATATGAGTTATCTGGATTTCGAGGGCATGCATTCTTGTAGGATACTAGAAGGATAACTCACAAGAAAATCAATAGGGCACAAAGAGAATAACAGATGACAGCGAATGATGTTTCTGATAGCGTAGTATCCTCACATATCCCGCAATGCACCCAGAACATCCTAATTTGCCATTTGATGCGCTTAGTTCAACTATATTCCGGTTTCAAACATCGATAGCTGAACTCACCCATGCATCATCGTCCCACGGCTTCACACCCTGGCACAGAAGGTCCTCCATTTCTCCCTGTGTAAAGCCGAAATTTTCTGCCCGCTCCTCCATGAGCGCATCGTCAAACGCATCGTCGAGTACGTCATCCACATCGTAATCGTCAATGTACTCGTCCTGGATGACGGCCCAGCCAGGCCAACGCGCATCTACGGCCCTCTCGATATCCTTCTGACGCATACCGCGATATTGGAGCTCTTGAGCGTACTGGCGCATCTCTTCGAGATGCTGCCGGTCTGCCCACCACCCCTGTCTGGGAAGGAAAGTTCTGTCGTGCGCGTAATAGCAGGAGTTGGGATGCGAGCATGCGTCCAGAAGCCACATTTTGCATACATTACGCCCGCTGAGGATAAGGATATTAAGCAGCAAAAGAATGATAAAGTGGGAAGCTCACATGTTGTCTCTCCTTTCGTCAAGCGTATGTTTATAGGGGCACCGGGTACCACTTCTACAACCTTGGTGGTTGTGGAATTTGCATGGAACCTTGCTCGGCTGGCTATACATAGAGTCGAACAACTCTGAGTCTCTTGATTTTGGGGGACAAGTGGTTGGGAAGCGGCAAGACTTCCGTCGGCCTTTCCAGTGACGTAGCACTAACATCAGGTGACCGCGTCACCTAGGATCGGTTCCGGAAAATATGGCAACGACACAGTGGTTTATCCCATAATTTTTGCTCATGTTCCATCCGAAACTTTAATTTGCCCAAGCTTCAAGTTCTCGACATTAGTAAGTATATACTACTAGCTAACAACGAGTATCAGTGACCCTTCGGAGTCGACTACCTGACCGGCATGTATTTCGAACTCGTATGAAGATGTCATCCACATAAGAGAATCAGAGAATCAGATATGACAATTGTGCAACGAGCTTCTCACCGCCTTGTACTCTGCCGGAATTAGTGTGCCCTTTTCTAATGATGACCCACCGAGCCAATCAAAGTTCCAGTCATACTCCTCTAGCCCTCGTTACGCATCCTCTCTCGGAAGATGTTCTGCAGTAAGGCATAATCCGACTTCTGCTCAAATTCAAGCCTATTGCAGCGGTCAAAGTATTACTCGAGCTCGGGAGGAGAGGAGAGGATGATGTCTTAAAACGGCTTGCCTCTCTTCATCTCTCGGCAGGAACAACCTTACACTAATGTTGGAAGAAAGAACAGCGGCCTGTCCGGTATAGGTTAAATAGGGTATACTTTTCCGGCATGCGTACATAGCCCGGCAATGGGATCCGTCACTCAGATGCTCGAGAGAGGGCAGCGTACACTTCTCGGGGGATCCGCAGGCAATATCATGACAGGGGACATCCCCAGCATTATCTAGCATCTGGCAAGAAAGAACCGTCAAGAAGGAACATGCACATGGACTCGGCCTCGCGACAAGGGTACAACTGTCCGTCTGAACTGTGATTGGGTACCGTTGCAAATCTTCCGCTTGAACGCTCGAACACCGCGACTCTCCGAAGGGCCCCGGGCAAGCCCAAACCGAGGAGTGCACGCGCAGTGGTTCCAGGAGAATGAACACAACCAGCACAGAACAGACTCGCTCAAGCTCTGGTATACACCGGTGGCGCCTCGACCGCCTCGACCTCCTCGATTGCCTTGGCCGGCCACGCGACGCCGGGCTCGAAGCGTATACCTGAGTCGCGATGCAGTTCTGGGGAGGGTGGCGGGATGCGGGCGGGCGAGGGGAGAAGAGACGCGTCGCTAGCGAACGGATCGTCTGCTGTCAATGTCGTCATCACTGTCCCGGAGGTCAGCGCCGATGGCGCGAGCAAAGTAGAGCTCGCGACGGCAGGGAAACGGATGGATGTGGGCGTGGGAAGTGGGCGCACGAGTGAGGACGTGGACGGGGAGGAAGGGGTGGGCGCCGCATATGGCGTAAGCGGGCTGTCGGGACGGGGCATGGACCTGCGGGACGTCGTGGTAAGCAGCGAGAGCTCGGCAGAGGGCGGCCACGCCACGAGGGAGGTGCGGGAGGTGCGGTCGGCGATAAGGAAGGACGCGTCCTGAGCCATCTCTGCTCCAGGTCCGTATGGGATCCCGTTGCGGTATTTTGCACCGTCAGGGACATCTGCGAAGAGGTCATAAGTCAATTTTCAGGCAGAGGGTGAGGAGATATGCTCACTGTCGGTGCTGTTCCAGGGGCCGAATGGGTCGTCAAAGTGCATGGGGCTCGGCAGGGTGTCCGCATCATCGCGCGTGGCACGTTTCCGTCTGTAGCAGAAGCATAACGCGATGACCAGCACTGCTAGCACTGCAAGGCCGCCGATGACGCTCCCGGCCTTGGCACCGACTGACATCGACGAGTTTTTGAATAATTCTGTTGACGTCGGGCTCGGAGAAACCGAGGTCGAACCGGCGCTCGTCGCACCCGAAGCAGAGGTGGAAGATACAACTGCAGGTGCGTTAGGATCCAGCATGCTGTATACAATGTAGTCCAGCATGTACGTGTTGCTCGATGTCACTTCCCAGGTGACATTGATCGTTAGCGTATGCGAGCCATTTAAGAGCATGCCGCTGTCGAAGAACTGGACGTCGTTCTGCTGCGTCTGGTTCGGGGGCAAGACGCCCTGAAATTCATCGAGCGGAGTGCCATCGACCGTGTAGCTAGAGAACGGCGATGTGCTGGGGTTGGACTCGTTCCCGACCGAACCAAAAACTAGCACTCGTGTACCTGCCGGGTAAGTATATCGCAAATCAGCGAGCACGGTGGTGGACGCCGGCAGACTCACCGACGAAGTCGAATTGCACGTTCGCCGCGTTCGATGTCGATGTTAACGTCCCGTCGTAGATCCCCTGTGCAGAAGTATTGTAGTAGTAGTTTAGAATCCAGGAGCTCTCTGGAGTGTAGATTATCCGAGCAGTGTTCGCAGAGTCCACCGTAACATTGTACGAGGTCGACATCGTGGTCGGGGCTGCGCAAATCAAATGGGGGTAAGAGACGAAGGGGATCTCACAAAATAGTAAGAGATAATGTCATGAGCACGCGGTTGAGATATGCCCGTAAAACCGGAGTAATATTTGCGCAGCTACCGGCTGTCGCTGCTTGTCATCGCAATCATCATTCGACCAGCGGCTGTACACGCTCATTGGGACTGCGTAAGGTCTTTCATTTGCGGCGGCAGATGGTAAAGTCGAATGTGGGGAAGATCAGTCTGAGAAGCTTTGGAAAGGGAGTCAACATACCGATTGTAGCGATGCACCCGCTTTTGTGCATAGCCCTACGCTAATGGAAGTAAAGGTTCCAGGCTTGAAGGGACATCTTCGATGCCAGTTTAAACATAGATATGCTGTATGCTCATTATCAATATTTCCCGGGTCCTGCTGAAGAGCAACTATGGTGGACTTTTGCCGTCAGACTTCACGTTGCGATAATCGACAAATCGCCTGGAGAAAGATAAATATCGCAAGAATGAAAGACGACGTGGTCACGACACAGTTGGATGGATGGCTGCGGGGCTGGCGCTCATATGGTTGGCATAGGTGAAACCGGCAGTGACAGATGGACGTCGATTCGATGGGAACTGCCAGTTCGTGCGCATGGTAATTCCGTTTCCCAATTGCGAAAGATGTGCGAAAATAGATTATGCGTACGAGCGTGCCGGTACATTTTGGTATGTTGCATATATGGTGCACGTAAAAAGATTTGAGCTTCGTTGGAGACGTGCGATATCTCCCAGAGCCTGAATGTCTTAGAGTTGCGGCATGATGACCGAAGTGCACAGCCGTATCACTTCCACCCATGGTTCCAGCTCCGCTTGTGGGGGAAGTCAGCAGAAGAACGAGCCACGCCACAACGGGAATGCGATCGCATGGCCATTTCCCTACAGGTAGTACGCCACAGCTTAGCTCAGATTTCAATGACGGCGACGCGTCGACGTCCGGCGCCCCACCGCGCGGCAGAGTACTTGTCTGCCTGGTCCGCCGTCGCGTTCAGGATCAGTAACGTGGTACAGATTGAAGCTGGTAGCGTCCCAAGCGATAGCCCAAGCAATTGACATGGATACGCTTTGGAGGTTGTCATTGCTGGAGGGAAATGGGGAAGAGGACAGCACAATGGCGGATTAAACTGGGTAAGTCGAAGGTGAATGATCCGACAGAAAGTGAGGATAGCATCACCTCCGTGATTAGCGGAGCGGGGACGAATGGTTGCTGCTACATGACGGATAGAGAGTTTGTCGGACAAGATTATCCGCCCTGCACCATTTGCGCGCCTGAGCCGAGGGGAGTGGAGATACAAGGCACGCCGATTTTTGTGGAGAACACAGAAGAGTTATCTATGTGTTTATGTTTGTGTATAACAGCACAAGAAAACACGCGTCGTGTTTGTCGTCCTCGGCAGTGTAGGGGTATACTGTTCCGGGAGAGTGATAGCTGTCATCGCGCTCGCCACGCTGCCCGAATAGCGAAACGATAGCACACAGGGGTTACCGCGATGCCTGCAATCCCACATACCCCTCAGGTGTTGAACTCGGCGATGCACTGCTGGAGGCGGATGAGGGCTAGGACGACGAAGGGAACGACGGTGACAAGGGGTCCAGTCGAGTGTACATGATCCAGTCGAGTATGTACGAATTATTCGATGGCTCAGTCCAGGTGATGTTAAGTTCGAGCATGCGAGCCATTCGTGAGGGGAGTGCCTTTGAAGCATTTTGCCTCAAGGTCAGAGTTGTCGTTCAATGTTCAACGTGCGTGCAGAGTGGGAGGCCGTCGACGATATAGTAGGAAAGTGGACATCGATTCGCGCTCGCCTGTAGCTCGAGGCGAGCCATACCCCTGCACTTGTGGCCCTGTGGTCGTTGTAGAGCCTGTCTGTCAGCGTGCAAGAAAGTAAGCATATCTAGCTAACCCACCTACGAATCCAAAATCCACACTGCCGCGCTGGGCCTAAAGCACCGCGTCTCGTTCAAGAACGTTCGCCGAAGAAATACCAGACCGACAAAGGATTGTAGGAGATCCCGCAGAAACCGACACAACCCGCGACACGGTTCATGGAACAAGATCCCAGTAAATGGAAAGGAGGTCGACTCCCGTGCCCGCCGTATATAGTATAATACGAGAGCTAGATACGATGTGAACGAGACGCTGTACAAGCGAAAATGATGACTGACGCGTGGGTCTTTTATAATATGATAAGTTGAAATGACAAGGTTTTAATAAATGGAAGACGTACAAAGCTTGCCGATTTCCATGGCCAGACAGGTTGGCGTCGCTTTCCCTCCATATCGCTCCTGCTCTGCATCAATGCATAATGGCAACAGGGAGTAACGGAACCCTTGATCCAGGTTCGTGGACTACAGTATGCCCCAGTATGCCCCGTCACGATGAGAACCCGCTGTCCAATGCTACCATGAAACAGATCGAAGTATTGGCGTGAATAGCATGGTCACCAGCTGCAGTGGTTAGGCTTCAGTCACAGAGATCCCGAGACATGAACGTTCGAGTATCCACAACGGTGCCTTTGGGAGACAAGTTTGACCACTTGCGAACAAACCCGAGCTCATGCGAGCACGAAAGCTTTGCGTCCCTCTCAACGTCCGACCAATAGATCAGATATAAGAAGAGGAGATGCAGCGAATGCTGGATATGACCGGTATCATGGGAGAGGCACCTAACGAAGCGCGTCGTTATGGCACTTGAGGTATGACCTTAGTAAAATGACTTCGATGATTCGACGCATGGCGCAGAGCAGGCACACTCACCAGAGTGCACTCGAAATAATACTGCGGCCATCGTGTCGGCACATCCAATCGCATGTCCTCACTGTTCCGACAAGGTAGGCGGGTCCATTTTGAGACAGGTGCCCTACATGTGACAGAGACAAGACCGAGGGTCCAAAAAAAAGCTTCTGGTCATTGTAAGAAGAGCTCAAGAAATTATTGTCAGGCGAAAAGCCAGGTCGACGGGAACGCTTGAGAAAATGATGAGCCACGCCGGAGACAGGATAGTCCATGCAGTTATCACACAGCAGGCGGATACAGAGTAACGAGAGATTGAAATGAAGTGAGCCCACTTTCGGGGGCATGATCCGAGTTAATGAGCAAGCAGAGAGAGAGGCGAGAAACTTCAAGGTATAGCACAGAGGGAGGATTGTTGTAGTCTTCTCCTACAGAGAGACGACGGCGGGAAACGTAGCGCAACGACCTTCTATAGTGAGAGACGAACCCGGGACGAAACGTGCTGAAGCACTACTAGGCCAGGTCTATACCCAGGGAGTGGGAGAGGGTCAGTACATGCGTGGTTCAGGTATCAATCAGCGGCCGTCGAAAGTGCGGGGAAGAACAGAGGCGCAGAATCGTTACAATCATGGGATATCTAGGCCAGTTTACATCTGTAGACACTGAAATCATAATGATGAGAACACCCACTAAAGTCGGAGAATGGACAAATCTTACTCCTACTTCACCACTTAATTGAAGTACCGAACACGATATTCCTGTTACAACGAAAATAAAAAGCAAGAGAGCAAAATGACAGCGAGGCTCTCAGAAGTGGCATAGGAAATCATTCTACGTTAAGCACTCTACGCGTTATGTGTCGTTCCTCTCGTGCATCCTATTGCCCTCTTGATTGCTAGAAGGCGCGCAGCGACAGTATGAGGCACGACCTGAGCCGGATAGTAACCTTGGAAGTAAGATGTCGCCTGTGGGCCAGTCAAACCATCAACAGCAGCCTCGCTGTGCAGAAGGGGCAAATCATGCTACGAAAACATCTTGATTAAGAGCATTGCACAGGACTGAACGTCATGACTGACCGGAGCCTCGGTAGGGAGCGAGTTGTCAACAAAAGGGACTTCTTCGTAAGGGTAGAATGTTCCTTCTGCGCTAAGCTTATTATGGGTCTGCAAGAGTGTAAGCGGCGGAGAACGTGAACGTAACATAGAGACATACTTTTGTGCTCGTACTGCGTATTTTGGCTAAGCTATCTCTTGTTTCATTTCTGAAATCATGAAGATCATCTTGAAGCTCGCCAAGACTATCTCTGAGCTCGCCAATGTCGTCTCGGAGAGCGCGAAGTTCATTCCGGATAGGCTGGAGAGCGGCAGCTAGCCACGGAGGCGCAACTTTGAAACAGTGGAGCCCTATCAGCAGACGTCAACGGGCAAATATTCGTTGGAACGACTAACCGTCGTTAGACCTTCCCATCAAAATCTTGGTCTCATAGGCATGAGCATCTGTGAGATGGGTCGCCGTTACATTAGGCGCAAGTGCAACTAGGTATACACAGCGACGAGAACCACTTAGTATGTTGCTAGGTTAAGAAAGACTGGTACGTACACATGCCACTTTCAATGCTGCGGCGATACTCCCACGCACGATGAAAATCATTGACAGTTGGGGGGTCAGAAGGTGCCTGAGGAACAGGTATAGGTGAATTCTGAGGCAAAGCGATTGGAGCCATGAGCAATAAGAGCAAGTGTACTGGAGCCGGAACTTGAAGTCGAACAATTAATGAACGAGGCCGTACACAAACACGTGCCTGTCACGGCACGCGTTCCATCACGCGAAGTGTGACTCAGCGGTTCCGCATTTTAAACTTAGAGTCTACATACATTCCGAAAGTCGCCCTGATATGCGCGGCAAGATTGTGGTCTCGGAGGCACACTTTCCCCGGGTTTCATGCCGCCAGGCTGGCACTTCCATGCATCACGCAAGTGTTAAAGACTAGACATGGACTGAGTCAGTCCCTCAATCCGATGTCAATAGCAAAAGGACTGAATTATCTACCTAGACACGGACTGAGTCAGTCCTACAGGTAGATCAGCATGAATAACTAATGTATAGTAAAGGAATATAGCTTACCCTCAATCCGATGTTAATAGCAAAAGGACTGAGGGAAACAAAACGTGTAGCGAGCGTGTATACTATGCGAGCGTCCGTGCCCGATTAGGAAACTAACTATGAAGGAGTGAGAGGACTACATGAAATTGTATCTACAACACACCCCCTCAATGGAGTGAGAGTCCTAAATCAGAAACCATTTTGGAAAATGGCTCCTTGTCCAGGGGCTTGGTGAGTCCATCAGCAATGTTTGCTGCAGTGGGACAGTGAACAACATTGAAGTTTCTGTCTTGTATGCACTCGCGGATGAAGTGGTGCTGTACGTCAATGTGTTTGGTATGTCCATGGTGACGAGTATCCTTCACAATGTCCTTGGCAGCCATATTGTCTGTTAGGAGTGTGGTAGAGGTTCCTCCGAGAGTGAGTCCAATTTTCGTGAGGAAACGCCAGTACCACAGTGCCTGTTTCACGCCATAAGACAAGGCCATATATTTGCTCTCAGTCGACGATGAGGCAACGGTCGTCTGGCATTTGCTGCTCCAGGCTATTGATGAGTTGCCGAGCTGGAAAATGTATGCCGAGACAGAGCGTCGAGTGTCAACGTCGCATGCCCAGTCTGCATCCGTATAGCCGACCAATTCGTTCATGTCGCCTTCCTCATCTGCAGTTCCCAATTCAAGGCGAAGGTCGCGAGTGCCCGGAGATATCGAAGCACTCATTTCGCGGCTTCCCAATGCCTCTTGCCGGGATTGGCGTTGAACTGCGCAAGGTGCGTGCTAACAAACACTACATCAGGCTGCGAGATGACTGAGATCCAGGTCAGGGCACCAACAAGTTCGCGATACAGCCATTTCTTCATCTCCGCGATCTCCTCCGGTGTCGACAGCGCATCGTGAACTGAGAGGTGCAGACTGGACTCCATGGGGGTTGGTCAGGAACGCAATCCTCCATTTTAAAGCATCTGAGAATGGTGGAGATGTACTGGTGGTGCGAGATGGAGACAGTACGTTCCTGGGGATTGTCAATGAGTTCGAAACCCATCAACCAGTTGGGATCCTCCTCCTTCATCTCAAAGATACTGTGAAGCTGTTTTCGGACAGAAGCGAGCTCCTCTGCTGAGTCTGAGAAGCTGAGGGTATTGTCAACATGGATCGCCAGGATGGAATTCGCACCGGTTTCTGTACGATGAACATAGATGGCACTATTGCAGATCAATCGATGGAATGAGATTGTTGACAGTTGGCCATCCATGTACTCGTTCCAGAGGTGGGATGACTGTCTAAGACCATACAATCTGAGCAGTAAGTGACAAACACATCCAGTACCATCATCAAATCCGACAGGCTGCTGCATATAAATGATAACATCAACCTTGCTGTGCAAGAACGTGCCAGTCACATCGTCCTGTCCACGATGCCATCCATGTGTGGCAGTGAGATGTAAGATTGCCCGAAGAGATTTGAGTTGAACAGTGGGGGAAAATGTGTCATTGAAGTCTATGCCGGGAATCTGTGAAAATCCCTGTGCAACAAGTCGGGCTTTGTATCGTAGGATCTCGCCTTGTGGGCCACACTTGATAACGTGTGTCCAGCGGTTGCCGATGGCTTTCCGGCCAGGTGGCAAGTCCTCGAGTACCCATGTACCACGCCTCTGCAGCATGTTGATCTCTTCGTGCATTGCTGTCCACCAGTTATCGGCCTCCAAGCACTTCGTCGCCTCACGGAAATTCATTGGCATGTCCGTGCCAAATGCTGCCATATAGGCGACTTGCGCGACGTCACCTTCAGGTATCGTTGAGACCGTGGCGTCCTCTGGTATAGGTTCTGGAGCTGTCCTCACCTGTACCTTCATTTGTCTCCACAGTGTGCATGCTTCCTTGATCACCTTGTTGTGTGTCTTCATCACCTGTTCTTGTGCCTGCTGTTTCTTGGCAGCTTGCTTGATCCAAGATGAGCGTGTGACACATTCTGAATGTTGGAGAGGTGCAGGAGCTGGCACGGGCATTGGCACTGGTGCGGGAGTACTGGCGGGAGTGAGTGCTGATGCAGTGGATGGCTGATTTTCGGGCAGTGTAGGGATTGGCGCTGGAGCTGGTGATGCTGAAGCCTGAGGAGTTGGAGGATGTGGTGGTGATGTCGTGGAAGGTTCTCTGCCAACAGCCTTGTCAGGACTATTGCTTTGAGTGGACTTACTTGCGGTCACCCTCTCGCTCAAAGCAGGGTTTTGGTCATCGTCCTCGGGCATTGTTGGGACATTCTCGTAGACGATAACATCTCGAGATACCATAAACTTGTGCCTCAGGGATCCAGATCTTATACGCCTTCTGATTAGGTGCAAAACTGCAGGAAATGCCATCAAGCGAGTGTGCATTGAGCTTTTTTTGGGATTCGGGGGGAACGCGAACATGGCAGCATGCTCTGAAAATGCGAAGGGTTGAGACATCTGGTTTCTTGCCATAGAATTTCTCGTTGGGCGTGGATTCAACCAGGGCTCTTGTAGGACTCCGATTGTGGATGAGCGATGCATATGCATGAGCTTCAGGCCAAAAACCTGAGCTCATGTTTGCTTCTTGCAACATGCAGAGGGCGTGCTCATGTGTCATCTGGTTGTAGCGCTTGGCTATGCCGTTCTGTAGTGGAGTGTGTGGAGCGGAAGTCTCATGTTTGATCCCCTTCAATTTGAAATATGTCTGGAGGTCATTGCCTATAAATTCGCCACCACCATCGGATCGAATGATCTTGACTTTCTTGTCAGAGAACGTCTCAAGGCGTGTGATCAAATCCTTGATCTCCAAAGTCGCATCACTTTTGGCCTTCAGGAAAGCCTTCCATTCCTTGCAGCTATAGTCGTCAACAACAGCAAGTGCGTAGCGATAGCCGGTGACGGATAGGTCAAGTGGTCCTTGAAGATCCATGTGGAGGCGATGAAGAGTGCTTGTAGCACGATTGGTGGCTTGCTTTGGAAAGGGTGCTTGGTGATGCTTCCCCTTCATGCAGCCGTTGCATGGGCCAAGTGTCTCTACGGATTTCAGATCAAGTCCTGTGACAAGGGCGTGCTTTACCATGTATTGGAGACTGTCCTGTCCGATATGAGCAAGTCGGCAGTGCCAAAGCTCGCTATCAGATGGAGAGAGTTGGGCGGTGAATGAGCTCTCAGAGGGATGGGAGGATGGAGGGGCGATCACGCAGTTAAGTTCATATAAGTCACATCATCGTGCACCTTTCATGATAACCTTCCCATTCGAGTTCTGGATAGCTACCAGGCCATTCTGCTTGTGGATCGATAGTGACTTCTGATCCATACGGCTCTCTGAGATAATATTGTCGTGTGCATCTGGGCAGTAGCATACATTTCATAGCGTGATGACGTGCTGGTCTCCACTATGAATGTGGCACAGGATGAGGATATCACCTCTCCTGTGCACCTCAAGTTGAGGTCCTGTCTTTCGAATGCCGCTGATTGTCTCGCTCGAAGGCGTGAATGTAACGAAGGCCAATTTCATTCTGCAGATGTGAGTGGTAGATCCACCGTCGAGAATCCAGGTGAATCGGAAGGATGAGCCGGGTGCTGCCATGCACGAGAGATGGTCGGAGTCTTCTTTCACCTCGTTCACTCGCTCCTTTCCCTTCACATCCTGTTTCTCCGAATTCTTCTTCTCCTTCTTCTTACTACGTGGTCCCTTCCCCTCAGCTCCACCCCCTTTTGACCAGCAGTCCTTGATGTAGTGACTGGGCTGTTTGCAATTCTTGCAGAAGGGGTCACCTGGTTTGTATTCCTTCTTCGATCGCTTGCTGGACTGCTGCTTGGCATTGTATGCTCGCACTGTCGATTGCTGGTTCTGTCGTATGGCATATTCTTCCTTCAGATGTCATTCAATCTCAGAAGATGTGTAGTACTGAGAAAGGCCAGAAAATATGTAGTTTCAGGATTGTGGCATAGAGATTTGGATGAAACAAGCATAGAGGTCATCAGGGATATTTTGAGACATGAGGATGAGATCTCGCCAGTACACTTTCATCTTCGCAATATGAAGGGTCAGATCTTTGCCATCGGCATACTTCATCATGATGAGACTGGTGATAAGAAGCATTCAGTCAGTAAGAGTTTCGCCTGCGAATAGTCATCGCACTTCTTGCCAGACCTGTGCTGCGACCGTGAGGTGGCTGATCTACGACATGACTTCCTTGGTCATATTCGACGTGAGTATGAGTCAGATGCAGGTGTTCGCGCACTTCCAGTGTCGCGCACGTCCCTCGTCGACATCCAGATCGGGCTCGGGAACTTCTCCGGTAGTGTACTCGAAGAGTTCAATAGTGTCGAGCATTGATTTCATCGTCGTCATCCACGATACGTAGTTCATCAGCGTGAGCTTATGGGGGAGCTTTGTAAGGTTCATGTGCGAAGAGTGGTCAGTATCCTTGTGCAGGGTCCAGTGCTTTGCTCTGCCTTATCCCAAAGGCCTGTATCTCCTTCCATCTGCATTCGGGCTCAGCGTGGACCATCTCGAAGGTGCTGCAGATCCGCGTGGTGAAGACTGCGCATACAGATTTTCTCCGCTGCACTGCAGTCTCGTGCACAGCCTGTGACTGCCAGTAGGCATGCCGGGTTCGTCCCAGTAGGCTCTGCGCAAAGGTGGAGGAGTTGGAGAGTGACCGCGTGGCGATGAGCGTCCGCTCCAGGGGTTGTGTCGTTCGCTGCTCATTGCGATCTCACACAGGAGGTTTGGCTGGCGAGTCGAGTGCGCGTTTTAGCTGCCTCTTGGGGCTCGTAATCTGTTGAAGACTAGACACGGACTGAGTCAGTCCTACAGGTAGATCAGCATGAGTAACTAATGTATAGTAAAGGAATATAGCTTACTCTTAATCCGATGTCAATAGCAAAAGGACTGAGGGAAACAAAACGTGTAGCGAGCGTGTATACTATGCAAGTGTCCGTGCCTGATTAGGAAACTAACTATGAAGAAGTGAGAGAACTACACAAAATTGTATCTACAACAGCAAGTTTGGTATCGCCCAAAGTTCGTCCTGAGCAAGAGAAATATCAGAGCTTGAATATTCCTGTACATGCAAAGCTCAGAGTGATACTATTATCATCCCTGCTTAGTATGTCGCTGCTTTCATGGAGATGCAAAAAGCTCACTATTGTCCATTAATTCGGTGAGAACCAGCCTGTATGCCTGCTTCCATCTTCATCCTATTCCCATCAGGCATCACACCTGCGACTGCCAAGATTGGCCACCTTGTTGCCAATCGGTGGACTCCCTGGGAGTCATACATCTCTGAGGACCCTTCACTTCTAATCCTGGCAAACCTCATACAGGTGAAATCTCAGACATCTGTGTGCAGCTTTGTTGACTCCATCACAAAGGTGGAAGTTCACGCCACATTCAGCAAGATATTTCTTGCGAAGTATGACAAGTGTGCAGACCATGATTAATACCACACTTGCCCACTCAGTCTTTCTGCTGAATGTGGAGAATGTTCTCTTGAAGCTTCTCACAGATGAGGTGACCTGGAACTGGATCCAATGTCAGGGCAATGCGAAGCTGTATCTTATAATGGGCATCAAGCTCTTTGAGGATGTGAAAGTCTATTCTGGGCAGAGTTTGGGCACAGGAGCCTGAGTAGGTGCTATCATCACTGTTTCCATTGTGAAAGTAGTCAGGGAAGCTGCAAAGACTGCCCTCTCAGGTGCCGCTGATATTACTCTTTCAAGTTTGAACAGCAGACACAATAACTCAGCAACATGGTTCATTTCAGTCAGTGAGATGGTCTTCACAGTGCAGTATCACCAACTGAAGGATTACAGAAAGTTTCTCCATGGCTACAACTTTACCCTTGCTCACCTTGTGTGTGGTGAATGCACCACTAAGACTTATGTTATTCGAGTATATTTTTTGGAGGTTAGTTACAATAAGTACTTTGCTGACTACAGATGTACCTAGTATTTATTGGTAGCAGAATACAGTGAAGTGGGCATTCAAGATGGTGACACTGTCAACAAGTTCAGAATACTCATAGTAAACGATGCTGACAATAATGGTATATATGCACAAATTGACAATAGGGCTAGCAGCAAGAGCACATTTGTAGCAGATAACATTTCGTGTGGTGAGATGTATGCAGTTGAGTGGATAGATGACACAGACAGCATTGAGAATGCATTCATAGAAGGTGACTTTATGCCAGATGATGAAAAATTTCTAGTTGAGGAAAATGGTGATGAAATATGATTCGGGGGTAATGATAACAGTGAAGAAGTAATGGTGTGCTAATGATTTGAGTTGCCTGCAGGGGCTGATTATGAGGTGTGAAGGAATGGCATTTTAATATACTGACACTTTAGCAATTGATCACCCTTGTCCATTATTCATTTGCAGAGGATGAAGTCGATAGTGTATTTGTATTGATCTTATGTGTAAACATTTTATTCTACATAGGACACACTCAACACTCAATGCAATACTCAACACACAGCATACCATCACTTAGCAGATGCACTGCAGAAAAAAAGGCTAGGCTCTTAGTAATCTGTGACCTTCTAGTCTCACTGTCCCACATGTACATATAGAATGAGAACAAAAATGGGAAAAAAGAAGACTATGTCCTCAACAATCACTACTTCTTCTTCTCAAATCTATACTCTGTGCGACTTTGACCACATCAAATATGTATGTTCACATTAAATATTAAACTGTCACTAGGCCATCTGTGCTCCATCACTGATTAGTGTTGTAGTGTACCCTCTTCTCACCTTTTTTTACATGGCAGGTGGCAGAGAGAGAAAGAAGGGGGTGCACTGCACACCTAGGGGAATGAAAGGGAAGAAAAGGCTGATTGGCATGTTTGGGTGATGATGTTGTTTGCCTGATTCCGTAAAGAGACATCACTAGTTGGCAGAGCGATATATAAACTACTGTACTGGTAGCACAATGGTTATGTATTAATGGCTCCTCTTACAGCTACTGAGTGATATATCACTTATACATGAATGCCTGAGACTACAGTAAGGCTGCCTTTCTGAGGCATTTGCCACCCTCATGCCATATATCCCACCACCTTACTGTGTGTGCCTTTCTAACAGGATATTTTCTAATTGGATCCTGTCTCACCCATTCACCTTATACCCCCCTGAGCTGCCCTATGTGCCCAAAGCTATGAGCCAGATCCTATCGCATCAGGAAAACTCATCTTTTTCTTAGGGACTTATTAAGACTTTTGAGTCTGGCAACCCTTATTTAAGGT